CTCCAGCTGTACAGACAACATCAACGCCATAGTGAAATTCATCCCATACTCCATTGAGAATGTCGGGTGTCGCTGCACTCACGGCTCTTTCAGTGCGATTTCGGAGATCATCCAGTGCTGTGGAACCAACGACGAACGCTCTGAGCTGTTGGAGCTTCACTGCCCACGAAAATCACGTCACACTGTTATGACGGATTCACTCTTATTGAAGTGGAGAACGCAGAACGCTTTCTGCTCAGGGGTCGCATCTCCTCTCAGACTGAAGGGAGCCATCTTCTGGTGACGGTCAGAAACTCTATGACCCCCCTCTTTCAATTGGATTGTGATTGGTTCCTAGGTGCCTCACATAAAAATATGGCGCTTTGAAATCGGACGAATCTTTTTGAATCACCTTGTATGTTGCTGAATGATGTTTATACAGCTCATTCCAATCATTTCAGTTAAGCTTCAATTAATTCAACTTGACTCACAATTCTTCAACCTCCTTAGAACATAAGGTGTTTGTATTAGCATTAGCAAGGAAAAACTGGGTAAGAGGGAAATCTTGAAGGAAGCAAAAATAAATGATCAAATTTAAGCTATTTCCCACTTATTCCATGTATTGTCAATCAGGCAAGATATGTTTGGTGTTTGAAGTTTGGTTCTTCTTGCACTGGAGCTTTGAGACTAATGTAGCTAACAAGGGAGTTTTCCATTTGTTTCCAGGGTCCTATATCCGCTCACTGAAATGTCCAGGAAACAGTCCGGTGATTCCCAGGCCATGTGGTTCCTCTATGCAATTTTAGAAACTGCTCCAATATTCCCAGGTTCCCATGTTCCAACATTGAAATTTTCTAGGAACAGCTGTATGTTCCCACGGCCCCATATTTCAGCCCTGAGAAGAACTTGCTCAGGTATCACTGTGATCTGATACAACATTCGTCTGTATTGATTAATATTTTAGACCTATGATATTTGAACTGCTGCTTTCAAACTGGGTTCAATGCAGAAATCTACTCAATTAGTTATGCATACCTGCTGAAAAGCAACTCTGATAGAAAAACCAGCGCAGATCAGCATGGCTGGTCACCAGCAATGTTGTGTTTTGGATGCTGGTGTGCTGGTCATCAGCAATGGAAATTAAGGCACTGGTCACCAGGAAAGCCAGCATATGTTGTGTTTTGGATGATGGAATGCTGGTTAACCGGACAAGCATTAACCAGCTTAGAGTTCATGGATCCCTAGAATTAATGCTGGTCTGAGCTGTTTTTTCAGCAGGGTGGTCACCAGGAAAAAACTTGTGTTTTGGATGTTGGTATGCTGGTCAAACAACATGAAAAGTTGGAATGCATGCTGGTCTGTGCTGTTTTTTTTCTGCAGGGAAGCTAAGGGCTACACATCTAGCACCATACTTAAACTAGACAAAGTACTTATTCACAAAGTATCTCGCTGTTGTCAGAAGAAAACCTCATATCTCCAAAATGGCAACTTTACAGGAGAAGGAAAAAACCTATGTTACTTTTAATGTAAGTCAATGGAACCAGAAATCTTTCCAAGTAATTTTGGGCCATTTCTTTTGGTCCCATTCATCATGAAATTTACACACAATGTAAAGGTCAACAGGCATTTTCAAATTATGTCAAAAACTAAAAATGAGGTTTTCTTCCGACAGCAGCGGTATGTACACTCTGAGTTTGCTTAGCTAACTAGCTCACTGAGGCTAGTCTAGCCAATGGCAAGTCAACTTGAGATCACTTACCCAAACACAACTTGAGGCGTGTGATGATTTAGCCATACAAGTTGCACATTGTTACTTGGTGTAATATAATCACCCATTATTTAGCTATTGTAGTAGCCCCATAGCTTCATTGCACAACAAACTAACTGTGTCTGATCCACTCGCACCAGCACAACACACACTAACACACCACCACCACGTCAGTGTTACTGCAGTGCTGAGAATGATCCACCACCCAAATAGTACCTGCTCTGTGAGGGTCCATGGGGGTCCTGACCACTGAAGAACAGGGTAAAAGGGGGCTAACAAAGTACGCAGAGAAACAGATGGACTACAGTCTGTAACTGTAGAACTACAAAGTGCACCTATATAGTAAGTGGAGCTGATAAAATGGACAATGAGCGCAGAAACAAGGAGGTGGTCATAATGTTACGCCTGATCGGTGTAGACACGTTTGCATCAGCATATGCCTGCAGTCCCTGCATTCTGTTATGGCCAGAATGTGAAGTGACAATGCTTCACAAATATCATATCCACGAATATCCAACTGTGTACACATACAGCTACCATAGCATGAGCACTCCATGAACATGTCACCCCTACAATCTTCAATAAATAAGCATTTATTTTTCAAAATCATGCAAGTCCATTGTTGTCTTTGAGTTTCCTTTACAGGTTTAACACACAGTTATGTATTCACAACTCTGAACAGCACATGTAATTGTGACAGGTTATTTTCCTATGAGGTTTGTTTTTTTTTTTTTAATCCATGATCTTTGTTATCAAAATTCTTTACATGAGTAAAATTCCACTTATATCGTATAGATTGGCTTGAGCCGAAGTCGTTGTTATTGCAATGGTTTTCACATTATTCCGTGTGAGACAAGTATGAAAAGCGCTTATCCGTCGTACATGGTAAGGGTATGGAAACAAACAAACAAACCAACAAAGAAAAGTAGTGCAATGGTTGGTTTAAAGATAGATGGGATGTTATAATAAGCAATAATCTACCATAATGCAGTAATACTTTGCTTATGATACACGTATCCAGTGCTCTGGGATGTTATGTCAGGTCTTTCTTCTTAAAAGATGGTTTTGGTCCTCCTGTTTTGGAGCAAGCAGAAAAACAGCATGAAGATTTCTGGGCTTCACGCGCTGCTGACTCCAAAGGCCGGTCTGGATGGCTTCCCTGAATGAATATTGCTTCGGCGTGGGTCAAACTTCGTTCAGATGGAGATACGCGTTTTCTACAGTGTCTCGAGGAAGGCATGGGAGAAAGCCTGGACAGACTCCTGGGCCGAAAATGTATTCTTGGCTGATGACAGCTGGGGTTTGTTAATATACAAGAAAGCCCACAACACTTGGATAGCATAAGAGATACCTTAAATGACCTTAAACCTATAAAACTTGTTTCGGTGCGACGTGGGTAACACGTCTTGCGTCTTTAATTTTTCAAACGTTCTCTCTTAAACTTGCATAATAAACATGCAAAAAATGAAACTTTTTTTTTCCTTTTTTTCCAGAGATAGTTTTCTAGAACTTGGATATAAACATTTAACTCTGCTGTTGCATAAATGCATTACCGAAATAAAGAAAGAAAAAAAAACAAAACAAACAAGACGAGGTGAGGTGCTGCTGATATGAAAAACCCGACAGAAGTCCTGAGGGGTACAAACTCTCGATCTCGCTCTATCACGCCCCACCCAAGCCTCAAGTCTTTGTATCTCTTGATACTGTAGCACTTGATAGACTCTTATTAACTCCTTTCTCGGTCTGTCGTACAGATTTACACCTGGTCCTTTCATGTGACTTGCATCTGGATTGTGACCTGATAGGATTTTAACCACGTGCATACACTTGGTAATCCAATGCATCTTTGGCTAGTCTGACTGAAATCTGATTGTTGTGTGGCGAGCAATATGCAAATCAGCTCATATACGACAACCAATTACCTGTGTTGTTCTTTCTTTTTCCTTTCCTGTTCAAAAGATCATCACCGCACTGAGAATCCCATTTTTACCAGCTCGGGCCACTGAAGGGTACAGAAGGAGTCAGGAGTCAACAGTCTCAGCCTCAGATGCTCCACCCACACAGGAATGGAGCGCTTGATATCTTTTGCGCACAAAGCTACCGGGATTTTGTCAGCTGCGTTCTGATTGGCTGCGGATCTGCACGTCTCTGTACACACTTCCATGCAGTGCTTTTTATTATTCCGTCAGGAAACACAGTTCTTCAGGCCAAATTCCAGCTTCTAGCGAAAAGACAGCGAGATACATCAGTGGGATTTTCAGTGGGCCGTGATTGGTCATTATGACGTCAGTCAAACAGCCTCTTCCTGACAAGGTAGGCAGTTCTTGGCCACATTATGTGGAAAAAAAAGCACCAGATACTGCTGAGAAGTCTGGCCTGCAACACTAGGAGCTAAACTGAAGGAGCAGCAATGCCTCTATTTAAGTGGCAGCAGTCCAGTGAATGTTTTTTTCCCCATAAGCAGGTGAGCAGAGGGAGGAGTTACAGTACTGGGAGGGGTTTTGTTTGTTGACTGTGGTTCTGAGAGATAGATGCATTTACACTTGCCTAACGTCTAACTAAAATGCATCTCAGATCACTTTGAATTTTCATGGAGGGATGTGGTCATATGAGCAGGAGTGAATTAAAATTAATAATAATTTACTTCAATTTTGTTTCCACATACGTTGGTAACTATACTGTGTTTATTAAACGTTATATTGTGACAGATCTGTGATCTGGTCATCAGGACGGTCTCACTATCAAATGAAAATAAAATCCTAATTTAAAAACTCATTAAAAATGCAAAATTAATGCTGTACTGTTGTTTTTGTCTGCGATTGCAGACTAACTTGCTTGGCTACGGCCAAACAGGGGAAACCAGAGTCAAATATACAGTTTTCCTTGTCGTAGCGACACTGCATGCTTAAAATCGCTTCTGCTTTCAAACTGTAAAATACAGTTTAACTATATCAACTCTTTTTAGACTGTTCCGTGCTGTTTCACCACCATGGCTTTCCTCAAGCTTGGTGCTAGGATTGACAGGGCACTGCCCCTCCAACTTTAGTTTAAGGGGAGCTAATGACCCCATGCCCCCTGAAATTGCCGCCTGCGCAGAGGACACATGAAACGACCAGGTGTAAATAGGGTAACAGTCTCATTTCATCGCTTCAGAAACACAGACACATACACGCATTCCTAAACATATTCCTGCTCAGGCAGGATACTGGACCTGTACCCAGTGTAGCCCTCTTATCTCTCGGCCTATTCATCTCTCTCTCTCTCTCTATCCTACCTTGCATAGCTCACCCTTTGCTTGGTAAGGCACTGTGTCCCCTCTGTTGCCCCGGGCCAATATCAGGGTGCCTGCCTTCCTGTTTTGTATCCACTCATCCGTCCATATACATTCCAGCGTTCACTATCATCCCTCCATCCTGACAAACACAAACAAAGAGGCCAAGGATGTGTGAGATGATCGCATTCGTTCATACCACTTCACACACTCACACGCTCCTTCTTTCTCTCTCATTCCTCCCTCCTCCTCTTAGGAAGTGCCGGTTCCCTTCCCTTCCTCCTCCTTCCTCCTTCACACATACCTCGCTCATGCTCCCCCTCTCCTTCTCTCTCTTTTTTTTTGCTTGCTTTGGTGAGTTTAATAAAGCAAATGTAGAATGGAGAAGCTTTAAGGACTCAAACCTCTCTCTCTCTCTCTCTCTCTTTCTCTCCCTCACTCTCTCTCACTCTGCCCCAGTGTATTCTGGGTACAGGTAGACAGTGGAGCAGTATGTACAGAATCTCAAAAGCCTTCGTTGTCCCTTCTCCGCAACCATCACGGAGAAACAAAGTCCAAGGGACAGAAGTCTCTCTGTGTGTGTTTGTGTGTATTTGTGTGGGTGTGTATGTGTGTGTGTGGTTGTGGTTGTGTGTGTAAGGTTGTGTTAGTTGAGCTGGTCCTCGTATTGTTTGCGGAAGCAGTCTCCGGCCGGGAAGAATTCCCAGCAGCGCTCCTGGTACATTTTCCAAACGTAGGACTCCTGTGGCAACAGAAAGAAGGAATCAACAGTGACCAACAAGCACAAGGCCAAGAGAGCAGATAGTTTATTAGTAGGTTAATACGACAAATAAATAATGAAAGACCTCCTGTGCTGCTCATCAAAAAACACTGCACTCTTTTGAAACGTTCCACGTAATATTTGATTTGATTTGATTTGATTTTCACTGCAACTTTTCAAGTAAACAAAAAAAAAAGTGCACTATCTTGTGTAAGAAAGATTTCCTCTTTCTTCAGTGAGAGCAACAGTGGCTGCATGTTGCAACCAATGAGTGAATATATCATACACAGTTCAGGCCCAGATCATCCAATTGGTTTAATGGGCATGTGCCCACGGGCCCGAGCCACTAGCCCACGAGCAATTATGAGAAAATCAGCTGTTTTGACTTGTAGTGGGAACTTTACTAACAGCACAGCGGTAAAAATGAACTAATACCGTGTCCTAACAGAAAGAAGCACAAATAAACGACAACAGCAAAAACAAAACACTTCCATTATCATCAATAAAGCTCTGCATTAACCGATGCGATGCACTGAGCTAGCGTTGTTGTGCATGCACTTTGAATACGAAGCTCCAGGTATTCAAAAGATGTTCCTAAGGGATCTGTAAAAGTGAGACCTGAAACTTCGACAGAGTAGAAGACGCCTATTTCCAAGGCCAAATATAAAATGTCAACCACCCAAGTTAAAAGTCGATTTGTCCTTGTCGACATTTCTTTAGCTCGGCTGCTTGACAGTGGATTTTTAGGTTTGCTGCTTTTTTCTGTCTACACTTCAGCTGTCTGATTGTAGTTTATATCATCTTCACTAAGGATAATGTTTTGCTTGTCAAGAACAGATTCACCTTTATAGGGAAGTGTTGCGTTAGTTGTTGGGTTTATGTTAACCTGTGTTCTCATTAATGTGTTGCTACTGATTGTCTCGATTGGAAAAAAACAAAAAAAACAAAATGCTCATAATGGTGATGTACCAACACTGCGGTTAGTTTGCTGCTACTGTGCTGCTGCACAGGCCTTCTTTAATTTGCTGTGATATCATAACAAAATCACTGACCACCCAAAAATCGGTAGCCAGGTAGGTGCCCACCAAACATCTGTGCCTAGGGGACCATAACTTCATGTTTGGGGCTTGATACAGTTCTATGCGTACGTTTGAACACCCCAGGTCAAATGACATGTTCTGTTAATTTTCTATTTTTGGTTTGATTTTCTCCAGTTTAATGCACAATTTCTATTTACCATGTTGGAGAAAAAAATACATACATACAGGTCACATGTTTTATCTTTCCCCCAATATATTAAATACAGCAAATATACATTGGAATATGTAGCAGTGTGCTCTCTGTAGAAGATGAGTTAACTTAGAATTAGAAAATCAACAGAACATTATTTGACCTGGGGCTCCCAAACTTTTGCATTCAACTGTATACAGTCAAAGGTTCACCTCCTCAGTGATTCTAGCCTCTCGCTCCTGTTTGTACAGTTAATGGATTCTTGTTACAGTGGAGGCTCTTGAGGAGAACTGAAGCTTCTTTCCACTTTGCTGTTGCTTTTGTTAGTTTGCTGCTCATTAATTTATCCATAGTTTTCCTATGAGCAAAATGAGCTGTCCAGTGTAGTCTGGAATCCTACTATCATAGCAACATACAGCGTGCTGCAGCTGGGCTTCACTAAGGACGTTTCTAAGCTGGAAACTAGGGAAATGTGTTTACAGCGTTAATGATTTTATTTCATTGACGAGCCCTCGTTAATATAAAACATCTGTTTTCTTGTTTACGTGGTCCTTTGTTGCAGGGATTAGAAGCTGTTACTGAGAAATTAAACCAAAGAAAAAAAAATCAGGAACAAAACACATTTGAAAATGGACTGGAATTGACTAATTATGTTATTAGCTGGTCAACTACATTTTACATTTCTCTCTTTTTCTTGTTTCTTTTTATTTTTTTGTTTTCTTTTTTTTAATTAGCTAATGTTTTCCGTTGATTTTGCTCTAGTTTTCAGTGATATTCAGTTTATATTCCAAGTTAAAAGTACATATTCTAAGCACATAAGCTCTTTGGGCCCTAAGTTGGTTTAAACACCTGACATCACAAGTGGATAAAATGGGTGGGCTTTGACACCACTCCCACATAAGAGCTTTTTGTTAGTGGTTTCTTCACGTTCGCAAAGAAAATGGCAAATTTTCTGTTTAATATGTTAAGAAAGCATGCTTATTCAAAAACAGTAATAAAAAAAAAAAACACTAGGCGTCAAATGGTTGATGGGCAGTTTACATGCACAAACTGAAAGGGTTTAAAAGGCACAGAGAGAAAGTGGCAGATACATATAAAAAGAACAATATACAGAGAGAGAGAGAGAGAGAGAGAGAGAGAGAGAGACAGAGAGACAGAGAGAGTCTCAGACAGAGGGCTGTTTAATTGATGGCTGATGAGCTGGAAGATTACCTGGCCTGTGTGCTCCGTTTCATCCTTATTAATGAGATACATCAAAAAAAATCTGCACAAAAGAAAAAAAGAAAAAAGAAACATTTCAGTCAGTGCCACTGCGTTGTGTCAGCCTGCCGACCTCCACAACTCAATCAAACTTTCTGAGCACTTTCGAAAGATTATCTTTCTTTTTCATTTTTGCTCAACAACAGTGAACAAAAGAATGTCTTTTACTCAGCTGGACTAGAGCTGAGTGATCTGACCAAAAATCTCAACACAATGATCCAGATTAATGAAACTGTGCAGTAAAAGCGCCGTGTCATGCTGAATGTGCCGCCCAGTAAATAAGAGTTTTTCATGAAGTCACCGCAGTGGACAGTAGACAAGAGCCAATCAAAATCAACATGTAAACGAGGTTGTATATATGAATATATATAAATGAGGTTATACATATAAAGACCCGCCAAGTGAAGCCAACCAGAGCTTCACCTGGCGGGTCATCATCACAGTAAATCTGGTGGTGTGTTTCATGAATCTGGCACAATATATTTTTCAAAATCATCCAGTATCGGTATTTATTAATCATTCCCCCTGAAGAAAACAAACAGCTTATTCTGGTGCTGTATACACAGTTGTTTACCATCATCAGAAAAAATATAAAGTAAGGTACATTTTAAAGATTTTTTCTCAACTTGCCACAACTTCAACACTGAAAATAGCTAGCTAACTCTGCTAATTGTGTCTTCTTAAAAAAACGCAGTTTCCTTGTGTACTATAATAGCTACTGTTCAAAGTTCCAGATTGAGGAGCAGCGCAGCATAATCATTTGACCAAAAAAGCCATGATATCCATTATATTAAAATTATTGTTATGGTTTTGTGATCTGGCCCTGTGCTGTACCACTGGTTATTCCGCATTTGTTAACTGTATTCTGTCGCTGGATTGACCTCTGCTGCTTCAAGTGTAATCAAACAATAGACGAACAGTGTAAAGCCGGGGTTACACTACACGACTTTTACCCCGATTTTAGCCCTGATTCTCAGCCTGGCCGAGTCTGTGCTAGTTAGCTGCTCCACGTTTGTTTATTTGGGTCTCCTAGTAATGGGAGAATGCGAGAGTTCGTGTGAGATCCGTTCGGTTCAGCAGCAGCTTAAAAGTTGAGTTGTGTGTGATCCCCAATACTTCCATCGCCCCAAAAAATCAGCAAAGACCAGTCGGATAGTGTGAGGTGCCCAGTCTTTTTTATAATCAGTTCAGGCTTTAAAAGTCGTGTAGTGAACCCAAGGCTTCGGGGCATGTTCAAACTTGGCAGGTTTGGTTAGATCAAAACAAACACTGGTGCGATTGTTAGAGCGGTTCAGTAGAACAAAGTGAGAGTGCTGCCTCTCAAACGCTGGAGCAGACCAAATCAGTGGATTAAGACCCCCTGAGAAGGTCAGTCTCAGACGGGAACTCTGGTTCGTTTAATTTGAAATACGAATGCAAAGACGTCTATAGAGACCAAACACAGACTGAGCCGTCATCTCTGCAGACCCTGTACAGAAGACGAATTCCTGACACTGTTTTTATAAGTGGAAGTGTTTTATCATCCCTCCAGTTCTGTTTTTTTATTTCTCAATTTTGTCTTTGGCTTATCTGTATGATCAAACACAAGCTTAATCAAACAGCATCTAACAAACTTAACACTGGACATCAGAAACTACTGCAGGTGCTGGAATGATGTACTGATGTTCTATAGACTGTCCTACAGACTGCTTTATAAAACCACTCAGACCCCTCGTAAAGACAACGATTACATATACAGATCAGTCATGTGCAGAAGTTTGAACACCCTTGCTTAAATTCAGTGTATAAAGAGTCAAATGTGTCCACTTTTGCCTTGGCCGCCTTTTAGGTTTTACTTTTTTCCAATATGTTAAACTCAGCAACTAAACTGTGCATTAAAATGCGCTGACGTATGTTCTCTGTAGAGGATGTGATCACTTTTTTCACTTTGATCATCAACAAAACATGAAATTGGTGCTGATTTTTTTGCAAAGAACCAGTTAAATGCTTAAATGGGTCTTTGCATCGTTAAATGATTCTTCTCCATGATAGAGAGCCAGCTGTATATGTTAAAAAGAGTTTTAAAAAAAAGGTTCCATATAGCACCAAAAAGGGTTCCACTACTGTTACAAATGAAACAACATTTTTTCCCTGGTACTATACAGAACCCTATTGGATAAGACTACTCTGCTTAAGTCATGGTTTACGAGTAGCACTTTTTCTGCAACTTCAGATATTTTTAGTTTCCCTTAAGACTAAATATTTGTAACTGATTACAGTTTTTGATTAGTCTTGTGTTTGTTGTATTAATACGTTTAATATCTATCGCCGCATGTTAGCTAATTTAATACCTGGCATATTTCATCTGAATGTCCCCATTAGAGGAAGCACTGTTTTGAATATTCACAGAACTCTGGTGTTTTATCTCCTTCATATTCTCCCGGTAAAAATAAATATGAAATGAGAAAACTAAAACGAATGGAACATAAACCGCAGTCAGGAACGCTCTTCTCTGTCTCTGGGGTGTGTGTGTGTGTTTGGCTATGACACACTCAGACTGGAGGAACGAAGCAATTAGCACACTCTTCCTCACTCTGCACGAGTCTTCCTCACTCTTTAGAGAGACTTTAGACTCTCTTATTGGTTCAGACCGACACGCTGCATGTCATCACTCTCTCTGTAGAGACATTTGGTGAAGTGTTATATTAATATTCCACACTGCCGAGACACAAATGCGCTCCTGATTCACACAGCGCTTGAACTGTCTTCACCTGATGTTCCCAGCTGCATAAGGTGATCAATTTCATCACATTCATCACTTTCTTCTGTGTCTCTTTATCTCTCACTCACACAAACACGCAACTATCCACTGTGCCTCTTCAGTTCAAGTTCAGTTCAAAAGAGTTCACTCTTTTCTGCACATCCTTAAGAAGTGCCACAAAGGGTCCTTTGAGCAATGCCGAAAGCCTGCTGCTTGTTCCTATACTGGTTTTAACAAGTGCTCATTCACTTGGCCTTGCTATTTCCCTTGTTAACATGCCATGTTAAGGGCAGTTCCATTACATCATTAGCTCAAGTGAAGTTTATTATATGAGTCCCTGGAGGGGCGAGGGATCAAGTGAACATAAGTGTAGTAAAATACTTCAAGCTACACTTTGTAAGTTTTGGGGATTTGGTGACCTCTCTGGTGGAAATGTGTAATTGCACGCAACGTGCGGAAAAACACTTTGAAACTTGGGTTTTGCCTTGGACCCCTTCCCCGAGCGGATGAATCTGATGGTTGCGACTATTTTAAAGAGAATTCAATAAGAACTCAGTGAAAACTTGGTGAAGAACGCGTCTTCTGAGGACGCGAGTGAATCATCTACTGCTGTCATCACATCTGTATCAGTATAATGTTGATTTTGCACTGGAGACCTAAACATCGAGTCAGACCTTCGTTCGGAGTCTATACGTCTGACATTAATACGTAAATACATATGACGTGATGCAAAAAACTCCCACCAAATCCCACCCAACACCTTTGATTTTTAAATGATTATTTCACGCTTTACAGGGCGATTTGCAGCAGCGCATGTGTGCCATATTTGCCTTTTTTGCCTTTTTAGCAAAAGAATCACAGTGCTGCTTTAACATTAGCTTGGAATTAATGTGTTTGGAATGAGTTTTAGGCAGCAAAGTGCTCCATTTATCATACATGACCATTACTTTACTTTGCTAGCCTGATAGTTTGCAAGCTAAAGCCTTACAGCGCGCAACAACCAAAACAAGGGCAATGCAACACACTGCAACCCTACAACAAAGCCTACAGCCAGACAAAGCTATTATTCACAGAATTGATGTACATAATGTTCATGTTTCAAAAGACATTCTGCACTACAAAGTTTGCATAGCTACTCAAATCGGTTCAGAGAGGCTAACCAAGCTGAGGGTGAGTGGATTTTATTTGCATAATCCGATCCTCACTGTTCCATCCTCCTCTTCTTCAGAGAGCGGTCACTTTTGTAACATATAGAGTTGCAACATCAGCCCTGTGAAATTCCTGGACGCTCCACTGATTTTTTGCTAAATTCAGCGGCTGGGTATCTGTGCTCATGACGCAGTCTAAGGTAGATAAATGTACACTTAATCTTCTCAGTTATCATACTGCAGGGCTGCCCAGTGCCTAAACATGTTGACAACAGCACACCTTTCTCAAACGACTGTCCCTACTCTCTGGGGAATTTGAACCAATCAAACCAATTTTTTGTACACACGTGGTCTGACTGGATAAAACAAAGCAGTTTACTCTACTGTTCACTCACATATGAAAATGCTTGGATTCTGGAACATTTTGTATCCAAAAATGATCCTGGACCGACAACCAAATATAGGAAAATCTTGGACAGGGGGCGACCCTAGTAGCCTCGGTGTGACACTAGGGTGACCATATATTGGTTTAGACACTGGGGGCAGGAAGACCTCATGGGGCAGACTGTAGAAAGCAAATATCAACATGAAAGCAAAGCCAAATGCCAGACATTTTAGGCTATTTAGAAATTCTGGCTGTCGTGTACTGTGTTGCGCATTTGAACGCCATCCTAGTTTGTTAACACAACAAAATGAAGGATTCTGTAGATCAACACAGCCATGATGTTACTTGCGATAACACACATCCTCAAGTGTGCTATTGCTTTTATACAACTGTTCTGCAAAATAAAGAAAAAGTATCTCAAAAAAGAATATTGTAGCAAATGTGCTTTAAAAAAATTGTTCAAAAAAAAACAAAAACTTTTTTGCGTTAGAGGGCCATAAAATTGTTGAAATATCAGATTTCAGCTTAGCTTTCTCAATATTCACCAGATTAACCTGAATGGTGTTTTGCTCCGGTCAGTCTGTAAAGCATTTCACAGCCCATCTTGTTTGCTGAATTGTATTCTGTTTCTTTCTGGCTCATTTCGGTTTGTTTAGCTGTTCCGTCACAGCTGCAGATGGAGAATCTCACTTGTCGTCAGCCTGATGAACTACTCTTCAGAATTTGACCACAAAGCTGCAGGTCAAATTTTATCTTACAGATACAGAAGTTATCTTGGGTGGCCATGTTCTGTTTTTGTATGGCTTAAGCTGAAACTTGGTGATAATTAGCCGCAGTGTAAAGCAAATTCAGCAACCATGCTCAGCCAATTGATTATTGACAGCTGTTATTAAAAAAAATGTGCTGTTGTCACCAGCAAGAAATAACAGCACATCTAGAACACTTCTCAACCAATCAGACCATGATGACGAAACTATTGTATAATTCCTAATACTTTAATATTGTAAACTGTGACAAAGGGTTCAAGGTTGGGTAATTACTGTGATATTAAATTTATATATCAGCCCGCGCTCACAGCACTCACAGATAGTTTGCCAAGTTGTGCTCCTGTAAGGTGTGCGTCTCAAAGCCGTGAGGAACCGTGTCAAAATAGTCGTTTCCAATTCCGCAGATGAAACACTTGGTCTGCAAGAGAAACAGAAAAACACATTTGAAGGTTGACATATATGGATTATTCAAGCTCTACATTATAAAAAACCATTAGCATTACAAAATCAAGTGCCCAGCACACTGACCAGATCTTTTTCTACATTACAGCAAGATTTTAAAAGGGTAACAGGCAGGACAGGTGCAAAGTAGACCTTTTTAAACAACTTATCTCTGTTTATCATGGAAAAATGGACATCTAAAGGGGAATTTGATCAATTTTTGAATTTTCTTCGTAATTTAAATCATTCAAATGTAAACGAAGGCATTCAGAGTGGTTTGATGTGAAATGCTGTGTTCTACAGAAACTTCACTTAGAATTGTTTACAGTGGTGGTGCTGATGGGAACCAGATGTCTAAAGCATTTAATGCCTCTAAAAGCTCCCTCACAGAAAAGTTATTACACAAAACGCACTGCCTGATGTCTAAGAAATTATTTTAGAACATCTTTGAGATGTTTATCTTGATACAGGGCTCGATTCTTGGGCTGCTCTTATTTAATTCATACATGCTTCCACTTGGCCAAATCCTACAAGACTATGGGATATCTTACCACAGATAAGTAGATGATACTCTGATTTACTTGGCCCTCTCCCCAAACAACTATGGTCCCCTTGACTCACTTTGTAAGGGTCTTGAGCAATCACTAAGCGGGTGGGATAAAACTTTCAGTAGCTGAATGAAGATAATACAGAGATTATTTTCTTCGGGAATAGCAACAAGAGGCACAGACCGGCTGCCAATCTGGATTCGAGAGCCCTAAAGTGTGAAGAACTAGCACATAACCTTGGGGTACTAATGGACTCGGATCTCAGGTTTGGCGGTCATATCAAAGCAGTTACTAAATCAGCATTTTATCACCTTAAGAACATCAACATGATTAAACATTTTCTGACTAAATCAGACCTGGAGAAACTCATTCATGCCTTTTTTCACTAGCAGGATTTATTACTGTAATGGTCGCCTAACTGGACTCCCAAGAAAGACAAACAGCTTCAGTTGATGTAAAATTCCAGAGTCTGACTAGGAGTTAAATAAGGGAACACATCACCTCCATTCCTAAATCCTTACACTGGCAACCCGTCTGTTCCAGAACAGACTTTAAGGTGCTGTTACTGTAGGGCCAGCGTATTCGTCTCGTCTGCTGCAGCGATATGAGCCGAGCAGAACTCACTAGGAATTAGTCAGTTAGTCCTGCCTAAGGTAAAGATTAAACATGCAGAAGCAGCGTTTAGCTACTAAGCTGCTCTAAATGGAACCAGTTGACAGAGAGTGTTAGAAGAGAACCTGGGCTGAAAACTTTCCTATTGGAGCAGCTTTCAGCTCAGTTTAAGACGCTGTTAGCTGCACTTCTCTCCAGTAACGGCACTTCATTATCCTAATTTAATTTTGAATTAGATTTTTAATTTAATGAGTAATTTCCTCTCTTTCAAATCTATTGTTTTGACCATGATTTTCCTTTCTAAATTATAATTTGAATTATTTTGCTATCTTCTCAATTGTAAAGCACTTTGAATGTCCGCAGTGCATGAAAGGTGCTATATAAATAAACCTAACTTGCCTTGTCTTACATATAAAAAAAAGTTAGACATATAAATGCAGGGTGTTGTAAGAAAACATAGCCCCCAAAGAAAACTTCTTTCTTCAGATTTTCCACTATTTTACTCTCATCAAAATTTCATGTAAAGTAACTAGCAGATAAAATATAGAATGGTTATAATGTGACCGCTGGCTCCTATCACCATCACTGTGAAGAAATACGTTTCTGTGCAGTGAACCATTTCACATCAAACCACTCTGAATTACTTTGTCTACATTATCTTATCTCAACAATTTAATCATGCAGATAATATGAAAAATGGGTGGAATTTTTTCTTTAAATGTTTAAACTGGCATCTCTCTGTGTTTAGCTGGCTGACTGATTACAAGAAAAAAACAGGCCAACCAGACGATTACGTTTTTATTTTATTTAGAAACAGCGCTACTAAAATGAAAAAGGAAATTTTCTCATTCTCCTAAACGGCCCAAACTCAAAATAAATATCTCCGACTCGACTTGTGTCTGGAAAACAGGTCGGTGTCCTGGTAACGGGGTGAATGTGAATTTTCGGCGCATTACGGTCAGGTCATTACGGTCATTAGAGCGAGAACAGACTCATTCCATTAGCACAACGGCAGAAAAAAAGAGCCCTCTTTGTAAAGCCTCTTTATCAGAGACACATCTACTGGGCTGCAACTCTTCAATGAAGCTGTAGGAGCCCATTAGCCACAGGTCACAGCGGCCTGACATCCACTGAATAAGAAATTAGCTTCAAGTTTAACAGGAAACGTCCGGTGATGTAAAGCTTTCGAGCCTGGATGACGCTCAAACATCAGATACATGCTAAGTGTGTGAGAGTGTCTGTGTACTCACTTCCATGTCCTCCTTCACCTGCTCCTGCTGATCTCTGAGCTCGCCAAATGCATCGATGATCAGACCTGATGCACATTAAAAGACATTAAAACAACAGAGCACTGAATTCGTCATGCTGTAGGTGATGGTCCAGCCACCACAAATGTAGTTAATCAGCTCACTTCGACTTGCTTATGTGGTTTATAATGAACTGATCTCTATAAAAATGGACAAAAGTACAAACAAAATTCAGGCCTCAATACTGTTTTTGGTATGCAACATACTTTTGTCCATTCTGATAGATAGCAGTATATCATATAGTTAATCTTGAGTGATAAACTGATGTTATCAGATTTTGCAGATAACTGATAAGTAGGCCGATGGTGATGCTTCAAAGGTGATGACTGCTTGTTGGGAAAGATAACAGACAGAAAACTAACCTAATTTAAAACAGCTTAGCAAATTATACTAAATAATATGTGCATGTAATGTTTACAGTGGATTATTATGGGGCATTTTAAGCTGTTAGGCAATGGTAGAGTAAATTTCCAGCTGTTGCTACTGGCTTAACAAAGCAATAAGTAATGTTTATGACCAAAAAAAGAACTGTATACTGTATATAAAAGTGATCTATGATTGTCTTTAAGATTTTTGCTGAGATGCTGAGTAATTATTAGTAATTATTAGTAAGTTATTTTCATTAAATAATCCCAGTTTTTTTAACAATATCAGGTTAATATATAGTTACCTCCCACATACAGCCACAGAAACATGCAGCTTGTTTAATAGTATAGCATAAGTTTCCATTATTTGTTAGCTACATCAGGCTTGTAGCTTCAGTGCAAAACTAAAGAAGTAAACTTCAGACTCTGAGTATGTCTTAACTGATCAATAACGTTGGGAGTAAAGATTAAAATAATTAGGAAAATAACTGCCTTAAGTTGTCTGAATTCCAAACACCGGCCACTAAATGTTTTCGACTGAGTTTTAGGGAGAACCTTTTAGCAAAATTATATTATTTGTGCCTTTTCACATATATTAACATACACTACCATTCACAAGTCTGGAATCCGAGTTTTGAGTAATATAAAATAAATTTGGTTGCAGATATGTGTATGAAATAATTATAATATGCTTGTCCTGAACCTCACATGTTTAAAATGCAGGACCAGAATACACCATATTTCAAAAGTGGCAAAGTTCAAGGCACAATTAATGTAATATACATATATATATATATATATATATATATATATATATATATATATATATATATTACATTTCCTATTTCTATAAACAAGAAGTGACAAAATGCTAAAATTACACAGTGTATATATATATATATATATATAAATATATATATATATATATATATAAATATATATATATATATATATATATATATATATATATATATATATACACACACAAGTTGTTTGCAAAGTTCAAGGCACAAATGAATGTATATATATATATATATATATATATATATATATATATATATATACACACTGTGTGTAATTTTAGCATTTTGTCACTTCTTGTTTATAGAATTCTTGAAATGTTGAATAAAACATCTACAAATACCTTTTGGTAAGCAATTTGTAATTCTGAAATCAACATTATATAAGTTACATGTTAGTTATTATTGTATATAAAATATGGTAGGTGATTACAAACTGTTGAACGGTAGTGTATTCTGGACCACTTAGCAATATGTGAATAAGATCTTACTATTGAGTTCTCATAAATATCCAGGCTAATCTATATCATTAATGTACTTTTCCATTAAATTATAGCATATTTCTTATTTTTTTAATGATTAAAAAAAACAATCCTCTCACCCTGAATGATGGCGAGGAGGATGACGATGACGAAGAAGAAGAAGGTGATGTCAAAGATGATGCGATAAATCTCATACTCATCGCCGGCTGGATCCTCGATCTGGTCACCTATGCCCCCACCAGCACGCACACCCACGTACATGTGGAACATATAGCACTGCAGGGAACACAAACAAACAAATACATTAAACTGAACAGAGAGTTAAACAAAGATGTTAGATGCTCAGGCGCTACTGAGGAGTGCACGCCCCGATTCATTCTCTCTGCCGTAACAGGATGGCTGGCCCTTGTGGTCACAGCAGGCCAGTAGTCAGAGAACCTCTTACAGCTCCAGGACTGAATGGGTTTGAACTGACAGCTGCTATTGAGCACTGGGAGCACTGGGAAAACTTAAAAACTTATTATTAAGTGAATACAAGGACTACAGTGAAAACTGAGTTAAGCTGCACTCAACTTAATTTGAGACGTGAGAAATCAGAGCTCGGATTTGCATCATTTTCAACCTCTACCTGTTCCAGGTACATAGTGGAAGAAAACAACTTGACATCATATACTGAAGTCGAAGCTGAGAACACCATGCTGACATTCTGAAATTGCAAAAACAAAAAGGCCGTTTTTGACCATTTTTAACTTTTTTTTTTCCTTTGTCACAGCACCGGATATAAAATTTAAAAACTGACTGCAAATGTTTAAAAAAGAGAAAAAAGGGCCTCCCGAGTGGCGCAACCGTCTAAGCGTTGGCCCTATCATCAGGAGATCGCGAGTTTGATCCCTGGTGATGTCATCCGTGGCCGGGAGTCCTAGAGAGCACAATTGGCCTCGCTCTCTCTGGGTGGGTAGGATGGCCCCTCCTTCTCCCCCCATCACTCAACGCGATGCTAGTTGTCTGGCGTCAGGCGTCTGTTAGCTGACGTAACAGATCTGGTGGTTGGCGCTTTCCTCCGAGCGCGTTCGGCCGTCCAATGACGTTGCGTGAGCGGCAGTTCGAAAAGATGCGGCGGCGCTTCACAGGTCTCGGAGGAAGCCTGTGTTAGCCTTCGCCCTCCTAGCATTGATAGCATTGTGTGATTGGGGGAGTCCTAACTAGCAGGTGGAATTGGAGACGACGAAATTGGGGAGAAAATCGGGTAAAAATCAAGCAAAGAGGCCCACAACGAGTCCAAACTGAACACTTTACAAATAATTTTAAGAGTAATGAAAATTAGAAACAGTGAATAATAAAATGGTTCACTTGCTTTTAGTCTAATACTGACCTGAATCGGCTCATCATCACCCAAACAGCTTTATAAAACCTGATATTTTTAATGAAAGCACTGGTTAAATAATTGTGTATCGACAATGATAGCGGTAATTAGCTCATATACATACATACATCATCTAAACCGCTTATCCTTCTGGGTCGCGGTGGGGTGCTGGAGCCTATCCCAGCTGTCATTGGGCGGAAGGCAGGATACACCCTGGACAGGTCGCCAGTCCATCGCAGGGCAGAGAGACATACACACCACACACTCACACCTAGGGGCAATTTAGCATGTCCAATCAGCCTGACTGTATGTTCTTGGACTGTGGGAGGAAACCGGAGTACCCGGAGGAAACCCACGCAGACACGGGGAGAACATGCAAACTCCACACAGAAGTGACCCTGGTCGCCCGGCTGGGAATCGAACCCAGGCCATTCTTGCTGTGAGGCGACAGCGCTACCCACTGCGCCACCATGCCGCCCTAATTAGCTCATGGATTAATCAAATTTTTAAATAATATGCAATAATGTAATATAATTAAGTAATTAGTAGTCAAAATTGTAATTTTAAACACGTGAGTAATGGAAATAGAGAGGAATAATAAAGTAAGGAGAAAAGCTAAAGGATACAGTAATGCAGAAAAATCTCTGTTAAAAGTTAGAGGCGGGCTGTGAAAACGTGAATGTGAAACTTGATCTGTAAAACTCATAATTGGAAAAAGGCGTCCGATCAAACGCATAATTTGCAACACAACATCAGGTTCAGATAAATATTTCAAGCTCTAGCACAGATGTGTTTGAACAGTTTGAGTAGCAGCAGATTAACGGTTAAAACTGCTGTGGAACTATTTCAGTTTCTTTGATTGAGATCAGATAAACTGAGCATCAAGGGGACATACAATGACCAAAACTTCTTGGTAACAAGTTTGATAGCACTTGAAAACTCAACAATGCTTGATACGTCCCAGCAAGTGCCCTATAATGCACGTGCAGTTTTTGAAAGGACAAACAATCTCACCTTTCAATTGACAACCACAGAATGCTGGTTTTACTTGTCGTGTTCTAAGTGCACATTACTCAGAGTTTCGTAAGTTGCCAGAAATGTATATTTCATCATTTTAAGTACCCTCACATACATATATATGCACACACATAAACATGCCGGGTCTAAAGGGCTTGTCAGACGGCAGTGTGGGGGATTTCTGGAGCTGGGGGCAGTGGTCCTCATCGTGACTAAGCCTTGTGTCACCTTTCCTAGAGGATGACAATCTGCTCCACTGTAGCATAGAACCCCACACTGTCTGCCCTTAATAGGAGAGAGACTGAGAGAGAGAGAGAGAGAGAGAGAGAGAGAGAGAGAGAGATGGAAATTGAATGCTATGGGTGGCTGGCTCTTGCAGGATTAAAGGAGAGAGTTGCTCCTGTGTCAGTGTGCGTTCTCCCCACACACATGTGAACCCATATATACTGTCCCTCAGTGTGTCTGCCTTTTACAATCTTGCTAAAATTCCATAATGAAACTGGTTGATCAAATTGTTGTTTCCTCATGATCTTAGAACGTTTTTCCTTTTGAGTCTTGGCTCCTCTCAGTGTTTCTTTGCATTGTTCTTAAGGGGGTTTTTCCTTTTGAGTCTTGGTTCCTCTCAGTGGTGCTTCCTCAGGCTTTTAAAGAGTGTAAGCCACCTGTTTGAAGTCATTAGATAATTATCATACTCCTCATGATCTGTATCAGTGCATTAGAGCAGGAAATCACCAAACTGTGTAGTGCAGTGCAGTGTAGTGGTCCTGCAGGACGCTCCAGATTGATCATTCTTGGCAAGCCAACAGTGGAGTCCAATTACTGTATGTCCGCTTTCATATTAGTCCAGGCAAAACAAGTCAATTCTGGAGAACGCTAACACATTGTGTGTGTGTGTGTGTGTGTGTGTGTGTGTGTGTGAATTCTAATTTGAGTTTGGCTTCCAATGCGCTGTTATAGCTGAGTAATAGCTGTGAACTCACATTTCACATGCAGCTAGTTTAACCAGGCGACTAGCTTAACTGAGGTTGAAACACTGGTACGGCAAGTGGCTCTAGGGTCAATTCCATTTACCAATTAAAAATAGTCTTGCATTGTAGACATTTCGATCTGCTTGCTAGCCTCTGAAAATGTGCCCCACTGCTGTGGGTAGGGATGTGCATTCTGACTAATTTTGGTATTCATGTGTCTGTAAGAGATAAATGGACATTTGGTTTACTGCGGGAATTAAAAAAAACATATATGCTTTGTGGTAGCACTGGTGCTAGCAGGCTACAAATTCAGTAGCACATTACATGCATGTTCTACTTAAGCAATAGAACATGAGAGGGAGTGTGTTATCGCGAATAACTCGCAAAATAATTCACAAAATAACTCGTGAAATAACTCGCCTTCGGCTCGTGCCGGCGACCAAATTACAGCCGTGATGTTATTCGCGATAACATACGACCTCGAGTGTTCTACTGCTATTATACAGTTAAATAATTAAAGTAATAAATTAATAAACTGGGCCGTGAACGCGGAGTTTAATATGTTTTAATGTTTGCAGTTCCTTCCGCCAAATTATAGTTCCTTAATGAGTAGCTTGTTGCTACGTCAGAGTAACGAGCTCCGCCCACTCGCTGCACAGCCGGCAGTTCGTTCTCCAGCTCCTCACACTAAATTCCCAAACTCTCATCACCACTGAGCGGCTTTTTGTTTTTTATTGCATCAGTTTTATGGCTCAGTCCAATTTGGTCAGACTCTGAAGATCAGACTACACGTTTCGGTGAATGGTATTGGGTTAATTTCTGGCTGATTCCAGGTTGTTTAGGTTCTTCTGTCACAGCTGCCGACTGAAAAGCTGCTCAGTGGTGATGACAGTTTGGGAATTTAGTGTCGTCTCATCTTCAGAGTCTGACCAAATCGGCTGTCGGTCAAATGTGATCTTAAAAGTGTCCATTTTCTGTTTGTGGTAAAGTAAGAAGTAAAAACGTTCAAACGGCTTGAGCGTCTCCTACAGCTGTCAAAGTCGTTGCTTAGCAACGGTGTCTTAGCGGAGTGATACAGTGTTCGTGAAAAAAACGTGATGTTATGGTGAAACAACAGCACGGTTAGAACACCTCTCAACCAATCAGCTCGCGTGGCCGGAACTAACTGTCGCATAATATTAAATAACAGCCAAGGGGAAACCTTTAGCCACTGCAGGTCAAACTAGTAGGATATGATGGAAGCTTGAGTATTGAATACTTCCCCTTCAGATGACCTGATGAGCTAACATTAGAGTTAACAAGTGCAACAGTAGATGGTCAGGGACACCCAATACTACACAGGGCTTTGTCCTCCTCACTGAATGATGTGCCATCTTGTTAGTTTGCCAAGGTAACATGGTGAACAGACACACATAGTTTCATTGATTCTGATTGATTCTTCAGCCACGCAACCTCAGACGTCTCAAACAGGTCCTTAATGAGCTCACATACAATAATACAATAGCGTCACTGTGACAGAGTCACATAATATACATACATAACCATCCATTACACTTTCTAAAATAATAACATATTAATAAATAACTAACAGTATTTCAGCGAATTGTTGTTGTGTATATTTTCTCTCAGACTTTCCATGCAATGTTACAAGTCCCTGAATAGTGAACTCAGTACTCAAGTACTGACACCAAGAACAGTTAACCAGTAGTGGACAGTGATTAAGTACATGATATTCTAAAAGTTTGGAGGGGGGGGGGTGAAATGTGATCCATTTTCAAAGCTGGAGAATAAAAGAGAGGTGTGGGATCTGGATGAAACAGTGTGGAGGACCACATTACCACTGACCTGTTGCAGCCTTATAGAAGTTAAGAACTCGCCACACAGCTACAGAAAAATGTCACATGGTGTAACGTTGTATTGTCTGTCATTTTGAAAAATGTAACTTGCTTCTAATTAATGCTATTTTTATAAACAAGAACATTTGCCTATTGTTTTAAATCTTTTCAGTCACATCTGCCACACAGATATAATACAGCTGTAATAGCTGGAACAACTTACAGTACTTTTATTTGACACTTAAATACACTTTAAAGCAAATCCTTTGTAATTTAACTGAATGTTGGACGTCTATTTTTAATTAAGTAACGTTTTACAAAGGGTATCTTTACTTTGACTCAAGGACAGGACTTGGGCGGTTTGTCCGTTGCTGGGGTTAGTGGTTATATGGTTAGAGTATTTGACTACCTGTGCACATGTCTAGTTGTTGTTAATGTCAGTTTATGTCACCTCTATGACAGCTGAGTCCAGAGCGTTAACAAAGGATTGAAAATGGATCAGTCTTAACACAGACAATATCAATCCCTTCAAATATGCCTTGAACATCTCAGATCTGTCTTTCAGATCAGACTGAGACATCTCAACAGTGTAACATCAACCATTAACACTGTAAGACTGAAAGTGCTGGAATATGCCCAGTATGTATTACATATTTAAACAGGTGTTGATGCTAGGGTTGTGCACAGGTACTGCAGTACTCTGTTAATCAATAAAGATGCCAGTATTCAAACCCTGAAAACTGCTATTCAGAGAATGTTACATTCCATTATGAAAGGCAACAATTTTTGTTTTATTAGGACTGTAAAACGTGACAACGTTCTGCTAGGTATTTGTGAGGAACTACATGTATTATACAGGGAGATTCATTCGAAAGAGGCCCTGAATATTCTGTTGTAACTCCCGTTAGGATGAAGCAATCAGAACCACAAAATACGCTACATACCTTGACGTATGTGTAATAGATTGCATTGCATACGATGCTGGAAGTGATCTCTGTTTTCTGCCAGACACATTTCAGTGCGGTGCTCCATGTTCCTGAACGTATCGGCGAGCAATTAGAGAGGTTGAATGTCATGACAGCTGTCCAGCGTCTACCTCATCCCAGCTGGTTCGAAGCTCCATATACTGAGGAGCACATTGCACGTTGTTTCGTTCAGATTGCTTTGTCCTAGAGAGAGTTATTACAGAATATTCGGGGCCTCTTTCGAGTGAATCTCCCTGTATTACAATCTACTACAGAACACAAGATTTAGCACTAACTAGGCTAACTATTCTAGCTGATGTTAGCTAGGTCAAGAAACAGTATAAATTGTTTTTTTTTTCACAAACAAACATGTTGGCATCATCCACTGAGGAGTAAAGACCACGTATAGAAGACTTTGAGTCCCAAGCATCCATCTCTAATGTTAGTTCGTTAGCTCATCTGAAGAGTTGCATCCCTTGTTGATGCTGGAACAGCGTTCAAAGCTTTGCTGTAACAAAAAAAAATTAATAGAACTAAAAAACTGGGTGTTGGGACCGCAGAAAATACGCTAATGGGCCGGATTGGATTTCCTAGTTCTAGGAAAAATAGAACTGACTGGCCAAATAGGTTCATGTAAATGAGGGAGAATAGTCTATACATGTTCAGTAACCACAGTGTTTGGGTTTGGAGGTGTTCAGAGAAGGTCTGGGCAGCTGCACCGGGTCTACCTCCTCCCCTTCAATTCTAATTACATTCAGCTGTCCCACCCTTCTGTCTGTTCGGGACAATAAGAAACAATGTGAACTTAATTAAGCCATTGTTCCAGCTCACTGCTTGGGACCTTTCTGAAGCCTCAATTATTAAGTGAGCATTTGGGCCTGGCTGCAACAATCACAGCCCTAATCAACGCACCGAGCAGTGTCAGGGTATATCTACGACAATTAGAGCTCACACTATCACAGCACAGCACTGCAGTAATTAATGGGAAATCAAACACGTGAACTCCTCGAGAGCGGAGTCAATCAGGCTGCTTGGGGCCGATGACTGTGGAAGGTACTTCATTCACAGTTATGGATCTACAGATGTCAGCAAATGTCAGCAAAGCCCATAGAACATATTTTGTTCATCATTATGGCCTTGGTAATACTGATATCCCAAAAGGCTACAATATGTAAATGAGCACTCTAACCAATTCATGTTTTTTGCTGTGTGCTGTGAGCATTCTGACCATTCCAGATGTGAATTCTGATAAATCAAAGTATTCTTCTAATCTGAAAAAGCTGATTATTTTGGTCAAAAAGTGCAATTTTAACCATTATATTATTAACCATTTTAACCACATTATTAAATTAATATAATCCTATGGTATATTTTTCAAGCAGTGAGCTGGAAATATAATCCTATGGGGGGCAGCACGGTGGCGCAGTGGGTAGCGCTGTCGCCTCACAGCAAGAATGGCCTGGGTTTGATTCCCGGCTGGGTGACCAGGGTTGTTTCTGTGCGGAGTTTGCATGTTCTCCCCGTGTCTGTGTGGGTTTCCTCCGGGTACTCCGGTTTCCTCCCACAGTCCAAAAACATGCAGTCAGGCTGATTGGACATGCTAAATTGCCCCTAGGTGTGAGTGAGTGAATGTGTATGTCTGTCTGTCTGCCCTGCGATGGACTGGCGACCTGTCCAGGGTGTATCCTGCCTTCCGCCCATTGACAGCTGGGATAGGCTCCAGCACCCCACCGCGACCCAGAAGGATAAGCGGTTTAGATGATGTATGTATCCTATGGTTTACCAATGTGTTTTACTATATTGCAAGATATATAACAGGTGCAATATGTATTGATTTCATTATATTATAGTGATATTTCTGTGTCACTCAGCTCTACCAGACAATCTACTAAGTTTTTGCCACCATCCAAATTTGAAGAGAGCTTGTGGTTTAATGTGAATACTTTAACCTTTTCAACTTCTTGAGACCACCGGTGGTTCCAAAACGCACTTCGTCATATTCTTCAAAACTTTCATATTTCATAAGCTACATTCAAAAGGTGGGGGTCGTATGAGAGCTGTAACTGTCTTCTTTCCAGTCAAATAGATGGTGATGTAATTTTAAACCCTTATAATAAAAGAAGCTGAACTCACATTTTTTTTTCTACTGAAAGTCGACCCATTTTTCCACAAATCTGGGCTATAAACTATAAACAGATGGCGTCTCTTCAGTGATCTGCTCTGTAAAAATTATTTTTATAAAAAAATACAAAGAGCGTCTAAGATTTTTGGCTTTCAGCAGTAAATTGTAAGCATATAGCGATATGTGTGATCATAAACACATGTTCTGTTAACTTGAGGGGAGCTTTTACAAAAAATAAAAATGTACATTTATTTCATGCAGTTACTGAATAATTTGCTGTACAATTTGGTCATGTAAATTCAGATGGACAAACCAAAATATACCCTGGTCAATAAGAGGTTGATGACTCAAATGTTGCAAGGTTTTATCAGCTGGAGCTCTCCTCTCTCGCTCAGGGCAAGATGATTACACAGTTTTATGTTCTTTATCTGTCTCTTGGTTCCCGATGTTCTCAGGGTTCAACGTTAACTTTTTTCCCAGTCGGGCAAGCAACCTGAAAATTCACTGTCCCGAAACAAATTCCTACTGTCCTGAGCAAATCTTTGTATTTTGAGGTGTTAAATAAGCACAAACAAACTGATATATAGTTATTTATTCTTAAAATAAAACATTTTTAACAAAACGTCTCAAAACCACTGATTTGTATTTCTGTTTTATTATAAATACATTTGCATTAAAGTTATCAATAATATAATATTATTATTTGCGCGCATAAGTTAGCAAATATTATCTTACCTTCTGCAAGCCATGTCAGTACAAATACTGGCTACCAAGTTCCAGAGCACTTTTGATCTAAAGGTCTATTTCATGTGGGTAGTCAGTAAAAGGTCTGTCTCTTTTAACCGTATGATACGCTGTTGTGACTAACTTGGTCAACCTGGAATCTGCTTCACTGTCCATCCGTCGTATCAGAACATCTCAGGTACAGAAGGGTCAGAATCGACCCATGAGAACTGAGTTTTCCACGGGGGAATGAAGCTGCGGACTCGCTTTGCTTCGTATTCTCGCTTCACCGACCTGGGGCGAGTGACTTTTCATGATCCTGTCCCGTTTTACTTACACCGAGGCCCTGAATGTTCTGTAATAACTCTCTCTAGGATGAATCAATCTGAACCAAACAACGTACAATGTGCTCCTCAGTATATGGAGCTTTGAACAAGCCCCTGCATCGGAGAGATGAGGTAGGCGCCAGATAGCTGTTGCGACATTTAACCTCTGTTTGCAACTTCTAGGTGCAGACCCCCGTACCCCTTCATGTGTCTGGCTGAAAACGGCGATCGCTTCCAGCATCGCATGTAATGCAATTTATTACACATACATCAAGGTGTGTAGCGTATTTTTTTGGTTCAGATTGCTCCATCCTAACGGGAGTTACGACAGAATATTCGGGGCCTCTTTCGAGTGAATCTCCCTGTATAATGATTCTAATATATTTTGGGTGTGTTTGTGTTTTTTTCTGATATGCTCAAGGAATATAAGCCCAACAGGATTCTCAGGAATTAGTCATTTAGCTGTTTCACTAAACCTGGAGAAACAGCATTTAGCTTCTGTGCAGCTCCTAGATGGGACTAACTGTTGAGGAATCTTGTAAGTGTCCTGACATTAGACAGTCGTGAATCAAGACTGAAAACATGCCTCTTTGAACAAGCGTTCAGTTAAGATTCAAGCCACTGTGTTTAGCCCCTAGGGGCAGTACTGCACTGCTTATACTTTTTTACTTATACTGCACTATACTTACATTTCAGTTCATCTTCTATATTGTTATTTGATTTTCTATCTTTTCTCTTAATCAACTTTGATACTTTTCATTTTAATTGGAAGGTACTTTGAAGTGCCTTTATATGAAATCTGCTATATAAATAAACTTGTCTTTGCTGACATAAGGTACAGACCACAGTATGTTATTGTTAACATACTGGTAAATATAGCCAACATGATGGCATTTCAGCTTACCGTTAGCATATCATCACACTTCATGTCCGGAGACTCTCCGTCCTCACTCTTGTTGTAGAACTTGCGGAAAAAGTTGAAGGCCACCACAGTGTAGAGATAAACGACCACCGCCAGCAAGCCCACTGTCAGGACCAGCTACACACACACACACACACACACACACACACACACAGTAAAATAGGTTACACAATGTATGAAATAAATTACACAATTTACTGTTTCTATTCCATATATATGTTATTTATACACAGTGAAACAGACTAGCAGGGCTGATTTCTTACCCAACCCTTAACTATATTAATAACAGACTCATACAGGTAGAATATCATATCTGTAGTGCACTGCAAAAAAAGTCTTTTATGATGTATTTAAAAATCACATATCAGAATTAATATCAAAATCACATATTAGAAGCCATCCAAGCAGAAATCCAGATAATTTCAAAGGGTCCACAAACTTTTGCAATTGCACATAAATTCTGTCACTTTATAAGACACACCTAGTTAGTTAGTATTTATAATTCTATGTAAAACCCACTTCTGCACATTTTTAGAAGCATATCTGGACAATGAATGTGTTTTGGCTTGCAAAATATATATATTACCATGATTTCATATTATTAGAATAAATGCAAATTAACATAAATAAAGTCAAAAGTTTCCTTTTTGGAAAAAAAAAAAAAGTAGTTGATATCTTGTGAGCTAATTTGAAGACTATATTTCGTGGCTGATTTCTCTGCAGTGTCTCCAGTCGTCACATAGATTTGTTGAATTTCATCACCAGCACACTTGATTAACTTAATGAAGTACTGATTAGCCAAAGCAGGTGTTGGATGATAACTACAAATAATACTAGGCTGCCTTAAGGAGAAGCTTGGAAATAGTTAAACGAACACAGTGTTATACATAAAACCACTACTTACTGTATTAATGCTATTTGTGTTTATTGTAATATTAGTGTTTTTTTCTGAATGAATAAGCATAACACATTTATTCAACACTCTGAATTAATAAATGCTTTTTAAAATCAAATTTTCTCAGATGCCTAAAATCTGCCCAGTACTGTATATAAAGCATGCAAACACAGTTATGATAGTTAACAATAAACTGGGCAAAATGCTTGATTTAAGTAACTCTAACATTCCTAAGATTGTTGGTGAAATAAGTAGCAGATTCAGCATCTCTGATAATGTTTTCCTCCTGGGACTGAATGCACTGCAGGAACTAGAGTTTCCAGAGATTGATGTGATGAACAATAATATCCAGTGTGTGGCATGAGAGCGGTCAAAGCAGAATAGTCAGGGTCACTCTGGCCACACCTACTCAAATACCAGCTTTTTTACCTTGAAGCAGTAAAACAATTGATACCACAAGATGAACGATGAGAGACAGTGGGAACGAGCAAAATAGGACAACTGAAGGCTGAAAAATACTAAAAGTACCACCAGTCAAATTACATTTTGTTGATTTTCTAAATGAAAGTGAGTTAATCCTCAATGTGGTCCAGCCACTGCATGAATCCGTTAAATTCCATCAGCAGCACCTGATTTAATTTAACGAAGGACTGATTAGATGAACCAGGTACTGGATGTTAACTGTAAATACTGGACTTCCTCAAGGACAGATAATGGTCAATGTAACACATGTATTGTTTATCTGCTTTTATTCTAATGTTAGTGTTTCTTGAACATTACATTGCAAAAATAGTATCTTGTCAAGTAAAATTATCTTATAGTCAATAAATCTAATATTTCTCCTGTTGGGATTGTTGTAAGCCTAACTTGAGATTATTTACCTTATTTCTAGGCATTTTACTTGTTTTAAGTAGTTTTATTTAGTACAATTATCTCACTATGTTGGCAGATATTTTTGTTTGTTTTAAGAAATGTGCTTGAAATTATCTGCCAGTAAAGTGAGATAATTTTATTAAATAAAACTACTTAAAACAAGTAAAAAATGCCTAGAAATAAGATAAATAATCTCAAATTAAGCTTACAACAATCTCAACTTTACAAAAATCTCAATTTTATTTAATAGAATTACTTAAAACAAGTGAAGTGTCTAGAAATAAGCTAGATAATCATATAATAAGTGCACAACCATCTCAAAATGGGAATATTAAACTAGATTTAAGATCATTTTACTTGACAAGATGCCATTTTTTGCAGTGTTCCCAGATAAACTGCTTTACATACTTTCCCAGATGACTATAAAGTCTGCTATCCTCAGTCATGCACAGCTGTATCTTGTCTAATTTCAGCTCTCTGAAGGAAGACAATGGATTGTACCTGTTTGCCATTATGAGTGACAGAAGACAGGATGGTCCTCAGTGTCTTAAAGCCCATGGCTATGTCCAACAGATGAGCAGCGAAGAAAAAGTTATTGTAGTGGCCCAATATGGACATGGTCATGTACCAGGCAAGGTACAGGAAGGACTGCAAACACACAAACAGAAACAGGGAAAGAGAGACAGATCACAAATAATAGACAATTAAAGTCACATTTCAAACAATCGTTAAACAAAAATGCTAATGTGATAAATAATTTATGAAAGCTAACAGCAACCAATTTGAGTTATGCAAATGACACCATGCGAGCTGATTGATGGTAGCTTTCATTCATTATCCGCATTATTATATTCAGCTGAACTGTTCTGTTGGCAGAGAGGAACAGAATATGGATGTAAAAATGCATCTCAAGGTGGCAATTTGACTGCATCAATTGTGGTATGTTAAAGTCAATTATGATAATATTCAATAAAGTATGCGCTCTTTTTGTTTGACCAAAATAAAATTCACTGGGTATTTTCAATCATTTAAATAAAAAAGCTTGGCGAGTTGTTTTTAGGGCTGTCAGTAAATTAATTGATTAACTAATTAAAATGAACATTCTCAATGAATCGGCTTAGTAAACAGTTCGCAATATGAATCATAAACAGGGCATCTGCAGGTAACTAAAAAGCTGTCCGACAGGCTAAAGTTTCTCCACAAGGAGCTATTATCAGTCAGGTTGCTTTTGTCATCACCACTGAAACAAAGGAAACCCACACCAGCAGGATCTCACTAATGTCTGTGCATTTGCAGTTACAAAATGCAGGTGAAAGTACAATTTACACAACTGTAGCAGTGGCACTCAGACTACTTATGAAGATTTCTGCAATAAACACTGCTGTATACTAACACGTGCTGCCTTGAGAAGCCCATGATATGACCAGCATTAAGATTTCTCAAAATGCAGTACAACTGACTTGAATGCATTATACTGAATTTGCTGACACCTGCAGATACCCTGGTAATGTATATATTTTAAGGTATTCTGCTGGTGTCTCTTAAAGACACACACATCATCTAAACCACTCATCCTTCTGGGTCGCAGTGGGGTGCTGGAGCCTATCCCAGCTGTCAGGTCGCCTGTCCATCACAGGGCAGACAGACAGGCATACACATTCGCAGGGGCAATTTAGCATGTCCATTTGGCCTGACTGCATGTCTTTGGACTGTGAGAGGAAACCGGAGTACCCGGAAGAAACCCACACAGACACGGGGAGAACATGCAAACTCCACACAGGAGGTCCTGGACCCAGGACCCTGGTCGCCCGGCCAGGGAATCGAACCCAAGCCCCGCTTGCTGTGAGGCGACAGCGTTACCCACTGCGCCACTGTGCCGCCCACAACTAATGAATGAACAACACAATTAATGAGTGCAAGTGTAGCGCAAAACGATGCACCTGAATTCATTTGATTTATCAAGACTATAACTTATCATGCAAACTGTGCATAACTCCACTCACTAACTGCTTGCACGTAAGACCTATAGTGGTTTTATATATGAAATGCAGGCGTACACCATAGTTGGAGCACCCCTTGGTCAAATCACATCACCCTTAACAAAGAACTCATATAAATATGGCATTTTTTGCAAACTGCAATGCACAAGTTCTATTTATTTATTATTCATCTGAGTTTAACATATTGGAAAAAAAACAAAACATACATATACAATGTGCCATAACTTTTGCACAGGCCACAGTTTGTTTCATTTTTATTTCAAAATCAGCAAATAAACAGTAATTGTGCTTGAAAACATGCAGCAGTGTTTTCTCTGCCAAGAACTGTTAACTTCTTTTCATTTCAACAAAACATGTAATTTGACTAGTGACACCCAAACTTTTTGCACAAGCCTTTATTTTAAAAGGTTTCCTTTTTTTGTCTTTTTCAGCGAAGTATTCTGGAATCTTTGAAGCGCTTGGCACAGTGTGTTATTGTTCAGTTAAGCTTGTTTGGCCTTGCTTAATCATCAAAATAACTCATAAACTTGCTCATATAATCAGTAGTGACAGCCCTAGTTGTTTTTGTGGTCTGTACACACCTACTGTATAAATAGTTCCTCCAATCACATTTGTATTCAGTGTATTGTTAATAAGAATTTTGAATTGTTCTAAAATAATCAAACTAAGATGAAATTTGAAATTCCATTACGAATTAAATGTTATAGCATCGTCATCAAATCAAATCAAATCACTCTGAGATCAGAGACTTACGCGCTTCATGCAGAACGGCGCAGATTTACTTACGTTATCTGTGAAGACGACTCCCAGCTTCCAGATCTGGTACTTGACGTCCACAGAATTCAACCTGCCAGCAGGAGAGGAAGAAACAGCAGGTGCATGAAACAGTGAACCAGGCAAATAAACAAAAATATATATATATATTTATGTTTATACGGCTCATCAATTTCTTCATTACGACATCACATCCTATTTGTACAATATAAAAATGATTTAAATATACAATCAAGGCAGAAACCCTGAAATGATATTTGGAATATTTTTCAGGCTGTCATAACTGGCTGGCAAGTGCTGACCATTAACTGCTACTGCCCCCTACTGAAAATTGTAAAAAAGAAAACAACAGTCACGTTTAAAATGATGAGGAGGGTGAGGGAGGGTCGGAGATGGTGAGGTTTTATCATCCAGGTGTTAGAGTCGGCGTGCCATGGCCTCGGGGTTTAATCAGGTTAGTTTAATGAGTGTTTGGCACACTGGAAGACTGCCCAGTGGTCTTCACACACACACAGAAGCATCCACTAAAGTGAGAAATTCTCTTCCGCAGACGGTAACTGATATTTACAAAAGGTGTAAACAAATGTACAGCGCTGTGCAAAAGTCAGAGACCACCATTCATTTACTTAATTTTCAATCAAATGGTCATTAAGTACAAGTTAATCATTTTTCAGTAACAAGAAGAAAGCAGAAAACAAATTTAACAGAAAACTACATAAAAGCCTCAACAACTAAATACTCCACTTTCAGGTATTTAGTGTGTCTTTTCGGGAAACCTGCTTTCAGTTTTTCAAAGAGATCTGCAGTGCTATTTCTCCATGCCTACAAAGTTCAGTCTTAGAAGTTTCTGCTTCTCATGATCCAAGTAATCCCAAAAACATTGAGTGATGTTGAGGTCTGGACTGTGGTCAGTCCATTGTTCTGAGAACACCAGCAGCTTCTTTGTTCGACTGTTTTTCAGTCGTCTTCTCACAGTGGAAGGATGGACAGAAACACCTGTGGTTGTTTTCAGATCTGGATCAGCAGCTGGATTTTCCCCTCTCTCTCAGAGATGAAAGCTTTAAGTGTTAAGTGTTTAAATGTTAAGCTGTTTATCTGAGGGGGGCAGTTTTGGTGTCTACCAGGTCTTGCATGGTTGTTAAGAGTCCCATTTTCTCTGTCACTTTTATTCGTTTCGTGAACTCCAACAGTAGAATATAGGAGAAATTAGGCAAGTGGTTTACTGCATATCTAAGCTCCCCAGAAATATTTCCTGAAAAATGAATACCTTGTACTGAAATGCTGTTTTGACTGGGAATAACTGATGCATGGTCTCTGACTTGTGTACAGTACTGTACACTGGTCAGTACGGTTATGAGAAGACACTTTATGTCCAGAAGTATCCAGACACCCATCATAATTAGTGAATTCAGCTGCTTTAAGATGCACGCATTGTGCACAAAGGTGCTCACACAGGTTGTATAATCTCCATAGAATAAGTACTGAACAGTAAAATGGGACACTCTAGAGCAGCCAAAATGAGCCTAAGGTCACCCTGCCCAACACCAAGCATCAGCTAGAAGGGTATCAAGGCCCCCAGCACTGGGCTATACAGCAGTGCAACTGTTTTCTCTTGAGTGATTGAGCTCCATCCAGTACCTTTGGGATGAGTTGGTTGGAGTCTGTGATCCAGAACTGATCATCCAACGTTAGTACCTGACCTCACTAATGCTCCAGTGGCTGAATACAATCAAATTCAATGTTCCAACATCTAGTGTAAAGCCTTCCCAAACGAGTAGAAGCTCTTACTGCATCAAAGGGGGCAAACTCCATATTAATACCCTATATTTCAGAATGGATAAGCAAGTTGTCTACAAACTTGTAGACATACAGTATATTTAAACCTCACTTTTGTTTTATACAATTGGAAAACACTGGCTGCCCTTTACACTATGTGAACATTTCATTAAGAACAGACAAACAGAAATGTTTCACAATTACTTGGAATAAAAATGTGTTAACATACTGTAAGTTACACAAACTTTACTAAGGTTTTTTTTGTTATGGCAGTTATGATATGCGTCCTTACAGACACACAGTCATGCACACTTTTACACTCACACAGCAGCTAGCGAACTGTCTTTCTTCGGTTTCTTCTTCTCATGGGCGTCGCTGAAGTCCAGCGCAGCTTTGTCCATCCCCAGCAGCTCACTGATTCGGTCATGACCGTAAAACTCTCCATATTTATCCATCACCTATATGCACATACACACAATGCTGATCACATCTAAAAAACAATCGACTGTTAGAACACGATGTTTTTGTTATGATCATACATTCATGAGGCCAAAGAAGAAATAAGCAATGAAGAATAATACTAACAACCAGATAACTGTCTCAAACTCCGACTCACCTTCCTCTTTACAAATTTATCCCAGTAGTTGTTTGGGAAAGACCTGAAAACCAGAAGAAAACACCCAACATCAGCAACACCACCAATGCTGAGATGTTAAATAAGTAGCTCAGTGGAAAACTGACACTGCAGGTGACAAACCTTCCTAATAAAAACAAAACAAAACAAAACAAAACAAAACAAAAAAAAAATGTAGCCATAACTTACTAAGGTGTGGGAACAGGATCCTAATGTGACTTAACTCTCAAAACTGATTCTCATTCTCACGCGTTACTGGCCCCCAATCTCGTTTACATGTCTTGATTTGGCCATGTATTATTTTTATTAGTAAGGATGTCACCAGTGGAGTTTCCCCCGGTTTTGGTTTGTGTCACATCACACCTCCAACACTACTGGATAGCTAATCAGCATTCATTTGACATAATAAGTGACCCTTATTAGTCTCCCAACGGGGAAATTTCACCTTCGCATTTAACCCATTCGTGCAGTGAAGCACCACATAAACACTAGTCGATGCACACACTAGGGGGCAGTTGCCCAGAGCGGTGGGCAGCCCTTGTTTTTGTTTATGTGTATTTTTGTTGTTTTTCCTTCTCTGCAGTTAACCGGAAATCCGTTCATGAAGTCTTATGGATACTCAAATATCAAAAATTAAACTCAATGCACATCCTTAATATAAATTAGCATTTAGAAAGCTGCAGAAACAAACTTCAGACAACAAACATGTTATGGCTGATCAACTACACACAGCACAAAACTGATGAAGTTGACAATGGGACTCATTTTCATTCCATACTGCGATGTATTTGTGAGTAAAACACAGTATCACGGAGGATCTCTGAGCTAGCTGAGCATTTTCTCTCCATGACAGTTGGGTGTGGTGGGAAGGAAGCGTGATTTTATTGGTTAGTATTATTTTTCCCCACCTGCTGGTGCTGGTGATGTTATTAAAAAACCTTAAGACCATTTAAAAGGCAGGACGAAAGTATTATATTGTGATATGATGAATGGTGCTTAATATCCTAAAGGACATGAACTAACAAGGTAAAAAAAAAAATCAAGCGTAACTAAAATGAGCTAGTGCTAAAGGTTATGCAGAGCTGACTTCATAAACAGTCTCCCTCCACCTATAGTGCAGAAAGGTAAACACAGATGACACTGGCTAGACAGTGTGGTTGCCTATGGCTGCCCAGTCATTTCATTTGGCATTCAGACAGCAATTATCTTTTTGGGTGTCCAGTGCAACCTGTATTAGGCAGTAACAGGCATTCAGTGCTCTATAATGAACCAGACCGCAATCTCTCACTGACCTGCATTCGCCCGTAATGATGTGCGTGTGGCAATGGATGCTCTCTGTCAGACTCACTGTGTGTTTATGACCAGTCTGTCCCACTGGCCTTTGATGTCATCCTCTGATGGCTGCTCCGTAATATACAACCCGTCAAACTCCAGCTTTCTGGCAACCTCCTTCTCCCTCTTAAAGATCACCAGGGGAACCTGGAAGAGACAGATATTAGTTGTTTATTTACTTTTTAACACTTTTGATGTTAAGCTGTACATCTGTGGCTCTCACAGGAGGGCAAGCGGTGTCTGCTCAGCCCAACAGGCTTGCTAGCCAGCTGCTTGCTTAAATTGAGTGGAAATCTCCAACACGTCCTTCTCATACACTATGAATAAAAGAGGTTCTCAGCTATTAAAAAACATTCATGACAAAATGCTCCAGCAAGAGATTTAAAAAATGCGTGAGCATGTATTTAAATTATTAGTTATCATAATTTATTAGTTTTAATAATAATTATTAATATTTAACATAATTATTAGTGTTAGAAAAGCTTGCGTGCCTAACTATTCCTGAACGTACCTGCCATGCATGGGCAGGAACAATGGGCTCGCCATTGCTCTAGGGGTCTCAAAGGAAGACCAGAGATCAGGGAGGGAAGAAATGTTGCTTTTCAATGAAAAAAAACTACTTTACCAGGTTATTCATTCATTTTCTAAGCCGCTTATCCTCCTGGGTTATGGAGTCTATCCCAGCTGTTACTGGGCAGACCACCAGTCCATCGCAAGGCAGACACACAGATATACACATTCATACATGTATTAGAGGCAATTTAGTATCTCCAATTCAACAGGCTGCATGTCTTTGGATGGTGAGACACCCCAGCAGACAACTTCTTCTTTTCCGAGACTGGTACTAAGCTTGGTCGCCTGGCTGGGGAATCGAACCCAGGCCCTTGTTGCTGTGAGGCACCAGCACTACCCTACGTAACAGATGTTTTCGTGGTTAACTGTAGTCAAGTCATTTCTTACCAATCAAGCTAACATTAAAACTAGCAAACTAGCATTGGTTATACATTACTAGATATCAGTGGTGAGCTGTGACAGAGTTGGCCTTCACCTTCAACCTCTATGATAATGCTAATTTATAATGCCCTATGAGATTCTAGGCGATTCCCATGAACACTTTTTGGCTGTTCTAATTTAAACTTGGACATCTGAAGCTTTTAGAAGACATTCCATGTTTTATCTGAAGCTTGTAACAGACATTAACATGTACTTTACCTTGTAGCAGTTTTACACTGACTTTTTCAGTATAGAGTCCAGAGGCAGAGATGCCGCTGTTACCATTTCTAAGAACTGACTGAAATACACTGGCTAGGCTACACCTCACGTTCACAGTCAGTCACATATTTTGGACTTCCAGAAGGCCTAGAGTGGTAATGGTCCGGCTTATTGTAAACCAAAATGTGATTGGCTGATTCTACCATCACTTCCTTATTATTTTAGTGGCTAATCTATTGACTGATATTGATATACACTCAATAGGTTAACCGGGCATGTAAAGCCCTCAGTCCAGCTCATGAAGGTCTAACCTTTGAGCTTGCTTGACTGTATCTACCTAGATACCACCAAATAAATAAATAAATAAATAAATAAATGATTGCATAATTTTTTTGCTGGTTGTTTCAAGAATTAAACCCTTTAGTTTCTAACAAGCATGAAGATTACATTAAACGAAAAATGAACTGAATTACAGACGTGTTTATTACTTCACAGAAATCATTAGGGCTTCTTTGAAGGCTTAGAAGGCCCTGAAGGTTCTTATACATAGGCTAGGTATTGTGTAAGTATAGACAATTACTTAAATCCAACATAGAGAAGATGTTACTGACATGGAACAACAATTGCAGTGTCACTGGTTGCATCGCACCTTAAGGCAGTAGTACCCGATGATGCAGAAGAAAGAGATGATAGTGTGGAGGATGGCCAGGATGCGCAGTGTCGGCTCCATGTAGCCGCTACTCTCTTCCAGTACGAAGTGCACTGTTACAGGCCGGTCAGCGGGTGAGTCATTCAGAGGGTCCCAACGCAGCCCGCTGTCTGAGGATGCACTGTAAATAACCTGCTTTTCCTCTATCACTGCTGAGGACGTGGACACCTGAGAAAGAGAACAAAGACTGACTGATGTCGAACTTCAAAAAACACCAATTTTGAAAAGCTGACCCAAGTAACATTACAATTAAATGCCCAATTTTTATTTTGTTTGTTATTCATTTGCTAAAAGAATCCTACAAAACAAATGCATACACTACCATTTATGTAGTAATACCAAGCATATACTCAGCATCCACTTAGAAGGTCCACCTACCTTATGGGTCCAAATACAGGTGTTCAATTACAGACTGTAACCCACCTGTTGCTGCACAATGTATCAGCCCCCTTCTACACCATTCATCATCACTTTCTGACCACAGGTCCGCTTTCCGACCGGCTATTATTTGGGTGGTGGATTGTTCTCAGTACAGTAGCGACACTGACATGGTAGTGTGTATATAATATTATAAGATTATTTAAAGCTGCACTATGTAGGTTTAGTGTGTGTACTTTGCTGTGTATCTCTCTGTAAAGCTTAAAACAACCATTTAAAAGTCAGATCACACATCTGTATGTATTAACGTCACACATACTGGCTCAAAAAGAAGATCCAGCTCGATGTTTCAGTCTCAAATACAAAATCAACCTTATACTGATGAACACATGATGAGAATTGTAGATAATTCACTCACATCCTCAGAAGACACCCCCTTCACCAAGTTTTGACTGAGTTCTCTTTGAACACTCTTTCAACACGCTCACAATTGCACATTACAACGTGTCCATTCACACATTGCCTGCAATTACACATTTCCACCAGCGAGGTCTCCAAATCCCCAAAACTTAAATAGTGTAGCTTTAACTTGTTTGTAGAGGGTTTTATTTGTTTAACGTTATTTTATCTAGTGAAATTAACTTATTATTCTATTGGCAGATAATTTCATTTATTTTCAAGCATAATTCAAAATAAATCTGCCAACTGAAAAAGCCAATTTCTCTATATAAAATTACTTACTTAACTTGATATTATATCCTTACAATGATCTCATAATTATAAATACATTAGGATTAGATGTTTTCACTTCCCATGATTTTTGTTGCAGTGCTTCCGACACAGCAGTACTGTTGGGGTTTTTAGACACATCAGTGCCACTGCTAGGTTGAGAGTGGACCACCACCCAAAATGTCCAGGCAAGAACCGCTCTGTGGTCAGAATCTGACCCTGTATGAAAGGCTAGAGGATGGATAACACAAACTGTGCACCAACAGATGAGCTACAGACCATACACCTGCAAGGTGGAGTTTCAAGGTAAGTGGAAGATGAGCATATAATGCATGGCAAGGTTGAAATTTTTAATACAAAATGCAAATGCAACACTATATACAGCTCAAGTCTAGTGAGATGTGGCTTGTGACAAATGCAGATAACCTAAGTCGATAGCCTGTTACATAGCGTACCTTGTAGAACAGCAGGATGAAATTAATTGCAAAGGCCACAAACAAAGCCAACATTCTCATGTTGTAGAAATTCCGTGCAAAATAGTTCTATAATGGGACAGAAGAAAAAACACAATACATCACAGATGTCAGCAATAGAGAAGCAAATAGCAGAGGTTTGGGTAAAACATTCATTAAGGCCAGATTTCCTCTGGAACACTACCATGAATGGCATGGCACAGAAATAACATGGAAATGACTTGAAATGGCAAAACCCTATTAACATGTCAGTGTTCTATTTTAAATGCAGTGCTTTCTATTTTAAAACGGAATATTTTCTTAGTAACCGGATGGTTTTCGACCTTTCATTAAATTTGAATCCATTACCAGCACTGAAATAACACTGCATGGGCACTGACCTCATGTGTGGTCTTGAGGGAAAAACGTAGTGCTTTCTCTGCAAATTCAACTCCTCAGCTAACTGTAATCCCGCAAGCTGAATCAACAGTGCCAGAGGAGGAAAAGCATGATTTTGCTATAAATTCTAGGGCTTGGGTGACCAGTCTGTAAAGTCAATGACTCTAACGCTAAACTGTGACAATGTGCATTGTGGGAAAACGACATTCTATTAATTATGCCCTCTGCAATTGCATTGTCTGAAGACCAACATTTGCAAATGATCAGTTCCTCACTCCAGCACTTCTCCTTCCTCCCAGTTCTAGTGTTGTAAGTTGTGAAACATGTATCACATTGTGGGCTGAGCGTATCATTACACTCCTTTTTATGAATCAATTATAATTCAATATAATTATAAGAATCTAAAATCCAGGCAGTTCACCACCTTCACGTGATGCATCAACGCTACACCCTTACGCTGCGAACATACCACTGGTGATAAAAGCACTGAAGCAGTCTTGCACCGGCTGTGTTTACATGCAAAGATTTTTGCCAATCCGATTGAACACAATCCGATTACAGATTCAGACTGAGGTGTTTATATGCACACTCTATTCAACAATTTGATGGAAAATCTTCGTTTACATGCGCACTACAAGTAATCCGATGCGAAATGACGCGCATGCGTGGAGTAGCGCTTAGAGTAAACGTTACCATGACAGCGAACATCACGTGAGGTCCAGTCCGCGTGAGATGAGTTTCCAGTTGGCGCGCTTGTGTTTTAATTGCTTTAAAATGAGGTCAGACTCAGGAAAACGTGCTTCACATGTCCTTATAAAGGAAGCGGCGAGAGGAAGACGTCGTGTTCTGAGACTCATAAGCTGGACGTCCGTCCCACCGCCATCTTTTAAAGATCAGAGCATAAACTTCGTCTCCTCTGCAGACCAGTTTCTGCTCCGCCATGTTGAACGGTATAAACTTTCGCCATGACGCGACGCACATGCGCAGAACGTACTTAAACTTTCCGATTGGAATGTAATCGGATTCAGGCGTTTACATGGCTATTATTCTTCTATTTAACAGATTATTTAGAGGTTTACCCACCTCATTCAATCGGATAGAAATTGTATTCCGAATGGCCTTAATCGGACTAGTCTATTCCGATAGAGGTGTTTACATGGACGTCTTCTATTCCGATTGAGCTATTAGTCGGATTATTAACGGATTATCAGGCCGCATGTAAACGTGGCTACTGGGAGACAGTTATACTGAGGGGCAAGCAGTGTCAAAGGACACTGGATTTACTGGACAACAGAGCAGGACTGCATGATAAGTCACGTTATCATGATGGGAGTTTCCACGATAAACACATCGATAAACAACGAGGCGACAGAACGGGTCATATTACCTCACATGTGAACTTCCACAGCAGTGTATTAGATTTCTGTGTCAGAAAGGTCTATTAACTGTATAGTGGCTAAATGCTAAGAGGGTTAGCTGAAGCTAGGTCAATGTCGAAGCCGCCGAATCAAAGACCACCTGAAAAACCACCAACAGCTGCCATGGCCTCCCCAACCCCAAATGCTGCAGCGGAGCTAACTTTAAAAGAAGCTGCAAAAGGGGACGCAAGGGGATGCAAGAGACGCTGACAGCAGACCCCCCCCTTCTTACAGCTCGGACCCAGCAGTGGACTTAAACTGATGAACAGATGTGGGCATACTGGGCCCAGAATTGTGCAAGAACATCAGCGTAAACACCAGAAGATGCACTTCTCTAAAACACTCGTCTAAAAGAAACTGTACATATGAAGAGAATGGCTACTGTTTGCACTGTATAAGGGTAGTTTTTTTGTTCAGACTGTTTATACTCTGTGAGTGACCAACCCGACTGGTGAATGCTGTCTTTCGAAACTGGCACTGAAAAATAAACTAAGGTCAACAATGGATCAGAGCAGGCTGAATCACCTGTGACTCGGATGTCGATAGACTCACATTCTTTCACCAAACTAATAAATGACTTCTCTGCAATGAATACAAGAAAGAACAATTCTATAGGTAGGAAGTTTGTTCCTTCTTGTGTATTGAGAGATTTTGTGTATCTGTCATAACTGGCTGCAGGTTGACTGTTTGTGTTGTGTTGAGAAGGTGGATCTCAGCTGCACCTTTATCTACTGTATGGCTGAACTCAAAGCTTGTTGTTTTTTGTTTGGCACACAGATTTGCTGTGTACTGATTTATCTGCTGTATTAATGTACTTGGTTATGTTTCAAGCTTTAGTGTGCGAGTGTGTGCACGTGTACACGTGACTGTCATTGTCGACATTGTGTAGGTCTTCATATTCAAAGTATAGCCTTAATACACCTGATCACCTTAATCCACCACTGCATATTGACCAGGTGTATTCAGACACAGCAGTACTGTAGCTAATTAATAACTATTAACAAACTATATTTGAACTATAAATACATTATTTATAAAGATTAGTGGGGTCAATTGGAAGAAAAAAACACTAGAAAGTTCAATAGCAATTTAGTTCAATAGTTTTTCTTTTGATGTCATTCACACATTTTTGTTTTATGTAATGTTAATGAATAAATATAGCCTACATTGTCTAAGCACTGGTTTATTTTGGCTTCCATTCATTTAACCCTTGTGTGGTGTTGGGGTCTGTGGGATCCATTTTCAGTGTTTACCAAAAAAATTAATTTAACCTCAGATTCTTTGGCCTTTGCTCATTTTCTGTGAAGAACATATAAAATAACACATTTTGCACATTGGGCAGTCATGGGCTGGGGGTTGATCCTCCTCGATCCCCTCAGCCGACAGTACGTGAGTGAGGTGCCCTTGAGCAAGGCACCTCACCCCCAACTGCTCCCCGGGCGCTGTGGATAGGGCTGCCCACCGCTCCGGGCACGTGTGCTCACCGCCCCTAGTGTGTGTCTTCACTAGTGTGTATGAGGTGCTGCACTGCACGGATGGGTTAGTTTGTGGGGGTGAAATTTCCCCATTGTGGGACTAATAAGGGTCTCTTAATCTTAATTTTCAGTGTCTTCACTTCCCACACATTTATATTACACATGTGGTGTTGGGTGAACCCGCAGGGAATAAAAGTGTGGAGGTGCTGTGTCCTTCACTCTGTTCTCCTCCTACATGGCCTGCTGTTAGTGTGTGTGTGTGTCTGAGTGTGCATGTGTTTGTGTGTGTGTGTGTGTGTGAGGGTTGACAACATGGACAGGCTGCTGACTGGCTACAGCTGCTAAAGGAGAACCCTACACTGGCCGGTTGTGATATTTTAAACACCTGGTATTTTTACAGAAATTGTTCTGGCTGTATTGATTTAAAACACAATAATGTGGTGGGTCCAGCAGACCACTGAGTAACAAACACATCAACACCACACAAGGGTTAAAAATGGACCCTGCGTCACTGATGGATTTTATCATCAGATGTGTGTATGCAGGGTTAGCTGAGATGTTACTCTTCTAGAGGTTACATTTCACTTCACACATCACTCTCTTACTAGCAGCTTGCGCTGGTAAGCGATGATTTTCTTCCAGAAGGCAGACTCCTGGAGATCAGGCTCGTCCGATTTGGACGAGTGGTGCTGCCGAGACTTCCGTTTTTGGAGCACTTCTTTCTGCATCTCCTTCTTCTCCCCATCCTCTCCTCTGTGGGACACACAAAGATTCATAGAGATGAAAGCAGAAATGAAAAAAGTCCCCTGTGGCACCTTCAGGTCAGTTGTAGACGTTTTGTTGCACTGTGTATTCAACCAGGAGTCAGACTAGAGGAGAAACAGTAAAGTAAGTGGTCAGGGAACTTGTTTCTAAAAGTCCTTTATATGAGATATTCCACAAACCCAAATGTGAGACTGAGAACTAGACCCCCTTCATGTGTTTGACTCCCAGGAATTTAGAAGTCAGGACAACTTGACTACAACATCAAAGCTGCAAATTAAAAAAACAACATACTCGGCTTTCTCAGGAATGGACTTGGTCTCCTCCGTCCCTTCTTTCTCATCGGTAGATGAAGACGAACTCTTTGTCTGGAATACAAAAATAACAGACGTGGTGATTTCACAGCACACATCACCAGTACCTTCTCGAACATATAAACAGTATATAACATACTGTACCAGTCAAAAGTTTTGGCACAGCTACTCACTGAAGGGTTTATGTTTATTCACTATATCCCACATTGCAGACTATGACTAGGTTGACCAATATGAATATTTTGTGACTGATACGGTACTGATTTTAAGGGGGCTAAAGCTCAGCGGTTGTTAGCTCTCTATTGCAAAATACACAGCAAAAACTAACAACCTTAATAATGTAGCACTGTGGACACTGAGTTACCTATAATTCTTTGTTCCTTTCTTTGAAAATATAAATGTATATATGTAAATGATAGAAACCAAATGGATAATGAAAAAAAAAAAAAAAATTATTCATTTATTCATTTTTTTGTTATTCATCAGTTATATATTTAATATTCTATATTTTTTTTATTTATTTAGTTTGTTCGTTCATTATTCTTCTAACCAGATGCATCTGATATTTCAATTTTTCCAACTGTATATCTTTGTTAAACCCAATACACAAAGCTTGGGAAAAAAAAGGAGGGTGACATTAACCCTCTGGGATCTAAGAGCATTTTCTCAATTTTTTGCAAATCTTCTTCATTAATTAAAATAAAGGCACTCGTCTGTAACATGATACCCGTATGTTTCATATCAAAATGCTCCGTTATTTGTTGCTACTTTCCAAAACTGCTGCAGCAACTTCAGTGGTTGTAAACGCCATTTCGAACTTGTTTTCAATGTCGACTGAATGAAGAATAAAGAGTTTCCGATGTGAAGGGTCAGTCCTGAGTGATTTCCGGAGCGTCCCATTGGTCAGTTTCACACAAAATATAGACGGACACACAAATCCCCCAATTACACACGGTGAGTGGCAGATGACGTGTTTCTCAATCCCTCTTTATAGCGCCATAACTCCGGATGTGAGTTGTGATAACAGGGAATGGAAACTCTACAGATTCAGGAAATGTTTGAAAAATGTTTTCTACGCTGTATTACTGCATAGATAAACACATATAGAGACATCGAATTTGACACCCGGGCGCCTTTGTGGACCCCAGACAGTTGAAGATAAAGAAATCATCAATTTTGTTTTGGAAATAAATATATACATAGGAATTAACATCAGTGTTTAACTTTGTCTTTAAAACAAATGTCAAGAATTCAAGCACAAGCCTTCAGAAGAAAAAGCCCCTTATGAACAGTGTATATTCAGTTAGGTGTTGACAGGTACTATCAACAGGTGTTCCATTTTAGCACAGACCAGGGTTACACTACAGTCTTCTGATGGCTGTTCCACCATCAATATTTTGTAGTAGTGTTTTTAAAATGGGAGTACTTTTCTAGTAACTGAATGAGAAAGAGTTTGACACTTATATAAAAAAAAACACTGTATGCATACAGTAAAATATAGTATAGTTATAGTATATGTAAGTAAACTATAATACATAGTATATAGTATATATATAATATAGTATAGTATAAGTATAATCCCACTAAATGAGTCTGGACTGGGGTTTGGATATGGTGTTCATACGTCTGCTGTAAACCGAAGTCAACAAAAGGCTTTCTTACTTAAAATTAGCTACATATGTTATGGCACATTGTGCGGCTCTGTTACCTGGTGTCTCCTGCGGAGTTCAGGTGAGGGCGTAGGGGGTGCTGGCACTGGTGTATTGAGCAGCTCCGTCAGGCTGGCATTGGGGTTGTGGGGCATTAGTTTATACTGCCCGCCCTCCCGTCTCAGATCCAGCCCAAATATATCCGACAGCAGGTCAGTGTCGTCCGTGGCCACTGCGAGGTCTGCCAGATCTTCCTCAGGTGAGGTTTTGTCCGTTGGTTTCCTTTCTGCCTCCTCACTCTCACCTCGGACCTCGTCCTGCGTCGGGTCCGGCATGTTAGCCAGCAGTTCTGACACCTTCATTGTCTTAGCGCCCTCCACCAGGCTGCCGCCCAAGAAGCTGTTATAGACGATGCGGAAGAAGCCCCGGGCCACGCTAAAGGCGAAATGGAGCAAACCCATGAGTACACTCCAGTAGAAGGAGGCCAGCGTGGTCACCATGTCCTTCACCGTCATCTTCTTGGCCTTTTTCAGCTGCTTCTTCAGGCTCTTCATGGACAGCACCTTGAATTATATTAGATTACATTACATTAGATTATCTTAATTTAAATTAGGGCAATCTGTCTTAAATGGACTGGCCTTTATGTACTGTGTTTTACCAAAAAGTATCATTGACATAATGAAAAGAACAAGGCCAGAACACTGTAATGCATCTAGCATTTTGCCCAAACACCTATTCTGATATGTCATATGAATAAAGCACTTAGGCATCTACATCTCATTGTAATATTTTGTAGCCACCCCTTATGGCCTCCCCTTTAAAAGGAATTGTTCTGGGAGAAAATTCATTTGCACTGTTTTTCTCCACACCCCCCCAATGCAGTCGATCAGCCAAGACAAGTCTGGTGTCTGAAGTTTCCTCCTTTAGTTTTACACTGGAGCGACAAATCTAATGTCACTGACAAGTAATGGAATCTTACACCCCCTCATGCTAACTCCAGGCCTAAATCATCGTACACTCGAGTTGTTAAGTAAAGCAAAAACGGATATAAGTACAATGCACTGCTAAAAACAAGACAAGCGGCATCTGGAATTCAGAATTTTGTGCATACTTTTGTCATTTTGTACATTTTTATAGACAGCAGTGTCAGAAAACACATAAGCAAGTCTATTAGAGACGACTTAACAACGTCACACGGTTTGAGGCAACTTTGTAGTGATTCAGACATGCAGTTAGCTATATTAGCCTTGTAGGTCCTGTGCAAAGTTAAAGGTCTTCAGATACCAAACAAGGCTTGATAAGTACTGATTTCCCATTAAGGCAGAGATGTGACAATACCACAATTTTGAGGTCAATGTCGATTTTACCAGCGAAAACTGCACAATTCTCGATACTTGACAATACAACAAAACCAGAAATTCCTTTCGGCAGACAATCCTTTACAAAAAAACTGAACAATAAAAAACAATTAGTACAATGACATGCAGCCTTCAAATACTCAACAATAGTAAACATCAGCCCTTATTTTTCACATTATTATTCAGATAAATATTACTGTTTTAGTAACACACTATATATATATATATATATATATATATATATATATATATATATATATGTGTGTGTGTGTGTGTGTAAATATATGTATTTAAATATATATATATATGTGTGTGTGTGTGTGTGTGTGTTATTTTGTTTTCCTCACATCTATCTGAGCTAACGAGGTACTAAACCATATCAATACTGTATACTAACAATTTCAAAGATAGGTACAGAGCATCATGTCTTTTTCTGAATAACAACAATTTTAATGCTAGTTCTCAATTAATCATTAGACTGAACTGAATGAGACCTACTTGAGTTCCTTCACCTAGGAATTCTGGTCTTTACGGTGTGTAGCTTAATTTGACAAGTTACCTCCTTTACTTCCAGTTAGACATGATGGATGAAGTTTCAGACCCTTATCACTAGTCTTGGAAGTAAAGTATTTCAATATCTTACATCTGATTAGAGTTACCAGTCCTATTGCTGCCAAAGCACTTTCAGATGGCACTGTCGTTTTTTTTTTGTTTTTTTTGTAGTGTTTTTGCATCGACCTGCCCCCAAGTACCTGCTCGTCTGACATCACTATTTAGGCAAAGGGGGAAATTTTGTAAATTAGATTTTTCAACAAACTATTCATTTAAAAACATCTATGCTGATAGTGAGCTTAATGAAAAGCACCTTCATCAGGAGCATGACGTTGTAGCGGAGGGCCAGCAGAGCTGTGCGTACAGTAGTAACCGAAAAGAAGCCCATCTCAGGGCTCTCGTCCTCGGGTTTCTCCCTCTCGCTCTCATCTTTGCTGGCTGAGCGCTCTCCGGCGTCGGACATCTGTGCGGCCAGCTGCATCTCAAAGATGGTGTCCTCGCAGAAATTAACAAACAGTTCCATCTTCTCCTTCTCGCCGCCTTCGTTGACCACATCGAAGATGAACTGGCGTTTGGACTCCTTCACTTGTGGTTTTTCCCACTGTGTGCGGCTGGACTCACTGATCTCGAAGTAGACCCGCTCGATCCGCTTGGCGCTGCCCATGATCTCTATGCGGCCCAGGTAGGGCTGGAAGTAGTTGAGCACGCTTTCCGCCAGCTCCAGGAACGTCTGCAGTCGCGAGTCATGAGGCATGTGTTCCGACAGGTTGGTCAGGAGGACAGCCACGTTGAAACCAATGTCTTTGGCCGGCTCGTGGAAGCGCTCAACGAACTCCTCATAGTCCAACAGCTCGTTCTCATCCGTCTCGGCGCAAGAGAGGAGGAATTCCGTCTCGGACTGCGTGTAGTGCTTGTGGCTCTCCATGGCTTTGTGAAAGTCTCTCTTGGAGATGACCCCCTTCCCATCTGGGTCATACTCTTTGAAGGCATCTGATGATGTAAGGTCTTTCAGTTTGAGGAACATGTCAAAGAACTTGAGGATCATCTCCACGTTGTTGGAAGATTCCACCAGCATGTCCACCATCTGCTTTCCAATCGTGCCATTCACGACGTTTCCTGAGAGGAGAAGAACGTATTTCTTGTGATCTTTAAGCATGTTATCATTTCTTTATAATAACTGTACAAATGTCCATAGACCAAGTTTTCTTTTTGTTTTTTATGGCATAGAGCTTGAAATATTTGTCCAAACTAGATGACCTTTTAGGGAAAAGCATACGGTGCATCGTATCGTTTTGAAATTGATTCACGTAACTGTTGTTGCATGGGAATTATGTTTCAGGCAACTCACAACATGGAACAAGTGGCATAAAAGCTTCACTGTAAAGTTTCACTGTAAAGCCAGCCTGTTTCTATTTAGTTTATTCTTCTTTACTTTATTCTTTTTTCATTACCTTACAACCGTTTTTAGGGAGGCATGCTGAAGTCACCCATTTAGTACCAAGATCCACGAGACCTCATCAGCAAATGGATGAGCAAAAAACAAAATGCACTGTGGAAAGATATCCAGACTAAAAACCTTTGGCTTAAGGTTTTTCTTGCTGAATAAATTTGAACTTGATTCTGGACAGCTTGTTAATTGAATTTAGAAATTTTCTTAAAAATCTTCTTAATTGAAAGTCCAAAATATAAAAATTCCTCAAAATAGTAACTTTACAGGGGAAGTCCAAAAGTTTTATGTAAGTTAATGTAAAGACATTTTTTTTTTCCAAGTGATTATGGAGTATTATTATCAGTCCATTAATCATGAAATTTTCACAGTGTAAAGGACAGCTGCTGTGCTAACGTTAGGTAGAAAAATGAAAAATACAAAAAAGAAAAAAGACTTGAGAAATTGAGATAGGCTTTTGTGGACAGTAATGATATATTATTTTATATTATTGTTTTAAATTTTATTTGTCTATGATCTAACAATGGCTACTAACCGACACTATCCTGCCAGATTTTATTCAGCACTTCGGGTGATGATGGGCTGGTTACGATAATTTTCGGCCTAAAATCTTAATGTCAGGGTCAGACAGAATTTGGCTTGATAATGTGGTTCGGAATGGGTCAAACTCAGACAGAAAATTAGGCTGCATTCAGTATGGACCAAAATTTCAAGCCTGATTAGAGCTCTAGTAAACCCCAGTGGACAAATTTGCTAGTTGCCAAAAACCTGGTAGTCCCACTTTTTTAAGCAAGTAATATTTTTGATGTTCTTTTGTTGACGGAAACTATAATATATGCCTTAAACTAAATTCTACGGCTCAAGCCACACTCACCCTCTAACATAGACAGCAGCATTACGACCATGTCCTTCTGGAGATCCATGAGCTCTTTCAGCAGGTCAATCTGACTCGAATCCTGAAAAACAGAAACATCAGTCGCCATGAAGAACACAATGGCTTCAGCACTGTTCTTTGTGATTCACCTTCAGGCATCATCTGGACTGATGTGAGCTTGTTTCTTTGAAGGAAGTATTGTTTTAGCCTTTTGAATTGACAACTGATCCAGGATGAGACGTTTCCTTTCATATAATGAACATAATCAGAGAACCGAGATCAGAACTCAGAGGCAATACTATGCATCCAACACTAAAAACTGTGAACTACCCACTTTTCAGTATCAGGGATAATGTCTTATGGTATGGATAACGGATAGGTATGGATAAACACATGCTGGAAATCACTTGGCTAGTGACAGTTATTCCAGACAAAATGATTTATGCATCATTAGACACAGTTTAGTCTGATTTGCACAGTAATCAGCTCCCTACCTGGGACAGCTTCATCTGCATGTGAGCAAAAACATGGAGGAAACCAACCACAGCGTCCCACAGGCGGCTGTGTGCCAGGCTCTGCTGGTTCCCGGTGCAAGGACCCTGTGCCAAAACATGACAAGAAGTTTGTAACCATTCCATGGTCCAACCAGCACGAGAGCCACTAATGAATAGAGCCTTAGCTACAAACTGAAAATGAGGTAGAATGAGAAGGAGCCACATCCATTTGATGTCCCTGAGAAGGGAGTTAAAGTGGTTTCATGTTAACAAACTGCTCGGCAGTGGCCACCAAAAAGTATCAGTGCCACAAGTTCATTGTGCTAGAAAATAAAAGTTTGTTTTTATTGTTCACTGTAAGTCATACTGTCCTCTCAACCTCACTGACAAGTCTGCATGACCTTAATGAAGTCCTGGGTGCTGTTTGAATGGGTGGAGTTTTCGGGATTTTTACAGAAACAATTTTGGCTACTTGGGTGACTGTTAGGTTCTAGAGTTTGTTAGCAACATTAGTCTTAAAGCTCCAGTTCTAATAAATAACTAAATACTTTTTTGGAGCACTTTATATACATGAATCAAACAAGCATGGCTAAAACAAAAGTATAGAATTACCTGAATATATTCCGTAAGAGTATTGAAGACCTGTTTAGCCACGTTGATGGCCTTGGAGAAATTACGCTGACCCTGCTCGTCAATCACATCCTTCCCAGAATAGTACCAGTAGAAATCACTAATAGACTCCTAGAGTGATTAAAGACCACAATTAAGGTAGTTGTGATGGTAACAATGGCCATTCAACACAGCTAAGAATCAGTTCAAATGAATAGGAATTGAACATGATCTTGTTAGCAGATCTAGAACTTCTCCTAGAATACTCAGTACCTCACCTGTACTCTTAGAAGGTAGTCCACAGTGGAGATGATGATGTTAACTGTTGTGTTGTTTCCTGTCTGTGTTCTCAGATAGTTCTGGAAATCTGTCGCATGACACAGATATTGGGAAAATAATTACCAAAGCCCAGAGTGACCTCCAAGCAATCAGTGTGAATAACTGAAGAGGTCACTGAACAGGTGAGAAAATGTTCCACATGTTTCTACAGTAGACCTTTTCTTCACGCTGTAAATGTGGTGCATTCAGAGAGTCGTTACAAACATATGAATTTCTGAGTTAACCAGAAGGGAAAAAGTGGTAAACTTTACGTTTAACGCTTTACATGCTGTGCCGGACTGCCGAGTACAGTTGGTGTCACCCCTGGTCAAAGTATGTTTTGTGAAAACAAGTTAACACATCCTCTACAGAGAACACACTTAAATATGGATTTTTTTTTCTGTAAATTTCAGTGCACGATATATTTGGAAAAATAAAACCTAAAATATAAAATGTGCTATAACTTTTGCACAAGCCAGATTTTATTTTTTCCCATTACGTTAAATCCAGCAAATAAACAGTAACTATGAATTAAAAGTGCAGTGTTTACAGAGCGTTCTTTGTAAGGTGTAAGGGCCCAGCCTGCGCCGAAGGCCACCAGCCGAGGGCGATGGCGGCGAGGTGCCATAAGTTTTAGGGAACTCCAATTCCCAGAAGCCCTCGGGATGATTAGGCCCAACCTGGCACACCTGTGGACTCCTCTACTTAAGGCTGTGGCAGCAGCCCTTTGTCACACCTTTGCAGAGGGACGACCGGTACGGTACGCAGCCCAGGTGGGTATTTAAACAAAAAGGAAAGAAAAAAAAAGGAAGGAGGGCTGAAAAAAACAAAAGAGAGAAATTGCCCCAAAACTACTTAAAAACCAAAAGAAGGCTCGAGCTACAAACGGCTCCAAGCCATACAAAAGGTGTTTGCTCCACTAAGAGCAAACAAGTGAAACATAAAGTTCCTCTTATAATTACAGAAGAGGTGTTTTTTGTTTTCTGATTATCTTTTATTTTACTTTTCTAGTTTAGCCTTTGTTTGAGCTCACTGCTCTCAGCGTCCCCTCTGTTTGCCTTTTTCCTGACTTTTTTATTTCCCATTCGTTGAAGTGTTTTTCGCCTATCGCCTGTGCTTTCCGGTGGTGCAGCGGGAAGTCCTTGGACCACCAATCAGTGTGTCGGCGGTTTGAGCCTGGCTCTGGGTCACCTCAACTCTAACGTGCACAATCACCAAATTCACACTCCATCGCCTCTATAAATTAATTTAACACACTTTCTCACAGGTTTTCCTCTCTGCACTTGGGTCCGCCTCCCTGCCATCCCGTAACAAAGGGATGTGGTCACCAGGTCTCTAATAACACGGATACAGCAGACGAGGCTGACGCTGGTAAATCCCAGAAAATACGTATATTATTCATGTGATAAACTTAATATTTGCAAAGTAAACCTGAATGCAAACTGATAGTTACGGTAGTTAGATACTAAAACTAAAATAACATTTATACAGTCAATGCTCTGTGATTCAAAATATCATCATGCTAGTAGTATGCTAACAGGCTGTATGTTAAATCCTAGCAATTTAGACGCATTCCACCCACGTGTTACGTACAAACTTGTGTGTGAGTCAACACCTCTCCCAAACCATTAAGTCACAGACAACGTAACGTTCAGGGTTATCACAGTTGAGTAAAACTATCACTTAAACGAAAACTACCAATGAAAAAATGTGCTTATTAACTGTAATGAAAATAAAAACAATGTCCACTAAACTAAAAATAAAATAAACAATATCTACTACACTTAAAATGCTCCCTTAAGAGTAACTGAAACTAAACTGAAGACTATAACAACCATGGTAACGTTAGTCCGAGAGCAGTGTGGCGCTCCTCACCTGAGTTGTGTCCTTCGCAGAGCAGCTGCAGGAAGCGGAACAGGTCGCACGTGAACTCGTCGTCCTGCATGACCTTCTCGCCTGCACGGCCAGACCAGAGCACAGGGGCGTTAGGGCCACAGCGGAAAACCAACGGCACACAGCTACAGAGTCTGAGAGAGGGTCATGGGTCGAGCACAGCCCTCAGACAACTCTCACACTCACACGCACAGATGGGACACACTACTGGCTATCAGAGTATGTAAAAACATGAGCAATGTGGGGAGAGATAGCAGCATTTTATTCCTGTGCCTCTCAGATAGTTCAGATGATGTGTTCCATTTAGCATCTGCATAAATATCTCAGAAACAACTGCTGAGACAGCTGATCTGAGCCAGACCGACCTTCTTGATGACTGAACTTACCACGTCACAACCAAAAGGTGCAGTAGAGCTGCTCTCACACTACTCCAGTTAGCACAAGGTATAGATGCTCTGTGTGTATATTTGAGGGAGGGTTTGTGTGAATATTACAGCATTTATAATCAGCAAGCAGGAGTGGATAAACGCTAAACTTCAGTGAGCACCCAACTACATAATAGTGCAAAGACGGAAAACAAAGCCTATAATTTCAGTCCATAAAGCAATTTGATTGGCCATCATAGGTCACGACTGCATCTTCGTTAAAGCTGGTAGTTGATAAGCTATAACGTTAAATGGAAAACTCTGCATAGAGCTCATTCTTTTTTTAGGAACCGTGTTTATGTTCTTCTAGAAATGAATTATGCTATGTATTCTGTTTCCACATCTAGATTCTCTGCACAAGCTGCAGTTTTCCACATACCAGCAGTGGCAAAGCACTGCAAAGTGAAACATTTCTCCAATCCAGTGTTTTTACAAATGAAAACTGTCACCACAGTATCTTGCTCCTAGTAGCACGGCGCTCACAGAAAAACAACTGCATGTTACAGGTATAAAAGGCTAGCATACGCAAAATAACATACGCCCCTAAGCATAGTGTGGATTTAATATGGTTTCTTTGGTTCTTTTCGCATTTGCTGAATGGATTTGGTGGAAGGAGACGGAGGACGTCATGGCGGACCAGGAGAATGCTTAAATAGAATAGAACAGAATGGTTTGCAGCTCTTTTCTGTGATAATGAGATACATTAACTCCAAAACAAGGTACATTTTCAAAAGTTATGAGGTACATAAACAGAATTTGCATGTATTTATCCTCCACTACATTCCTGCTTAAGATATTTTATATTAATTACGGTAATTTTAAAAGGCATTTTGAAAAAAGTTGTTTTATCATCAAAGGGCATTTTTTCAAAAAATCCACTCTTGCTATCTGGTGGCAAGAGTGGACTTCCACAGTAAATCATGTGTCGTAAGTTTGCATTTATATTTATATTTACATTTATATTTGCCTTTATATTTATATTTATAGTATATAGGTAGCGCTAACACAGACAAAACAGAAAAATATCTGTAGATATCAAAAATATCAAAGTTACGTTCAAATACAGCATTTTTATGAGCATCTGAGTCCAGCTCAGGTCGATATTTTATAGCCAGCATAAATAAGCAACATGTTTGATCTCTGTTTGATTAGGTCTGCAAGCTGTAGAGGCATTACAGGAAAAAAATGCTGCATTAACCATGCAGGGTTTTCATGGTTAATGAATATGGGAGCACCGTCCAAAGAGTGATTCTGAAATGAGTTCAATTACAATACATAGTTCTGATAATCATGAGCACAGGTCTACCTAATTACACAAAAGCTATACATAAGTTACATCAAATTAGCTTGAAAGTGCAGTTTCAGTCTATATATTACTCGCCTTGTATGAGCAACACTGGCTTTTTACTTTTCTCATCCCAAAGAGCCATTTGAGGGGTAACCATAATGTTTATATGAAATTGTGCACTGATAAATACGTAAATGTGCACATTTTTACTCCTGACGACTGAAGAATGAGATGCACTTTCAGGCTTATTTTTCATACGATGATAAACCAGAACAGAAGCCTTACAAACTCATTGATTTACACACTGCAATTTCACAGCATCTCTGCAGCTGCCTCATACTTAACATGCAACAGAACATACAACTCTAACGCATTTTATTAACCTAAGCAATACTACCGTCTTAAAGGAGAATTCCACTGATTTTTCAAAATTTCTGCATAATTCAGTTGTGAGAAACAAAGTCGGAGTGGTCTGAAATGGCTCACAGTAGAGAAACCTAACGACTCTGATTTCTTTACAGTGGTGGTGATAGGAACCAGGTGTCACAATGGTCTGCAACACAAATGTAGCCATATATTTATTATCCAAAATCACCAGTGAACCTACACCTGAGTTGATATATGTAATTTTGATGATCGCTAAAATAGTGTTAAATTTAAAAATAAGTTTTCTTTGGGGACTATTTTGCCTTATGACGCCCTGCATGTACCTTTCCATCATAAATGGATTTAGACGCATTGAGTTTTAGGCCAAAATCTGATCTAGAAACTATTATAAAACAATATCTCAGGCTTCAGGCAGTGTATTCATACAATAGCTTTCTGAGAGAGAGCTTTTAGAGACAAACTCTTCAGACGTCTGGTTCCTATCACCACCACTGGGAACATTTCTGACTCGGCAAGTTTCTCCATACACTGTTCGCATCTTAACGACTGAACTATGCAGAAATTTGAAAATATCAGTGCAATTCGCCTCTAATTACAATGCAACTATGTTAATACACTTTTAAGACAAAGTGAATATCGCATAATCCTGGTAATAAAAAAGAAAAAAAGATCTGTGGATAAAACATTTGATTTTGGTTAGACTTCCTCTGGTCTATCATTCTCGTCACCAGTTAAAATGTACAACCGCACTTCTAAAAGTGTGTCTGAAGATGGAACCACTAAACAGAAACATGGATGGAAGTTCAAAAAACACAACACTGATCTTCGGATAAAAGTGTTATCAAGAAACAAAGCAACAGATTCAAACCAAACAGGTGTCACTCCAGAAAAAAAAGGAAACAAATGTGGAGAAAAAAATAAAAAAAACACTTCCAACCTAGTAAACAAACAAACAAACAAACAAACAAACAAACTAAAGTAACGGCGAGAACAACGGTGAGTACGTCACGGAACACAGACTGAACAGCCTGGAGCAGGAAGAGGAGGAAGAGCAGGAGGAAGAGCAGAAGGAAGGGGGTTTTGGGGTGTGGGTGAGGGGGTGGGGTGGACGAGGGCTATGGAGTGACCCTTCACTCGGACACATCGGTGCAGCCAAGTAAGCCACGAGTCCAAAGAGACGCAGTACAGAGAGATTACAGAGAGGAAAGTACACCACACAGACGCTCTCCACTAAAAACAACCAGCCACTGCGGCAAGAGACCAGGGACAATACGGGGACATGACGGAACAGGGACAGGATTCGGGGGAAGTGGAGGGGAGGGGGGGCTTCAAAACACCTAACTGCTCTTACATCTAGCGTGCCAGAAACTGTGCAAATCCTGAGAGGGAGGCAAAAACAAGTGTGTGATTGGCTACAGGTCTGCGGCAGGGCAGTAGTCTAAGAGAAACATGGGAGAACAGGTGCTATGGAGCTCCGTGAGGGCCTGTGAGGGGCACTAAAGGGGCCGGAGCAAGGAGGGGCGAGTTACAGGAGGTCGCGTGTGGGTGTCGGGATGGGGCCGGTTACGTAATGTAACAGGGCTCAGGACCTGAACAGAGTAGACACAAAGCTAAAATCACAGCAAAATGGCAGCAGAAGTGCATAATTACCACGCTCATGGGTGATGACTGAGGAGGGGGAAGACAGTACATGAACCCAAAAGAAGAAAAAAGAAAAAAGGAAAGAAAATAGTGAGAGGTCAAACAGATTACAAGGTCAAACTTTGATTTTTTTTTTTTTTGAGTGGGAAAAGATGAACTTGGATTCAATCATCAGCATTCCAGAAAGTAATGAATCAATCTGAACCTGCCATGAAATCACTGCACTGTAAGTGCTAAATGTAGATTCTGAAGGAATTCCGCCTGGGAAAAACGTTAAGTTGGAATAAGCACAATAAATGCCATTAGACTTATCTTTGCTTGCAGTTGTTCATTTAGACAAAATAAATAAATAGATAAATAAATAAATAAATAAAACTTCGGAAGTCTATTAGCATAATTAAAGACAACACAAGTAATTGTACATTTGATATTATATCTTTAAAAAATCTCACAATCATATCTTTAAAAATGTATAATCTTGACTGTTTACAGTACTGTGCAAAAGCAAAACAATTAAAGTCAAGATGGCTGTTAAGTACAAGTTAGTCATTTTTCAGGAGATATTTCTGAGGAAAAACTGAAATTTAAAAAAAATGCTTGAAAGATATGGAAAAAATGGAAAACCTAACAACCACATACAAGACTTGGTAGCCCACCAAAACTGTCCCCATCAGATAAACAGCACTTAAAAAGCCCTCACTAAAAAAGGAGATAGACCCGTCAAACAAAGAAGCTGCTGGTGCTGTCAGAATAATGGCCTGACCATCCCAGAGTCCAGACGTTAACTTCACTGGATGCGTTTGTGAAAACCAACGTCTAAGACAGAACTTTGGAAATAAATATCTCTGCAGGTTTCTTTTGAAAAACTCAAAGCAAGTCTCTGATGCTTTCATGAAAGCTCTAATATATATATAAGTTTAATTGTTGAAGCCACTGTGTTAAATGTAATCTTCCTGGTACAGAAAAATGAACAACTTGTACTTAATGGCCACAAGGACTGGTGTGGAGCAGGGTGCGTAGTCGAGCGTCACATGCAAGACGGAGAGCCAGTCACGCCGAACCACCAGGCTAAATAACTGATGAGATTCACCTGTGTGTTGTTTCTGCCAGCCTACTAATAGCCCTGTCTTCTCTCAGTAGGTGGCAGAGCCCAGAGAGAGAAGATCAGTGGAGACACAGAAGAAAGAAAAGACCCTTTCATTGTGTAAGCTGGCTAAAAAGCCGAGTGATTCGTGTTGTTGTTGGAATAAAAAAGAAAACTCGGTCTCCACACTCTGCTCCCTGTGTCCTCACTCCTCCCAGCCTCCCAAAAATCATCAAAATTGGACATTAAATAAATAAAGGTGCTCTCTGACTTTTGCACAGCACTATGTATTTAGAAGGATCTTTTGACTATTTACATATAAAACAATGATACACTTGATCAATGACTTGATGACTAATAATCATCATCACTGTGAAAGCTTCATATTTTAATTATTAAGCCATTACCAACCAGAATTACTCAGCAGGAGGCAGTTAGAGCAGATCACTGATTTGATTCAAGTGCATCATTCTGCAGACACCACTATTGTTATTTTACCGCACAATAGTGGTTATTATACCACTACGGTTCTAAAAAGTCATTATGGAGTTAAAGAATGCAGCAGGAACGTAGCTGACTGAATCCAAAAGAAAGAGCAAAGGATTTTTTGAGCAATAAAAGACAGCACAAGCCTCTGATTTAATAGAAGGGTATTATGACAAAAAAGAAGGGCACAAAATCATGGGAAAAGAAACAAACTGCAACAATAGGAAAACAACCTGTACTTCATTTTCATGTTGAAATGAAGAATAAAACAAAATCGGAACTATAATATAACTCGTAAGACAGCAATGAGACAAAGAGGTTTAAAAACATGGGCAAAAAATCTGGTCAAACTGAGGACAAGACAAATTTTCCTTAAAAACAAGTCTAAGTCTTAAAAATCGTTCTGCAGTGACGATCAGTTAGTAGCAAAGACAACAACTGCCAAAAAAGAAAACGTTCGGAAATGTTACCTTCTTTTTCAGCATTTATTGACAAAGATGGAAATCAGTTTTTTTTGTCATGGTACCCTTAGTGCACACTACATCAACACCTTTCAAAAGTTCAGAAACAGCTGGAATGAAGTATCGTCTTAGATCATCATCTATCGAATTAAGCTGCAAAGTACTAATGATGACAAATATGAAAAGACAAGAACACAATCATTTGATCAAACAGTTGTATGTACACTCAAACACGTACATATAATAAGAAAATAAAACAAAACATGTTATTAAAGACATAACTGACATGTACATTGGAAATCATGAATGTGGATCATAAGACCACAGCTGAATCGTATTCAAATCAACATTACACAACATTAACAAAAAAACCAGATGTGAAAAATGGATAAATGTATGATGTTTAGATGGAGTAAACACTGGGTGTGTATTGAGAATAGTGGCCAACCTACAAAACTAAGTTAGAAAAATATGATTTGGAATATGTAATTACTGCTATGACAATAATATATAGAACATAACAACATCGGAAAAGGCTGAACTTCTCGCATTTTCCTTATACGGTAAACATACCTGATCCTTCTTCCGTCACCATCCCCAGACCTTCAGCTTTATTCTGCCTCTCAAAAGCATTCAGGTCTAGAACACTGTTATAAGCACAACAAACAAACAAAACACAGACAGACAGACAGAGACTTGCTGGTGACAACATGCCAGTGTCCAGATTGTTTTACAGGTGGCTAATTCGTTTTAAAGCGGTTACTTAAAAGTATTTCCAAACTTTTACTTATCTGGTTTTATTTCACATAAAGCCTTAGGGAAGCCCTGCTGATAGAACCAGCCACTACTGTCTTACCTGCAGGACTGCATAAGTCCCGCCAGGCTCTGAAAGAATCCCACATCCTTCTTATCCTTCAGGTAGTCCAGCATTTTCTACCAGTGGATAAAAATAACAAAGATTACAGAAATAATACGAGCACTGTGTTATTAAAGCCCCAACCAGGAACAGCTAAAACAGCAGCAAAGCTGCCCCAGGAATATTAGTTTTCAAAGGAATGCACAGTAAATGTATGTATGTTAGACTGCGGTTGTTGCTTAGAGGGAGTTTTGTGGTACGAACCATTTGCAGAAATTTCTGACTGAGAGTTTAAATATGTCATGCATACAGTGAATGTGTTCCGCATACTGTAATCCGCTAGATCAGGGGTCGGCAACATGCGGCTCTTTTACTGCCCTGTTGAGGCTCTACGGCAGAATTCGATTGTTAGGTAAAAATAAAATAATCCTCCTTTGCAGTAAAATAAAGCTCTGCTGATCATTATAACACAGTTTAACAGTAAATGGTCTTAAACGCTGGACTTAATGTAGAACTGCTAATTCGCTCTTTAACCCTGAAGACTTGTGCACAGACTACCGGTCGTATCATAGCAACGCAGACAACAATCTCGCCTAAAAAAGAAAGAAAGATTTAAGATGGACACTGATCATGTGGAGACGAATGGACTTATTTACATTTATAAGCACTCCAGCTGGTTGCCTGATACGTTTAATCTGCAGGGAGAAGCTTTTAAACACTAAAAAGTCGCGAGGCTGAAGTCATCTTCTCATTCGTCAGCTTCTTGTTCGAATTTTACCGTTCCACCTTAAATGATGCAGCAGTTACTTACTGGCTCCTCGGGCACCATTTGGTACGAGAACGGGAAAATTCGACCAAAAAGCTGGCGAATGATAAGCAGCTTCAGCCTCTTAAAAAATCAAATGTTTTTTGAGACATTTTACTGGAAACAACTGCACTTTTGCGGAAAAGTTTCCTGCCGGAGATGCGAGAAAAGCGACTATAGCTGTGAAAGCTTAAAGCAGAGCGAGGTAAGTCTGTTTTTTCATTTATATTGTATTTTTTTAGTCTACACTGGGACATTAGCACTTACTGAGACATATTTACAGCCAGGGTGGTAAAACGTTACTTCAATAAATGGTCATAAAATGTGGCGGATTGATTTTTGTTGAAAGGACAAAACGGCTCTTCATAACATCTGGCTTGCCGACCCCTGTGCTATACTGGCAGCTGCTGCTCTCTAAGCAAAATCCACCAAAGTGTTTACCTGCTGCACAGTAGAGTTCCCACCATTGAGTACAGCAATCCCAAGCTTTAGTGTGGATGCCACCATCAGTCCCATCTCACCTGCAGGCACAATTAGAACAGAGTCACAATCTCTATCACTGCAGCGATATGGTGGTCAAAAAGACACCACTTCTAAAAAAATATATAATTTTACAGGAGGCTTTTTGTAAAAAAAAAAAGTGTTTCTTAATGATTATTAATTACATAATAAACACATTAACAAGCAGTGAGTGGCAACACTGATGCACTGACAGAAAATGCTGCTTCTGCTAGCATTCTCTTGTTATGATGTTGCCCCTTCATGGACTCTCCCATTTTGCACTGGTTCTCACTCATGGACTCATTTTAGTCTGTTGTATATATACTGCGCTGTCTGGTTTGCTCGTTTGTGAAGTCTTGCCGTTCTTTCCATGCATTTTATTGTTTACTGTTTTTCTGATTATAGTTTTGTCTGGTTCCTTGCTGCCTGTGTCTGTGCTCTGACCCCTGTCTGTGATGACCAGGAGTGTTGGATTGCCCCTAATCAAGCTACTCAGTGCCTCAACTCCCCAACTGTTACACCTATGGAGGAACTAGCATGCAACTAGCATTTTGGACTAGACTAGCTGACAACTAAAGCTAGATTAGCTACCGCTAATTTCACTGCATGTAGCCTTCATTCTGTCCTTCAGACTGAGGGTTTGTCTAGAATGAAGTTTATTTGAAGCTGTTCTGAACCTGACTCTGCTGTGAGGAGAACGACATTACAGTAATCACTGTCGTTTATCTTTCCTGATTTCTGTTTCTAGGCCGTGGTGGCAACAGCTTGAGGGAGATTTTCCAGGCCCAGAGTGATTCCAAGGTGCTTTCCTGTTTCCAAAGGATGAGTTGGACTGAAATGTGAATGAGAGTTATACATGCACTCGATAATCCGATCACAATCAGATTTCTGCAGTTATCCGATTATTCAAATGGTCATGTAAACGCCATACTCCAATCTAGAAATCTGATAAAGAGAGCTGTTTTTTTAGCTGAGTAATTAGATTTCTCAGTGCATGTAAACTCTTACTCTGATTTCTATTGGATTTCTCAGTCTGAGCATGCACGAGATCAGACGTTGGATGTCGCAAGATGGCAGCAAAACACTGTTGGAGCGGCGCTGAAACCAAACACGAAATAAAGGATTTGAATATTCTTCATCTTCTAGATGATGGAAGTTCTTATTTTCAGGTAAAATGTTGTGATGTTTTTAAAAAAAGCTGCGATATGAAGTTTGAGTTTTACATTGTGTTCTGTGAGTTTAGTGGCTGGTTGCAAAGCAGAAATCTGATTACTGTCTGACTCTTGTAGACCCAGAGTTTCCCCATTATCTGACTACTCAAGTGCATGTAAACGTGTTGATTACTGACAAAATCTGATTTTCTGCAGTTATCGGATTATTGAGTGCATGTAAACTCACTCATTGAGGTACTTGGTATTTACTGCATACAGTTTAAAAACCAAGAGTGGCAATGAGGAAAAAAAAAGCAAGCATTTTGCATCATGGCAGTGACTACAAGTTTCCAAGGTAATAACGTAAATTCAATACAGTACCCAGACTGCAATGCTCTCTAAAACAACACTGCACATGACTGTAGTAAAACTGAAAGGCAAAATCACACACTTAAGGCTGAAAACAAAAGGGTTTATTAGTTTACGTATTAGGATTGGTGGTCCAAATTAAATTAGTTTTGTTTGTGCTTTTTTCCTCTGACTGAAATCACTTTGTGATTTTTAAGTATCGAGTCACGAGTCCGACTCGAGTCATGAGTCAGTTAACCGCAAGTCTGAGTCAAGGCACGAGTCAGTTAAGCATGAGTCTGGGGCGAGTTGCAAGTCAGTTAAGTGCAAGTCCAAACAGACTCATGAATTAGTTATATGTGAATCCTAGTCGAGTCATGAGTCAGCTAAGCGAGAGATTAAGTTAAGGCACGAATCAGTTAAGCACAAGTTCAAGGTGAGGTGCAAGTCAGTTAAGCACGAGTCCAAGTGGAGTCATGAGTCAGTTAAGTGCAAGTCCAAGTCAGGTCACTAGTCAGTTAAGTGTGAGTCCAAGGCGACTCGTAAGTTGTGAAGTCATGAGTCAGTTAAGTACGAGTTTGAGTGGAGTCACAAGTCAGTTAAGCTAAGTCCAAGACAGTTATGAATCAGTTAAGTGTGAGTCAAGTCATGAGTCAGTTAAGTGCAAATCCTAGTCGAGTCATATGTCAGTTAAGCACGAGTCCAAGTTATGAGTCAGCTAAGCGAGAGTCTAAGTCAAGGCATGAATCAGTTAAGCACAAGTTCGAGGTGAGTTGCAAGTCAGTTAAGCACGAATCCAAGTGGAGTCATGAGTCAGTTAAGTGCAAGTCCAAGTCAGGTCACTAGTCAGTTAAGTGCGAGTCCAAGGCGAATCGTAAGTTGTGAAGTCATGAGTCAGTTAAGTACGAGTTCGACTGGAGTCACAAGTCAGTTAAGCTAAGTCCAAGACAGTTATGAATCAGTTAAGTGTGAGTCGAGTCATGAGTCAGTTAAGCATGAGTCTGAGATCAGTCACAAGCCAGTTAAGCATGAGTCTGAGTCGAGTCTGTTAAATGCGAGCCTGAGTCGAGTCATGAGTCAGTTAAGCACCAGTCAGAGTAGAGACGCAAGTCCGTGTCGAGTTGTGAGTCAGTTAGGCATGGCTCTGAGTCATGAGACAAGTCAATATGTGCAGACTGAGTCACTGACTCAAGTCCACATCACTAATTCACTCCAGGACTGGAATTTAGAAACACAGATCGAAACACAGAATTTTCATGCATACAAAATATGATAGAAGCTAATCAGAGAGCAGCAGACTGGCGCACCTTTGCTAGCGCTGATGGTCTGAAGCACCATCTCAGCTGCGCCACGATCGTGCAGCCGGGCCTGCTGGTACAGCAGCTTTTGCTTCTCCATCTCTTTCTCCTGCAGGAGGGAGGCAGGGAGAAAGAACAAAAGAAAGAAAGAAAGAAAGAAGGAAAGAAAGAGAAATGACATCAGCATCCTCTGCACCCTCCCCCTGTGCTCCTGGATCTCTGCTGACTACATTGGTTTGGTGCACAGATGATTAACGACTAAAGCTTTTGTTTGTGTTTAGTGCCCAAAATTAAGAGCGTGATCCATATTCCTAAAACCACATCATATAGCTTATGTGTATTTCAATGCTTCTCATACTTGCTAACTGGTTGTATCTGCCACACATTTCTTTGGATGCTCCTAAGCTTCTAACAGGAAAGCAGCTGCAGGATCAGTATTGCTTAAAACAAACAGTGCAAGTTTAAAGTTTAAGGCGTTGCACATTTATTCTGTGGAAAATCTGAGCATGTTTAGGTCTAATAGCTGTTATGACATGTTCTAACAACCATCCACAACGCAGCCTGTAAGGCACTGGACAGTGATGCAGTTTTCGTTGATTTGTCTCTACAGTCTCCAGCACAGGATTTGAAATGCGACAAAGACTACGATATTGTCAGCATTCATTTCACACCGTAGTTACACCGATCAGGCAGAACATTATGACCACCCTGTTTCTACGCTCATTGTCCATTTTATCAGCTCCACTTACTGTATAGGTGCACTTTGTAGTTCTACAGTTACAGACTGTAGTCCATCTGTTTCTCTGCATACTTTGTTAGCCCCCTTTTACCCTGTTCTTCAGTGGTCAGGACCCCCATGGACCCTCACAGAGCAGGTACTATTTGGGTCGTGGATCATTCTCAGCACTGCAGTAACACCGACGTGGTGGTGGTGTGTTAGTGTGTGTTGCGCTGGTCTGAGTGGATCAGACACAGCAGTGCTGCTGGAGTTTTTAAACAACTCAGTGTCACTGCTGGACTGAGAATAGTCCACCAAACAAAAATATCCAGCCAACAGTGTCCTGTGACCACTGCTGAAGGACTAGAGGATGACCGACACAAACTGTGCAGCAGCAGATGAGCTATCGTCTCTGACTTTACATCTACAAGGTGGACTGACAAGGTAGAAGTGTCTAATAGAGTGGACAGTGAGTGGACACAGTGTTTAAAAACTCCAGCAGCACTGCTGTGTCTGATCCACTCAGACCAGCACAACACACACTAACACACCACCACCTCAGTGTCACTGCAGTGCTGAGAATGATCCACTACCCAAATAGTACCTGCTCTGTGAGGGTCCATGGGGGTCCTGACCACTGAAGAACAGGGTAAAAGGGGGCTAACAAAGTATCAGAGAAACAGATGGACTACAGTCTGTAACTGTAGAACTACAAAGTGCTCCTATATAGTAAGTGGAGCTGATAAAATGGACAATGAGCGTAGAAACAGGGAGGTGGTCATAATGTTCTGTGTCAAAGTCAAACTTCACTCACTGTTTTAATTCAAATACAAGTTGCCAGAGTATAGAAACAAAACAGCTTTCTAAAACTGTCCAGTTACTTATGGACTGCACTGCATTATCCCATTAGCCTCATCACAAAATTGTTCCATCAACAATATAAAAGGTAAGTTACTAAGAACCTATTCAACATGTGTACAGTGTGTTTTACTGTATTACTGTGTCATTTCAAAATAGCGACATAAGCTGTGAGACATGGTAGCTGAAAGCTTAGCATAAAGATGGCCACAAAATGTCTATGAAATCAGAAATTAACTGTCCTTGTGGAGCTACAGCAGCCAAGGCAACACACAGTAAGCAGTGAGCAGGTCCTGCTAGGCAGCCGCATGTTACTAGATGGAGGGAAGAGGGAAAGACAAAAAACCAAAACAAAACAGCAGCTCCAACTGTTTTTAACCTAAGTTCGAAAAAACCAGGGGGTGAACAAATGACGGATTGCGGATGGTTTCAAAAGGAAGTAGAAAGTCGAAAGGAAAAGCAACCAATAGAGACATTTAGCTTGGTTACCAGAGATTGCTCTTCTTTGCTGGCAATTTTGATGCTTAAATCTTTCATAATATCACGCTGCGGAAACAAAATTTGGTCAATTCATATTTCACCCTAAGAGGCTGATTTCTCTTTAACTAACTGGAATAAAAACACAGGTGAATAAGGTGGGGAGTCAGAAACAATGGAAGCCTCTAGAACAGCCTTGTGATCGTTTGCCATGCTAACACAAAAGCAGCCAGTCAGTGCTAAGGTCACTTTGAACTTTCCCTCCAGAGGTTTGGCCAATTTCACATGTTAACATGGCTAAAAATGACAGTCAGGCTAATGAAATCATTCAGCCCTATTTAATCAGCTAACATTTCTATGTATTGACATGGTTCATGTCCTGTCACAGCCCTAGCACTGGTTTGCTGCTGTTTGCTAAATGATGCACTGACCAAAACTGACCATATACACAGGCCTACGGTACAGTGTGACTAATGAGGTTCAATTCAGAAATCCGAAAACTTTAAATCTGCACTGAATCCTCTATCGAATGCTCTACTGTGGACACTTTAAGCTCAGTAGCATTTCACCAACACCACACATATGAAAAACAAAGTGAACTGGACAAAGGTGGATGTATAAAACTCAGCATGCAATTTCTGAAAGCAGCATAAAAGAATCTGTGTTCTTATGTGGGATGGGGGACAAAGAATATAGCCTGAAGGAAGACGGCGCCTACTTCAAAACTCTTCACTTCTTCTTCCTCGTCTTCCTCCTCGTCATGGCAACTCTGTGGAAAAACACGCAAACGAAACAAAACATGTACGTCTGGAGAACCTTCTACAGCCTGCACTAAAATCCATAGTAGCAGCAGTGTTTCAAATTTTCATGCACTGAATTCTCATTAAGAGCTCTCACCTTAGCCATTATGTCAGCATAGGCCATGTACAGGCTGTCCTCTTCCAGTTTACTGAAACAGATCATTTAAAAGAGGATGTGTTCGTGTGTATGATTACACATGTGTGGTAAGTAGCTCTGTCATTTGTGTTGTGAACTTCCAAAAAAAACATATTTTAATATTAAAGTGCCCTTAACCTAGATTTTTCTTGTATTTTTATGACATTTGTGTGATTTTACCAATGTTTGGGGAAACGCAGTACAAAGTAATGCATCATCATAATATAATTATATTGTCGTGTAGCAAAACAGGATAACGCCTTATAGTATAAATTAATGATGCATCGAAATGAAAATTCACGGCCAAAATGCTAAAATAAAAACTAAAAGGTAATAAAATTATTATTTTATTATTATTATTCTTATTAATAAAATTTTCAATAAGACAAAACTGAGCTGACAATAAATAGGAACAGTACATAAAATAAACATTCTGAAGTTATTACAGTACGTAGGCAACAATATGCCGATGGTTGGTTATTTAAAGCAATGAATTCTATCATTTTTTTTTTTTTTTTTTCACTTTGGCTGTAACTTTTTTGTTTAGTGCATCCTTAGTATAAATTATTATAATCACATTACAGCGACTAATTTCATCGGTATTTTGCTACTTGCATTGAAAATATGTCCGTAATAGAGCAATATTAACTACACAATGCATTCAAAACGTGAAATTCTTCTGTATATATTATCCATGCCTGTCTTTGTATGTAATCGCATTACCAGCGACAGCCGACTCAATGACTCTGACTGTAGTTGTAATGCAGCCCAAAGTGCTGCAAACTCTATTAATAATCTGTCAAATCATCTAATCACGCTAACATGGATCTGATGGATGAAGACCCTAGTGCCGAAGATGAGAGAGACCCAACCCCACCTAAATAGGCCCGACTCAATTTACACTCAGAAACAGCAGAAACAGCTCAACAGAAACAGCTCTGTAAGATTTATATGTACTTATTCATAAAGATTTTACTTCAAGGCTGCTTTTCAACTGTTTCTACTGATTAGTTTCTATTTCAAAGAATCTCATCAGACTTCATAATTTTAATCAGCAGTACTGGTTGTGTACTGGTTGTGTTGTCCAAAGGCAAGTTGTTTAGATAATGTTTACTGAGATTGTACTGGATCCATTTTTTTCATAACAAAAACAATCGAAATTTTACATGACCACGAATTTTCACATGACCATTTCCCAGCCACTCTTTTTCCCGTTAACCAGGCTGTTTTTGTTGTTACTGCGCTTTTAGTACTTATATAGGTAAATGATCTCTCTTCTGATTGGCTGACTCATTCATAAACGGACTGTTCTGACCGAGATCCTCAAGTACATCTTCCACTCCACTTACTCTGCTACAGACCATCTGCAGTAACAACATTTCTCATCACTTCAGCATGAATGGACAGCTAAACTGCTGCAGACTGAATGGGTGACCATAAGCAAATGTGTTCATACTTGTGAATGGATGAATTCAAGATTTCAAAAACATTAAAATCTGAGTAGCACATAGGGGATGAGACTAAAGGTTAAAGAGTGAGAAGTAAAATCTAAACGATCATCATATATCCTGTGAGAAGGAGCACACCATTTCTCAGTGAGTGCTGTCCTGCTGAAAAGTTGGATGAGCTGGTGCAGGGGGTCAATGCGTTTGATCCCTTCATCCTCCTCTGACGGTTCCTCTCCACCTGGCTTCTGCAGTACAAAACACCTGACTTTAGCTTCATGTTTTCATTCAACTCCACCACGAAAGCACTTAGGACACCTTTACCTTTTATTTCCACAAAACATTTACACCCTTTTCTTTCAGTAATTCATGACGGGCCCTAACAATGTAACACAGACGTAGAAGCAGTGCTGGCGTGAGTTGTCTAATGTAATCTTTGTCAAATGAAAGACCAAAATAACAGCACGGTTCAGTGAACGCTGCAGTCGTAGTACACTGTCATCTTTCATTTGGCCACAAAACTTTAATTAATCTATTAAGGAAGAACATTATTGAAAACCGCGCACAGACTTTACCGTCCAAGGTTGCTTGAGGTTATTTTGTCTGAGGCCGTTTTGTCTGAGGCTGTTTTGTCTGATTCCATATTATCCGAGTTTTTTTGTCTGAGGTTGTTCTGTCTTATGCTATTTTGTCTGAGGCTGTTTTGTCTGATTCCATATTATCTGAGTTTTTTTGTCTGAGGTTGTTCTGTCTTATGCTATTTTGTCTGAGGCTGTTTTGTCTGATTCCATATTATCTGAGTTTTTTGTCTGATGTTGTTTTGTCTTATGCTATTTTTTCTGAGCCTGTTTTGTCTGATTCCATATCTGAGTTTTTTTGTCTGATGTTGTTTTGTCTTATGCTATTTTGTCTGAGGCTGTTTTGTCTGATTCCATATTATCTGAGTTTTTTTGTCTGAGGTTGTTCTGTCTTATGCTATTTTGTCTGAGCCTGTTTTGTCTGATTCCATATTATCCGAGTTTTTTTGTCTGAGGTTGTTCTGTCTTATGCTATTTTGTCTGAGGCTGTTTTGTCTGATTCCATATTATCTGAGTTTTTTTGTCTGAGGTTGTTCTGTCTTATGCTATTTTGTCTGAGGCTGTTTTGTCTGATTCCATATTATCTGAGTTTTTTGTCTGATGTTGTTTTGTCTTATGCTATTTTGTCTGAGCCTGTTTTGTCTGATTCCATATCTGAGTTTTTTTGTCTGATGTTGTTTTGTCTTATGCTATTTTGTCTGAGGCTGTTTTGTCTGATTCCATATTATCTGAGTTTTTTTGTCTGATGTTGTTTTGTCTTATGCTATTTTGTCTGAGGCTGTTTTGTCTGATTCCATATTATCTGAGTTTTTTTGTCTGATGTTGTTTTGTCTTATGCTATTTTGTCTGAGCCTGTTTTGTCTGATTCCATATTATCTGAGTTTTTTGTCTGATGTTGTTTTGTCTTATGCTATTTTTTCTGAGCCTGTTTTGTCTGATTCCATATCTGAGTTTTTTTGTCTGAGGTTGTTTTATCTTATGCTATTTTGTCTGAGCCTGTTTTGTCTGATCCCATATTATCTAATTTTTTGTCTGAGGTTGTTTTGTCTTATGCTATTTTGTCTGAGGCTGTTTTGTCTGATTCCATATTATCTGAGCTTTTTGTCTGAGGTTGTTTTGTCTTATGCTATTTTGTCTGAGGCTGTTTTGTCTGATTTCATATTATCTGGGGTTGTTTTGTGTTATGCTATTTTGTCTTATGCTATGTTGTCTGATTCCATATTATCTGAGTTTTTTTTTTGTCTGATGTTGTTTTGTCTTATGCTATTTTGTCTGAGGCTGTTTTGTCTGATTCCATATTATCTGATTTTTTTTGTCTGAGATTGTTCTGTCTTATGCTATTTTGTCTGAGCCTGTTTTGTCTGATTCCATATCTGAGTTTTTTTGTCTGATGTTGTTTTGTCTTATGCTATTTTGTCTGAGCCTGTTTTGTCTGATTCCATATTATCTGAGTTTTTTTTTGTCTGAGGTTGTTTTGTCTTAAGCTATTTTATCTGAGCCTGTTTTGTCTGATTCCATATTATCTGATTTTTTTTGTCTGAGGTTGTTTTGTCTTATGCTATTTTATCTGAGCCTGTTTTGTCTGATTCCATATTATCTGATTTTTTTTGTCTGATGTTGTTTTGTCTTATGCTATTTTGTCTGAGGCTGTTTTGTCTGCTTCCATATTATCTGAGATTTTTTTTTGTCTGAGGTTGTTTTGTCTTGTGCTATTTTGTCTGAGGCTGTTCATTTCAAAATCATTTTGTGTAAAGCTATTTTGTATGGGCCGTTTTGTTTGAGGCTGTTTTTGTCTATGACTGTTTTGTTTAAGGCTATTGTGTCTGAGGCTGTTTTGTCTGTGACAGTTTGTTTAAGGCTGTTTTGTCTGAGGCTGTTTTGTCGATGACTGTTTTGTTTAAGGCTATTTTGTCTGAGGCTGTTTTGTTTTTAGGCTGTTTTGTATGAAGCCAGTTTGCCTGACATCAAATTGTACAAGAGCTGAGAGATGATGGGTTCTTCTAGAGCTTTCTAGAACATCTCATTTGTTAAGTACCATAAATGTGGTAGAACATCACATCACCCAGCATGTTTAAAAGTTAAGGTTATGCGTGGGACTAGATCTAGTGCCTTGCTGTTGTTTGCATTAAATACATCAATAAACAAAGTTTTTTTGAACAGTTATCATGGTAACACGGTTAACCACCAGCGGTAAAGACCTGCTATGGGGAGTTGCTTTACAATAATACAGTAATCATAAGAAAATACTGTGGTTATTGTCTGCATTTGTGATTTCTGCTATGTTTTGTCCAAAGTGAAATGCTAAGTGCACACTGGCAATGAATAAGACTCCTGCATCTTCACTCTGTGGCATTTCCTTGAACACTGCTAAAAATTTCCTTGTTTCCATCTTTTGTATGACAAATAATAGTTTGCGAAACACCCCTTGGGTAGAAAGAGAGCATCGTCTTTGGATGAATAAAAGACTCCAGCAAAACCAGATCAAAATCCTATTTCAAGCACAATGCTGCAAACCTGTGCTTTGCATATTAATATGTGCCTCGCTGAAGACAAGAGGACACTGAAATTCAATTAAATAAAAATAAAAGCCCTGCAGTTCTAAAGGAGGATGTACTGCTGCTTCTGCCAGCATGTTGTACCTGACTTTGTAGTGTAAAAAACAGCTAATACACTTACAGCCAAATCCTCTATGAGCTTATCTTCAAAATAATGCTCCTCTGTCTCAATCCACGACTTCTCATAGCCCTGTAGGAACAGGTTCACCGCTCTGTGTCTGGAAACAAAGATAAAGCACAGACAAAAATTAAACACTCTTAAATAACAACAATAGGAAATAAGTCAGAAAGGTGTCTTAAGCTGCTAAACAGTGTCTGGAGTATAGATTATAGAGTGTGGAGTATGGCTAAAGAAAAAGGGTGGAGTATTTTATATTTTATTTTACAGACTAAATTCTCCAAAGAAATTCCCCGACAGCAACTGTATCGCTAGTAAAGACAAACGGCCGTCCAAATCGATGGTCTCGTTTAGACAAAAGCTCCAACGATCATTTTCTGGATCTCTTTTCCACTGTACAGCCAAGTTTTTCCCACGATCATGTCACACCGTTTCCTTCCTGTGCAGATTCGTGAGACTAATCACAGTTTCTTTATTTAGTGTTAGCTTAGCAAACAGGCTACAGATCCAAACTCCACGCAACAGGTTTGATTTCAGCTTTCTAATCCTCCAACACCAGTGACTCGACTTCACTCCCTCAGATTTGAGTCATTATTATCTGAACTTGTCAGTGTAGCTTCAGATAGTCAGATGCTAATGTTAGTAAGTAGCAAAGTTTCTCAACGGTTCTGCGGCCCTGAGCTCTGGGCCAAAGAAGCCGTGCTGAGCATGTAAGTAAGGGTTCCGTTCCGATCCGTGTCCGTGTGGAAATGCCTTTGAAATATCTGTGTGCTCAGAACTGTTGAGCCATACAGTGAAAAAGAGGCCTCTGATCCAGGACACCAGGACTGGTTTGGTACTGTTTCACAAATTCTATTTGAAGTTAATCAGGGTTAAAAATGCTTCAGAAAACAGTGTGAAAGCACACCTGGGCAGGTTATATAGAGGGGCCATCCTGAAGCAGGCAACCACTGCCCGCTTCCTCTGCTTGGACAGCAGCTTGTGCCACACAGCTTTCTTACTCCTCTGGGGATGTTCCACCTGGCCAAACACACAATATTCACTCTTACAGCCAGCATTAAAGCTACAATCAACACATATTAGGCAAGTTCCTTTACTGAAATCTTCCAAGTTATAGACCACTGTAGTCATGTCGTCATTTTGTAGTCGGTGCCATGTTCTTATGCCCATATTAGGAACTCCGGGTCTTAACTCCATTTCTCTATGGCCAGAATGAATAGGGTTTTCGAAAAATCGCCTCTATCGCCCCCTGTGTTAGATAAAAATGTTCAGAACCTGATACGATTTGTCCTGTGAACATTCTTCTCTCGAATATCACTGGATCCTCTGAATTACGAGGTTGTTTAAGAGTTAAAATATGAATATTGCTACATGTGAGCTAAAGCTACTGCGCACTGAATTCACCTCATTAGACTGGCAGCCTCCTTAAGCAGGTTTTGGCAGTGAACATTTCCATGTTCAGACTGAGGGCAGATGAACAGAAGTCAGAACAAAATCAGCAGGTTTCCCTGCAGTTCTGTGTTCTTCATCTGATGCTCACTGAAACACGATAGATCTTTCCTTTTAGCTTCATTTGAAAAGAACTACAAATGTACCTGAACTCAGGCTAATCCAGTACAGACTCAGCTACTGCTCACCCCCTTATAAACTGATTTAGAACATCCTAATTATTATTTTAATGCTAGTAACATTTTTCTAAGGACATTTTCTCAGGTCAGCTTCATTTCGCCGGCTGCTTGTTAGACTTTTCCCGTTCCACCTCAAATGCTGCAGCAGTCACATTCTGAACTGCTGCACCATTTAAAGTGGAACGGGAAAATTCAGCTTCATGGGGGTTGAAAAGCATTTCACTATTTCCGCTTAACAGCTGAGTAACATTAACTTATTTTTGCTGTTTCACAGAACCGACAGGTCAGTATTTTATCTCGTTCGCTAATGTTAGTGATAGCTAGTCACAGCTGCTGCACCATTTAAGGTGGAACGGGAACATTCAAACAAGAAGCTGGTGAAAAAGAAGCTAAATTCAGTCTCATAGTTTTAACAGGGATAGTTTTTTTGATAAGGAGTTTTAGTCTATCAAAATATCCCACCCAGAGGTTTTATTTACAGGTATACCTGTAATTATGCGCTACGGTAGAAGATTTCGATAAGCTAGCACAGCTTGTCAGGGCACCGCCACAGCCCAACTTAGTTTCGAGTAGCTTAGTGACATCAAATTGATGCGCAGTAGCTTTAGCTCGCATGTAGCAATATTAGTATTATAGTCCTTTACGACCTCGTAATTCAGAGGATCCAGTGTTATTCGGGACAAAACATATCAGGTTCTGAACATTTTCATCTAACACAGGGGGCGATAGAGGCGATTTTTCGAAAACCCTATTCATTCTGGCCATAGAGAAATGGAGCTAAGACCCAGAGTTCCTAATATGGGCATAGCGAGGACTACAGAATGATGCACGACTACAGTGGTCTATTGTAGAGCTGTTGCTTCATAAATATTTAAATGAAAATTGAAACATCATCACTGTCATATGAAAATCTCAGAGAACTATATAGAAAATGGAAAACAAAAATTCTTAGCATTAGTGCAACTTAAAAATAACATACAAAAGATTTGCTTTTTAAAATTTCTACTGGACCATACATCGGAAAATGAAAAAGGGCTTTATAGCCCTGTAACGGACACTTGGCATTAAACATGGCGACCTTAGGCTCATCTGCAGCTTCTCCAGAGTATCCCATTCTATTGGTCAGTGCTTTTCTATGGAGACTGTACAGGTTGTGTCAGCAATGGGTGCACCTACTAATGAGAATGGGTGTCTGGACACTTTCAGACATACAGTGCTTTTCCTATGATGCCTTGTCATTTAAAGCTGAATGCCACAGGCCTAATTTAATACTGGAACAAAAATGTGGGACAACATAAAGGATATTTCATAATATACAAGGCAATAATTTTAAACATCCTGTCCCATTACATAATATGATCTTTAATGTCGTCCCATAAACAAACAACTGTGAAACAAACTGCTGCTGTTGTAGACTGACCTGATCCAGATGGAAGAGCACATGAGCAATGTCCAGCACTCTCTCCACAGTCTTCTGAGGGTCTGATGTGTCCTCACTGCGGTTCGGCATGTCTTTGTACAGGGCCATCTGCCAGCGAATAGCAGGGTCCTCCAGCTGCACAGACCCGCACCAGGGAAAATCATCAGGGAAATTAACGGCTGAAACCAACTAAATGAAAACACTATTAAAAAGCACTTAAAGGAAGAGTTTAAAAAAACAAATCTACACAATTTTCCTCTTACACCAAATGTAGTCGTTCAGCCAAGACATGTTTGGTGTCTGAGGTTAGCTTGTCTAGTTTTGGCACTGGAGCTACGAGGCTAATGCAGATAACAAGTAATGCAGACTAATAACCCACTTATTAGGTTCATTTTTAAAATGTATCGCTATAAAAATGGACAAAACTGCATTACATAGCTAAAAAACAGAGGCAGCACAAATCTTACAGACTTCTTGCATTCTAGTATAAATATATAATTTATTTATATAAAATATTAATATAAATATATAATATATTCTAATTTATTTATACTATCTTGTTTATATTTTTCACATGCTTTGTAGATTTTCTTAATGAAAATAAATAAACATCCACTACAGATCTGCACATTTTATTCCACAATTACTGTTTATATAGTGAATTTAATATATTGGTTAAAAAAACAAACATAAAATATGGCCTGTGCAAAAGTTATAGCACATTTTCATGGCAAATTTTAGGGTTTTTTGCTGAATTCATTAAACTTCGCATAGACATATAAATTCTGAACTAAAATTGGCAAAAAGGTGTCATATATATATATATATACACGTTTGTTCCCTGTAGAAGATCACACAGAAATTGATAACGTGATCAGACTTCTAGATACGACTGTACATTTGGGTTAACGGGGGAAAAATGCATAAACTTGATATTTTGCTCTTCCTTTAAATGGCGGGTTTCAGCAGCACTGCTACTCAAAAGGCAATAAATAATGATCCCTGCTCAGCAGGCCATGCTAAAAGCTACATGCTTCATGCTATGAGCTACATGCTACATGCTCGGACCGCTCCATCTGGTTTCTCTCTACACACCAGCGCGCCACATCCGAACATGCTGTGTGTGGTAAGGTGGCTCTCACGGAGCCGGGAGGCCGGAGGATGCTCAGGTGGTCGTGGTGGGGTCTTTCCGTGTCTGGAGGCGTGATCCACAGAGGCCGATTTTTTCATGGCGCTCAGCAGCGCCCGCGGGTGGCGATGTGTGGAGTCCAGGGTGGTCGAGCGCTTGCGGAGGGGCATGCGTTTGTGGGGGGGCATTTCTGTGGCGGCCAGCTTGGCCTGGCGACTCTTCATCCACTTCAGGACGATGATGAGCCGCTTGACCAGCTTTTTGAAGTGGAAGACTCGGTACTGATGGGGTCGGGGGGCCGGGGACGCGAACATGCAGACATGCAGAGAGTGGAGGAGATGGAGACAAAGACAGGGAAATGGAGTGAAATGATAATGCATGCAGGTAAGGATGACTGAATTCTCTGTTTACCCCCTTCGCCAGTTCAAATCGCATCATTAGTAGTATGTGCGCAGTGAGACATGCTCTGAACTGCTACATTTGTTTTTTTGGACTACTTCTTAGACAATAGGCAAGTCAACAGGCACGACAAGTCAACCCCCCAAGAGCCTGTTTGTCCACAACAGGTTAATTTATTGGAGGTTGTACTATTTTATGGCAGCCTTAGCAATATTTTATCTTTGAAATGTAATCTTTCAGTCAGTTTCCAAGATTATTTTTGAAAAACATTTGGCAAAATTTAGGGTTATAATGTCTGTAAAATAAAATCTAAATGGATTTTTAGTTAAAAAAAAAAAAGTTATTTTGGAATCATAGTGTAGCGTTAAATATTGGATGCAGAAATTAGTAGCAGATACACAGGAATATCACAGAAAAGCTAGCAAACATAAGCAAAAATAATTTTGAAAACTGACTGAAAGATTAGATTTCAAAGAAAATATTGCATAATCTGGGATTAAAAACTACATCCTCCAATAAATTAAACTACAGGGGGAATTTATTAACATAAAACAGTTGTGTTTATAACACACTAACATTTCAGTCATTCTTTCAAAACTCATTACCAAAAAACTTATTGGAGCATAGCTTTGACATTTTGCATGGTTGCATGAATTAAATGATTTTGCTTAAGTTTTTATGGAAATTCATGACCAGACAGGCCCAGGAAGAAGGACTGATATGTCTTTATATTTTTACTATGCTACTTTCATACTTAACGTTTGTTTTATGTTTGGAAAATAGCCTATAGCTTTAGCTTTGAGAATTCTTTTACTGCTATGTGTTTAATGCCTAGACTAAGCATAAAACGTGTTCAGACAAAAGGTGGCAGTTTAACTGCAGTTGAAACATCAGCATTGGAGATACTGTCTTTAATTTCTATTGTTTTGATGTTCCACATTTTCCTCTCTCAAGCTGGCTTTACACGATGAAACTTTCATTTAGTTTAGTTTCTTGAAACTTACATGAAACTAAATTTTACATAAGTTGCATGACGTAGAATCATGCAACTCACTTGAAACCCAGCTGCAACAGTTGCAAGTCTATCAACTTTGTGAAACAAGTTTCACAAAACTGCCAATCAAAACACAGACAGCTCGTCATGTGATCACATCAAACGACTTCTTTTCAAACTTCACCGGATCCAAGGTCACAAAAATAAAACAGAAGATGGTTTACTGGGCAGTTGAAAAGAAGACCTCCCCTTCCCCCACTACTATACAAAACCACCACTGAACATACACGTCTCATGTTTTTATATATTATGTTGAAAATAGTAAAATAGTAATAAATGCAAATAATAAGTTTAATTTTGGGGACTATTTTGCCTCATAACTGCATGTACGTCTAACCATTTTAGCCCAAAACCTCCTTAAACTATAATAAACCATGTGTTGGGCATCACCCTCACAGAAACGTCTCATGAATTTTACATGTAAATAAAATGTGAGTTTTGCACAATTCACATGTGAAATATGTGTGACTCTTCTGTAATAACTTTCTGTGACTGAGCTTTTAGAGATAGTGAACTCTTCACAGGTCTGGTTCCCAGCAGTTCATAATAAACTATTCTGAATAACTTTGTTTACATCTTAACCATTACGCTGAAATTTTGGAAAAACTGGTGGAATTCCTCTTTGAATATTGTCAAAGATATACACAGTAGATAAAAACTCAAGTATATCATAGAGAACTCTAGATAGACAGATAGGAGACATAGATACAGTTATATAGATACAGAAAATTAACCAGCAATGACAGCTGAAAAAATACAGGAAGATTATAAGGCGATAAATGTTGTAAATATGTAAATTACACCTCACAGATGACTTTAAAGTTAATGACACAGTTTACAAAAAATACTGCTAATTTGTCTATTTAGTGGAGTAATCAAACGTGTTCCATGCAACTTTGATTGTTTTTGAATTGCTTTATGTAGCTAGGAAGTTGCACAGAAATTATGTTGCAGACAACTAGTTGCGTGAAACTTTCACCATGTAAAGCCAGTCTTACAGGTATAAACTGCTTGGTAAACATGCCTCACCGCTGCGAGTTTCATTCAGATTAGACCAGGACATGCCTTAAAGCATGTGTCACACTGATAGGTGAACATGCATAACCTGTGATCTGTCTAACAGGCTGGAAATATTGAGAATGGCTTCAGGTTCCCATTAAAGGAATACATCACACCAAAAAAGACTAACATGGCTAATAATGAATGAAGGCTTGGGGGATCAGTTAGTTTCATCTCATTTTTAATCTGAACTGTTTCCCAATCACTGTTCATTCATTATTGCGTCAGTACTTCAAAATGAGCTTCAGAGCAAGAGGAGCCTAAAACAGAGGCATGTAGAAGTGAATGAGTATGCAGACGTGCAGAGTTGTGAGGAATATTGTGATACGATGGTAAATTGTGATGCCAAGGTAAAAGAAACACATCAGACTCCTCACCTTGCCCTGCAGGTGGAGGTTATTACGGATGATCTCCCGAACCTCATCCTCTGTGTCTTTCTGTTGGATAAGAACAAGATGCTTTACTGATCACATTACTGTAACAGATCTCTTCTGTAACATCTTTTATTTCTTTATTAACTATATTTTTTAATTTTGTTGTAATTGTTGTAATTTAAAAAGTTTTTTATATTTACTTCTATGATGATTATTACTTTTTAGCATTTATTATGTTTTTACTTTTTAACCTCTCAATTCCTGATCTCTGTATTGGCTTGACTACACTGTAAATGAGGGTCTCCCTCAACATACTCTGAGTTTAAATAAAGGTTGGTTGGTTGATTGATTGATTGATGGATTGATTGATAAGAAGAATGGGACGATGTAATTTGCATTTTGTCCTTCTTAATATTAATGGTCCCATATTTAACATTATTCTTGTATTTTATTTATTTACTCTGAAGACCTTTTACAACATTTTTGAGGGTTTTTTTGTAGCGACAAAATTCACTGGTCATTTTTTTCATGACCATTTTCCATCTGATTTTCCCCTTAGAATTAAACAGGCTGTTTTTTTGTTACTGTGCCTTTAAAATATATGCAAATGACTTCTGTTCTGATTGGCTTCCCGGTGTTGCGTTTCGGTCTGGGCTTAAACACTTCTTATAACTTGGGCAAAGCTAACCTGCTGTAGTCTGAAAAGGTGGATATACATCAATATGTTGATTTTTGTGACATCACAAAAACAATTAATTCAAAGCAGTATTTTTTGCAGCTTCCATAGATGCACTGTATGGACTGTGGAGTGAACAGTATGTTTTAAAACTACATCAAACTCTTTTCTTAAGAGAAAAAATGGTGATGAAAAAGTGGTGATTCTTTTCCATGATATGGGCTATAAGTAACGGTAAGTAACGGTATTTTTCAGAACATCATTAAATTACATTAAAATTTAAAAGTATTTGTATACTTTTTTCTTACAACAATCACTGTCAAAAAGCAGCTTTACTCTAAATGAGATTTCTCTGTCACATTTCTATGCATAAATTAATCTAAATAATTTATTAAACATATATAGCTTTAATCTTTTCATTATTGGATTTTGTTTACATTATTGACACAAAAGAAATCTCTAGTTAGTATCAGTAAAACTCTCTTTCATGAGTGAGTAATGTGAGCGTTTCTGTGCCTGAGTGAAGCGGTTCTTGGCGAGAGCGATTAGCTCCTGGTCTCCAGGAGCACAGATGTTCAGCCCCACAGGAAGCAGCCTCTTCAGAGCAGCCACGATGAGGGACGTCTGCATGGAATACCGGTCTCCTCTCTTCTTCATCTTCTTCCTCTCCTGGTCCGACACTGCCCCCTGCAGGCCAGTAAGGAGACGAGCAGGTGATACAGTCGTTTGCAGAAGTTTAAACATCCATTTAAGTGAAAATAAGTTAACACATCCTCTGCTAGGAACACCCTTAAATATGGCAGTTTTCATTTTTCTGCAAATTTCCGATTATTGCTGAATTAAATATATAAAAAAAAGGCGTGAAATACATGAAACATAATGTGGCATAACATTTACCACATTTTAAGTTTTATTTTCTTCCAATATGTTAAATTTAGCAAACAAACAGGAACTGTAAAATGTACGGAAAGAAAAAATGTACATAATTGTGATCTCTGTGGAGCTTGTGTTCACTTATTTTCACTTAGAAAATGTCATTTGACCGGGGCGCCCAAATGTTTGCATGCAACTCATACATGATACTCACAAAGCAAGCTGTAACATTGACATTCTGATTTAACAACAGTAATAGCAGACATTATAAATGGAGACAGTCATGGGCTGGATGTTAGAGATCGCCGGTTCGATCCCCTGAGCTGACAGTATGTGACTGAAGTGCCCTTGAGCAAGGCACCTAACCCCCAGCTGCTCCCTGGGCGCTGTGGATAGGGCTACCCACCACTCTGGGCAAGTGTGCTCACTGCCCCCTAGTGTGTGTGCTTTCACTAGTGTGTATGTGGTGTTTCACTGCACGGATGGGTTAAATGCAGAGGTGATATTTCCCCTGTTGTGGGACTAATAAGGGTCACTCAATCTTAAAAATGTCACTCAAATGCTAAACATTACCAGCATATGCAATTAAAGAGAATAAGAAAATTAAAATTAGGGTCAGCAGTTAAGTTTAGGATTTAAGTTTAGGGGAGCAGCCAGTCTGCTAGATGGGGTGGGTCTTTATCTCCCAAAAGTGGACCTTTTAATTATAAACGCAGGCTATCCTATGTAGGTCAGCCTTTGAGCTGGTGCCACTATTACATTATTAACAGCAGCAATCGGCTGGGCTTGCTTTGTCACCCTACCCTCATCCAGCACCTCTGCTATTCACAGAATTTCACTGTCCTGTTTTAAAAAAACTCCGTCTACAGATACATTTAGAGTAGACTGAGAGAATTTCAGGGACTTCTGAAATTAATGTTTTCACAGGACTGTCTTATTATATATCTTCAAGTAACTATGAATTAAAAAGCAATCAAGATCTCAGAAAAAAGACTTTTTGCTTGAAACTCTCCTCTTATATCTGACATATTACTAGCTAATAATCATAAACAAAAGCAGTCTGTATTAGTCTGTGAATACCATATTCAGCCAGACTTAAAGTTCATATCTTTACTGAATGAGTCACTAAAAAACTGCAGTAAAGTAAGAAATCAATAATGCATAATCCATAATAATGACGTGCGTGTCATGGTGATTTTATGACTGTTTAACAGTTATTAAGTATAAAGTCTTAAGTCAATGTTAATTTATGCAACTTTATCCCCAAAAAAACAGATTTTACATTGTTTTGATGCTTTTTTTGGAGACGCCTAGATAATGTCCAGAGCTTTGCAAGGACACAGCTACAGTGCCTCAAAGCTTAGTTCTAGCACTAGCCAGAAAACCTACCTGTAGTCAGCGTTTGGTGGGAGTTCGGACCCTGGTAGTAATCTTATTTCAGGCAGTGGCAGCATAGTTCGTTAAAGGTGCAGGATGGTATGGTATTCTGACATTTCTTGGAAAACAACCCAGGAGGTCCTGCACTCTCTCTTATCTGCTACATGGTTTAGATTAATATTTATTTATTTCTTGATTAGTTACATGTGAACTCAATTTAAATCGCATGAATATGTATTTTTAGCCTGTACACGTGAAGACGTGTGTGTGTGTACATGCTCTCTTACCTTGGACATTTTGGACTTGGTGTCAGTAATGAGGAACGACATGTTGTTTATCTCGTTCTGAACGACAAAGTTCTGCTCCTCCCGTTTGAAATTCTGTAAAACAAACTCAAAGCGCTTACAAGAAAATACCCGTGGCGAGCAACTCATTTCACTCTTACTTTAACATCCATCTTAGCGGGACCACAAACAATTTCTGCCACACATTAGCGTGCTTTAGTTGAACCAGGCTAATCCAGAGTCACAAAGCCATCACTGAACCGTCAGGCTCCTCTGCTTCTGTCTGCCCGAGGGCAGAAACAAAATTATTTCCCACAAATTAAAAACTACTGTGCATCTGAATGGGCTGACAGTGATGGAGCGTCTGTGAATTTTATAGTTATTGTTACAGTTGACTGATAAGCCGATATGTGGAATGTGACAGTGATTGAATGCTCGTTAGTGGATGATGCTGGGCAAGTATGCGTGAGTGTTTTCACTCACATGTGATTTGGCCCAGAAGATGAAGACCTCTGCCACCATGCGGAACAGTTCCTCAGCCTCCGGGTTCGGCTCTTTCAGCCACTTTGCTCTGAAAACAACCGAACGGTGAACGACATCATTCACATGAACTCACTCACAGCCACGTTTACAGCTTTAAAAAAAAAAAAAAAATTCCATCCATCCATCATCTAAACCGCTTATCCTTCTGGGTCGCGGTGGGGCGCTGGAACCCATCCCAGCTGTCATTGGGCGGAAGGCAGGACACACCCTGGACAGGTCGCCAGTCCATCGCAGGGCAGACAGACAGACATACACATTCAGACACACACACCTAGGGGCAATTTAGCACATCCAATTGGCCTGACTGCATGTTTTTGGACTGTGGGAGGAAACCGGAGTACCCGGAGGAAACCCACGCAGACACGGGGAGAACATGCAAACTCCACACAGAAATGACCCTGGTCACCCGGCCGGGAATCGAACCCAGGCCCCTTCTTGCTGTGAGGCGACAGCGCTACCCACTGCGCCACCGTGCTGCCCAAAAATTTAAAGCTTGAAATTCATCATCGATACACTCCTCGCTCTCTTCTGAGCGTCTCTCATTTACTGTGTTTCCTGGAAATCACTGTCAGTGACCAAACTAAGCACCTGGGTGCATCCTATCAGAGTAAAGTGGGTGACTAGAGGGCGGGGCCTATACTGTACATGCAAATACACTTCTGTGATTGTTTGGGCTTATTTTGTAAGAGAGCAGCACTACAGGCATTGAACAAGTTCTACTGGAACTTTAATTAATCCGAGTTAAACCAACCTGAGCAGTACAGTACTGTGCAGAAGTCAGAGACCACCTTTCATTTAATATCTATTAGAGGTCGTATTAGAGAAGAGGAACACAGCGCATAGTGTTTTTGAAGTTCACTGAGTGACTGACGGTTGATGCCAAACTGTTCCACCGAAAGGCCCGATCCCATTTCACCCCTCGCCCCTACCACTTAGCCCTTAGCCCTCTGTTTTGCACGTTCACGTCTAGGGGTAGGGTGTCCCAATTTTCGTTGAGATAGAGGGGTAGGGTGAAGTGTTAGGGCTACATGACCCTCCAAACGGAGGTTTTTCAGAGACTCACTCCAAACAGTGTTATGAGAAAAAGAAAAACTGGCAAGATGGCTGCACAAGCAACCAACGAAACCCATAAATGTGAGAATTTTCTCCATTAAAAAATTACGATAACCACTGTATTATCTTAGTTTAATATCATTTCAATGTATTATGGTCGCTTTCTTCATGACAAGCATAAAAAATCACTAATAGTATGATAATATCTCAGTAGCTAGATAGCTAATTTTCCCGTTCCACCTTAAATAGTCCAGCTGTATTGATGCCTGACGACTCTATTGGGGAACTGCTGCACCATTTAAGGTGGAACGGGAAAATCCAAACAAGAACTTGGTGAATAGCTGACTTCAGCTTTGTATCACCAAAGAATTAGCGGTGGGTGATAATAAATAACTGTCAAATCCCCCCTCTTTGAAGGCATATGATGCTCTAAATATAACTAAAGCCCAGCAGTGAGGAGCTGAACTTTACCCTCCTCTGCTGTCACTGCAGACTGGCAGGGTCGCCTACAGAGCAGCGCTGGTAGCTGTTAATGAATTTTTTTTATTTGAGAGTCCCATTTTGAAGGTCAAGATTTCAACCACTTTGTAACTCTGTTCCAAGGGGTTAGGGTGACGGTCGAAAACATGGAGTAGGCGTAAAAAGAAGAAATGGGATTGGGCCAAAGACTACAGAGTTTTGTTCTTGCCATTTTAAAGGGGAATTCCACTTATTTTTAGAAAATTTGTGCATAATTCAATCATTAACATGTAAACAAAGTCATTTAGAGTGGTTTGGTGTGAAATGCTCTGTTCTAGAGACAGAATTGTCAGATTTGTTCACAGTGGTGTTGACAGGAACCAGACAGAACAAAGAGTTTAATGACTCTTAAAGGTCCCTTAAAGAAAGCTATTACATGAAATAGTTATTTGTCTCCTGACAACCGAGACATTGTTTTATGCTTTTGGCCCAAAACATACATATTTTTCACATATTGAGCCAGCAAGTGAGCATTTAATAATTATCACTAATTATCTATTATTATTATTATTATTATTATTGTTATTATTATTATTACTTCAATCTATATTTTGATTAATACTGAAAATATATTGTGATTTTATGCCCATATTGCACCTGACACTGCTCAACTCAGGGTGCTGTTTTACTTATAAGGACCTTAACACCAATTTAACACCTGAACATGTTTCCTCACCTGTTGTAGTCGACGAAGCGGATGAGGAGTGGATAGAAGGCGTACAAATCCCGCACCAGGATGGTGAACTCGTCCAGGATGAGCAGCTCGGCCTCAGACATCTCGCCCCGCCCCTCAGCCTTGGTGTGCTCCTCGTCCAGCAGCACAGTGGCCGCTTTCTTCTTTAGTTTCTCCATCAGCGGCAGGAAGTGAGTTTTCAGCAGCTGTGGCCGGGCCTTGCTGATGATGGGCTGAGAGAAGACTGCCAAGTAGAAGAGCAGTGATGAGAGGAGGGCGTAAAAGGACAAGACAAGGAACTGTTAGCAGCTATGCACTGCACTTTTGTCCATGTTTATAGATAAACAGCATAAGCAAGTCTATTTGATAGAACTTGGCATGGTTTGAGGCTAAAGTGTGATGATTTTAGCACGCGGTTTGCATGGTGCTAGTTGGCTTGTTGGTTAGGGTTAAAGTAAAACAAGTGAAAAAAACAGGAGCCTCCAAAAACATAATTAAAAAAAATCATTAAAAGCTACATAGAAAATGTCTCCTAATAACCATGCAAGACCTGGTAGACCACCGCAACTGTCCCCATCAGATAAACAGCACTTAAAGCTTTCATCTTCGAGAGAGAGGAGAAAATCAAGCTGCTTCAGATCTGAAAACATCCAAAATGTTTCTGTCCATCCTTCTGAAAGAATGTGCAGCTCTCAAGAGGTTATTGAGAAAGGAAAGTAGACCAAAAAGAAGAAAATCTGCAAAATTACAAAGAAGCTGCTGGTGTTTACAAACCAATGGGCTGACCTCAACATCACTGAATACGTTTGAGATTACTTGGATCATGAGAAACAGAACATGCAACCAACTTCTAAGACTGAACTTTGGAGGCATGGAAAAAAACTTACAAATGTATTTAATGGCTGTTTTGACTGGAAGTGAAATAAATGAGGATCAAATCTGGATACGGTTTCAAGAGAAGTGAATCTTCTAACATCTCACTATATGAGAAACTGATCCATTTCCCAAAGTTGTATCAGGTTTGTATGAGCAGGAAACAATACTTACCCGCAAGTCTCTTCATCCACGCGCCCTCGTCGATGCCCAAGTTGTTGTAGATGATCTTGAGGATGTTCCCCAGCAGGGCGTTCATGTGTTCAGAGGTGAGGGAGGTGCAGCAGCTCTCGGAGCGCTCCGGGTTGCTCTCGGGTCCGTGCTCCCACCAGTGGGACATGTAGCTGCACAGCATGGGCAGAACTACCTCCATCACGTGGGGCATCTGAGTGTAGCGCATCCCCGACTCCGCCAGCTCCATAATCTCCTCCAGAGCTTTTTCTAGAGACGGCACCAGAGGACACACCTCCTCCACCTGGGTCGGAAGGCCAGAGGCTGATGGAGAAAGAGAGAAGGAGAGGGAGAGAGAGAGGAAAAGAGAAAGAAAGAGAATGTTCATTAATTAATAATCTACAGCTCACAAATGCATTAATGGAGCAACTGCTGTTGTACAGATGATTGGAAAAAAACTGCTCATGTCAAAATACTTACAATTTTCATATTAATTTCTAATTATATTCATTTTGTAAGCATGTCACATTTAGTTGTGTAATCAGGCTAATTAGCTGTTAGCTGTTAGCATGGTGGCTCAGTAGTGTAGCATTTTGAATTTACTTCAGTTAATTTAATGACAAGTTTAGCTTCAGCAATTACAGCAAATCATCCATGCAGTGTTACTATAATATAATCTTTAAAATGAGTTTTACTGTAAGTAAATAATTTAAGTTTTAGCTTATTTAGCACCAATAACTCTTTTTAAGTTCTAATGAAATATTGCTATTGATTAACTGTCCTATGTCCTAAGTCTCAGTGGTCCTAACTGACAAAATATGAAGGAATAAATGAAAAGCAAAAGATTCATCCATGTGTACGTGGAGGGCGTGGTGGCCAGATTATCCTGTGGCATGGGATGCATCTAATCTAATAGTCTTCAAATCTGGACTTTCCATTTGGATTCAAACTGGATTCAAGGTCCGGATTTAAAGATCTCTGGTCTAATCCAATCTTAGCCCTTCCAATCTACATGTTGAATATGTAAAACCCATCCTGTAGTGTTGAGGAAACACAGACTGTCTCATATGTAACACGATGTTAACGTCATGCATGAAAGATCCATAAACTGAACGAAAGGTTAAAACTTGATTTATCTAAATTCCACTGCATCAGTTATGCGAATTTCCACTAGCACAACTTTGGGAATTGCATGTTTTGTTAGTATGAATCTAACATTCGTCTTATAAAAATAATAAAAAAAAAAATGCACACAACTGCCACAGCAACTGTGCCACTGCCACATGCCTCAACACCATCCGCCATGTTTGGTTTAGTTGTTGTTATTGCTCGATGGTCAGTCATATCAATAAGTGGTGGGTGTTTATAGGCTGAAGGATGGTCGTGTAAGGACAGTTTCCACTCACCTGTCCTGTCTCTGGAGCCTTTGGTGTTATAGATGGAGTAGCTGTTGTACTTGTTAAGATGAGGCTCCAGAAAAGCCACAGGGAACGCTCCAGAAAATGCAGCCAGACATTCGCCCAGAGCAGGCCGCTGTCTGCACACAACCCAAAGCACAGCACATTGCTACAATACACCTGAAATCTGATTTATAAAATATGTTATATATATATATATATATATATATATATGTAAAATATAGTTCTATTATTTCATAACACCTTAGTTAAGTTAACAGGCTCATGTTCAAAGATACGACAATCGTTTGTAAATACAAATAAAGTATCTTGCAGCTGCTTTTGTAAAATAGTCCCCTCTCCTGATAAACTATACTTTGTAGTGCAGAGACTCTGTTCATTACCTTTCTACGTAGATGCTTTTGCTGGTGCCAAGAGAGTAGAGGCTGTTTAGGATCCTATAGCAGGAGACCTGGACGTCATCCACTGCAAAGCAACAAGACACAGGATATTTATCCCACTGGGAAAGTTTCACTGTATAGACAAACAGTGTCAAATATAGGGCAAAATCTCAGTTCAATTAGTTTTCCCTGTTTAACTGATTCAACTTGTCGGCTAAATATAACTTTTAATGCACAATTACTAAGTTGAATAGAAAGCAGGCAATGTTACAGTAGGTACAGTAGTCACTGTTGTACATTGTGTTGGCCCTCCAGAACCCCAGGTTAGTTGCTGTTAATAACCAGTTAATGATAAACTTTGTAGATCAGGAATTCCAGCTCCTCTAGGACCAGCCTATAGCTTATGCCTGGTGCAAACTACAATATCACTGAGCTGATTCTGAGGCTGACCCCCTCTCGACAACTGCAAAAGATATCCTGATATTTGAAGCTTGTCGTCCTAGATTATTCTGCGGCATGGGGTGCATCTAATCCAGTCTTCAAATCTGGACCTTCCATTCTTGGATTTTGTGATTATTGGTAGTTAACTGAACTGATGTTGATGTAACTGACTGGTCATCTACTGTCACACCTACCTGTGACCGCAAAATCCAGGACCAGAAACTGGATTCAAGGTCCGGATTTAAATATCTCTGGTCTAATCCAATTGTAACCCTTCCGATCTACATGTTCACTGTTTACAACCCATCCTGTAGTGTTGGGGGAACACCGACTGTCTCATATGAAACATAATGATAACGTCACACATGAAAGATCCATCAGTTGAATGGAAGGTTAAAATTTGATCTATCCTGATTCCACTGTATCAGTAATGCTAATTTCCACTAGCCCTGCTTTGGGAATTGCATGTTTTGTTAGTATGAATTTAACATTCGTCTTATTAATGTAAAAATCAGCTTTTTTGTGCTGCAAAATGCTCACAAGTGCCACAGCAATCCATCATCCTTCATGTTTGGTTTGATCTAAACTTAAATTTGTTCATGAGAAATTCTGCAAAATCCCTGAAAGTTGTGGTGTTTCTATTCTGTGAATGTCATATAATGTGAAGGATGACTAAGGAAGAAAAGTGATGAACTCTGTCGTTATGTGAGGAGTTCTCCCATTTTCATCAGGATTTTATAGATCCCGTAAGTTGGGCCAGACATTACTAATAGAGCGTACTCTGTACAGACCATGTTTTAATGGTTCTAGTGCTTGCATTCTCTACTGCACTACTAAAAACAAGCCTGGAGATTCCTGATTGGCATTCAACATGAAGCTAAAGCGAAGCATGTGAAATGTACACTCACGTATAAGATCCTCTCCGAACAGGTTTTGTCCGATGTGTTCAAACAGTGAGGAGAGAACAGGCAGCAGGGCCACAGTGGTGTAGTTGATGATTTGGGTGACTCCTCTGGGTTGGCTTCTGGTGTGCGTGAACTGACCCTGCCGCAGGTTCTCCATCGTCCGCTCCAGATCCTCGGCAGCGTTGTCGAAAAATGCCCGCAGAGCCGCCTTCACTGACTCCAAACCTGTTTTCATCACCGTCCTAGAGAGGAGGGCAAATCCATACATCGTCAAGTTCTAGGACAGGTCACAAGAACTAAACGTTCCATGTTTTCAAAGGAACACATGCACAAGTACCACATTAACACTTTCAGGGTACTTCAGAATGATTTTGAGTACTGCAGTACTTCATTTAATTGTATAAAACATTTAGACTATACTTTTTGTACAGTCCCTTAAGTTCTAGGGATTAACCAGGTAAGTTAAGGCACAAACTTCAAAGTATGAGGTCATTACTTTGGGTAACGAAATGTCCATCAGGTTTTAGAACAGGCATGACAAACTGGGCCTTCTGGGCCAAAGTGCTGGGGAGAGCATTTACCCTCTTCTAACACTCTGAATTCAGTTCATGAAGGCCTTGCTAATAAGCTGATGAGCTGAATCAGGTGTGTTTAATGAGGTAGCGTTCTGAAGTCTGCGGTGTTTTGGCCTGCCAGGACCGGAGCCTGACACATGTGTCTTAGCTGTTAACTGCAAAAGTATCTGGTACAAAATTATCCCACAGAAATTAACCACAGGGCCTGTAAGTGTAAAAGGTCTTATCTCACTGCACTGAATTCCCTGAGCTGACGGGAGGCGGTGGCGTCACTGACCTGGCATCCAGTGTCTGTCCCAGTATGTGAAGGCAGTTCACAATAGAGGTAGCATCGTTTCCTGAGAAAGTGGCAGAGAAAACATATCAGAGCAAAGCAGAGAAGCACTTTGGGTAATGCTTTGTCTTTTGTACACTCTCAGAAAAAAATGTACCATTCAGGAAACAAATGCTGTCACTGGGGTGCTACCCTAAAGGGTACGTCTTCAATAACTTTATTAGGGAACATAATTGTTCCATTTTTTTTAATGCAGTGACTCCATACAATTTGCCTTAAGTCCAAGCTTTGTAGTTTATTTTACCACTTAAAGTAGTTACATTATGAAACGAGACAAAGATGCATCTTTTCCCCTGAGAAAGAGTGTATTATACCTTTAAAAGCTTTTTTTCTGACAGTGTTTTTGTGAAACAGAGGCACTTACCTGGACTAAAGGCTAGACTTTTTATTATTAGCATGCAGTTACAAACATTACACAGTCCAAAATTTTGCTCAAACTTATAAATGACCTTTCTAGCTCCACCTTGCTGGAGTACAGTTAGAGACTGTAGCCCATCTGTACAGATTGTGTTGACCATCCTCTAGACCTCCATCAGTGGCCAGTTTGTGAGCCACTCTTGGCTGGATATTTTTGGGTGGTGGTCCACTCTCAACCTAACAGTGACTCTAGCTGTGTTTTCATGCAAAGATTTTTGCCAATCTGATTGAATACTTTCTGAATATAGATTAAGACTTGGTTGTTTATTTGCTCACTCTACTCACCAATCTGATGGAAAATCTCTGTTTACATGCTCACTACAAGTAATGCAGTCAAAATTATGCGCATGCATTACCATGACAACCAGCATCACGTGAGTCCAGTCAGAGTGAGATGAGCAGCAGTGAGCAGTGCTTGTGTTTTTAAATGCTTTAAAATGATGTCAGACTCAGGAAAACGTCCTTCACATGTCCTTATTAAAGAAGGCCGAGAGGAAGACGTCGTGTTCTGAGACACATAAGCTGGACGTCCGTCCCACCGCCGTCTTTTAAAGATCAGAGCATAAACTTTGTCTCCTCTGCAGACCAGTTTCTGCTCCGCCATGTTGAACGGTATAAACTTTTGCTATGACGCGACGAACATGATCAGAACGGACTTAAACTTTCCGATAGGGAATGTAATCAGATACAGGCGTTTACATGGCTATTATTCTTCTATTTAACGGATTATTTACAGGATTACACACACAACCAATTATTAGGCTGCATGTAAACGTGGGTACTGATGTGTGTGAAAACTCAGCTGTGTCTGAACTCCAGAGAGACACTGCAACAATGATGGAAAACATCTATTTTTTAATATATGAGGCACATGAGTTTGCAAATCTATTTGCAGTCTGAAGTTTATCCAGTAGAGAGCACTAAAAACATGCAAGTCACTATGAATCTACACCAGAAGAAGCTTATGAATGCATGTGTTTGCAGTAACAATGATTAAAATGACAGGCAACGCAGTTTTTCAAAAGATGCTGGATTACTCAGTATTATCTAATATGTGGGCTTCATTAAGGATGTTCATTAAAACAGTCAATGTTCAAAAAAGCATATAAACTAAAAATACAACACAAAGTAGGTCAATGAAGCAGCAGACTGCATGTACTGGTTGGGTGGAGGGGGTGGGGGTGGACATAATCCACAATCGTGATTCTTTAACCCTCTATTACACAATGTTGTCTCAGGGCAACAAACATTCTCCTCACTTTACAATAACATTATACATATTTAAGGACACTGACAGGGTTAACAGTAAAGGGCAGAGTTTGAGTAAGTCAGTAAAAAAGCATGTATTTGGTCATACCATCTCCTAGTGGGCACTTTCAAACCTCTTTTTACCAATCAGTATCATTTTTCAGTTATGTGAAATTGCAGAAATATGTTTGTTGCCTAGAAGCAACACTGTGCGACAGTGGAACGGATTTAGCCAGTCAAAAGCCAGGTCAGGTCACCACTTCAGGGAACGCGGATCTATATCATTTCGTCCCATTGTCGCGCAATGTTGCCTCAAGGCAAGATACCCCAAAAGGACCCCTGAACAATTATTATTTAAAAATTGATTTGAATTCAATAATTAGGTCAATTTTACACAAAATTTTAAGAAAAGTGAATAGAATATATTTTTTTAATTGTTCTCATAATGTGTGCGGTAGAGGGTTAACTAGAAAATATCATGTCATTGTGATTTCCAACAGCACATTATATGTATATTAAATATTTTATTTATGTATTTTTCTATTCTGCCAGTGTACCTGCTGTGCTGAGAATGATCCACCACCCAAATAATATCTGGACAATAATCACACAGTTATCCGAGCCAAACAGCGGTGATAGTTGCTTTTTCTTGTTAATTAGTTGGAGCAAAATCTTGGACCCCAGCTCACTCTTCTGTCAGTACTGCTGGCTATTAGGATGCAACTCATAACTACATGAAAACAAAATGAAAACTTTGCATGCCTTATCACCAAAAAAACAACAAAAGGGAACATCAAATCCATTCAACCTCCTGCTCCTGCCCATTTCTAGTCATGTCACGATAATCGGCTTAGAGGAGCTTCAGCTGAGGGACGCGCTTCAAAGCTTCTGGAGCTATTTTGATTACATTAGACATAAAACAGGGCTCCAATTTCTGATTATGCACAAGTCTATCTTGTCTGCTTGACTCAGGAGGCTCCCCAAAGGCATGACAGCACATCACACACGACATACACACACACAGCATTCAAAAATAACCCACACAGCTAGAGCAGCCTTACCAAACAGAGATATCCTATGCCTGACAAGAACTCCCAGTTTGCAGAAAAGACTGAGCAAGAGGAAAAGGTGAAGGAGAGGAGCAGAAGAGAAGGCAAATATTAGTAGAATCAGTCAGGTAATCTGAAGTACAGGCAAAAGCAGAGAAAATCCAAGGATGATTCAACAGATTTTTAATATTTCTGCATAATTAAACGGTTATAGTGTAAATATGGTCATTCAGTGCGGACTGATGTGAAATGCGCCATTGTAGAGAAATCTGCTCCGTCAGAATTGTTTACAGTGGCGATGATGGGAACCAGACGTCACTTTTAATGCCTCTAATTAAATGGTTAGAAATATGCTGCCTGATGCCTGAAACATTTCATTATGATCATTTTGAGACAAGATTTGGCATAAGGCATATTTTTTAAAATCGATTTACAGCAGAGAGGTACTTGTAGGGTGTTCTGGGGCAAAATGGTCTCCAAAGAAAATTTATATCAGATTTTCTACTAGTTTCCTACTATAAACATTACATTTAAAACTCGGTTTCACTGGTGGTTTTGGATGGTAAATAAAAAGGCTATATTTGTGCTGTAGACCACTGTGACCCCTGGTTCCCATCACCACCACTGTAATGAAATCTGAGTCTATAAGTTTCTCTACAGTGAACTATTTCACACCAAACCACTCTGACTGGCTCTGTTTACATCTTAACTGTTGAATTTTGCAGAGACTGGTACAAAAATCTTCTTGGTGGAGCCTAAATAAGCTTAAAAATACAAGATAACACTAATTGCATGTGTATATTAAGACAATTAACAGCATTAATGAGAATAAATAAGGTATTATAATTAGTTTACTATGAGCTCCCACAGTTCTGTGCAGTAAAATCAGCACTGTTGCTGTGAAATGAATCAAATCTTTCCGGAGCACAATTAGCTCTGTAGATGTTCATTTAGCACTAGTAATATTATTGCATATTGATATGCATTATTTAATTATAGCATAAAATGCATACAGAGCCTTCCAGAATTATCGGCACCCCTGTCGCTTTTCACTTCCTTTCACTTGGAACTTATACTCTCTTAAACGTATACCTTAATTATGTTTGTTTTATTACAACATTTAAAAAATGTTATTTTAGTATGTTTATGACAGAACATTTCATTTTGTCACTACTAATAGAATAATAGCACCAAAAATGTACGCAAAGTGACGATTTTGCTTAATTTTGAGCAGAACTCATAAACGCAAACACAGCTTTGAACAGTTATAAACAAATAAAATCATATTTTTGAACTTTTTTAAGTTTACTTATTTGCAGAAAACGTGTGTTTCAGTACTGCAAATTCTTAATGTTCCACACTGATTTTCAGACTTTGGGACACATTTGCTTCAAAACAGTGGGGTCTAACTGCTCACCATGTGGCCATGAGGGACAGGGATGCAGTCTCACTTCATGCTCTAACATGCAGGGGTGTGGCTAAAATAAGGCTCCACCTACAGACTCAACTCTGTGTGTTTTATTAGTGACATGAAAATGTTTGACAGCATTTTTTGAGTTTTTAATTTTTTTATTTAAAAATGAAACTCATGGTAAATCTGAATCTTTCAACTTCACTTTAAAAGGAATCAAAATCTTTTTAAAACAACACTGACAGAAACGTAAAAAAATTAAGTATTATTTTCACAATTTGAAATGTAAAAGTTATGGTTTAAGACATAAATGATGATTTCGGATATATTTAGCTTATTACTAACTTTATTAATGCCTTTGGTTTAAATAGAAAATAATATAGACCCCATAAATATGTAAAGTTTGAATACCTAATTGTTTTATCAAGTAGTGTTTTGACTGTGCACCCACAGGTTGAACTAACACAGTAGCATGGACTATATTTGAGAGAAAACTAACGTTTCAGTGAAGTAAATTAACAATAATAATAATAATAATAATAATAATAATGTTGTGGCTGCTGCAGCTCTGTATATCTAAGTCTTGTGGCCCATGCACTCCAATCTCATGTGGACAACATCATCACGTCTAATCTGAGGTCTAGTGCATACAACGTATCTACGAGAGGGGACTTAATGAATTGGATGAACAAAGTACTCATTATTTCTGTTACATTTGTTACATTTTTGGAACTCTTACTGTTTCATTTATGTTGTCACATGAGTTTCACTATGAATTTAGGGTTCCATCTGCATGAACAGCTTCATATAATACCTTTGGGATGAGCCTGAATGAGGTTTGTGATCAAACATCAGTACCTGACCTCACTAATGCTCTTGTGGCTGCAATCAAATCCTCACAGCAATGTTCCAACATCCAGTGTAAAGCTTTCCAAGAAGAGTAGAGTAGTAAAGCTTTTGGATATGTACTTTATCTATCCATCTTCATCAACACTGGGTTTAGGGTGCTGATAGTTTTGGAGAGCTTCATTTATGTATGCAGGTAAGCCTGAGTTCATTCACTCATTCATTCTACTGCACATTGAGTGCATCTACTGAGAGCAAGACAGTTTACTGTGTTTTACCCTGTGAGACGCTTCACCACCCACCTGGTCACCATCTCTTTCTCCTTATTGGACGCGTGGCCTCCGCTGCCAATCGGACGGACAGCAGTAGACAGGAAGTAGAGCCGATGGTTCTTAAAGTACTGGTCAACGAGAGGCAGGACAACCTGTGGAAGCACAGGGCCAAACAATAAGACATAAAAAAATCACAACTCCATGTAATTTGTATGTTTCTGCAGGGGAGTCTCTGCAGCACACAAGGTTGCATGGGAGAAAGAGAGAGAATGTACTTTTTAAAATACTGAAAATGTGCAGACGAGAATGAGCATCAGACCTTTCCAAAGAACTTCATCTGCTGCTCGTGAGGGATTTTCTCTCCTTTTGGTCGCGTGCTAACATCTGAAACAGACACCAAACCGTACAAGCAAATAACAAAGAACTGATAATCATTCAAAGGGTCCGTATCATATAAAGCCGAGTTTACCTTAAATAAAGGAGTTTGATTAAGCAATAGAACACGAGAGGGAGTGTGTTATCGCGAGACAGCCTTCGGCTCGTGCCTGCGACCAAATCACAGCTGTGATGTTATTCACGATAACACACGACCTTGAGTGTTCTGTTGCTTTTATACGACAGTTAAATAAATAAAGTAAGAAATTAATAAACTGCGCCATGAACGTGGCGTTTAATATGTTTTAATGGCTCAGTCCGATTTGGTCAGACTCTGAAGATCAGACTACACATTCGGCGAATGGTGTTGGGTTCATTTCTGGCTGATTCCAGGTTGTTCAGCTGTTCTTCTGTCACAGCTGCCGACTGAAAAGCTGCTCAGTGGTGATGACAGTTTGGGAATTGAGTGTCATCTCACCTTCAGAGTCTGTCCAAATCGTCTGTTGGTCAAATGTGATCTTAAAAGTGTCCATTTTCTGTTTGTGGCAAAGTAAGAAGTAAAAACGTTCAAATGGCTTGAGCGTCTCCTACAGCTGTCACAGTCGTTGCTTAGCAACGTCGTCTCAGCGGAGTGATACAGTGTTTGTGAAAAAACCGTGATGTTATGGTGAAATAACAGCACGGTTAGAACACCTCTCAACCAATCAGCTTGCGTGGCCGGAACTAACTGTTGTATAATGTGTAATAATAATAATATGTGAATACTGTTAAAGTTCCACAGTTCATTCTGTCCATATATGGAAACTAAGCTTTAAAAACAGCCCATGTTGAATTCAGTGATGCTGTGATGTCACAAGAACCATCTAATTTACATACATCCGACAACAGCAGTTTCATTCATATCGAAATTGCAGTGTGTTTCAGCTCTGAGTGCTTTTTTAATCAGACACGATAAAGGGCCACCAATCAGAACAGAGCTCATTTACATATGTCAATCTTAAAGGTAACAATACAGTAACAAAAACAGCCTGTTAAACTCTGAAGGAAAAGAAAGGACGGGAAAAAAATCAATTAATAATGAATTAAATGAATTTGGTATATAAAAGTGGGCCACAAAGGAAAAAACATTAAATACAAGAAAAATGTAGAATATGGGCCCTTTAATGCTATAATAATTACTCTTTCACAAGGGTGATGTAGTGTTTTTCCTTTAATAAATGAAAGGATAATTTAAAAACTCTCTTTGTTTTATACTCTTTGTGTTATATTACATTTTGTCAGGGCATCTGAATCCATTCAGTGTGACAAATGTGCAAAAATTACAGAGCCCCGCTGGTGACATCCTGTATAAATAAAACTAATGCGTGGCCATGACTTAGTAATGCATGATCTTGTTCCCATGCCTTAGTCTTGGCTATGACTTAATTATCTCATTCCCACACCTTACTAAGTCGTGGCCACGCATTTGGTCCTCGTTCCCACGCATTAATAACTGGCCACATGTTACATTTATTTACATGGGATGTCACCACCAGGGCTCTGTAAAAAATAGTGGAAATCAGGAAGGGGCAAATACTTTTTCAAGGCACAGTAAAGATGTTGTTTTATTATTATTATTATTATTATTATTATTATTATTATTAACACTATTTGGGTGGAAACAATTGTAACAGGAGAAAATGTATAATTATTCTAATAAGGAATAAGGAACAGAACCATGGATCCTGCTGTATGTTACACATAGGCTCAGATCACGTGGCTATACAGCACCACAATAGCAGTATACGAACCGAGGTGCTGGCCACGTCTCTACTATAAGCATATATGTTTTTCATATTGAGGCAAAACGATATCAAGATACATATACAGTTTGCAGATCACAACTTTTTTCTTTAACTCGTTTGGCTGATGTGGGCGTCCTCTACTCTGTCCAAGTGTCAGGTCTCTCCTTTACAGATCCCTCAGGTACATCCTTTCAACATCTGGAGCTTCAAATTCAAAACCCTTTCAAAGGAACCCTAACTCATTACTAAAACGCACTGGGGGCAGTCTTGGGCTGGAGGTTAGGGAACCAGCCCTGTGACCGGAAGGTTGCAGGTTTGATCCCCTGAGCCGACAATAGCCCTTGAGCAAGACACCTAACCCCCAACTGCTCCCTGGGTGCTGTGGATAGGGCTGCCCAGCACTCCAGGCAAGTGTGCTCACTGCCCCCTAGTGTGTGTATGTTCACTAGTGTGTATGTGGTGTTTTACTGCACGGATGGGTCAAAATGCAGAGGTGAAATTTCCCCGTTGTGGGACTAATAAGGGTCACTTAGGATAGTGAAATGCCATGAAGCAGTGATTGGAGGAGAAAACGAAATGGATGTGGAGAAGGCCAGGATTATAATCAGCCATAACACAATGACAAATGTGAGATTAGTTCTTTTTTCCACTGTGCTGCTAGCAAAGCCTGCCACGAGTCAAAACAGAGGTTTAGATTTTCTCATAATTGCCCAAGGGGGGCACCTAGTGGCTCGGGCCCCTGAGCATGCACCCATAAACCCCATTGGGATGATCCAGGCTTAGTTACGCATACCTTAATCCCGTAATATACCATGATAACGTAATGCAAAATAAAGGTGTAAAATGCCCTGCTCAGAACTGGTCAGTACTTTATGTGAATCTTTAAGTTTTATTTCTTTTTTCTCATCAGCTTTGCTGATAAAGTTCTAGTTTCTAAAAAAACTCACCGAACTCCAGCATGTGTTCATGGGCCTCATCCACATAGGTGATGAGCTGCTGTAAAAACGTGTAGGCAAAGCGCTTCTCTATGGACGGGGTGTCGAGTTCCTGCTCCTTCATAGCCCTGTGGAGCCAATGTGCAGGACACTATTATGAAAGGTACAGCAAAGACGGGTCGGGTCACACCATGTCACCTAGCGCCTGTTCCCGTCACAGTCTTGCATGAAAAAACTTAGGCCAAAACTTTTAATTCATCACCTGCATCTAAATTACTGACCTTCTCTGCTGACGAATGACTGAACTGCACTGAAATATTAATTTTGAGTAAATGCTAAGAAAAATATTTCACTTTAAATGAACTGGTTTCATAAATTCCTACAGTAGGTTAATTTATTGGAGGATGTACATTTAATGTCAGCTTGTACAGCGTTTCAGATGACAATGCAGTCTTTGAAATGTAATTTCCTTTTTCACAATTCATAATTTTTAGTTTCTTCAGGAACTGGACAGGGGTCAGACTTTTGGAAAACTGCTTAAGAAACAAACAAAAAAAACTCTTCAAAAGCCTTCAAAGATTTTTCAGATTTTCAACAAGTACACTGTAAAAAGTGGCTCGTCAGATCTACTTAATAAATAATTACTTCATGTGGTAACAAGTAAATTAACTAGTCTTATTCAACCTAAATAAATACTTTGAATGAACGATTCTTTCGAAGGAATTTTTTGACTTGAATAAAACTAGTTAATTTACTTGTTACCACATGAAGTAATTATTTATTAAGTAGATCTGACGAGCCACTTTTTACAGTGTAACAACACGTTTATAATACCAACAAGAAAGCCACACAGGCAGTGCAAAAGGATTAAAAACACACACATACGTGTGTTCTCACCTCGATACAGTGTATCCATTGATTTGCAGGAACTTGAGGATGTCTTGTGCTTTTTCTCTGTCTTTGGATTTCTCTTTGGCAGTTAGAGTGTCGTAGGGAACCAGTAACGGATGGCTCCCTCCACCTGCAAAACAATCCAAAAACAATCCCTGCCCTCAGAGCTGGTCAGTGTCAGATCTATTACTGCTATAGTATTATAGTATATTATAGCAACCACTAAAAGGGCCTTATTAAAAATTTTAACAAATCAGAGGGCCAGAGAGTGTTTATATTTAAATAAGCCAAAACGTTAACAGCAAAATATAGCCACTTAGTGTACCTTCAAATATTACATGTGAAGATTTGATATATTTAGGCTATATTAGCTACAGATAACTGTTAAATCTATTTAAATGTCCCTAGGATGTGTGCTTATAGTGTTTATGTTGGTTGAACCGCAGCTGAAACCCAGCTGGTGTGTTTGGTGGTGTGACGTGTAACTGGGTAGAAAGCTGCTGGCCCATACATTGTTGTTGGGACTGGGGTGTCAGTACAAAATTAAGTTGCAGTGCATGCTGGGGATTGTAGTGCTACTGATTGTGAAATGGGCTAAAAATTAATAGAAAATCAAAACAATTTGAGGGCTGGGTTGGATTATGCGATGAGCCTGATCTGGCCCACATGGGTACTACACTCTCAGAAAAAAGGTATGAAGCTGCCCCTCTTGTCGCTGGGGTGGGACCCTCAAGGGTACATCTCAGTACCTTTAGTCAGGGAACATAATTGTACCAAAATCCATTGAAATTATATTATTTAAGCTGTACTGACTCCACACACCCCGTCTCGTCTCCAGGCTTTTAATTTTATTGTTCTATTATAAAATATTAGGTTATGAAAAGATACAAATACATACTTTTTACCTGGAAAAACGTATTTAAGGCTCACAATTGGACCTTAAAAGCACTGTTGTACCTTTGATGGAACATTTACATTGTTTGTACCTTGATGAACGAAAAATGTACCTGCGCAGAACCTTTATTTCTAACAGTGTATAGTAACAGCTGTGTTGCCTTATTTATCCAACATCAGTCATGAGGACTAAAGGGTGTTTACTGCACATGTATACTGGGAGCCTACAAGAGCAACATTACCCTACTTAGAAAGAAAATGGAGATTTAGGTTCCCAGGGGCTTTAGGTGTCCATCCACAAACTCTGACAGAGAAATGTCTGTAATGTTTCTAGCGACTTCTATTACCCTTAGAAACTGGTTTAAACTGCACAACGTCATTCTAATTGTACGATTTTCTACATGGCCTTTGTATGAGTTTTGTCGCTAAGGCTGTGTTCACATTACCAGGTTGAAGAGGCACAAATCTGCTATGTTCTGCTGTACTGTGACACAGATCTGATGTTTTCTGAGGTGTGAACATAAATCAATCAGATCTGAGCCACTATGGCTTTGTCCACATTACAATCCTTAGCATTCAATTCTGATTTTGTGCTCAGATCTGATCTTTCTGACTTCATGTTTCACCTTTGAGTGGGTAAAGTGACTGTATCTGTCAGTAATGTGAACGGAGCAGCACCCTGAAACAACCCACATACTCACATCCCAAAAAAAAGGCCACATGAATGAATCGCCTGCATCACTGCAAAGATAATTTACTCTGAACAGCTCTCAGTTGTTGATTATTAGAGCCAGATGACAGCAAAAAAGGTCAGATGCCTCGTTTTTGGCACTGACTGATAAAATTAAGTGCTGCTGCCAGGCCAACGCTGAATGATGACGCAGTGGAAAAATAAACAAACAAACAAAAAAAAACATGTGGATTCTGATCCAGCCCTTCTCTTTCATGTTATGTAGCCATAAACAGGATATGTATCTAATCTAGTATACTATGAAAGTGGCTCAGATCTGAATAGAAAAGGTGATATTTGTTTGTCCACACAGCTCAGATCAAATCAACAGATCTGTGATACATTAAGGCAAAAAATCTGATTTGTGCCACTTTAGCCGGGAGCTGTGAACATAGCCTTTCAAATGTGCTCAGATACAAATCCAATTTATAGCCACACACAACCTTAATAAGAACAGTCAGATCAGAATTGATGTGTTTTTACTCTGTGTGTCCACATATTACCATCATCATCCCTTGTTTGGAGTGTGGCAGCGGCGGCTGACTTGAAGCTTCTGCCAGTAAACGCTGTAGTAATCAAACTTCTGGCTTTTTTTTTTCCTTTCTCCCCTAATCATGAACAAGCTGATTAGATCAGACCTTTGGGATGGAGGCTTGTGCTGCTGATTATTCACATGACCCTACTGAACAGGAAGTGTGCATGCAGGTCGTTTCAGGGCACAGATTAGTTCACACGAAAGACAGACACAGTTCACTTACATATATGGACGTAAAGCGTCAAGGAAGATCAGATCTGAGCAAAAAATCAGAACTGAGGAATAAAGCTTGCATAGTGGATGATATCACCACTGACTGGATGCGCGTGGACACCAACACTACAAACACTCCATTCTTACAAATTCGTTTTTCAAAAGCCAACCAGAGTTGAATCATACGATTCAGCTTGAAAAGCCAAGTTGAATCATATCGCTGGTGAAAATGTCAACAAATCACAGACGCACCTTTGGCTTCCAGTTCCAGTTTCTTCTTTTTAGCCCAGATGTTATGATAGTTCTCAGCGAGCAGCTCTGCCATTGACTGCAAAACACAGTCCAATGCATTTCAATGATGCAAGTGATTTTTCATTTCAGTATCTTTATGTAATGTAAAGTAATGAACTGAGCACAGGTTTCTAAAAGCGTTGTGTGAGTATCGTTATCGGATCATTCTACCAAAGTAGTTCAAACTACGGTTCCATAGTTAAAATAAATAAATAAATAAAATAGATATGAAAAATTAAGCTTTCAACCTTTAGATATTTACAAAGATTATGAGCTTTTTAAACCCAATGCACTTTATTGAGACTGTAATAAGCTAAATATACACAAAATCACCATTTATAGGGTATGTTCTATTGGGAGGTGTCTGTCCCAAATCTTAACCACCACATTTACACTTCTGACTTCTTTTAAAGTGAAGTTGAAAGAGTTAGATTTAGCATGAGTTTCATTTTTAAATAAAAAAAAAAAATCCTTACTCAAAAAAATGTACTTGCACATTTTAATGTCACTAACGAAACACAAAGAGTTTTAGTCCATAGGTGGAGCTTTATTTCAGCCTTCACTTTAGAGCAGGAAGTAAGACTGCACATGGTGAGCAATTAGACCTCATTGTTTTAAATAGGGTTAATATATCCCAAAGTCTGAAAATCAGTGCGGAACATTAAGAATTGTCAGTACCGAAACACAATTTCTGCAAATTAAGTAAACTATTTTGTGTTTTCATAGAAAAAAAGCTGTTTACTAGTTACGAACTGGCTAACATTTTTGAGTTCTGCTCAAAATTAGCTAAAATTGTCACCATCGAAACAGTCACTGAAACATTTGGTAAAGTTTCAGTGGTGTTATGATTGTTTTGGTAGTGACAAATGGAATGTTCAATCATTTATTGTAGTAAAATAAACATAATTCAGGTACAGCGTCCCTCAAAGCAACATAATTTAAGTCTAAATTTCAAGTCAGTTCAAGTTAGAAGTCCAAAATGTGTTTTCAGCTCTGACTCTGAACCAGTTCAGTAGAATGACCCTCATACAATCTGACAACAATACTAAGATCATGACTGAGATCATATTATCACTACAATGTCTGTTTTTTTTTTAAACTGATAAGTATTATTTAATGGTATTAACTTTTTGACTCACATGTAGGTCCCGGGAGAGAGTCACGTTGCTCATGTCTACCGGACGGGGGCTGAATCCATGAGCGCCCTCTATGGACAGCTACAGGGAGCACATGTAATTAAAAGACTTTGTTTCAAAACAGCACAATGCACTAAAACACACTTTCAAATAACAACATGAACCTAAGCTTAAACACACAGGAGCTATTTGCTCATAACGTCTACTTCAAAGTGGCAATAATTAAGCATCTTAAAAATAGTTAAAAGATGTTAAATGAGCATTGAATCACTTAGCTAACAATTTTAGTTAACATTCAGCCAAAGCAGTATATTATACCCAGGAAACAGTGCACAAGTTTAAGTGCTTGAGTACATAATACCATTTATTCTTGACCTTTTAAGCACCCAGCAACCAAAATCAAAAGTACAGTGCTAGTGCTCATGCTAACAGGCCTAGTGAGGCCCCAATCAGAGTAAAGAGTGTTGTGACCTGGCTGGAGAGAGATATCCTGCGAGTGCGGCTGTGTAAGCTGGCCGGGTCACTCTCCCTTGTCCTTTCTATGCTCCAGCCCCACGACAACATGGTCTTCAGGGTCTCTCTGATAGGCCAGCGGTATACCTCTTTATCCTAGAGGAAAAACAAGAAAGAAGAGTGAATATTATTGGCCAAAAAAAGGTAATGTGATTGTTTTTAATATGAAATGAGCCATGCAAAATAAAATGTTACCACTACTGTACTGTATTAGACTTGCCTTCTGCATATAATGCAGTGCCTTGTTTACAGCAATTACTGCATGATTCTGCTATAACTGGCCACTTTATCAGAAACCCCTCTCTTCTTGCTTCACCCTGCTGGTGTACAATTACAGATTGTAGCCCATCTGTTCATACACAGTCTGTGTTATCCATCCTCTAGATCAGGGCTCTTTAATTAAAATTCAGGTTACACAAAGGTCCAATTGGAGAAAATATCCTCAAGCAAAGGTCCAGAACATCATAATGTCTAACTTGCATCATGATTCAGTGCCATATACTGTTTACTGAAGTAGCCTAGTAGGTATATGAACATCGTATACAGTCAACAACTGAATGTCAAATCAAATAAAGTGCAATTCAGTCATATTTCAACAACATTTATTGTCAGTTTTCTCTTTTAGAGCCGCCATATGAAATAACTTCCCTCTGACTCACTTTCTCCTCTGACTGCTGTTTCTTGCCTCGTCCCTCCCCTGTTTCTGCATCACTCACTCGAGTCTCAGCGCTCATCGTAATGCACAGATCTGATTGGCTGAGTAGCGTCACGTGTCATATTTACAACGCGTGCGAGTGGTCTGTGAGTCTTCCAGGTCACTAAAGCCATAAGTTATGCTGATTAAAATAGAACCACCCCATTGAAATTGAATAATTCTCTATAGTTTATCAGTTACAGGTCCGGGTTCGCATAGGACAGCGTCTGGGTCCGGACTCGGACCACGGTCCGCCGAATAGTGACCTCTACCCTAGATCTGCATCAACGGTTCATTTCTGACAAAAGAGCCACTTTTGTCTGGATATTTTTGGGCGGCGGTCCACCCTCAACCTAGCTGTGACACTGACGTGTAAAAATTCTAGCAACTCCTACCTGTTACACTCATACCAGCACCACACACACTACCACGTCAGTGTCACTGCTGTGCTGAGAACGATCCTCAACCCCAATTATATCTAGGCAACAGAGGTTCTGTGGTCAGAAACTGACCAATGAAGAATGGGGTAAAGGGGGGCTGACAAACTGAAGCAACAGATGTTCTACAGTCTGTAACTGTACACCTAAACAGTGGAGCTACAAAGTAGGTGGAGGTCATAAAGTGGACAGCGAGTGGAAGTACACGGTAGGAGTTTCTAATAAAGTGGACAATTTGTGTACATCAGTACTCCACAGCTCATTCTCTATGGGTAATATGATGCGAGTACCTTCTCAGACAGCCCCTTGTAAGGTTTCAGCAGGGGGTGAACTTTAGATGCCTCACACAGCTGCTCCCCGTGCACCCAGCCATTAGCAAACTACAGAGAGAGAGAAAGGAGAAAAGAGAAGGAAAAGACAGAGGAAAGAAAGAAAATTACACAATTAAAACATGACTATAAAAATACAGAATTACAGACAAGCACAAGCACATAAAAGAAACAGAGAGACACACAGAGTAAGTGATAGAGAGATAAAGAGGGAAAGACAGTACAGTCCCTATAGATGTGCAGCTCTGACAGCAGATGCTGCTACAGCTCTGAGCCTCATTACCTTCTCCATTGACCATTTCTCATGCGAGTGCTCTGCGTATTTATTGATGAAGTGATCCAGCTTCTCAGGAATATTCACGCTGAGGAAAAAGAATAATGACTCGATCAATCAACGAAGGCTTATGCTGTCATTTTCGTGGCTAATCAAATGTTTTTAAGGAAATATTTCAGACAGCTTGCATGCTAATAGCACTGATGAGAAGTTATAGTTAACACTTTTTAATTAAAATTATTGAAATTATAAGGGAATTTCACCAATTTTTTCAAAATGTCGATATAATTAATTCATTAACATGTAAACTAAGTCACTCAGAGTGGGCTGGTGTGAAACGCTTTGTCCTGGAGAAACGTCCAGAGTCAGAATTGTTCACAGTGCTGGTGATAAGAACCAGACGTCTGATGAGTTTAATGACCCCAAAGCTCCTGAACAGAAAGGTGTTGGATGAAATTGTTATGAATATGTTGCCTGATGCCTAAAGCTTTGTTTCATGATAGTTTTACAATGAAGTTTCAGAGGTTCATGAAGGATGTTGTGAGCAAAAATAGTCCCTAATTTTTTTTTTTTTTCAGATTTAACACTAAATAGTAAACAAAGTGAACAGTACACTAAATATTGGCATTGTAGACATTGTGACCCCTGGTTCCTATCAGCAGCACTGTAAAGAAATCTGAGTGAGTAAGTTTTTCTACAACAAACCATTTCACATCAAATCACTCTGAATGACCTTGTTTAGATCACAGTGATGAAATTGTGCAGAAACTGTGAAAAATTGGTGGGATTCCCCTTTAAGTCACACTAGTTTAGGGGCATGAGAGTTTTTTATGACAAGTTTTAATGACTATGGTGGGGTTTCTGTTTTTGGTTGATATCAAATATCAAAAATTGACAAAAAAATGAAAGAGGAAGTCGTATTTAAAAGGGCAATGCTTTTTTTCAGAGCCATTACAACAAAAACTAACACAGCATTCATCCTCAACCAAAAACCTAATGAGAAAAGGTATTACATGAGAAAAGTGCTACTAACTTGCTGGTGTCAACAGGCTGGGGGTTAAAGTTGCCCTTCTGCATCCATGGATGACTGCTTCTCCATCATGGCCACATAGTTGGACTCCATGTAGTCTGGAGGTAAAGCCCCAGCTACGGCACTCAGACACGGCAGAGCCAACTTAAACAGCTCTGCATCGTACCTCTACAGAAACAAACACATCACCATTACCATGTACATTGCTGAATGGGCCATTACACAACAACTCAGCCCGGACCGGTCCAGTCAGGAAATCAACAACCCATCATTTGAATAGAGGCGCCCAAACATTTGCATATGACTATAGGCAAGAGATGCATATGACATTCAGCTCTTTCGCTCCTCCTTTGCAGTAAAATAAAGCTGATCGTTCTAACACAGTCTTAACAATAAATGGTCTTAAACGCTGGAGTTCCTGTAACCTATAACTGCTAATTCACCAACTTTTGACCCTGATGATTGGCGCACAGACTGCTGGTCACCACAGGTCACCAATTCAAACAAGAAGCTGGCGAATCAGTAGCTGACTTCAGCCTCATAAAAAAGTCGAACGTTCAGATACATTTTACAAGAAACTAACCTCTTTCTACTTTTGAGGAAAAGTTTCCTGCTGGAGATGTGAGAAAAGCAGCTTTAGCTGAGCTAAAACTTACAGCAGAGCAAAGTAAGTTTGTGTTTTCTATTATTTCTTTTATTTTTTTTTAGCCTATACTAGTACATCAGCACATACTGAGACATATTTACAGCCAAGATGGTAAAATGAACATAAAATGTGTCTCTCAAGGTGGTTTGATTTTTGCTGAAAGACAAAATGGCTTTTCTTAACGTTTGGGTTGCCGACCCCTGAACTAGCTACACTATTATATGTACAATATACACCTCTATTATACAATTTTATGTGTATCTGCAATGAGATCACTATGGCTTATCTGATTTAAAAATCTCAGTTTATTAGAGACATTAAGGCTTTTATGATATCACACTAGTTACAGGCCCAGTAAAAGGGCTCAGTAAGGACCATATGATGTCAAGATGGACAGACTGTTCAGTACCTTTCTGGCCAGGGCATCAAAGATTCCCCAAAAGAGTTTTCTGGACAGGTGCAGCTCCTCATCAGATGCTGCTCCAAAGCTGCCCCACCCACCGGACAGGCAGTAGTACTTCCAGCACCGCTCATAGTGGTTAGTCAACAACTGGGAAAGGACACAAGTGAGAAGCTCAAGTCAGTTAATGCTTTGATATACAGTCTTTTAAATGAATAATTTAGCATTCACCACTATTAAAAGAGACCAGCTTTCACACAGGTTGTAGTGCTTTATTTTCCAGCTGTTGTCGTCCACAGCCACGCCGTACATGAGCAAAGCTTTTCTCTTTTCTAACAGCTTGTTCTCTCCGCTAGGTCTATCTCTCATCTTCTCTCTTTCAGCACACACACACACACACACACACACACACACACTCTGGGGCAGTTCCTAGCGCCAACCTCTCCAATAAGACTCCTTAGCAAAATAAACCCAGTGAATAAATGCTGAAGAACACACAACCTAAAACTAACAATGTCAAAAACATTTCTTGAACATGCTACAATACTTTGCAGTAAAAAAAGGGACACAAAGAATTTGCAATCAAAATCACGCTAAATAGTCTCTACTTTACATTAACTTCAAATGGAGACTAAACAATTACGTTCAACTGGTCCACTTTACATTGGAAAGCATTAAACAGGATGGCTGAAGCACTTCGGGCAGATGTAGCTTAATTTTAGTTATCACACATATTCACACATTTTCCAAAGTTTCTTCATGGTTCTGTGGCAGTGTGATGTTGTTACACTAGATTATTCACTTCAGGGATTTTATTTTGAAATTAGCAAGGGCTTTTAACTGTTGGAGCATTCATTGAGGAGAGAAAGGGGGGACTATTAAATGTAAAATTCTTTCTGTAAATTTCTGAGTTTTAATTATTTTATTGTTTCTTTTGTCTACGGCAAATTATTTAGCTTGAGGAATATATAAGAGAGAAGTCTGATTTACTAGAGCAAGTTCAATATGGGAGGAGTTTTAGCAGCCATTACGTGAGTGGAGTACGAAGTAGGTCGTAGCCCCACCTTTCGTCCTCTTTGGAAAACGCCACTGTGAGAGAAGCTATGTACTGGCACAGCTCCGTAATTTTGAGTTAAAACACACTTTGTATTTTCCCGTTTTCGACATAAAATGAGTTCATTCAGTCACAAAAACAATATGTCACACACTGGTTATGCTGTTGTGCAGTTAAAACACTGTTTTATGAGGTTTAAGTACGTTTTTATTCGCTGTTGGCCACAAGTTATGTTAAGGTGGAATGCTAGTCGTGAAGTTAGAGTATGGATGCTAATTGTTCACAGGATATTTCTTATTTCTTTTGCTCAATATGACAAGATTAAACCGACAGTGTATGCATTTGGTTGTTTGTAAAGAAGAGCTGTAACTTTTATTCATCATTTTAGGGTTGTATAGTTCGTGTAGTGTAACAGCTTTATTGTGATATGAGTGCACGGTGTTTAACAGGCGCTGCTGAGAGCACGAGAGAGAGAAAAGCTAATGAAGCCTGTTTATTCGCCTTTTGTAAACTCTGTGCAGGTATGTTGAGTTACATTGTCAAATATATGTTAATCTTTTATTGTTCAGTAAATGGGGAGCATGTACAGCTTACAGGTCACTTTATATGAATTTTTTTTATTATTATTATTATTTTCTTTTAAGGTATGATTGATGAAATCTCTCTTTGGAAAACGCCACTGTGAGAGAAGGCGCTGCTGAGAGCACGAGAGAGAGAAAAGCGAATGAAGCCTGTTTATTCGCCTTTTGTAAACTCTGTGCAGGTGGGGAAAATAAATGCTCTCTCATGTTAAGCTGGTGTGCTGATGTCATCACTTCATTCATCATCTAACCCTACACAATGCAGAAGTCAACCCGTTACAGTTCCATAACTGAGATGTAAACAGTCATTCAGAGTGGTTTGATGTGAAACTGTTCACTGTAGAGAGACTCTGATCTCTTTACAGTGGTGGTGATGGGAATCAGGGGTCACAATGTCTACAACACAAACATGGCCATTTCATTTACTATCAAAACCACCAGCGAACCTGAGTTTTTGTATGTAATGTTGATAAAACAGAAAACAAAAATGGTTTTCTCTGGTAACTATTTAGCCTTACAACACCCTGGCATGTACCCCTCTGCCTTTAATGTAGTTTAAAAAGAACATTTAAGTCAAAAGGCATCTGGCAAAATATTCATAACAGCTTCATGTTGGTCAGGGAGCTTTTAGAGGCATTAAACTCTTCAGACGTCTGGTTCCTATCACCTATCACTTTGTTTAATCTTAATGATTTAACTATGCAGACATATGCAAAAATGTCCCTTTAATAACTGCTGCCTGTGTGATTCTGCATTTGAAAGGTTTATCTTTGTGTTAGAAACTACAGGTTATACAGGTGTGTTAACCTGGTACAACTCTGTGAAGCTGGTATAAATGATGCCAATTACATGCTAATTGGTGTTGACAGGTGCTAAACTGTTCAGCAGAGGTGTCCAGGGGTGGTGCTCTCACCTTTAGGGGCATTTTAGTGTGCTCGTTCAGCAAGGGAACATCAAACACCAGACGCCTCAGCAGATGCTGCATCATCGAAGGCCTCAGTTTGCTACAGAGACACATGCACAATATTAATAATACACCTCAGAAGAAATGTGCCTGATCTGAGAGCAGTTTCTGCCTTTTATTTATAAATTAAAATGATAAAGTGAGTAGTGGAGACCACTGTATTTATATAGCGCCTATAGCACTTTAAAAGTATCATTAGCCAGGTTGACCAAATATAAAAAAAGTATAAGTACAATATAAAGAAATAAAAATGTATAAAAAATGAAAATGCAGGAACAATAAATGCAATAACTAAAATGTAATACAAGATTATAATAAAAAATAATCACCGGAAAAAAGTAAAATAAGGAACAATTAAATTATACAAATTCAAGACGTATATTAAAAGAATTACATTTGTCAACAAAGAAAGTTAAATGAATATCCGTCATAAAGAGATTAACACAACTGCATACGCACTCAAACAGAAACACAGATACATTCACAGGTGTATTCACTCACCCACACACAGCGAGCAGGCACTCCTCGATGGCGTCCCGCTGGGCTTTGGTGAGGCAGCAGCCCTTGGACAGCCGGTAGACGGTGTGGAGCAGGGAGTCAATCAACGAGGCGAACGGCTCCGTCCCGGCAAACAGAGGGGCACACTTGGTCAGCAGAGGCAGCACGGCCGTACACAGGTACCGATTCAGAGCCAAAGCCATGTCTGTAGCACTCAAAGCAGCCTACAGAGCACAGAGCACCAGAAGAGAGAGGTCAAATGTCAAATATGGGATATAGCAGTAGATGAAAAATGAAAAAGTCTGAAGCTGAAGATACGAAACACCAACCTCAGTTCTAAAATAGACAGTAAGTGAAATGCAAATAAAAACAGAAAGCAGTGATCTGTAAATCTAATCTGATCTACATTAAACGAAGACAGTAGAGAGTCGAGATGAGTAATGTTTCACCCCATCAACGTCAGAATATATACATTTTTTTGTGAATATACGCTCATTATGAAATTGATGCATGCAACATTCCAAAAAATAAACAGGGCACTTTAAGACTAGGAACATTGTGAAGCATCTCAAACAGGTGAAGCAATCAGGTTTGGGTATAAAAGGAGCATCCAGGAAGGGCGAAGTCCTTCATGAGCAAGGATGGGTTGAGGCTCACCACTCTGCCAAAAAGTGTGTCCGCAAATAATCCAGCAACTTTCCTCAACAAGCGTTGGGAAGGATTTTAGGTATTTCACATCTACAGTGTAGAATATCATCAAAAGATTAAGAGAATCTGGAGAAATCTCTGTGCATAAAGGACAAGGCTGAACACCACAACTAAATACCCATGACCTTTGAAACCTCAGATGCCATTTATTTTAGATTTTTTAATATCTTTTGGAGAAAATGTCAGATTTAAGCAGAGGGTGTGTTAACGTATCAAAAAAATTGTTATTTTGACTGAAGGTATTCAAACGTTTGCTGTCTGCATCCAGTGCGGAAGTCTTTTTTTTGTTGTAGGACCTGATGTAGGTACAATATCTATGAAAGTGACGAATCATCTGAAAGCAACGACTGAGTGAAGGGCATCTTAGGTCTCAGTGCTTTTTCCTCTGTCATCATCTCATCATTGGATCTTTTCTACATGTCCTCAAAGGGACCAACTAAGACAGACAGAAAAGATGAAAGGAAAGGAAAACAGGACATACAAAAGATACGAGATGCACCCCATGTGACTGACCGTATCCAAAGAAGCGGCGGCCCTGAGGTCGGGCAGGAAGCCGACCTCCAGCAAGTGAAGCAAGAAGTTCTGGTCCTCAATACCATAAACACGGTCCAGAAACAGAACCATCGCAGCCTTGTGATCCGGACAGAACCCAGCAGACATGTCTGGCTCCACCACAGAACCATCTGAGGCACAAACAGGCAAAATATAACAACAAAACAAAAATGTAGAGCATGAACATGGAAGTGTGGGACACTGTCAGCAATTTGTTTCTTATTGTTTACTGATTATTGTAGATCCTTGCTGTATCAAATCTAAATACTACTGACATTGTTGCATGGCAATAAAGAACCTTGAATCTTGTCGCTACTTCCTCTGTCATCTGTCTTTACAGGGCTGTTAGCTTTTCAGGTCAGATTTTTTGGTCATTTAAAAAGTATGTACGTAATTAAAGCAAGGACAGCTGACAAAGCCAACTTACAGTTCATCCTTTTATTATTCAACGTTTTTTTTGCAGCATTTCCACAGGTCAAAGAAACCAGCTGGGATACCACAGCAATGCCCATGCAATACCTTAGCAACCACTCGGGAAACCACAGAAATGACCTAACATCACCTTAGCAACCACCTGGGATAACAAAGCATAGCCTTGTGACACCTTAGAAACCACCTGGAATAACACAAAAATGGCCTCGCAACACCTTAGCAACCACATGGGACACCAAAGGAAAGCCCTTGCAACCCCTTATCAACCACCTAGGGCACCGCAGCATGGCCTAGCAACACCTTAACAACAGCCTGGGATACCATAGCAACAGCTTAGCAACCACCTGGGATAACATAGCGATGACCTAGTAGCAACTTAGCAACCATCTGGGTAGAACATACACTAGTGGGGCTCTAGCAATGGCCTGGCAACACCATAGCAACCTCCTGGGACACCTCAGCAACAGCTTTGTCAACTTTCCTCTTCTAGGCAACATTGCTAATATCAGTGAACATGCACATTACCCTTAGCATGTTACCCTCATCCAGCATGTATCAGCAGAGTGTGTCCTTTACCTTTAGCGAGAGTCGGCATGGGGAAGGGAATGCTGATGACTCCTTCCAGGTCCTCGATGGGAATGAGAGAGCGAAGGATGGCCCGGATACGGATCGCCTCCCCTTTACCAGCATGGATCAGCTACAGAAAGATTTTAAGTGAATTATTTTAATTTGTTCCGCTGTACGTCGCAGGCCGATATCCGGAAATTCAAAATAAAAACATTTTGGGTTTGTGTACAAATTCGAGACTCACATGCATCTCCGGAGCGCAGCGGCCCAGCAGATCAATCAGAGCAGCGTAGAAGGTCATGATGGCATTACCCATGTGTATGGTGTCATCCTCCTCATCCTCCAACATATCACTGCTGCTGAACACACACACACACACACATATACACACATAAACACACACACACACACACACACACACACATACACACAAATAAACACACATACACACACACATTCATATATTTTTATTTCCTTTTGATATTTACCTTTATTTAACCAGGGCAATTACACTGCAATTAAAAATCTCTTTTACAAGTGAGTCCTGGCCAAGAAGGCAGCACACAAAGAAAATCAACAAAGAAACAAAACCACCACAACCAACCAAGTATAAATTATCTTCAAATCACTCAAGGAAATAAACTGCTCCAATTTCAAATGTTTTTTGCAGATGGAGCACTGTAACTAACTATGCCTTGCCATATTTAGACCGTACTATTGGAATGTCCAGCTGAACATAACCATCCATCCATCCATCATCTAAACCGCTTATCCTTCTGGGTCGCAGTGGGGTGCTGGAGCCTATCCCAGCTGTCATTGGGCGGAAGGCAGGATACACCCTGGACAGGTCGCCAATCCATCGCAGGGCAGACAGACAGACATACACAGTCACTCACACCTAGGGGCAATTTAGCACGTCCAATTAGCCTGACTGCATGTTTTTGGACTGTGGGAGGAAACCGGAGTACCCGGAGGAAACCCACGCAGACACGGGGAGAACATGCAAACTCGACACAGAAATGACCCTGGTCACCCAGCCGGGAATCAAACCCAGGCCCTTCTTGCTGTGAGGCGACAGTGCTACCCACTGTGCCACCGTGCCGCCCTGAATATAATTAGAACGTAAATTGTACTAAGACTTGTTTGTTGATATGAACGCAGACAAATATGAAGGAAGCTAATCAATAATCATTTTGTAGACAAAATTTATCCGATTAATTTGTCTTCGCACTGAAAGTGAAGGCCAACATATATATATATATATATATATACACATATATATATATATATATATATATATATATATATATATATATATATATATATATATATATATATATAGATCGTTGTTGTCGGAAGAAAACCTTGTATCTCCAAAATGGTAACTTTACAGGAGAAGGAAAAAACATACTTTACTTTTAATGTAAGTCAATGGAACCAGAAATTTTTCCAAGTCATTTTTGGGCGTTTCTTTTGGTCCAATCATCATGAAATTTACACACAATGTAAAGGACGACAAATATTTTCAAATAATTTTTAAAAATGGAAAAGCGACAAAAATGGAGATATAAGGTTTTCTTCCGGCAACAGTGATATATACATATATATATATATATATATGTATATATATATATATATATATATATATATATATATATATATATACATATGTGTGTGTGTGTGTGTGTGTGTGTACACATATTTATTTAGTACCACCCAGTTCTGGTTCTGGACAGCCTTAGCCTAGAACAGGTCATTTTCCTGCTCTAACAAACTCTAACTCATCGGTTAACTCTTTAAGGCTGAGGCAAAATAAGAAATTCTCTCTGTGTGTTGTTTTAATTTTGATATGTAAAAAAAAACATCAGCCAAAGCTGAACATTCATACATTTTTAATCTACCAATTTAAGCAAGAAACACATGAATAGGAAAACACTTCACATTTCAGTGGCTTTCATTGTGTGTTTATGTGTCCTGTAGTGCCTACAGTGTTTTGCTGTCCTCTGATGTAGGGGATGGTCCGTCTCGGCTGGGGTCCTCTGATATTTTAATAGCTTCCTCCATCGCGGCTAGCAACCCGTTCCCACCCTCACCACGCAGGGCGGGGCCAAAGCACTCAGGCCGACGAATCAGAAGCCGGACAACGACGTTAGCGTTCTCCTCCACACTCTCACCTGCAAAGGGACACGGAGTGACAGACAGAAAGAGAGGAGACAGATATTCATAGACATATAAAAGACATAAATGGCATTTTCTCTCTGCTCACTCTTGCTGTGACTCACAGCTTGTCTGTATTAGCCAGATGTAAACAAAGTGTGTGGCTCTGACCGTTACAGAAGACAGCGAAGCGGAGGAAGTCCAGATATCGCTCTCCCTCCACGGGATTCCAGCCTATATCAGGATAACCTTTAGACACCAACATCACGCAGCTCTGCAGCCCACAGCCCGCCAGGTACTGAACCACCTGCACACATACACGCATAAACATTCAGATATAAGTGTGATGAAGCTAAAACAACCCCCCAAAATCTTACTCTACAGTCATGTATGTGCAGCCACACTTCAGTTACACGCTATTATGACGAACACATTAGTTTCAACATATTTCCTGAATAATTCATAGTAGTTACTGTATAATAAATCTCAATATTATGTGGCTAGAGTTTAAGGGATTTATGCATTAATACGCAATCCCTTTCTTAGATTCTGTGTTTTAAGGGCTTATGTTATTTAGACTTAAGCCGGCTGTATATATATTTTTTAATGAAAACAATGGTTTGAAGCAAAACAAAGTCTTTTTGGCCAAAACAATGCGGTAATTTGATTTTGTTTACTGCAAAATTGGTGTCATGGCAAGCGAAATGATCTTAAATCTAGTCATTATATCTAATATTTCTCACGTTGTGATTATTGCTTGTTTACTATAAGATTATTTAACTCATTTCTAGATGTTTTAAGTTATTTTCGTGAGTCAAATTATCTCACTATATTGGCGGATAATATTGCTTGTTGTAAGAAATGTGCTTGCAACAAGCCAAATGATCTGACAATGTAGTGAGACAGTTTTACTTACTAAAATCCCTTTAAACAAGTAAAAAATGCCTAGGAATAAGTTATAATCTTATAATAAGCTAACAATAACATCCAAATGAGAAATATTAGACATACCGACTAGATTTAAGATCATTTCACTTGATATGACTTTTGCACTGTTCAGTACAGTGTGTGACCCCTGCTGAACAGAACTCCTAATCACTGCTTCATTTGTTTTGTGACCTTTCTTTGACTACAACTGCTACAAATGACCACACTATTCATTCGGAGACCTCAGCCTGACTATGTTTGGTCTTTGTCGTCACGTCAATTGAGACCTCCTCCTGACTACAATTAGTCCACATGACCACATCATCCATTCTCAGATCTCATCCTGACTATGACAGCTTCAAACTGCCATTTGTTCTAGGACCTCCTGCTGACCACCACTGGTCCAAATCACTACGTCATTTGTTCTGGGACCTCCTGCTGACCACCACTGGTCCAAATCACTACGTCATTTGTTCTTGGACCTCCTGCTGACTGTGTTTGGTCCAAATAATCACATTTTTAATTCTGAGAACCCCCCCCTTGACTGCACTCTCAAAAATAAAGGTACAAAACAGTCACTGGGGCAGTACCCCTCTTGTCACTGGGGTGGGACCCTCAAGGGTACATCTCAGTACCTTTAGACAGGGAACATAATTGTGCCATAATCTCATCTCCAGGCTTTTTATTTTATTGTTCTGTTATAAAACAGTAGCTTATGAAAAGGTACAAAGTGTAGGTACAAAGTGGTTAGTATTTAGGTTTTGTGAAGTTCCTTCATCGTTTGAAATATACTGCCAGCTTTAGGATGTCTGGTCTCATGAAGTCGGCTGTATTGTAATTCTAATGGCCTCATCAAAGCTCCTTGTCTATGCCTAACTAGTCTTCACTGTTAAATCACCCAGACTTTCTGAGCTCACAGCTAAAGTTCATATCGTTGGACAAACTGCATGAAAACTGGTGTGAGCCAGCTTTTCTTTAGTTCAGTCCATTTCGACAGGTGTGAACACTCCAGCCGTACTTGCGCACCCAACAACTGAACTGTGGTCATGGGTCTCAGGCTACTTCTAAGCCAACAGTGGTTCAGCTCAGTGAGGTTAGGAACGCATATTTATGATCTTATCCTACCAAATGTGACAGCGTTTGTACTGACATGCCGATTTGCATGCGATTAATATAACCTGACTATTTGTATGGCTCATTTTGTAGTAGGTAAAGGTGGCGGGAACCCCTGTAAAAATTACTAACATGCTTAATTCAGACAAAACTAAAACAACTGAGAAACGCCGGCAGTAATTACATGACCCTATGAACAACTAATCCTGTCAGAACAGTGCTTTAGCCTGCCTCTCTGCTGGCCATTAATACCTAATAAACTACAAATCCATTAGTTTATAACTTGTCTGCTTTCACTCCAAAGCTCTAGTTGCTGGTACTCAATCAGTCAGCCTGCAACACCAGAGACAACAGTGACTGGCTGTGTGAGTTTAAGTTGTTTGCAAAAGTTTGCAAATTTGAAGAGACAGCACATAAAATGATGCTGCATTGTACTGTCTAAAAAATCATGTTGGTGTACAAGATATCAGTTACATATGACGATAAATGAAATTAACCTATTGACGTCTCAACCCATGCAAATAAATCTCTTTCAGTGTGTGAAACAACCCGAATTCCGATCAAAAAAAAAGAGTGATCCAAGTGTTACTTTACAAAGTTGCTTCAAAATATTTTAACACATAGTCTTGTGTCTGGATATAATGCAGAATATTCAGGAATCCATTCTCTGTGTTCCAGCCTGTGCGCTGTTTTTAGATGTGCTTGGTCACACACTGTCCTGGCTGCTACTCCTCTTATACTCCTGGCCTGCTGTGTATATTTAGCTTTATTGGACTTCAGGTACATATCGACCTGAATAAAGTTTTCAGCTTAAATAAAAAGAAACCCAGTAAGAGAACAAAAACTGGAATAAGAAAATGACAGTGAGTGGGACAGAGTTTGTGTGGTTTGTGTGGGTGTCGTACTTTCTCCAGGTCCGGCTCCCTCAGCGCCAGGGCCAGCTCGTTGTTATCCATCACAGAGGCAGCAGCTACATCCAGCGGAGTGGAGCCACGCATAGACGGAGAAGCTGCAGGGAAAACACAGGCTTTACTGTAAACACCTACCTGCATGCAAATGTTTGGGCATCCCTGGTCAAACGTTGTGTCGATTTTCTAAATTAAAATAAGTTAACTCTCCACAGGGAACACGTTTTAATGCACAATTACTGTTCATTTGTTATGACATAAAATGGGTCTTGTGCAAAAGTTATGGTACATTTTATGTTTTACGAACTGGTTGAAAGTCAGAGTTGAAAACGCGAGTGAACTTATACCATAATTACATTTATTTTCTAAAATAAATGACCAAACATTCCATTTTGTCATAAACAAAACAATAATTACACTGCAGAACTTTGCTAAATGTTTCAATAACGACTGTTTCTGTAGTGACCATTTTAGCTCATTTTGAGCAGAACTCAAACGCAGTTCAGTACAACAGCTGTACACACATAAAAACATAATATATTCATGAAAGCACAAAAAAGTTTACTGAATTTCAGAAAATGTGTTTCGGTAGTGACAATTCTTAATGTTACACAATGATTTTCAGACTCTGGGATGCATTTACTTCAAAACAATGGGATCTAACTGCTCACCACGCGGTCAAAAATGCAGGGGTGTGGCTAAAATAAGGCTCCGCCTACAGACTAAAACTCTTTGTGTTTCAGTAGTGATTTAAATCGTTCAACTTCACTTTAAAATAAATCAAAAAAGATCTTTTTTATTTAGAGACTGATCTTTAAAGCTGCACGTTTTTCATATGTAATAGGATAAAGGACAGAAGTTGCCTGCTTCTGATAAGCTACTGCCAAAGCTAATGCTAGAGTTAAGAAAACTCATATAAAACTCAACTCAGATAAAGTTTAGTTCACTTTAGAGACGACTTAAGTCTTTCTGTTAATAGTTTTGTCTTTGAGCTTTGAATTTGGTTTAATCCAAAACTTTTTCAGCTTCTGGACTGAAATAAAAACAGCTCCACCCTTCAGATGATCAGGATTGTACCGTTCCTCAGTAACACCTTTACACCGTTTCTTAGCCTAATAATTCTGATTCATTTACTAGCACCACCGTTCTCACTGCAGGTTTGTTTTGAGCAGTTTAGCCTGAATTAATCACAAGCACAAAGTAACAATTTCATGCTGGGAATCGCAAAAAAAACTGAAAATCCATCTGCATTCACAGGGCATGCGCAAATTAAACCCCAGAACAAAGAAAATCAAGGGCACACTGTCTTAAGAAAAATATAAAAAGACATTTATACATGACTCATATTTACAAAGGGTGCCAATAATTAGGCAGCTGACTATATTAAAGCATGCACACACTGAACACTACGGTTTGAAATGACTTGCTGCACAGATACACTCCATGACTCACATAACTATGTACAAATACACCATCACTTCTATTCAGACGGGATTAGCTTTACATGAGGTGGTGAAGTACTGTAATTTTTACCACCGTTTCTCAGTGATTTCAGTCCTGTACGAATGCGGTATGTAAGTCATGTTTGCTGTCTCCACACTCCCACTTCAGTAAAGATTCCGGCCATATTTTACCTTTTGTAAAACAAGCAGTAGAAATAACCCCACACTATATTAATCCTGTGTGAACTGACATGTCAGTAAAACGCATATTCTATACGTCATATTCTGTGGAAAAATGAGTTTCTTAAGTATTAAAGCACCTGAAGAAGCCTTTTCTTGTGTTCTCTGTGGCTAAAATTAAGCCAATATGTAGCGTTACTGTCCTACCTTTTGTGTACAACTTACAACATGTAAAAACTACAAAAAAAGTTAGTTAAAGTACACAAATAATGGATAAATTAGGTGTTTTATTACTGCTGCTGACTCAAATTGTTGAATCATAGCCATTGCTACACTTGCTTTTCCCCTTTTCTGTATTTCTTAATATTTTACACTAATGTTAAACCCATTTTCTCTGTTCATTTCACTCGTGTTATTGTTTGCTATCCGGTATCGACCAGAGGAGGATGGGTTCCCCTTTTGAGTCTTGGTTCCGCTCCTTTTGCTCTTAGGGAGTTTTTCCTTGCCACTGTCACCACTGGCGACTCTCATGGGGGCTCAGACCCGGATTTTTTCCGTAAAGCTGCTTTGCGACAACGCCTGTTGTAAAAAGCTCTATATAAATAAACTTTGACTTGACTTTTTTACTCTTTTTGAAGTGAAGTCAGTGAGTAAATCGAACAGCCGCTCCATGCAAATTGGTCATAAACATTACAGACGTCTTGCGGAATCACCGCTCGTCTCCGTGGAAAACTAATCCCGTCTGAATAGGGCTCAAGAGCATAAACACTCCACTGTTTACCTTAAAACCCACTCCTGATATTTTTTCAAGTGCTTATTATATCCAAAGCCATCTTCTGTAATAACGCACCCTCAGGGAACTGAGGTACATTTTGTGTAATAGCCTCTTTCCAGCTCTTAAAGCTCACTACAGCTCATTAGCAAACTCCATTTACTCTAATGTTGAGCTGAGCATAGTCTGTCAGACAGAAAACAGGTAAACACAGATAAAAACCAGCGGGCTGTGTAAGAAGAGCAGTCCAAACTTCCTCAGTAAAGTATTAAGAGGTGAGCTGAGTGCGGAGATGAACGACCACAGAGAAGAATCTAATTTAGCTTCAGACAAAAACTAATGATTAAAGAAACTTCTGCCCACCAGGTGGTGCTGTTACCTTGCAGCAATGAGTCTTGTGACAGTTCAGTTCTCATCCAGCATTTTATGGGCAACAATTATATTAGGTGCAAAATATGTAAAATCTTATATGTTCACATTTTCTACAGGGAACACGCTTAAATATGGCATTTTTATGCACATATTATATATATATATATATATATATATATATATATATATATATACACACACACACACACATGTATTGCTGTTGTTGGAACAAAACCTTGTATCTCCAAAATGGTAACTTTACAGGAGAATGTAAGTCAATGGAACCAGACAGAATGTAAGATAATGTAAGTCAATGGAACGAGACGTCTTTCCAAGTCATTTTGGGTCATTTCTTTTAGTCCATTCACCACGAAATTTACATACATTGTAGAGGGTAACAGGTATTTTCAAATTTTGTGAAAAACTGAAAAAAAGTCAAAAATGGAGATGCGAGGTTTTCTTCCGACAACAGAGTATATATATATATATATGTGTATATATATATATATATATATATATATATATATAAATGTGCCACGATGCATGCACAGACCACATTTTTACCCAATATGTTAAATTCAGCTAATAAACAGTAATTGTACATTAAAATGTGCAGAAGTGTGTTCTCTGTAGAGCAGTGGTCACCAAGCCTGCTCCTGGAGATCTACTGTCCTGCAGAGTCCTGTTCTAACCACGATCTGCCTCACCGGCTTCAGCTTCTTCAAATGTTTCTGACAGGCAGGATTAGATGCATTAGTGTTAGGTAACGGAGGAGCAGCATGTTGAATGCAGGATGCAACTAAACTCTGCCGGAAAGTAGATCTCCAGGGCCAGGGCTGGTGACCACTGCAGTAGAGGATGTGTTAACTTTAATTTGACTGGGGCGCACAAACTTTTGCTTATGACTGTAAGTGAATGTTTAGAGACTCTTCACTGGCCAGTAAAACCCCATCAGTCATCTTTAAAAGAAGAGAAACGGAGGCGTTGTTACCGAGACCCACGCTGCTGTTCTCCAGCAGATAGCTCAGGTGGTCAAACATGGCCTTCTGGTTCTGACGGCTGATACGGCAGAAGTAGCACAGGAAACGGCAGCAGTTGGCCACCATCTTGGGGAATGTGATTTCCTTCAGAGGAGAAAGAAACAGTGAAGAGTGGCAGAACAGGAGAGAAAAAGCAGAAAAAGAAAATCAGAAAAGCAATCAGGCCTATCTGATGAGGTGTGGGTGGGCTGTGGGAGGGTTATTAAAGGTAAACAGAAACTGTGACTAAAACTAAAACTTACAGTAAAAAGTAGCTGAAATAAAAATAAAACAACAGTTTCAAAACTATAATGTCCACTGCAAAACAAACTAAAACAAAATGGAACTTAAAAAAAAAAAACTTATTATGTCTTTGGAAACCCACGCAGACACGGGGAGAGCATGCAAACTCCACACAGAAAGCACGCTGGTCGCCCGGCCGGGGAGTCGAACCCCTTTTGCTGGCATTTCTAAGAGCTGTGTGAACTGAACGTCTGTATCAGGGAAGGGTATACCTTAAAATCGCTGAATTCACTAGAATTCATTAGAATGGCTGTCTGGACATACAGTGTTAATCTTTACTAAGAATCTTTATGAAGACTGACATTCTAATAAACATAAACTGATGAAGTGAAATTCTTCGCGTCAAATCATTTCACTATCGATCAAAACAGGAAACTCTAGAATTTAACATCTAATCAATCTAATTTCTACACCTTCACAGTCAGCCAAGACACGGTGTCTGAAGCTTGCTTCTTTAGCTTCACGATGGAGCTACAAGGCTGGTGTAGCTAATAAATAATTGAAGCTTTTATACACTGATTAGCAACACTCAAACTGCATGTCTACATCAGCACACTGTGTTTTTTGACAATGTATGACACTGATGTTGAGATTATGTAACAGCTCATTATGGTTTTAAGCATGTGATGCTTTAGGCCTTCAGTCTGCACAATGTTCGGTGAAAGCTGTCAGCTTCCATGACTTGTTTCCATGCCTTGTTAGGTACGTTAGCCTTGATGCTTCAGTGCCAAACTAAAGATGCAAACTTCCAACACTAAACATGTCTTGGCTGATCAAATACATTTGAGTCAAGGGGGAAAATGTACAGATTAGACTTTTCAGTGAGTTATTTCTTTGACCTTCTGCCCTAAAAACATGGTATTTAAATGGTTTAATCCTCTTGGAAGGCTTATTGTAATTTTAAAAAATCATATTTGTGTCAAATGCATTTAACCTCATATTTCCTCAACATGTAACATCATGTTTTTTCACAAACACTATCACTCTGCTGAGACGCCGTTGCTAAGCAATGACTTTGACAGCTGTAGGAGACGCTCAAGCCATTTGAACGTTTTTACTTCTTACTTTGCCACAAACAGAAAATGGACACTTTTACGATCACATTTGACCGACAGCCGATTTGGTCAGACTCTGAAGATGAGACGACACTAAATTCCCAAACTGTCATCACCACTGAGCAGCTTTTCAGTCGGCAGCTGTGACAGAAGAACAGCTAAACAACCTGGAATCAGCCAGAAATGAACCCAACACCATTCGCCAAACTAAATGGGCTGTAAGATGCTTTACAGACTGGCTGGAACAAAACAACATTAATACTGATCTGGCAAAAACTGACAAAACTGAGCTAAACTTGATATTGCGGCAGTTTTATGGCTCAGTCCGTACTTCAAAAGGCGAGGCTTACAGCAGACTGTGCAGCGAGTGGGCGGAGCTCGCTACTCTGACGTAGCAACAAGCTGCTTGTTAAGGAACTATAATTTGGCGGAAGGAACTGCGAACATTAAAACATATAAAATGCTACGTTTAAACACAAACACACTCCCTCTCGTGTTCTATTGCTTAAACAACAGATGCATTACAGCTCATGAGACTAGTAGATAAACAGTTCATGAAACGTTGCAATAGATGTGGTCATTTCTTTACATTGAGCTTCTGTTATATGCTGCAAAGAACCGGTGATGAATCCTCTGCCTGGTCTCTTTCTTGGTGACAAGATAGTAATTGTCAACGGGGTGTTTACTATGTGATGAAGTTCGAACTCTCTGCTCAGAGCATTTGTGGGTAATGAGGTGCTAAATCTCCACTAGCAGTGTTCCAGGAGATTAGCTAGTAATTGTCTGCTAAGCAATGCTGCTCTGCTGGACGGGTTCTAATTTATAAGGCAGTAATTCTCTGCTAGGCATGCTGTAGGTGATGTAGTCATTCATTACCTTGGACTCTCCTCCACTCAGTACATTGACCATGACCTCCATGACGGTCTCATGCATGCCCAGAGCTCTCATCAGGTTCGGGTGCTGGTAGAACACCTTATTGTTCATGATGTCGCTGAAAAGGACAAGACACAATTGTAATATATTAGTATGTAATATTTCATTTACTGCGTGGATAAATGGGCAAGAAAGACCTAGAATGTACCATTCAATATCCAGTCCATATACGTTAACTCAACAGCCCGTTTTGTATTCATCATGGTTGTGATATCACATTTCTTACTTATGTATATGCAATACACTTACATGTATATTAAAGCAATAAGCCATGAGAGAGGCCAACATATAATATGGTAAAATACACAATTTTTCAGAAAATAATTGAAGTTATTATTGACAATAAGCAAGATAATCAAGTATTCCACCAAGAAATATAGTTCCTTTAGTGTATGGTATCGTGGCCAAGCAACTATGGACCACCAAATGAGGAGAACCATCACCCATTGCTGTATACTGCAGTCATTTCATGAATTACCTAACTTTTTGTCATATAACAATGATCATACACTGATCAGGCATAACATTCTGACCACCTCCTTGTTTCTACGCTCATTGTCCATTTTATCCGCTCCACTTACTATATAGGTGCACTTTGTAGTTCTACAGTTACAGACTGTAGTCCATCTGTTTCTCTGCATACTTTGTTAGCCCCCTTTTACCCTGTTCTTCAGTGGTCAGGACCCCCATGGACCCTCACAGAGCAGGTACTATTTGGGTGGTGGATCATTCTCAGCACTGCAGTAACACTGACGTGGTGGTGGGGTGTTGTGCTGGTCTAAGTGGATCAGACACAGCAGTGCTGCTGGAGTTTTTAAACACTGTGTCCACTCACTGTCCACTCTATTAGACACTCCTACCTTGTCAGTCCACCTCGTAGATGTAAAGTCAGAGACGATAGCTCATCTGCTGCTGCACAGTTTGTGTTGGTCATCCTCTAGTCCTTCATCAGTGGTCACAGGACGCTGCCCACAGGACGCTGCTGGCTGGATATTTTTGGTTGATGGACTATTCTCAGTCCAGCAGTGACACTGAGGTGTTTAAAAAACTCCAGCAGCACTGCTGTGTCTGATCCACTCGTACCAGCACAACACACACTAACACACCACCACCACGTCAGTGTTATAGCAGTGCTGAGAATGATCCACCACCCAAAGTACCTGCACTGTGAGGGTCCATGGGGGTCCTGACCACTGAAGAACAGGGTAAAAGGGGGCTAACAAAGTATGCAGAGAAACAGATGGACTACAGTCTGTAACTGTAGAACTACAAAGTGCACCTATATAGTAAGTGGAGCTGATAAAATGGACAATAAGCGTAGAAACAAGGAGGTGGTCAGAATGTTCTGCCTGATCGGTGTATGGTAACACAGCACTGTTTAATGCAAAATCATTTGCTTTATAAGTACTTTTTGTTCAAAAAATTATCACCACAAGTCTTATTTAGCACCAATCCAGCGGCGCCCCTCTTCTCACGCTGGGGCTACATCTCAAATGCCTCCCTGCTCCCTACTTAGTGCACTACATAGGAATTTAAATACTGGATTCTGCAGCCCAACATTGTAAACTATAGCTAAGAAACAGTCATTTGGGATTCAGCCACATCTGTACTCGGTAAATAATGAACTATTTGGCCGTAGAGGACACAATTTCTTGACGCTACTTCTGACTGAAACACGGACATTTGAAGTGTGTAATCCATTCAAGTGACACTTTTAGACTTTTATACTGCCGTTTTACAGTCAATCATACCGTTAGGTGCGTAAATTTCATAATGAATGAACCAAAAGAAATGGCCCAGAATTATTTGGAAAAAAGTCTGGTTCCATTGACTTACATTAAAAGTAAAGTATGTTTTTTCCTTCTCCTGTAAAGTTACCATTTTGGAGATACAAGGTTTTCTTCCAACAACAGCGACATATATGTATATAATACGTATTATTACTACATACATGTACTTTCATAAAAATGATACACATGGGACATATTATTACATATTTAGAGGTATATTGTACATATATAACTACTACATATATTACATTTGGGATACATATATGACCCAATAAAAATAAACCTGTGAATGTACGTGTGCGTTCACCTGAGGCCACGGATCATGAGTTTTTCCTCTTCACGGCCCATACGGACGCTGAGCAGTGAGCGGATCTGTCCCAGAGAGGCCAACAGGTTGATGGTGTCCTCTACAGAGACAGCATTGATGGTGTATGTTTTGGGTAGCGCTCGGACCAGCCCTCCGATACCATCATACTGCCTGTGCAGCAGCACGAACATGGCTCGCACCAGCTCTGGATCCTCTATCACACACTCCTGCGCCCAGCGCACCATCGTCTCCGAAATTAACTGCTGCAGAGTGCCTACGAGGGAGGGCAAGGTCAATTTACTCATAACATCTGTGGTACAACTACAATGAAGAAAAAAGTATGAACAAATTCAGATTGCTGCTGCCTCTGTTTGAAGCAATGATACTCACTTTTGTCCATATTTATAGAGAACAGTGTGTTATACAGGGTCCAGTGGTGGACAAAATACACAAATCATGTACTTGAGTTAAAGTACAGATACCCAAGGTAAAATATTACTCCAGTAAAAGTAGAAATCCTCCCTTTAGACCTCCACTTGAGTAAAAGTACAAAAGTATTTGCCTTCAAATGTACTTAAGTATCAAAAGTAAAAGTACTGAAAGATTAATTATGACTCTGATGTCCTATTATCATTTTTGTAATAAGACTCTGCTTTATTAACTCGTTTAGGTGAAAATGCTCCAGAGTCTCTCTTGGTAAACCAGTCTTTTAATAGAATGTCATTAATTAGTGACGCTGATGTCTATTAAAATTATCATAAGCACAAAACACTGAAGGCAAACAGTTTCCATCAGGTAGAACTGAGTGGCTCTGAAATCACTTTTTACAAACAAGCAAAGTTTCAGTTTAAGATTTATTTGCAGCTTAGTCACAAGTTTAAGTTTAATAAAAACTTTAAACTCAGGTTCACAAATGAGTTTCCTTTACTAAACTGTATCTGTAGGTCTCTGTTCATAAACATAAACTAGCCAAAATGAATTTACTATAAAATGAAAGTGTTTGTATAAATTCAGAATAAAGACACGTCAGTCACGACTGCATATGAGTACATATTTCTATATTGTGGTCTATTTACACAAAGTTAGGTTAGTTCCTGTTTATGTTGAACAGACACTCCCAAAATTTTACGCTGCTGCACTGATGTTGAACCGTGTGCTGCACTGGGTCGGTATGACCAACAGGTCAAAACAAGCTCAAAACAAAGTGCGCACTGTGCCCTGATTGGTGTTCTTGCTTCACGCTTCTTTCGTTTTGACACGATACGTTTTTATGCACATATAGGCCAAAAGGAACGACAGATTTTGCATAATATAGTGGAGTAAAAAGTAAGATATTTGACTTTGAAATGTAGTGGAGTGAAAGTAAAAAGCCACCCAAAATGGAAATACTTCAGTAAAGTACAGATACAGTACAGAAAAAACTACTTAAGTACAGTAACGGATTACATTTACTTAGCTACTGTCCAACACTGACAGTGTCAGAAACTGCATAAACAAGTGTATTTGAGATTACTTAACAACTCCACATGGATTGATTTAAGCATACAGATTCTTCAGTTCCCTCAATGCTAGGGGTGCGGGGAAAAAAAACGACTCTTAGATGCATCGCGATGCGGACATGAACAATTCTGAATCGTCTGAATTCACAAATCTGAATTCACAAACGTCAAAAATCGATTTTCTAAATATTTAATTGATAATATAATGTTGATGGAACGCAAAAGGCGGGACTTGGAAGTGGGTAAGTACAGCTCCTGGACAATCTGTGGCGGCACATAACAAAAACACAACTGGAAGAGTGAGAAATCTGACCGGCTCCCTCTGCGTTAAAAGCCAGGTTAGGTCAGGAGTCACAACACAAATGTTAAGAAGAGCCATTTTGTCCTTTCAACAAAAATCAAACCACCTTGGGAGCCACAACATTTAATGTCTAGTATGTCACTGGCACTGGGCTGTGGAGAGGAGGAACTGTGTTCTATGGAGTGATGGAGCTCTACCTTTGGGATGAGTTGGAGTGATCCAGAACTGATCATCCAACATCAGTACCTGACCTCACTAATGCTCAATCAAATCCTAACAGTAATGTTCCTACATCTTGTGTAAAGCCTTTCCAGAAGAGTAGAGGCTGTTACTGCAGTAAAAGAGGACAAACTCCCTATTAATACCCTTCATTTCAGAAGAAACAATGACCAGGTGTCTATAAACCTTTTGACATGCAGTGTATGTCTTACGCTGCATCCCCTGAAAGTCTGGTGCTTTTAATGACTTTTCTGTTTTAATCCAGATAAAGCAGTAATCCAGTGTGATGTGTGCTAGAAGTATTCAGAGAGAAAGGTCAATCTACCTGTTACTGAAGACACAGAAGATGAAAAACGATGGCTTACTGGGTTTCTTGGCTTTTTTTTTCTTTGGCATGTCAGCCATTTTCTTCTTCAAGTAGGCCACCTTCTCCACCAGATACATCAGACGCCCTCTGATGGTGAAATCACTGTCCGCTTCACCTGCCTTATCGTCATCAATCTCTATACCTGCACCAATACGCACACAAACACAACATGATCAATACGTTATCATTCCTAACACAGACTGATACTACCACCCATCCTGCACAACAACCCATCCAGTATTGTAAAGATTTGAGACCACCTTAAATTCATGTATTTCCTAGTCAAAATGGCCATTAGGTACATGTTTATCTTTTCTCAAGAGATGTTTTTAAAGATATTAAATATATAAGATAACCCACTTGCATGAGTAAGGAGAAGGCCACAGCAAAATAAGCGAAAAGAGAGAAGTTTCCAAAACTGAATGACTGAAAGTTTTCAAGAAAATGGGACTCCTGACAACAATGTAACACTGGGTAGACCATCAATACTGCCCCCATCAGATAAACAGCACTTAAAGCTTCCATCATTGAGAGAGAGGAGGAAATCAAGCTGCTTCAGATCTGAAAACATCCACAGGTGTTTCTGTCCATCCTTCCACTGTGAGAAGACGACTCAGCGCTATGGGTCTGAAAAGATTTGTAGCTGTCAAGAAGAACCTCACTGAGAAAAGGAGACGGACATCAAACAAAGAAGCTGCCGGTCTCAGAACGATGGAAAAATATCTCTGCCGTTTTCTTTGAAAAAACTGAAAGCGAGTTACCTGAAAATAATGGAAGCTGTAATAAAGGGAAAGAGTGGACACAATAAATACTGAAAAAAACAGATATTATTTTTGGCTGTTGAGGTTTCTGTGTAATTTTCTGTTGAATACTGAATGTTTCCTGCTATTTTTTCCAGAAGCTGAAAAATGAATAACTTGTACTTAATGGCTGTTTTGGCTGTTAATTAACTAAACGAAGGGTGGTCTCTAAAAACAGTGTCCTGCATATCAAATATCACTGAGAGAAAATTAAAGCATTCTTTTTCACTTTTTATTTCTTAAATGACCATTTTAAATAAGTATTAAATATTTATAAAATCCCAATCATGTCTTGCTCTACTCAGAAATATGATTGGCTAAAAAAAGGCAATAGAAATGTGATTAGTGAAAACATTAGCCAGTAAAAACAGACCAAACAGACCAAACAAATAAAATGATAAAAGAAAAGTGATAAACACAGGAAAACACAGGACACTGTTAAGTAATTCGGAGAACTACAGGTAAAGCATTAAAGATATGAAAAAATACTATTCAAAAATAATAAAACATAAAATATTTTATACTAAGTGCATCTTCAAGGTTGTTACTTAATGTGTATACACTGATCAGGCATAACATTCTGACCACCTCCTTGTTTCTATGCTCATTGTCCATTTTATCAGCTCCACTTACTATATAGGTGCACTTTGTAGTTCTATTACAGACTGTAGTCCATCTGTTTCTCTGCATACTTTGTTAGCCCCCTTTTACCCTGTTCTTCAGTGGTCAGGACCCCCATGGACCCTCACAGAGCAGGTACTATTTGGGTGGTGGATCATTCTCAGCACTGCAGTAACACTGATGTGGTGGTGGTGTGTTAGTGTGTGTTGTGCTGGTCTGAGTGGATCAGACACAGCAGTGCTGCTGGAGTTTTTAAACACCTCAGTGTCACTGCTGGACTGAGAATAGTCCACCAACCAAAAATATCCAGCCAACAGCGTCCTGTGGGCAGCGTCCTGTGACCACTGATGAAGGACTAGAGGATGACCAACACAAACTGTGCAGCAGCAGATGAGCTATCGTCTCTGACTTTACATCTACAAGGTGGACTGACAAGGTAGGAGTGTCTAATAGAGTGGACAGTGAGTGGACACAGCAGCACTGCTGTGTCTGATCCACTCAGACCAGCGCTACACACACTAACACACCACCACCACGTCAGTGTTACTGCAGTGCTGAGAATGATCCACCACCCAAATAGTACCTGCTCTGTGAGGGTCCATGGGGGTCCTGACCAGTGAAGAACAGGGTAAAAGGGGGCTAACAAAGTATGCAGAGAAACAGATGGACTACAGTCTGTAATAGAACTACAAAGTGCACCTATATAGTAAGTGGAGCTGATAAAATGGACAATGAGCGCAGAAACAAGGAGGTGGTCATAATGTTACGCCTGATCGGTGTACATCGTTCCTTTTTCTACATAACATGTGTTTTACGTTGTTCTCCATAGGCCTGGATTTCAGGGGATATTCTGTACTGACAACAAAACTGTGCTGTGAGTACTGTCTGTTATTAAATCAAGACAGTTCACTACCCAAGAGGTGCTTCAAAGCTCCACAAAAGCAGCTATGCTATCCTGCAACTGAAGAGAAATTATCTGGTCAGATAAATTTTCATTACTGCTTTATATGCCTATAATACTGATCAATTCTTCGTTCATATTTTTGACTGTTGGTGTTAATTGTTTCTGGTGCATCAAGATGTAATTCAACTCTGTAGTAGCACAACTCACATAAACACACAGTATAACACATATACAGTAAACAACATACAAACAATATACACTATACAATAATATAAGCATATTTTAACTGAATGTAATTCAGAACAGCTTCTACTGTTGAAGCCCCCTGTAAATGGGTATTTAACTCATAAGAACAGCTCACAGAGTTTGAGGGTGTGAGTTTTGTGTGTGTTTGCATGTGTTTGCGTGTGTTGGTGTGTGTTTGTGTGTACCACAGTGGCTCATTAGATCCTCATGGAATTCCAGCAGCTGGTCTCTGATGTCCTCCGGACAGGGACAGTCCTGCTTTTCATCCTTAAAGCTCAGCAGCATGTTAATCTGAGAGAAGAGCACACACACCATGACAATGCAACACAACATGCCTCAGACTTCAACGAAGAGGATCGTTACTCCACATAAACTAAAAGAGAACAATAAAAATATGTCTAATATATTTTTTATGACGTTTGTATTATTCCCATGAGGAGTTTTAACACAGGAGCCCTTAAGGGGGTCATATTCTATATATCCCATGTGTATTCAAATGTTTTTATGATTTCATTTAACAAAAAACTTCAGACAACTTTCCAATCTCTCTTCATCCTTTAGTATTAAACAAGCTGTTTTTGCTGCTGCGCCCTTATAAGGTGGATATATACAGTGTGTACACGACCTCTGTCCGGACTGGCTGCCCTGCATTACAACTCATTCACAAAATAGACTGAAGTGTGGAACAAACTGTTAGGATGTGGGGAAAAAATGAACTTTGGTTCCTCTTTTTGGATGTGTGGCTCCTCTAAAAGACTGCAATGTTCAGTTTGCCTCCCACATCAGAAACAGCACAACGTTTAATCATTTTCCCACATCTTCCACTCCAGTAACTCTGCTACGGACTGTATGCAGGGACAACACTGCACATCACTCCAGTGGGAATGGGAAGCTAACTTGCTGTAGGCTGAAAGGGCTCATATAAAAATGTACACATGGATGTAACATCATAACCAGCTGACCTGTTCCTGGGGCGGTGAGCGGAACTCTTTGGTTTTGCGGGCGGTCAGGGCGGCCGACATGTTGAGCGCCTGCATGACCTCGTTATAGCGGAAGCGCTGGTTCTCCTGTAGGTTAGCCACAAAATCATCAGAGAAGGCCACGATTGCCTCGATACGGTGCCGGACCTGACAGTCACACAGATACTGCAGCAGGTGGCACATCTGAGAGAGGAAAGAGAGAGCGAGAGAGAGAGAGAGAGAGAGAGAGAGAGACAGAAAGGGTCTTTTGTTAATTTTGTCACACAGAATGTTTCAGATCATCAAACTGCATTACCTGGCCCTGTGTGAAAAAGTAATTGCCCCCTTAGCTATGAAATCAACCAACCAGTTAACCAGATTCAATTGACTATTGGGTTTAGTTTCACTAGACACACCCAGGCATGATCACTGCCAGACCTGTTAAATTCAAACATCACTTAAATAGAACCTGTCAAAGTGAAGCAGCTAGAAGGTCTCAAAAAACAGCACATGATGCCCCAATCTAAAGAAATTTAAATACAGATGTGAGCCAAAGTCATTGAAATCTACCAGTCTGGGAAGGGTTGCAAAACCATTGGTAATGCTCTGGGACTCCAGCAAACCACAGTGACAGCCATTATTCACAAATACAAAAAAACTTCAAACATCATCAAGAGCGCATTGACGACTCATCCAGGAGGTCACAAAAGAACTTAGACAAGCATCTAAAGAACCACAGGCTCACTTGCCTCAAGGTCAATATACATGATTCCACAGTAAGAAAAACACTGGGCAAGAATAGGATCCATGGGAGAGTTGCAAGGTGCAAACCACTGCTGACCAAAAAAAAGCACAAAGCCTCGTCTCACACTTGCCAAAAAACATCTAGATGACCCCCCAGACTTTTGGGATAATATTCTCTGGACTGATGAGTCAAAGGTGGAACTTTTTGGAAGACATGGGTCCCGTTACATCTGGCATAAAGCTCACACAGCATTCCACCATAAAAACATCACACCAACAGTGAAACATGGTGGTGGTAGTGTGATGGTCTGGGGCTGCTTTGCTTCTGCAGGACCTGGACGACTTGTCATAATTGATGAAACCATTAATTCTGCTCTCTATCAGAAAATCATCAGGGAACGTCCGCCCGTCAGTGACCTCAAGCTCAACTGCAGGTGGGTTATGCAGCAGGACAATGATCCGAAGCACACAAGCAAGCCCACCTCTGAATGGCTCAAAAGAAACAAAATAAGATTTTGGAGTGGCCAAGTGAAAGTCTTGACTTGGATCCCATTGAGATGCTGTGGCAGGACCTTAAACAGGCAGTTCATGTTCAAAAACACACCAATGTAGCCGAATTTAAACACATCTGCAAAGAAAAGTTTGCCAGAATTCTCCACGGTGATGTTAAAGACTCATCACAAGTTATTTCTGACATTTGATTGCAGTTGTTACTGCTAAAGGTGGCACAACCAGTTATTAGGTTTGGGGGGGCAATTACTTCTTCACGTGGGTGATATAGGTTTTGAGTAAATCTTTATCTTTAATAAATGGAATGATCATTTAAAATCTGCATTTTGTGTTCACTCATGCTGGCTTTATCTTTTATGTTAATTTGTTGGATGATCTGAAACATTTAAACGTGACAAAAATAGCACAAATAGAAGAAATCGGGCAGGGGCAAATACTTTTTCACAGCACTGTAAGTGACTACTCTGAACTATTCTGTAACTATTATTCAACTATAAATTATTCAGTGATTACTAAGAATTACGTAGTAACTACTAAACATTATTCAGTATGTAGACACATCCATGGGTACCTGAATACTCAGTTAACTCATAAGATAATGAGCGCCTGAACATGAGCACATTGCTAAGCATGTGTTATTAAGGCAAAGATCACTAACTAGTCTAACTAGTTAAATCCAGAAATAATGAACATATATTTCTGACAAATAACACATTGAAACATTGGCCACTGAGGAGAAAATGGCTCTTGTTGAAGATAAGAAGTTCTAATCAGCGTCCAATATGACACCTGTTAGCTCTGTTAGTTCATTAGCTCATTTAAAGAGGCCGCCTCCGTTACTCATCCAACATGAAAATGATGTTTTTGAACAATAAAACCTGTGTGCTGCTATACATTTGTGGCAACACCAGTGGTGCCACTTTTTTTGGCATTGTTTGTCTTTTCATGCTATTAACTGGATATTCAATTATGAACTCTTATGGATACTCAAATATCAAATATTTTGGTACCACTTTTTTTGTAGTGGTCCTTTGTAGATGGTTAATAAACTCTTAACAGATTATCAGTAAGACATCAGCAACATATCAGTGAAGTAGCAGCAGTGAAGCATCTGAATACACTGAAGTAAATATCTTGTAGATGTTCTGTTGATACATTACTTACATTAAGTAGATGTGTTGTTAATATGTTACTTCCATTATGCAAAACCTAACCTTACCAACCTTAACGAAACCTAACCCTCACCCTGGCCCTAATCCTAATCCTAACCTCAACCTCAACCCATAACCTAATCCTAACCCTGGCTCTAATCCTAACCCTGGCTCTAATCCTAATCCCTGGCCCTAATCCTAACCCTGGCTTTAATCCTAACCCTAACCTTAACCTCAACCTAAAACCTAATCCTAATCCTGGCCCTAATCCTAACCCTGGCTCTAATCCTAACCCTAACCTTAACCTCAACCTAAAACCTAATCCTAATCCTGGCCCTAATCCTAACCCTAGCTCTAATCCTAACCCTGGCCCTAATCCTAACCCTGGCTCTAATCCTAACCCTGGCCCTAATCCTAACCCTGGCTCTAATCCTAACCCTAACCTTAACCTCAACCCAAAACCTAATCCTAACCCTCATATGTTTTTGCCATGTTACTGAGAGTCTGTTGAGTGTTTGTTTCATCTAAAAAAACACTCAAAATAAAGTGTCACCAATATTTTTAATGAAAAACAAACAGAAACAAGAACCAAGAACTTCTTAACATTAATAAACAGAGATTTAATCCATCACTGCTGCTTCCACTCTACTGGCAAAAATAATGTCACTCTTTCAGACTGAGCTGATTCAACAAATCTACTACAAAGAAACTCATGTTAAGCTCTGACCTGCAGTTTGACCGGTTCGGGCAGCTTCATCTGCAGCAGCCCCTCTTTGGGTAAGGTTCCCTTCGCTCTCGCCTCCTCCTCTCCTCCTCTGAGGCCTCCTGCGGGACTTTCCGCAGGACTACCATCCTTGTCTGGCATTCTGGACGTCCCCTCAGTCCTAGAGTCCTGTGAAAAGACGCTGGGCTCGATGAGCCGCAGGATGGTCCTCAGGTCTCCGTTGTGGAAGATGCCCATGATCAGCAGCGTGTAGAAAAGCTTAATGAGTGGCACAAAGAGAAACTCGGTGCTGCCCCCTACTGGATCTCTAACGTGCAGGCTACCCTCCTGCACTGCTTCAGTCAGCATCTCCATGGTGCGGCTCTTCAGCGTCTCCAGGGGAAACTCAGGGCTGTACTGGAAGCAGTCGCCCCCAGCAACGCTGCATCCGTTGCTCCCGGTGACAGCGCTGACAAAGTCAGGCGAGGAGAAGTGCATGCGGGGGCGCAGTGAGGTGCTGAGACCGATGCCGGGCAGGCCGTGCTTCTTCTTTTCGTCTGGAAAGAGTGTGATGCTCTTGGTCTCGTCTGTCATGGGCACGATGTACTCGCTGTTCATCATCAGGCGCGCCGTGGCGTAGCTGCTCAGGTGGATGTCAATCAGCAGGTCGTAGTAACCTGTGCGCAGCAGGCCCGGCATGTACTTGTTTTGGATGGCCGACAGCAGCTGCGACTCATCCACGTGGCTGCAGAGGGCGCCGGCCACCCGGTTGTTGCCCAGCGCACACACGGCAGAGTAGAGGCGCAGGGTGTGATAGTGGAACTTCAGCAGGTCCCGCTGCTCCGTCAGCTCCAGGATGTCCACCGACCTGGACAAAATACTCATATGAGAATCTCCAGGGTTTTTTGATGTTGCTGTATGAGCTCTGATTGGATGGAACTGGGTGGCTTCAATTATTTTTATATTGTAGCTACACTTCTTCACATGCAGTATTGATATAAAGGTAAAAACTCTTGCTGTCCAGTGATTAAAATAATTGAATGCAATAAATCAGATTATTTTTAAATCAGTTGTTCATTGCAATGATTCATATTAGTCTTCTGTGGCATAAACTGTCCAAACTTTAAATCAAAATACAATAAAACTGTACTGTATGGAAATATTATGTTATTTTAAATTGTAAATTAATTGTGAGTTACTGTAAACTGAAATTTATGAAACGTGACCACTTACTACTGTTATTGTGAATTCAGATAAATATCTCCTGTTCATATTCATTGATTAAGATGTTAAACAAAGACATTTGAAGTTAATATACAACTGAAGGTTTGCAATTAATTATCATTTAACTCATTAGTCAACGAACAGTTAACTTTAATTTACAGATGATCTTATTAACACATCTCAATATATGTACAACACATTTCTAAGCTTGCCTACCACTGATTTGTTTCTATTTTCTAGGGCATTATTAATTGATAATAATTAATTAATTGTCCCACTGAAGGTTTCACTTTGAAGTCATTTAAAAGCTGAATTGGAATAAAAGGGCTACAGTTGCAGATTCTATCATTGTTACATACACCTGGGCTTCAGCCTGTGCTACTATGGATGGGACAAACTAGGAAAATACAGATTAACAAAAATGTGTACAGTAAATAATCAACCTTCTTTTAATATGATTTTTTAAAAAGATTTTTATTCAATTATGGCCATTTTTGTTTGTCTTTACCAAAGTTGGCAATAATTCTGGGATAACTTAACCCCCCCGAGAAATTACAGTTGTCTCAAATTTTCAGTGTCTAAAAGAAAGACATTTTTATTTCATAGCTTCTTTGCTCATCTTCACCAAGCGTGCCAATAATTCTGGAGGGCGCTGCATATTGAATATGGAATATCTACATATACTGTGTACTACATATTATGCATGTCTGTGTGTGTGTTACCTGTTCTCCTCAGGTATATGTAGGGACATGAACTGCAGCGGCTCCATGCACTGCACCATCCAGCCGTGCCGCTCATTGACCCGGGTGACTTCTGACCTCAGGAAATGATTGGGCACTCGGCTCCAGAGCACTGGTGTGAGGAACTGGACGTGCAGGCGTGGCGGACACTGAGGCACAGCGTTCTTCTTCTCGCTTTTAAACAGGCCTGCTGACAGCGGCATCACGTTCTGGCGCACAAGCACACACACGCACGCACACACACGCACACACACACACACACACACACACACACACACACACACACACATCATCATCATCTGTGGATTTCATCAGTACTTAAAGAACACTGACTTACTGTAAGTTTCATTACAAAGAGTTTGCTCCAACTTCTCAAACTATCAGAAAAACATTGCGATGTATTTGAAACACTGTGAAAATGTCTTCAAATATCATGACATTGCTGACATAATGAAGTCTGAATTAAATCCATATTTTGTACGTTTATCGGTAGCAGTATGTCATACAGTGTCAGAAACCACATAAGCAAGTATGTTATTTAACAACACAACATGATTTTTGTTCACAGGCTGCATGATAATAGTTAAGGCTAATTAATTATTTGTATAATCTATTACTACATTAGGTGCTCAGACACGAAATCTTGGCTTTATAAGGTGGGAAACTGTCTAAATTTAAGTGTTTCTTTTTTAAAAGCTCAGTATGAGCTTACAGAACTGTCATAGTGTAATTAGTCTTGTTGTATGAATTACAGTATCAAAACATTTAACTCTCTGTAGGGACAAAATGTCCCCAGTGTGATGAAAGCATGTGCTGTGGAGACAGTGGACTGAAATGAAAAATGCTTTTGTTACCCCCCCCAAAAAAACCCTGGCAGCTTTTATCATAAGAAATAAAAGAGGCCAAAGTTAATCTTTTGAGTTTGAGGTTGTGACACCACCACATATCCTAGCAAGACTGAGCTACTATTCATCCCTGCAACTACAGGTCCTCATCAAGATCTTGCCATCTCATTCGAGAACTCTCTGATTGTCCCATCAGCAGAGGCAAGAAGTCTTGGTGTGGTTTTGGATGGCCAGTTATCGTTCTCGACTCACGTTGCGAACCTAACTCGGTCATGCAGATTTCTGCTGTTCAACATCCGGAGGATCCGACCCTTTCTCTCTCGAGAGGCCACCCAGGTGCTAGTGCAGTCTTTTGTCATCTCAAGGCTTGACTACTGCAACTCGCTCTTGGCTGGTCTTCCTATGCGGCCATCAGGCCTCTGCAACTCATCCAGAATGCAGCAGCAAGACTCATCTTCAATCTCCCAAAGTTCAGCCACGTCACCCCACTGCTGCGCTCCCTTCACTGGCTTCCTGTAGCTGCACGCATCAGATTTAAAACCCTTATGGTTGCCTACAAAGCCAAAACTGGACCAGCCCCTCCCTACTTGATGGCAATGGTCAAATCTCGAACTGTACCACGAGCCCTTCGAGCTTCGAGTACAGCTCGGCTTGACCCGCCATCCTTCAAGGCGCGTGGAAGGCAAGCATCTAGACTGTTCCCTGTGCTGGCACCCAGGTGGTGGAACGAACTCCCACTGGCTGTCCGTACAGCAGAGTCTCTCGCTGTCTTCAAACGCAGACTGAAGACACACCTGTTTATTCAGCACTTAAATGAGCACTAAATTAAGTATTGATTGTAAAGTATTGTACAGCACTTATGTATTTTATCGTATTGCACTGTTCTGTGTTTAACTCTGTCCCTTTTTCACTAGGTGTCAATGACCTTCTGATTCTACCAGTATCTGAGCTTAGGACTGACTTTCTCTCTAACCTATCGGTAGCTAGCGAAGATTCTTTCTCTGGATAGACAAAGCACTTTTTGTAAGTCGCTCTGGATAAGAGCGTCTGCTAAATGATGTAAATGTAATTGTAAACATAAGGAGACCTGTGGAATACCTATTTGTAATGATTAACACTAACATAGATTTCAGGTAGTGTTATTTAGGTTACCCCACAGAAAATAAAGTCCTTAATTTCCTTTATGACTTCTCACTGGGATGTTCTGATTTGAGTTGTGGCCTCATCCTATTTCTGGTGTTTTTATTATGTTTTGTTTTCCATATTTTTTGTTTTGAAAATGTTTCCTGTGCATTCCAACGGGGGACTCTTATTTTGAATATAAACCCTGGTTTGGGAACAGGAAAGGGAAGTGTGGCAGCCATTTTTATGGAGGATCAAGGTTGGGGAAGACAGGCCTGGTGGATCTCTGTTGTTCAAGCCCTAACAAACGTTTACTCCTTGTTTACTCATCTTTGTCCTTGAAGATTGGACGCCCCCTCTAACTGTGGAGATACCTCAAGGAACTCATTCCTGTTTTTTTTTGGTTTTTTTTGCATTGATGGGCCCTGTTTTGATTTTTGAGTATTTTGGGACAGTGTTTGCTTGGATTATGGTGGCGTTTTGACATTTTTTGGACTTTTTTTTCAGATTGTTACAGGCTGTCCATTTACTACATGGTGCTGCCATGACAACAGTGATTTTTTTTTTTTTTGCCTGGGTATGATATAAACATCATTTATTTTCGAAAAATGGAGGGATTTATGTGCAGCAAAGTATTCTTTCTTTCTGATCATATGCCTTCCCATTCTACTTCTTCCACATGGTCAGGTCTGAATCCCTCTCAGTGTCTGTATAATTGAAAATTTATACACAAGAGCTTCAGGAAAAAAAAAAATGAAACACAATCTGTGGAATATACTGTTATAGACTTTTTAATTATAAATTTTATATGGAGTTAAGGAATAACTGAAATTTGGGAGGAGGACCATGCCTGAAACTCCTCCTCCTTCCAATCCAAAGCCCTAGAAATCCACATTCCTACCTTTTGTTTCCCACAAAGAAGCTTTTGCAGTCCCCACCACTGCCCCCTCTCCTCCCTGTTCCTCAGTCCTGTATTAGTCCTACCACAGTTAAAAAGGGGGTCCGGCCTTCTAGCTCCAGGCAGAAGCTGCCCAGAACTCCAGCCTGAGTTTCTCTCCCTTCACTCGTACCAGCACAACACACATTAACACGTCTCCACCACGTCAGTGTCACTGCAGTGCTGATAAGGATCCACCACCCAAATAGTACCTGCTCTGTGGTGGTCCTGTGGGGGTCCTGACCACTGAAGAACAGGGTAAAAGGGGGCTAACAAAGTATGCAGAGAAACAGATGGACTACAGTCTGTAACTGTAGAACTACAGTCTGTCTATATGGTAAGTGGAGCTGATAAAATGGACAATGAGTGAAGATACAAGGAGATGTACATAATGAAGTGGCCAATCAGTGTGTGTGTGTGTGTGTGTGTGTGTGTGTGTGTCTGTGTGTGTGTAACAGTGTCTGCAGGCTCTCTGTATGTTTTTACTCACCTTGATGCGTCCCAGCTCAAACTGGAAGACATTGGGGCTGGTGGCCTGAGCGAACACTGCAGGGAAAAGTTTAGCACTGGGCTCCACCTACACACACAAAAACAGGGTAAAAACAGCTCTATTACACACGCGCAGTGCTGAGGGGGCTGCAGCAGCTCCACATTTCAAGGCTGTTCAACTGCAACTGCTGTTTTAGTTTGGTAAGGTTTTATGCCGGAGTTTGAGTTTTATTTTATGTTTCATCTTTTTCTTCTTAGTTGTCTATTTCTAGTTATAGTTTTTATTGTTTACACTACAGGAAAACAACACCTATCCTTTACAATTTGTGATGAATGAATGAAAAGTACTACTCCAAACGTACTTGGAATAATATTACATTAGCCTACACTTAAAGTTAAGCAATGCTTTTACTTTTCCTATAAAGTTTTCCATTTTGGAGATAATGAGGTTTTGTTATGACAGCGATGATATGCTGCCCCAACACACACACAGCTGTAAAATGCACATATGCACTCTTACCTGGTAGTAAGTGCTGAGCTCTTTGCCGTTGGTTGTGAAGGTGAGCAGGCCGCTGGCTGTGTCCACCATGCAGCCGATCTCCAGACCGTTATTATTACGGCCCTGACCGGGGTTATTACTCTCTCCGGCCCACACCATGTAGCAGTTGCTGCGCTTAATACTGCAACACACAAGTACACATCGCACAACAAGTCACATCAGCAGAGCGCAGCAACAAAATAAACAACAGTTACATCACCACAGTTCAATACGGTGCTTACTGGCCTGTTTTACGCAAACTATCTCTTTGTGATATGAGTGATGTGGAGCCATTACTGCTACAGCGTGTGCACTGCGGAACAATGCAGCAGGATTATACGGGAAATTCTCACCACTTACGACCAAAGTCTACAGACATCCTTTATCCCAAATGGATAGATAGTCAAATCAGTTTCTTTACTTTGCTTTTTATCATTTTTATACACTAGAATTGGCCCAATTTTGTGGTCATTTCCACCCGCTAGCTGCAACGTAGCATTATGGCTGCAATATGCAAATAAGGTCTCGGAACAATTACTAAACGTTTACTAAACACATTTATGTGATCCAGCAAATAATTTGATTAGGCCAATATTTAACCATGTCACACTGTTGATTCACCAATTTGTTTTCCATATGTTGCATAAAACCTATTGTAATCACAATATGCCTCAATATATTCCCAATATGGTATTTAGTGCAGCAAAAAAGAATCAATGCACCATCATTTGCAATACCACAGTTCAAATAATTCAGATATAACACCACAACAACTGCCTCAACACAACACTGCTAGTCTTGCTTGAGAAACTTCTTCTGTGCAGCTCTAGAAGCCACCCTGAGTCCACATGCTGCAGCAGATTATCTTAAGTAGGACTGAACAAGCATTCAATCCAAAAATACACCAGCAGTAGCAAGTGAAGCCTGTGTTTTCCAGCCAGTCCCAAAGCATGGAGACGCTCCGGTTAAGAAGTAATCACCAGGTTATAAAATAGTAGAGTGTTGTTTGAACTCTGTTAGGTCCATTATTATGCTAACCAATCATAGACTTAATACAGTGAAAATAATGGTCAATTTCCATGTAGCTGCCATGCAACGTAACAGCTATGCCACTGATAACTGCCCAATCAACTGTGGTCCTCGCTGTTGGCATCACTGACCTCTCATGAACTTTGCCTTTCTCGTCGCCGAGGGTGACTGTGACCGTTCTGACTTTATCCAGCTGAAAGGCCGGGTCGTATTGGTGGAAGTCCGAGGTCACCCAGCCAACCCACACTCTGGACGGTTCTTGACCCGGAAAGATCCGCACCGAGTAGTAGTACTGACCCACAAGCAAGCAAAAAAACAATGAAATACATGATCTGGCGATCTGATTTATTTCTATTATATTATCCTATATATTCTATTATTCTATATCTTATAAACTAGTTACACAACATCTTTGAAACGAGTTCAGTAAATACTGTAATCTATAATACTGTATGTTATTAACAACTAGATAAGATTGACTAGAAACACATTCTCTGCATGTCAAACACTTCTTTTAGCACTTTAGCCACATTCACACTTGGCATTGGATCATATGTGGCCAGCGCTAAGTACAGACGTGAATGGGGTCCAATGACCAACACCACCCTTAAAGGTGGTCAGGGATGCATATGACCACATGCACACATTTGTAGTGTGTATCCCCAACAGCATGAAGGAAAAAGAATAAAAGCAGCTATTTAGCTTCTTTGTTCATCTCCTCTCCTGTTTTCACATACAGCTATTTTTAAACAAACCAAGCTTAGTTGTCTTAAAGCAAATCTGAAAAGGAACCAGCTGCACATGACCTCATTGCTTTCTGTGTTCACAGTGTAAGTGGACTTTAAAAGAGGACCCAGTTTTCTTTCTGGCTCTCTTCAGTATTGATGAGATCTCAACCACTCTAGTGTTGCATTTTGGGCAGTGTTGTTCAAGTTACAACATGTACGTCTAAAAAACATTAAACGGACACCATTGTTAAATAAATCATTTTTGATCTAAATGATTTTTAACTAAACACTATATTTATTATACTATATGTTATACTTTTGATGCCATTATATGAAAGCGATAAGCCACTCAAGCCGGCAATATGATTCAATTCGGGTCGCTGCTTTTTCATTTATCATTATTGACGTTCACATAGAAGAAAAGCATGACTCAGACGTCTGACTCCACATGAGATGCTGAAACAGACCAAGTGTGAAAATGCCCTAAGTTGTGTTAGCAGTCTATGTGGTTTAAACGTGGAACAGTCCGTAAATAAACACAAGCAAGGACTGGCAAGACATTTTGTCTGACAACAAATGCAACGCGGGATAAATGCAGTGAAAGTGAGCGCTATCCTTCCTCCAGTCACAAAAGCCATCATAAGCGGTCTCCGAAGAGACGCCTTGGAGACCTATGGAAATTTAACTGGCTGTACATCTCACTGTCCGTTCGTGATCAGGTCATTTGAGATTATTCTTGAGATTATTATTGAGTTAATACCAGAGACCAAACAGCTCTCTCTAGTTCTGTATTGTGTCCTGTAAGTAAGCACTGATCGATATTAAGCTTTGACAATAATATCAATAAGATTCTGTTAATCAATAATATCGGCTGATAACTTTACATGTTTAAAAAAAACATTTTTTACAGTACTACTATATGAATGTACATACGATTATCTTAATTTTCAATTTCTTAAATTAAACAATTATAGTTATTAAATAACACATATACCATGACAACTTATTAAGATTAAAACAGCACAAATTCTCAGTGTTGAATCCTCAAACAAGCACTGCACTTAACATCTGACAGTCTGCTTGATTGTAGCATCACATTCCCAAATGTGGTTTTTGTACATAATATTTAACGACATAATGAGCCAGATCCATAAAACTCAGTGGAAACCGTGCTATGTCACACAAAATATGTTGCACGATAATTAAAATCTATTCATAAAGCCATCATGGCGGTGATCAGTGTGCTGTGCTCTCCTTACCAGAGCTGTTTTTGCACATGGCCTCATGACTGAGCAGCAAAATCGTGTCCCCCCCTCAATCTATATGTATTTTTTAAACTGGCACATTTGAAGCCGTTGCACAATATTTAATTCTGAATTCTGTATTAATGTGCTGTGAAGTCCTTTTCAAGCAAGACACCTTCCTCTTTATGCACACTCTTAAAAAGGATGGTTCATCAAAGGTTATTTAGTAAAGATAATGGTTCTATATAGAACCATGAACACTCAAAGAACCTACTGCATGATTAAATGGTTCTTTGCATGCTGAAATGATCCTTCAGACTGATGGAGAATGTGCCATAGATGGTTCTATATAGAACCTTTTTGAAAAGGGCTCTATAAACCACCAAAAGGGTTCTTCTACTTTTACAAGCTTGACATCATAAGAATAGAAGAACCCTTTTTGGTGCTACATAGACCCCTTTTCAAGAAGTAGAACCATCTACAGTGTGTTCTCCATCAATCTGAAGGACCACTTCACCATGCGAAGAACCCTTTAATCGTGCAAATGGTTCTTTGAGTGTTCAAGGCTCTACATAGAACCATTTTCTTTACTGAAGAACCCTTGAAGAGCCATCATTTTTAAGAGCGCACTTCTGCTATGCTATGCACTTGCAATGTCTGGCATGAAACTCAATCCAAACAGATCAAAATGTGCCTTTTAAATCCATCAGTCCCTCAACAGAGCGGAAATGAACACACCAGTTTGTTGAAGATTTGCATGTGTGACCAAACGTGTTTGACCCACATTGGTTTCTTACCATGGAAATTTACCGTCGGACAAGTTCAGCTGGTATTTTTCGAGGTACAATGTTCTGTTATGAATCGCTAACAAATAAAGTAAAGGGCAGTAGAGCCACATATCATGTAAACAGTGAACACAGTGAAAATCCTACTTGATGAATAAGAAAATGTGTTGTAAATGTAGCGTTTCATGAATCTGGTTCATTACCAGCTTGCAGATAAATCCTTGGTACCTTAATATCGGCCAAATGATACCTCAGTCGGGCCCTGTGTGTAAGCAGATTTTCTCACCGTGGACGTCTGCATGAGGTACTCGTAATCATCTCTCTCATCAGCCAACACCTCCTCAGACAGACGAGCTGAAGAGTTACTCGTGCTGAAGTCAGGCTTCGACCTCTTCAGCATGAACCTGCATAATGCACAGTGAATACTCAGCTATGGGAACACTGCAGAGGACAATGTCCTGCACTCGTGTTAATTTAGCCCCATCCTGAGAGCTGCCACGGATAATGAGGGAACGAACACACATACACACCTCTGTTTGAGTTTGGAGGGCTTCTCTTGATTGTAGTCCTTATGGTTGTTGAACTCGTCCCTGTCTTTGTCCGGCCCGTTTGAACCCATGTGGCCGTGAGCGCTCTTCATCAGCACCTCAAAGTCCGACACAGTCTCGAAATCCTCCAGGTCCTTCTTGGGGGAGAAGAAGCTGCCGTTAGCCGGGAGCGTCCCGCCAGCGGATTTGGCGAAGACCTCAGCGCACTCGATGGGCATGCTGAGGCGGTAGAAAACGATGTCCGTGTTACTGTTCTGTGAACCGAATGACCTCTGCGTGACTTTTAGGCATGGCGAGCTCTCCACTGTGCCATCAATTCTCGTGACCTTTAAGGGACACAAGACACAAACAAGAAAGGTTCTGTTGAACATCCAGGAAAATGAGATTAAATAAACCGAGCCCAACTTAAGTGCTGTTTGGAGGGGATTCGTTTTAAATAAGGAGGTGGGATATTGTACTTTTACCACAGGATGTCTGTTATGTTTCTGGCTGATTCACACAGGACAGAAAATCTCATGTAAGTATAAATGACAGAGATGGGAGTGGCTGCTCGATTTACACACTGCCAAAGCACCAGGTTAGAACATACCATAATATTGTTTGAACACTTTTAGGTCCATGATTGTGCTGACTAATCCTGTACACCTACTATTCTCGTTTTTTTGTAACTTTTTATGTTTAAAGGTTAGCACAAACAGTCCCACTTTATATTAAGTGTCTCTAATAACTGTGTAGTTACACATGGATAACATATGCAACAACAATGTAACTACTGATGATTTAGTCAATGTTACAGATGGATTACAGAAGTACAGCTTATATAATTACATGTGTATCAACTTTAGTTTTACTTCATGTAATTACACAAGTGTATCTTCTATACAGGAACTTTCCTGTAGTGCAGTGTTGAAGTTACACTTTAAAATGAGTGGACGGTTCCTGTGTAGTTGTTATGTAGGTACTGTGTAATAATGGAGGGGCAATATAGAAATTGCTTTGGGGGAAATGCAGCACATTTAATTAATGTAATAAAAGTTACATGTTAAGATAAGGGGTCGTCTGCTGTACCGTCACATTACAGAATGGTTTAAAGTTGAAACAGGTTACAATGTCACAGCACTAGCAACATAAATGCTAGATAAATGTTTGGAAACCTGGCTGATCCAGTGTAAGTAATGTCTAAATATAGGTTATTACATACTTCCTTTTACTGCTGGGGGAAAACTTCTGAAAAAAACTGCTGTTCCAGTCTGATTACAATGTAATTACATTTGTGTTATTACCCTTGTGTAATTACATGAAAGAAAACAGGCTGTTACAACTATTAAGATATACTTGTGTAATTACGTGAAGCAAAACTGAAGTTGATACACGTGTAATTACATAGGGAGTATTTCTATAATCCGTCTGTAACAGTGACTGAATCATTAATAGTTACATTGTTGTTGCATTTGTTGTTCACATATAACTACACAGTAATTAGAGACACTTAATATAAAGTGGGACTGCACAAACTAAATAATTAAGTAAATAAATGAACCAACAAACAAAAACAAATAAATACCAAACATGACTGTGAAAGCTAATTCCATGGTTCCAAAAAGCCTCTCCATTTTTCTGTAATTTACAGAGAAGACAGCACTGCTGCACACAAAAGTCTGAACACCCCTTGTCAAAAATAATAAAACATCAATATAAAAGGTGCCAATGAGACTACAGTACGTGACTGAAGTGCCCTTGAGCAAGGCACCTAACCCCCAACTGCTCCCTAGGTGCTGTGGATATGGCTGCCCACCGCTCCAGGCAAGTGTGCTCACTGCCCCCTAGTGTGTGTGTTCACTAGTGTGTATGTGGTGTTTCACTGCACAGATGGGTTAAAATGCGGAGATTAAATTTCTCTGTTGTGGGACTAATAAGGGTCACTTAATCTTAATTCTTTCCTTATGTGCAACGTGACAGCTTTGCCACTAAAAACGCCACTAAAAACTGCCCTTTTCATCACTGAGGTAGGAGAGTACATGGTGGCTGGCCCACCAGTAAGGTGAGTAAATGCTTTTAGTGTCTCCATACTTAAACCGTGAAAACTCCTTTTCCACAGGATATGGTGGTATATTTACAGTCTGTGCAGGATTAACACAACCTGGGCTTTTTCTATGGCTACTTTTATAGCTGGTTAAAGGCACCAAAATCTCCACTGACTGAGGGGCGCAAAATCTGTAAAAATGACGGACATGGTGGATTCGGTCAAGACTAAAATTTCTGAGAAACGCTGATAACGATGACATTACCCACCTTCCCAAGTGCTAAATAATAGATCTAAATAATACTAATTAAATCCCAGGGGTGCAAGAATACACCAGTGCATTGATCTGAAGGTGCATCTGTTTTAGAATCAATTATGATCTATTACAATTATTATTCAATCAAATATGCTGTTATATTTAGGGTAAAATACAATTCTCAGCATATTTCCAAGTGTGTTAAGTAAAAAGAGAGCTTGATGTAAAGCTGTATTGCTTTACTCTGCAAACAGTTCCTCCAGTCACTTCATCTAGTCGAACAAAAACAATTCAGAATAGCTTAACTGGATCAAATTGCGGTAAAATGTGAGATTTCCTGACTCACTGAATCATTTGGGAATTGTAACGGAACGGATTCAGTGTATGATCAGAGATTTAAAGCCCTATTAAATATCTCCTGGTTTAACTCCTGAAGGGCCTGGCCATGAGCTAGTGCTTTACAGAAGAATCAAGGTGCATGTAATGTAGCTCTAGATACAGTAAATGCAGAAGTGTGTGTGTGAGAGAGAAGACCTCGATGTGTTCGTGGCCGGCTGGTACAGGGATGAACTGAGGCAGTCTCTTGCTGAGCCACATGGTGATGTCTCGGTTCATGTTGACGGCGAAGGGCTCGTAGCCTTCCTGCAGGCCGCAGATGGTGAAATACTTCAGCGTGCTCACTTCCTTCCCAAAGTTCATCCGGCCCACCTGACTCACACCCAGACTGCACACCGGGATGAAACCTGCCTCACAGGAGGAGCAAACAGGAAGACAACACAGAGGAAATGCTTAGGGGAGAGAGACGTTAGCACAGGCAATAATATAATAATCATAATACTACACCCCAGCCTATTCTGAGAGCCTCTCACTTATCATGTTTCATAGAAATAATCAATACTAGACATCTGACTGGATCCTATCAGAGTAAAGTGAGCAATCGGGGCATAAATTTATGGCCATAAATTTTTTTGTTTTATTTTCTTTTTCACAATATGTTAGGTTCAGCCAACAAAGAGTAATTGTGTATTAAAGTAAGCAGGAGTGTGTTCTCTGTAAAGGATGTGTTATTATTTTCATATAGAAAACCAGCAAAAAACGCATCATTTGACCAGGGGCGTGCAAACTATTGCGTCCAGTATACTGTATGTGCATATTCATGCCTCTGGTGTGCATGATCATGTACAGGCATGCTTAGTTCATCAGTATAGACAGCCAGATATAACACACCACACTGCCACACTGTTTTCAAATGCCTTTACAAATATGATGCATATGGTGCAGAACGCTATGCCAACAGAGGCTGAGCTACACTGCATTAAACAATGTATCTCTGGAAAATACTACAAAGTACTGAACACATTACAGTGATAAAATATCGCCATTTCACTTGAAAAACTCTTTGCCCTGTTAGTTGTTTACACATATTTAAGATATAATAGTGATATAGTGTTTAATAGGGTTTTATATGTGCTGTGCAATGGTGACCAGTAGGTGACGCCAAAGTCTTCACTTTAACACTAGCATGGTTGAAGTTTACGCATTTCTTATGGTATTTTTCAGACACAGTCAAAATAACTCATCCACTGTAGTGGTATCCTGTATCCTGTGCTGTGTGGATAATAGAGACATCACTGTGGGAGGAACAAACAAAAATTTGTGTGCGTGTGTGTGTGTGTGTGTGTGTGTGTGTGTGTGTGTGTGTGTGTGTGTGTGTGTTGATCCTTGTTTTGCTGCATCAGCTTAGTAGGTCTCAGCAGTGCTTAGCCAGACAATAAGCCTGTTTAGACAGCATACCATTCACTTTCAACCACGCACAGGCAGACGGCACACACATATACAATACTGTGCAAAAGTCACAGAGCCCCTTTAAATTATTTAATGTGTTCATTTTCAGACCTGGTAGACCTGCCTTGTTACAAGCAGAGTTGATTACTGCAATGCTCTGCATACTGGCTTCCTAAGAAAACAGTACATCCTCTACAGCTCGTATTTATCTCCTTAATTTGATCCGTCATTGTCTTTTTCTAAGAAATCTATTAATTTCTCATTTTAAATTAATACTCACAATTGTTTCTATTACTGTTAAGCTTTATCGCCTGTCTGTAAAGCACTTTTAGCAGGCACCCTTATAAAAAGTGCTGTATAAATAAAGATTATTATTATTATTAAAATTGCCCCATCAGATAAACAGCACTTAAAGCTTTCATCATTGAGAGAGAGGAGAAAATCAAGCTGCTTCAGATCTGAAAACATCCACAGGTGTTTCTGTCCATCCTTCCACTGTGAGAAGATGACTCAGCGCTATGGGTCTGAAAGGATGTGTAGCTGTCAAGAAGAACCTCACTGAGGGAGCTCCCTAGTGGCGCAACCGTCTCAGCGTTGGCCCTATCATCAGGAGATCGCGAGTTCGATCCCTGGTGATGCTACAGCCATCCGTAGCCGGGAGTCCAAGAGAGCACAATTGGCCTCGCTCTCTCTGGGTGGGTAGGATGGCCCCTCCTTCTCCCCCCATCACTCAGCGCGATGCTAGTCAGCGCAGGCGTCTGTTAGCTGACGTAACAGATCTGGTGGTTGGCGCTTTCCTCCGAGCGCGTTCGGCTGTCCAGTGACGTTGCGTGAGCGGCAGTTCGAAAAGATGCGGTGGTTGGCTTCACAGGTCTCGGAGGAAGCCTGTGTTAGCCTTCGCCCTCCTAGCGTTGATGGTATCGTGTGATTAGGGGAGTCCTAACTAGCGGGTGGAATTGGAGACGACTAAATTGGGGAGAAAATCGGGTAAAAATCCAAAAGAAGAACCTCACTGAGAAAACGAGATGGACAAATCAAACAAAGAAGCTGCTGGTGTTCTCAGGACTGACCACCCCAGAGTCCCAGACCTCAACATCACTAAATGCTAAACCAACTTCTAAGACTGAACTTTGGAGGTGTGTCTGCAGATTTCTTTGAAAAACCGAAAGTAAGTCTTCTGAAAAGAATGGAAGCTGTAATAAAGGGAAAGAGTGAACACACTAAAAAATTTGAAAGACACAAACACATTTATTCTGTTAGATTCCTATGTCAACCAACTGCTCAACCAAAAACATCAAAAAGTAGATCAGCAGAGTAAATGGCCTGCTTTTTCATGTTGACCGAGCTTTCCGAGATGCAGCAGCACATTTGCTGAGAGGCCACAAAGAGGCCTTTTCATTCAACAAAATTCAGAAACAGCCTGAATCAGAAAGGCAGGCTCATGTGCCAGCAGCACGGAGTCAGCATGAGCTCCTGTATGGATGTGAAACCCTTAGCAAGTTTCAGCCAAAATGGAAATGGCTGGAAATATACAGAATATTCCACTGAGTCTTTTTAGTCATAGGCCTAAATATAATCTGAGTGAGGAAGCACAGATTCATTTAGATGTGATTTAACTCTAATTCTGATAAAAGTCTGCTAATTAAGCGTTTAAGAGAGGGGAAACGTGGCCTAAGTCTCTACACATGGCAGCAGTACCTAGTACCACCATATACACAGGACATCACTACCATCTTCATAACCTCCATCACACACATATAATAATAATAATATGGACAATGAAAAGATATCTTCCACAGCATGTTTTACTATTTTCTATCAGCCTCTTCTGTAGGCTGGTTCAACAGCATGTCCAGAAACTGACAAAAAATAGACAGTGAAAATGGCTCTAATATAAACCCCTGAGGCACCCCACACCTAACAACACCTAAAAATCACCTAAGCAATCTGAAAAGTCTTACTGGAAGCATTTCTCTGCATTAATTTTCAAATGATGAACAAAGTCATTTTGTCACCTAGCTCTGTCTTTCTAGCCTGAGTAGCCACAGTCAAATTGTTTGTACTTCCCACATTAACTAACTTTATCACTCATGCAGTTGTTCATGTCTTTGCTCACTCAGCCCATCACCACTATAATCACTGTAAAAGATAACAGTTCCATTGTGTCTCAGCCTTTTCTGCACATGATGATGGGAGAAACGAGGCTTTCTGAAGCTAAACTGAAATGTTTCAAACAATGATTCACTATTTCCAAGCACTCCAACTTCTGCATGCTGGCCCGTCTTGTTTGTCAATGTTATATGCATTGTAAACTTAAATTTATTAGCACGTATTCTTCTTATTATTATTTATCATTATTAATATTATTAAATTATACTGATTTTATCTTCATGATTTAATCCCTAATACAAAATATATATATATAGCTTTATGTTTAATATATATATTTTTTTTTAATAGTGCTCATCTTATCTATACTGTGTGACAGCAATACAAATAATATTTAAGCTATGTATAAAATCAATATTTATGTATGTGAATTGTTTATTGAATTGGGTGTGGCAGAGAGCTTGTTCAACTGGGGAGAGATTAGAGTTTAAAGGTTTTTATAAAGGAAAACAATTTGTCTAAAAGTTTTTGCATTTAAACCAGTGTTGACATAATGAAACTTTGTTTGTTGAAACCATTTGACTTGGTTGCTTTGATACATGCCTTGAGGCACTGTTTCGAGAACACCCATCACTCTCTGTATGTCTGCTACCCCCTTTTATTCATCAGCAACATGTGCATAAACTGACAAAGAGAGTGTAAGCAGATAAATATAATGGTTCTAATATAAACCCCTGAGGCACTCCACACCTAACAGTACCTGGGGAGGCATCTCATTGACCACTGAGAAGTCGTTGAGTGGAGGAACCGCTGAGTGCCATTTTTCTCCATTCTGAGTGACTCCATTACTCAGAAGTAGACAGCACTATTTACTGACCTTCACAGACCTCGAAGTCTTTGAATGCGAGTTCAGAGCCCGAGTCATCCAGCAGCACCTCTCCATTCAGTGTGAACATCATGGTGTGCTCGTTCATATCCACCATGCAGCCCACCACGTCACCCGCCAGCCACGAACGCCCGAAGTGCTCGTTCCCCTGGTGCCACCGCTGAGCCTGGAATTAATACACATACAAATGTGCAACCACATACATAATTATATCATACATACACACAAACACACACACACACACACACACACACACACACACACACACACACACACACACACAAAAAGTCAAAAGTTTGGGGCCTTTTCTAAAATTTACAATTTCTTGCTGTAACTTCATAACCAATCATAACCAACATTTTTTCCCCACTTATAACATTTGTGTGGGTTCATGTAGTCAAAAGTAAAGTAAAGACCATTTCCCAACCTCTCTTTATCTCTTAGAATTAAAGCGGCAGTTTTTGTTTCGTAACTTTTAAGACTGATATGTGTAAATGACCTCTGTCCTGATTGGCTGCCCTGTATTGTCCCTCATTCAAAAAGCAGTCTGATATGTGTAAATGACCTCTGTTCTGATTGGCTGCTCTATACTATCCCTAATTCAAAAAGCAGTCTGATATGTGTAAATGACCTCTGTTCTGATTGGCTGCTCTATACTATCCCTAATTCAAAAAGCAGTCTGATATATGTAAATGACCTCTGTTCTGATTGGCTGCTCTATACTGTCCCTAATTCAAAAAGCAGTCTGATATGTGTAAATGACCTCTGTTCTGATTGGCTGCTCTATACTGTCCCTAATTCAAAAAGCAGTCTGATGTATGTAAATGACCTCTGTTCTGACTGGCTGCCCTGTGCTGTCCCTCATTCAAAAAGCAGACTGGGCTCTGCCGCTCCCTGTAACTTCAGCATGACATGGGACAAATAATTGGCTGAATAGGGACATATGTAAAAAGTTTTCTTGATATCACAAAAGCAATTAATTCAAAATGGGCTGTTCTTACAGTTTCCATATATGGACCATATGGACTAGGGCAGTATTAGGTCACGAATACTGTCACAAACATTTACACATGATATTGTTTTCCTCTACATAAAGGCCCAGTCACACCAGCACTTGGCAGCTGAATCTGCAAGTGAAATTCCATTAATTTTAAAGGAAATCACCGTGGTGACTGATTTCACGTTCCAGACGTCTGGCCGAATATATTTTGTGTGCAAAATTTCACACCAGGTTCAACTTTGGTGAACTTTTACACACAGAAAGCACTACTGCTTTGGCTACCCTGGACTCTGAAGAGGCAGCCCTTCACATAGCAGCACCAAACCTCCAAAATGGAGGAAATGCTCATGTTAGCAGTGTTAGACACAAACCTTTAACCTTTCTTCCCATGCATGAAAGAGAGACTGCATGATACAAAATGAGTTGAACGACTGTATTATTGTCTTTACTTTTGTCATTTTACTGTGTTTTTTTTGTGGTGTTAGCCAGCATGCTAATTGCAATGTTAGCTTGTTGGCTAACTGCAGCTAAACACAAGTAGAGTATGCCAATATCGCCAACCACTCCAGTTACCTACACTTTTCTTTGCTACAGATCAGTACAGATGTACAGATGTGCTGTGGCAAGTACACCAATCAGACACAACATTATGACCACCTCCTTGTTTCTACGCTCTTTGTAGTTCTACAGTTACAGACTGTAGTCCATCTGTTTCTCTGCATACTTTGTTAGCCCCCTTTTACCCTGTTCTTCAGTGGTCAGGACCCCCATGGACCCTCACAGAGCAGGTACTGGGTACGTATTTGGGTGGTGGATCATTCTCAGCACTGCGGTACCACTAACATGGTGGTGGTGAGTTAGTGTGTGTTGTGCTGGTCTGAGTAGATCAGAAACAGCAGTGCTGCTGGAGTTTTTAAACACTGTGTCCACTCACTGTCCACTCTATTAGACACTCCTACCTTGTCAGTCCAGCTTGTAGATGGAAAGTCAGAGACGATAGCTCATCTGCTGCTGCACAGTTTGTGTTGGTCATCCTCTAGTCCTTCAGCAGTGGTCACAGGACGCTGCCCACAGGATGCTGTTGGCTGGATATTTTTGGTTGGTGGACGATTCTCAGTCCAGCAGTGACACTGAGGTGTTTAAAAACTCCAGCAGCACTGCTGTGTCTGATCCACTCAGACCAGCACAACACACACTAACACACCACCACCACGTCAGTGGTACTGCAGTGCTGAGAATGATCCACCACCCAAATAGTACCTGCTCTGTGAGGGTCCATGGGCGTCCTGACCACTGAAGAACAGGGTAAAAGTATGCAGAGAAACAGATGGACTACAGTCTGTAACTGTAGAACTACAAAGTGCACCTATATAGTAAGTGGAGCTGATAAAATGGACAATGAGCGTAGAAACAAGGAGGTGGTCATTTTTATGGTTTTACTGTTTGCAGTAGGCAGGTTAGCCAGCTTGCTAACTGCTATGTTAGCTCCCTAGCTGAACACAAGTCACCTCACTGCCTCCAGCCATGCCAGTTATCAACTTTTTTTGCTACAGATTAGTGTGCAGCACTGAGAGTGTAAAATTTTGTCTATTTTTGTTCCACTGCTGTTTATGGTTAGCACGTGTACAGTAAAAGTCCGTGCTGGGGCAGAGAGAGAACAAACGAACCCCAGAGGAGAGAATTCACCATATACCACATGTTTGATCTGGTTAAGCAGAGCAGCACTCTTTTTTTATCTGGCGCATACACATACACGCCCACCTGGCCTCTCCATCTGTAGAGCTCTCACTGTGTGTGATCAGATGATGGTGATGATGGTGATGATGATGATGATGAGGGCTCTCCTCTGCACTCTGGTGCTATATTTGCTCTATTTTCCTCTTTCAGTATCCCACTCCTTTCTATTTCTCCCTCGCACATGCTATCTTACTCACACTTGCTCTCTCTCTGCACCTGGGCCTGTGTGCTCTGACTCACTCTGGCTGGAACAGAGAGGCAGCTGAGGGCAATTCCAGCCTCCACATTCACACATACAAGCTCAGTTCACAGCCATCATGAGCTTCACACACTGGCATCAAATTAAGGGCTTTCTATGTCCATAGAAGAGTGGGCTAATACGCTATTTTAAACCTCAATCAATATGCAGCTTGACTTTAGCTTGTTAAATAAAGACCAGTGAAAACAGACTCCTTTATTTGTAAAAAGATTTCAGTTCTATTCAGTCTCAACCTTTCTGCTCTAACTTTGCTCATCAGTAACATGTTCCAAAACTCACAAAGTAGTAAAAGTAGACAAATATAATCACCCTAATATAAACCCCTGAGGCACTCCGGGTAGGCAATTCTATTTTCTTTCTCATATATGGCTAAAACTATATGGCTCCTTCTGTTTCAAACTCACCTTAAACCCATCAAACACAAAGGCCTGGTCGTCAGAGCCCAGCTCCTGGTCAGGCAAGCAGCCCGGGCGGGCCCAACCCACCCGCATCTCGCCTGCTGTCACCACCTCCAGCTCAAAATACCACTTCCCAGCGTTCACACTGTAGGTCTTTTCGGCACGGAAGATCCTGAAACGCTCTGCGGACATGTTGTTCATATCTGCTCGGGCTGCTGGAGACAGTGACAAAAAGAGAAGTGAGTTTTAATGTTTAAAAAAGGCGAAAAAAGGCTTTTTATCCAAATATTTGGAGTCTAAACAATATTTGGAGTCTAAACACGCCTGTTTTTTGATACAACAGCAACATCTGAGAAATACTTGATATCTTTTTAGGAAATTATCATGAAATCCGCCTAAAGAAAACAACCAAACAAACAAATAAATGCCAAAATGTAGCCAGGATTTCCAGACTTGAGCCTTAAGAACGGTGTCAAGTTCTTTATGTAGGGTAGGACTGAATTCTTTTTTTTTTTTTCTTTAAAGAGCTGACTACCTACTAACTAACATTTTTGTTTACATTATTTCTTTTATGTGTTTACATTTCAGCTGTGCAGTGGCTTAGTAACAAAGATAACAACTACCTCAACTGCGTAGTTTAGGATTTTTTCATTTAAGATGAAATAAAATAAGAACAATTCCTAAATTAAGATACGATTTGCTTCTGTAATATGAATTTGAGATAAATTTATTATTAGATTTAGGACTAAAGATAGGAAGTTTATGTAATGTGGCCGCTGGAGTACAGAGCCAGAGAACATCTATTCTGTTCCATAAATCTGACCATGTAATAAAGACACCCACCCCGCATAACTCACTGTGCATCAAATTAAGACAGCGGGATTGATGCGCTAATAAAACTTTAGGGTTGCCAGTACATCACCTCCGACAATGAAAAAGATTCTCAGGCCTTTTTATGGACTGTGTTGAAGTCGCTGATGTCCAAACACATTTCAGACTCCACAAATGTGTAGATGACCTTTACTCATATAGTGTAGCATCTGTCTTTATGTTCCTCTTAACTCCTGAAACACTGACTATTAGCCTCTGACCACCACAAACACATCTGAAGCTGAAATTTGTGGCAAGTAAAGATGCTTTAACACTATTATTAGTACTAATATTTAGTTTAGGTCTGACACTGACGCTAAAATACAGATAACATGATGTTACAGTTGTATGCCAAAGATGGGGACCCTCGCCGAATTACACATTTTGCTGATTTCTTACGTGAAAAAGTTAACACCATTTCCTCATGGAACAAATATAAAAGTAGCACATGCAAAAGTTTGGACACTTTTTCAATGACTCTTAAAAATCACGTGAAAGAATCACGTTAAAAAAATATTTAAACACCTCCTCCTTACAGTTTCCACCATCTGAAATGCCATGATGGAATGGAATTTAAGGAGAACTATTAAAGTCAAGACAAAATCTCTAAGAGAAATGCTCATATGCAAAGCAAAACTCCCACATCACTGTCAGGGAAGATCTGGCTGGCCCAGGAATAGTGATGAACTGGACCACTGTGCAGTGTTGTTGCACAGACACCATTTACACTGAAAGGCCATCAGAAGGAAACCTTAATGATAATCTCATCACAAAAGTCAACATCTGAAGTATACAAAGCAACGTCCATATTAAGCCAGAGGCATTTTGGAATCAACAACAAAAATGCAACTCTTTGGTTGTAATTTCTAAAGGAATGTTTGGAAAAAGGAGCAGCATTTGATGAAAGGAACACCTTGCCAACTGTCAACAAAGTCAACAAAATGTGTCATTTGACCAGGGATGACCAAATTCTTGCATATAACAATATAACATTATCAAGAGTGATATGAATCATAATACAAATCCAATAAAAACAACAATTGAGTTGTTATTTCTCTCAGAACTTGATATCAGCTGGTATGTAATATTCCTACTTCTACTGAAAAAAAAAAAAATAATGGTGCTCCAACTGTTTAACTAGCTAACTATGCACAGACAGCCACATTGTTTAAAACTATTCATCAAAGCAGTAAGTGTGATACTGCCAGTAAAAAATGAATAAATAAATAAAACTATATAAAAATAGAATGTATAAAAAAACAAAGATATAGTGCAACAAAACAGGAATTTCTTGTTTCCAAAGAAGTTTTTTTATAAAGATTTAAAAAGCTTTAAAAGGTTTATTTCCTGACTTCTCGCTGCACTTCAGCCTGGATCACATGGATTTGTTCAATTCCATCAGCACCTGATTTAATATAATGAAGGACTGATTAGATAAAATAGGTATTGGATGGGTACTGTAAAAACTGGACTTCCTAGAGGAAAGCTTCAAAACTGATTAAGCTAACACAAAAACATTTATGTATTAGTATTTTTTCTCTGACAAATTAATGTTTACTGCCCAGATAAATAACTTACAGTATATATGTTTTTTATAATACATATAGTTTTTTAGATATTACGACTTTTGCAAGTATTCAACTTCTATGTCCTTGATGTTATAAAACGCAAGGCAAATCAAGTTCATTTCTACAGCACATTTAATTCCATTGGCAGCACAAAGGCAAATCATTGTGCTTTAAATAAATAAAAGCAAAAAGGAAAATAAAGACAAAGAGCTTAAGAGTGAAAATCAATAAAAATACAAAGCATTCTTTGTGCAGTGATACATACCGTGGTCTTGGTCAGGGGCCTCCAGGTTGTATCCATAACCCAGCAATGTGCGCACAGCCTCCCTCAGACTGTCCTTGTTGGATTTCTTGGTTCTCTCGTCTAGAAGGGCATAAGGCACCAGCCTTGGATTCCTCTTGTTCTTTACATCCTAGAGAGAGAGAGAGAGAGAGAGAGTGTGAGAGAGAGAGAGAGAGAGAGAGTGTGAGAGAGAGAGTGAGAGAGAGACACAGAGAGAGAGAGAGAGAGAGAGAGAGAGAGAGAGAGTGAGAGAGAGACACAGAGAGAGAGAGAGAGAGAGAGAGAGAGAGAGAGAGTGAGAGAGAGAGAGAGTGAGTGAGAGAGAGACACAGAGAGAGAGAGAGTGAGTGAGAGAGAGACACAGAGAGAGAGAGAGAGAGAGAGAGAAAGACAGTGTTAAGAAACCTGTAGCTTAGCATTCCACCTCCACTATGGCAAGATCTCCCTTGCAAAGAAGGGCTGAGAAAGAATTTTCTTAAAATATGAAAATATTAAAATTCTATATTTCATGAAAAATATTAAAAATGTTTCACTTAAATATAATTTCACAAAATATAATTCACTGTATCAAAATTCCAGTGGGTCAGAAGTTTACATACACCAAGTTGACTTGACTGTGCCTTTAAATAGCTTGGAAAATTCCAGAAAACAACATCATGGCATTAGAAGCTTCTGATAGGCTAACTGACATCATTTGAGTTAATGGAAGGTGTACCTGTGGCAGTATTTTAAGGTCTACCTTCAAGGCCTTCTTGTCTCTATTGCTTGACATCATGGGAAAATCAAAAGAAATCAGCCAAAACATAAGAAAGAAGAATTGTGGACCTCCAAAAGTTTGGTACATCCTTGAGAACAATCCAACCGTTCAGAAAGGAGATGCGTTCTGTCCCCTAGAGATGAACGTACTTTGGTGTGAACAACACAAATCAATCCAAGAAAGCAGCAAACCACCTTGTGAAGATGCTGCAGGAAACAGGTACAAAAATATCTATATCAAAAGTAAAACATGCACTATAACAGCACGACCTGAAAGGAAGCAGACACCGCCCCAAATCCACCACAAAAAAGCCAGGTTACAGTTTGCAACCAATATGGGGACAAAGATCTTTATGGAGAAATGTCCCCTGGTCTTAAGGACAACAAAGTGAAGGTAACAGAGTTGCCATCACAAAGCTCTGACCTCAGTTACATAGAAAATTTATCGGCAGAACAGAAAAGGTGTGTGCGAGCAAGGAGGCCTGCAAACCTGACTCAGTTACACCAGTTCTATAAGGAGAAATGGGCCAAAATTCCAGCAGCTTACTGTGAGAAGCTTGTGGAAGACTAGCCGAAATGTTTGAGCCAAGTTCGACCATCAAACACTAACCATGTGTATGTAAACTTCTGAGCCACTGGGAATATGATGACAGAAATAAAAGCTGGATACTAGATTACTTTTGCACTTTCATATGTTTCTAAACTCATACGACCAAATTGGAGATGATTTGAGATGATTTTTCAATAGCATGCAAAAGTTTGAACTCTCCCTTTCACAAGTTGTGGGCAGTCATGAGCTGGAGGTTAGGGAACCAGCCCTGTGACCAGAAGGTTGCCGGTTCGATCCCCTGAGCCTACAGTACGTGACTGAAGTGTCCTTGAGCAAGGCACCTAACCCCCAACTGCTCCCCAGGTGCTGTGGATAGGGCTGTTCATCTCTCCAGGCAGGTGTGCTCACTGCCCCCTAGTGTGTGTGCATTCACTAGCGTGTATGTGGTGTTTCACTGCACAGATGGGTTAAATGTGGAGGTGAAAGTTCCCTGTTGTGGGACTAATAAGGGTGACTTAACAAGACGTTTTGTTGACTAAGTGAAAATAAGTTAACGCACCATCTACAGAGAACTTTAAAATGGCATTTTTCTGCTCAGTTTGGTGTCCTATTTATCTGCCGTATTTAACATACTGTAAAAACTTTGCTTTTGTTCATATAAACTAACATTTTGCTTCGCATTTTGTCATTTAAAATATTTTTTGAGTTAAATGAAACCAGTTAAAATGCTTGTTACCACATAAAAACAATTTTTAGGTTGAACTGATGATTATTATTATTTTTTTATTTTAAAAAAGTCATACTGTATTCTAAACCCCATCAACGTGTCTGTATGACCCTAACGAAGACCTTAAATGAAGGTTGAGAAGCTGAAAGAAGTTTTGTGAATGTATTTATGGAAAAAATTTAGGTGACTATTTACTTCTTGCCTCATAGCTCCAGCGCTGAACTAATGACCTCAAATCTGGACACCAAACTTGTCTTGGCTGATGGACTACATCTGAGGTAAGTGGAAAATGTGTAAAATTGATTTATTGCCAATACTATTTCTTTAAAGTTCAGAGGTGCGAGGAGTAGACGAGGGTGACTGAGGATAAATATATCACATTAGAAAGCGCACATTCATATTCACATGAGATGAAGTGCGGCTTCTCTGAGAGGCAGAATCTCTCTGTCACGTCCCACAGCTCCCCTCATACGTCTCTGTGACAGCGGCTGATTGCGTTGTCAGACGGTGTTGACTGTCAGGATTATTCTAGAAATGTTTCCGCACAGAACTCTTAATGTGGCCCATGAATAACTGTGACAACACTAATCCAGCTCAGAGGCAAGTCATAACTCTCTCTCTCCCCCTCAACATCTTTCCCTCTCTCTCTCTCTTTGACTCGTTCCCTTTCTCTTTCTCTCCCCTGTCTCTCTCTATCTGACTCTATCACGTTCTCTAGGTGTTGCTAATTGTCCTATCAGATGACAGGTGGTGTCTATTTTTCTCTTTCTGTCTGCCTCTCTCGCTCTCGCTCGGCCTGTAGCAGGGCAGTCTGTAAGTCTGCAGGGAAAAGCCTCTCTGTCCTGAGTTAGAGGGAGAAAAAAATCAGCTTCCATCGCCAGACTGGTGATCTAAATAGACACAGCACTGCTTCACACTGCACAGTCACCTGTCAACAATCCAGCAGCACATCCAGTTTACACAGTGTCTTCAGTAGATTCAGCACATGCACATGTACAAAGACACACACTTAAAGACTTAATTTATCGTAATGAACGAAGGAAGGCCTCAGTAATGCATTACAGGGCCACCACCTTGTTTCTACACTCATTGTCCATTTTATCAGCTCCACTTACTATATAGGTGCACTTTGTAGTTCTACAGTTACAGACTGTAGTCCATCTGTTTCTCTGCATACTTTGTTAGCCCCCTTTTACCCTGTTCTTCAGTGGTCAGGACCCCCATGGACCCTCACAGAGCAGGTACTATTTGGGTGGTGGATCATTCTCAGCACTGCAGTAACACTGAGGTGGTGGTGGTGTGTTAGTGTGTGTTGTGCTGGTCTGAGTGGATCAGATACAGTTTTTAAACACTGTGTCCACTCACTGTCCACTCTATTAGACACTCCTACCTTGTCAGTCCACCTTGTAGATGTAAAGTCAGAGACGATAGCTCATCTGCTGCTGCACAGTTTGTGTTGGTCATCCTCTAGTCCTTCATCAGTGGTCACAGGACGCTGCCCACAGGACGCTGTTGGCTGGATATTTTTGGTTGGTGGACTATTCTCAGTCCAGCAGTGACACTGAGGTGTTTAAAAACTCCAGCAGCACTGCTGTGTCTGATCAACTCAGACCAGCGCAACACACAAGTAACAAAGTATGCAGAGAAACAGATGGACTACAGTCTGTAACTGTAGAACTACAAAGTGCACCTATATAGTAAGTGGAGCTGATAAAATGGACAATGAGCGCAGAAACAAGGAGGTGGTCAGAATGTTACGCCTGATCGGTGTGTATGCATATGGGCTCTGTTCGTATTGGCTCTACAGCATGCAAAACAGGCTATTACATCACACATGACAGCTTAAATAAAATGAACAAGGTCAAGATCCTTACACATTGACTGACCTGCTGGATCCCGTAGGTCCAGCCTTGGCGAATACGGTCTCTGGCCCACACGTTGTGGGCATTTTCTGCCAGTTTGTCCACCATGGCCTCCTGTGTAGATGCCAGTTTGATGTGGCTGAGGTCCATAGGAGCAGGTTTATAACCACTGGACAGCTCATATCTGCAAACAAAAGACACACAGAGGATTAAATCACCAAGAAAAAGTTGCTGAAGTTGAAGCCTGGGGGTCTTGGGGGGTTTAACTCTTAGAGGTTTCAATGGTAGCCAGTAAAAACGAAGGCAAGTTAGCAGAAGAGGAGATATTTCATTATAAGTTGAGATACTGTATGAAAAAGTTACTGCACAGTCTTGTTTTGAGGACAGAAAAAAAAACACATTTTGACATCAAAAGAAAACGAAAAAGTCAGAAGCGCAGAACTTATCGACACAGAATGATAAGCAAATGACAAATGCAAATGTAATTAATATCACTATGCAATTTGATATAATTACATTTAAATAACTGTGTAATTTATACTGGATGTACAACAACTCCAGCCTTCTAAGGGCGAAGAATATTAATATTCCTATTAACACACATGAGGAACATTAATATAGAGTCACTGTTGATTGCTAATCAGCTGCTGCTAGATCTTGATCGACTTGCTCAATACTGACTGAAAGAGAGTTACTCACTTTGCTGAGAGTTTCAGACGCTTCACCTTCTCCACAGCCCGTTCATCTGCTACTCCAACATGGCAACCTAACGCCAGCAGAGTCCTGCAGAATCAATGCAGAGACTGAGCTCTCTGTGTGTTTCACATCGCTCAGAAAGTGTCAAACATTACAGCTGTGCAGGTCAAATCACAGGACGCCCCACTTAAAACCCCATTTGTTAGCTGGGTTAACCCGATGTGCTCTGACCCAACAATTTATTTGTGTACAGTTGACCTATTTTTACTAATTAAACTGCTAAATCCATGCAAATGGTTTCCCTATAAACCATTTGGGTAGATTAGACAAATTGGGTTTCACAGTGTAAAAGGTTACCAGTAGCGGTTCCTGATCTTAAATACAATAAAGCACAGGACATGTTTCAGTAACGCTAATGATCAGACACAGCCTATGCCAGGGGTCGGTAACCCAAATGTTAGGAAGAGCCATTCTGTCCTTTAAACAACAATCAAACCAGCTTTGAAGCCACAAAATTTTGTCCATTTTACCATCTTGGCTGTAAATATGTCTCAGTATGTGCTGACGTATGAGCACAGGCTAAAAATACAATATAAACAAAAACGCAGGCTTCGCTCTGCTTTAAGCTGTAGCTCAGCAATAGCCGCTTTTCTCGCATCTCCAGCAGGAAACTTTTCCACAGAAGTAGAAGTTTCTTGTGAAATGTCTCTCACTGTTTAATTTTTGTCTGAAGTCAGCTTCTCATTTGCCAACTTCAATTTCTCGTTCCACCTTAAATAGAATGTAACTGCTGCACCATTTAAGGTGAAATGGGACAATCCAAACAAGAAGCTGGCGAATGAGAAGCTGACTTCAGCTTTGTGACTTTAGTGTTTGACAGTTTCTTGTTGTAGATTAAACGTATCAGGAAACCAGCTGGAGTGATTGAAAACATAAATAAGTCCATTTGTCTCCAAATTATTGATGCTCATCTTAAATCTTCCTCTTTGCCACTTCATCAGCTACTAGCTAGGCGAGAGTGTTGTCTGCATTGCTATGGTGACATGCGGTCTGTGCACCAACCTTCAGGGTTAAAGGTTGGTGAATTAGCAGATATAGGCTACATTAACTCCAGCGTTTAAGACCATTTATTGCTAAAACTGCGTTATTTTACACCCAAAAAATGTGGTTATGCTGTGGAGCCACATGGTGCCGACCCCTGGCCTATGCTAACTAGAGCACAGTGCACAATAAAGGTAAACTAACAGAGAAATGGGAATGAAGTGGAGAGCCTCAGCTCCAGCCTGCACTGCTACAACATACACAACGTTTAATTAAAAGAAGAGCTGACAGATAACAGAAGCTCACATGAGAACTGAACCCACACCTCAGCAACTCTGCCACACAAACACACATGCACACACACATACACACCCATGACCTAACATTAATTAAAACTGACTGATTTGAATGTTTGTAGTGGTCTGTTATGAGTATTTCCCAGATGCTTTTCACATCTAAGCATATTTAGTGCTATCAACTATGATACTAAAGTTATATACTATACTATACCTACATTTAAAAAAGTATGAAGTAAAAGACAAGTAACAAGGCTTTTCTGTGTCCTGGCACCCAGGCAGAACGAATTTGCCCTGTTTCTCACTGTCCTCAGATGCTGACTGTAGACTCTTCTCTTTAAAAAGCATTTAAATGAATACTAAACTTGCACTTATGAGAATGTCTTGTAATAGCATCACTCTTTCCAGTGCAATAAATGAATGTCCTATTTTCAGTCTCAAGGCTTTCAGGAACACTGTATGTAAAAGGATGAGTTCTGGCTTTAATTGTTTTTGTTTAAAATACAGATAAATAACAGAATATTTTATCAAAATGCTATTAAAAAATGTATACATTTGTAATGTTTGTATATTTGCATTTTATACTATAATCTGTGGGAATTACAATGACAAGTAAGGCACAAGCATGTGGAACACTGTTCTAAACTAACTAAGCTGTCTCAATGGAAGTTCAAAGAAAAAGACACACAAACAGACAGAGAGATAGACAAATAGATGGATAGACAGACAGACAGACAGACAGACAGACAGACAGATAGATAGATAGATAGATAGTTAGACAGATAAAAAGACAGACAGACAGACAGAATAACAGACAGACAGATATATAGATAGATAGATAGATAGATAGATAGATAGATAGATAGTTAGACAGATAAACAGACAGACAGATAGACAGACAGACAGACAGATAGATAGATATATAGTTAGACGGATAAACAGACAGACAGACAGACAGACACAATAACAGACAGACAGACAGACAGACAGACAGATAGATAGATAGATAGATAGACAGACAGATAACAGACAGACAGACACAATAACAGACAGACAGATGGATAGATAGATAGATAGATAGATAGATAGATAGATAGTTAGACAGATAAACAGACAGACAGACAAACAGACACAATAACAGACAGACAATAGATAGATAGATAGACAGACAGATAACAGACAGACAGACACAATAACAGACAGACAGATGGATAGATAGATAGATAGATAGATAGATAGATAGATAGATAGACAGACAGATAACAGACAGACAGACACAATAACAGACAGACAGATGGATAGATAGATAGATAGATAGATAGATAGATAGATAGATAGATAGATAGACAAACAGACAGACAGACAGACAGACAGAGACACACGAACAGACAGAGAGACAGACAGACAGAGACACAATAACAGAGAGACAGACAGACAGACAGGTAGATAGATAAATAGACAGACAGACAGACAGGTCGATAGATAGATAGACAGACACAAAGACAGACAGACAGGTCAATAGATAGATGAAGATGGTTGAATTCTGTGTGTGTGTGTGTGTGTGTGTGTGTGTGTGTGTGTGTGTGTACAGTGTGTGTAACATTAGCTTACTTCAGTGTCTCCAGGGACATCTGCAGGTTGTAGCTGCGCTCCTGCTCTGGAAGTTTGGAGAACTCCACCAGACACGGGTGCTGCCTCTTATTATCATCCCTTACCTGCAGAATAAACACGCACTGCTGCATTATGGGTAGCACAGCCTACGAAACACCTGGACAGACAGCAACACTTTCCTGAAGTGAATTGAATAAAAACATCATAGTGACACAGTGGAGTTCACTGCTCGTTTCCTTGCTGTGCTATGCTCACAGACTCTGTATGCACCAGAATAAACACTGAAATCCAGACATTCCCTGGAGAAATCATGACGAGTAACAAACACCACACGCCGCGTTACTGAAGCCAGTACAGTGAACAGATACAGTATACAGATACAGTAGTATGAGCCTTAGTGGACAGGCTCAGCATTTTGTTGCATGGATGAAACAGCAGAAAGTTGTACAGAGATCAACTGAAGCTTTACAGAGATTTAAGGAGAATTAGATCAGAGCTCAGTACATACCATAAACCAACAAGGGCACGGCTCACTGATAAGGTCACGTTTATCAGGATTTTAAGCTTTAAGTCATGGATTATTACTGAGAAGAGAAGAGAAGAGAAGAGAAGAGAAGAGAACACTTGAGAGGTGAGGAGAGGAGAAAAGAGGAGAGAAGAGGAGTGAAGAGGAGAGGAGGGAAGGGAAAGGTAGGGAAGAGAAGAGAAGAGAAGAGAAGAGAAGAGAAGAGAAGAGAAGAGAAGAGAAGAGAAGAACACTTGAGAGGAGAGGAGAGGAGAGGAGAGAAGAGAAGAGAAGAGACGAGAAGAGAAGAGAAGAGAAGAGAAGAGAACACTTGAGAGGTGAGGAGAGGAGAAAAGAGGAGAGAAGAGAAGTGAAGAGGAGAGGAGGGAAGGGAAAGGTAGGGAAGAGAAGAGAAGAGAAGAGAAGAGAAGAGAAGAGAAGAGAAGAACACTTGAGAGGAGAGAAGAGATAGAGAGAGAAGAGAGAGAAGAGAAGAGAAGAGAAAAACACTTGCGAGGAGAGGAGAGGAGAGAAGAGGAGAGGAGGGAAGGGAAATGTAGTTTTTTTTTTATTTGGACTTTTCAGAAATATTCACAGTTTACATGTCTGAATAGACAGTCATTGGAGTTACATCTCAGGTATTACTAAATGAAAGTCATTTTAACATCAAATCATTGCCCTAATCAGTGTTGACGTGAACACTACGTGTACCAATTTTTATAAAAACATTAATTCTAAAGAATAATAATAAATGTGTCCTTGAGTTTTGCCTTCCACTCATAGCCAGCCATAAAAATAATGGACTGTCACATTAAGGGACAGAGCCATAACACAGTAATAAATCACACAGCCAATCAAAAGCTGCTATCCAAACCAACAATCTGTCAACTTATTTTCATTCTGTTGGGCTATAAGAAACAAGGGTAACATTTTACTGAAGGGCAGCGTTCATAAGAGGACATGACACCTACATAAGCCTGTCATGACAACTGACACAGACCTACACAGACATTTATAAAGGCTTATTACAACAAGAGTCAGTTGATACAGCACTTTCTGGGGTGAAACTGACTAAGGCAGCCTTTAGGAGAACTGACGCTTATTGGGATAAGCCTTTATAAATGTTTATCGCCGCTGTCGGACGCTGCGGTCAGACCTCGTATCTCCAATTTTGTTATTTATTTATTTTTTTTTGTACATAATTTGAAAATGCCAGCTGCCCTTTATACTGTACCTGCAATACTCTAACACTGACGTACATTGAATGTTTTTGTCTTCTACACTAGTTACGATTCTGGAGATACAAGGTTTTGTTCCGACACCGTTATGCAGGTTTATGTCATTTTCATGAAAGGCTTAAGTAGGGGTCATACTGCCCTACAATAAAATGTTACCAAAACATGTTATACTTAAGCAGTAGAACATGAGAGGGAGTGTGTTATCACGAAATAACATCACGGCTGTGATTTGGTCGCAGGCACGAGCCGAAGGCGATAACACATGACCTCGAGGGTTCTATTGCTTTTATACAACAGTTAAATAAATAAAGTGAGAAATTAATAAACTGCGCCGTGAACGCGGCATTTAATATGTTTTAATGTTCGCAGTTCCTTCAACAAATTATATTTCCTTAACAAGCAGCTTGAGCTATGTCAGAGTAACAAGCTCCGCCCACTCGCTGCACAGCCGGCAATTTGTTTTCCAGCTCCACACAGACCAACTGACAGTTTGGGAATTTAGTGTCGTCTCATCTTCAGAGTCTGACCAAATCGGCTGTCGGTCAAATGTGATCTTAAAGTGTCCATTTTCTGTTTGTGGCAAAGTAAGAAGTAAAAACGTTCAAATGTCTTGAGCGTCTCCTACAGCTGTCACAGTCGTTACTTAGCAACGGTGTCTCAGCGGAGTGATAGTGTTTGTGAAAAAACGTGATGTTATGGTGAAACAACAGCACGGTTAGAACAGCTCTCAGCCAATCAGCTTGCATGGCCGGAACTAAATGTTGTATATATCCGCACACGCATCAGGCCTTCCCACTAGCCTGGATGTTTCATATCAGTGCATTCATAGACACGTGAAGTCGCGTCATCATTCTGTAGTTGGTGTCACGCCCAAATGAGGAATTCAAACGAATGGCGTTTTTCCGAAAGCACTGATTTACACTGTGGTAAACAAAAGTGTTTCAAACTCAATACATTTCGTCCTGCGAACATCTCCCAGCATGTCACTGGATCATGTGAATAACAAGGTCATTCACGAGTTAAAATATGAATAAAGCCACATTTGTGTTATAATCAAGCCCTTTTTAAAGCTTGAATATTTTTGTTTAGCACAGATTTTCAAGAATGTTATTTTTCGCAAAAGGAAAAATAGCCTAGAGTCTGAGTACCTTATTTGAGCATGGCACTGACTACAGCATTACACATTACAAAAGTCAAAATAACTTGCCAAAAATAAAAAAAATAAAATGTCAGTTAGGCTGTAAACAAATCAGAACAGGATTCAGCCATAAAAATTCAAAAACAGTGCATCACTCATGAAAACATGGTAACACTTTACTTGAAGGGTGTCTACTTAACACATTCATAACATCTTACATAAACACTTCATAACATGTTCATGATTGTTTCAATCAGCATTTACAAAGCATACATGTTTTACATGATTTTAATATGGACTACTATGTCATTTTACTGAGATATATTTTCCACAATAAAAGTCCTCATTTTTATTTTATGTTTTATTTTAGATTATTTTATCGCCCTAAATGCTTTATAACATGTTCATGAATGTTTAAATCAACATAAGTATACGTTTTACCTGATATTAATACTGAATATATCATTTTACTGAGAGATGTCTTTTTCAAAATAAAAGTCCTTTTCTTTGATTTTGAAAAAGTACATTATTTTCAGTAAAACACCTCATTCATGACCTCGTGTGTGTGTTGCGCTTTATTATGAGGTGTTTTCCTTTCACTCCTCGTGTCCTGAAGTATAGCCAGGGATGACCTGAAATGACCTAAGATGACCTGTGTGCTGTACCAATCAAACTAATTACCTGCGCGTGATCAATAGTACAGAACAACGCTCAATAACCAAACTAAATCCCTTTTTTCAAGACCAGCACTATGGAGACGTTCAATACTAGCAAGCAGAAAAACGCCTTCAGGTTAGCTGCCATCCTCATTAAGCCCCAGATTAAGGGATTAAGAGGACAGAATTAATCAAAGTTGTTCACAGTACTTAATCCCAGTAATTACGCTGCATGCAAAATGAAGTGTGGAGGCTCCAAGGGAAAAGGGTGCAGCTGCGATAACAATAGCTCCAGCTAAGCCTGTTCACCACTTCCCCAAAGATCTGATTAGATCAATTACATACAGTATACAGAACACAGAGCTGAGCTAACAGTACTATATCAGCCCACTTTCCGCTGCTTTATCCATTTACTTTATTTTATTTTAGCTCTTTATAGCATATCAATGTCACGCTAATAAACAGAGTATATCTGAACTGCTGTCTGTGAACTGTTGACTTCTTGTGCTGGGAGAAGCTATTAAAACATGACACGTGGCTCAGAGGACAAAAGAGGAGCATTTGATTTTATAATTGTCTGCAATGTTGTCCATTTATATGTAAAATATTGCCTACAAAGACCATCTAAAACATGTAATAAAATGATTTTTATATACAGAAAAATAGGATTTTGTGGTGAACTCACTGCTCCGTATGTCCACCCTAGCTCGATCTTGTTCATGACCCACAGCTCATGGATGTTTTCTGCCAGTTTCTCTCGAATTCGCTCCAGGTGAGGCGGCAACACAATCTAAAACACACCAGTAAGAAAATGAAAGTTCAAAGTAAACTGTTATTGTGCATATTGTATGGTACAGGATTGTGAACCTGACAGCTGTGGTATTGGGGTACAGATATACTTGATAGGTACAGCAGTGGTATAGATGTACTTGACAGGTGTGCTAGTGTTATAGGTGTACCTGACAGGTGTGGTATTGGTATAGATGTACTTGGGTGGTGGAGAAGTGGTAGGTGTAACATAAGTATAGGTGTACCTGGCAGGTGTAGTAGTGGTATAGGTGCACCTGACAGGTGTGGAATAGGTATAGATGTACCTAACAGGTGTGGTGTAGGTGTACCTGGCAGGTGTAGTAGTGGTATAGGTGTACCTGACAGGTGTGGTATAGGTACAGATGTACCTAACAGGTGTGGTATAGGTGTACCTGTCAGGTGTAGTAGTGGTATAGGTGTACCTGACAGGTGTGGTATAGGTACAGATGTACCTAACAGTGTGTATGTGTACCTGTCAGGTGTAGTAGTGGTATAGGTGTACCTGACAGGTGTGGTACAGGTATAGGTTTACCTAATAGGTGTGGTATAGGTGTACCTGTCAGGTGTAGCGGTGGTATAGGCGTACCTGACAGGTGTAGTAGTGGTATAGGCGTACCTGACAGGTGTAGTATAGGTATAGGTGTACCTGGCTAGTGTAGCAGTGGTATAGGCGTACCTGACGGGTGTAGTAGTGGTATAGGCGTACCTGACAGGTGTAGTACAGGTATAAGTGTACCTGGCTAGTGTAGCATAGGTGCACCTGTTTAATATACTGTAGGTATAGGTGCACCTGGCTGTTGTGGTATAGATGTAGATGAACCCGACTGGTGTGGTATAGATATAGATGAACCTGGCTGAGGTGGTATAGGTATAGTTGTAGCTGACAGGTGTAGTAATAGTAAAGGTGTACATTGCAGGTGTAACTTTGGTATAAACATACCTGGAAGGTCTAATAAAGGTATAGTTATAACGGGCAGGAGTGGTAAAAATATGGATGTACGTGGTAGGAATACTATAGATATGGGTGTACATGGTAGGAATACTATGAATATAGGTGTACATCACTGTTATAGTAAAGGTGTACCTGGCAGGTGTAGTATTTGTAGTTATCTGTGTACGTGGCCAGTATGGTATAGTTGTACCTGACAGGTGTGATATATGTAGGTATAGGTGTACCTGACAGGGTCAGTAAACGGTAGTTATAGGTGTACCTGACAGGTGTAGTATTCAGTCGGTATAGGTGTACTTGACAGGTGTAGTACAATTGTATATGTACCTGGCTGGTGTCCACAGGTGTGGGTGTGAAGGCAGCCTGAGAGAGAGTGACCGTCGGCCCCAGAAGGTCCCGGGTCCCTCCATGGTCCTGTTTGTACTCCTGACTCTGCTCCACTCTCAGCTTCTCTCGAGGCAGCACTGCCTCAAAACATGGAGCATAACCCGCTGGAGGCAGGAACTTGAACTCTCCATGACGACCACCCAACAGGAAGCGCACTCTAAATAATGCAAAGAAGAAATATTTCTGAGAATTTTCACAAACTTTAAAGTGATGCAGCTATAAAACATAATTAAACTTCTGAGACCAAAGATGAAAAGATGGAGAAAGGTGGAATTTATTACAGGTATCTCTGCATAGAATGATAGTTGTAACTGGTATTACACATGTACGCTTACACAGTACACTGTCGTTGTGTAATGCATTATCTGTGCAAACAGAAAGTAGCTATTGTGGTTTAGTCTACACTATTTTTACTTTAGCTTCAAATCTTATTTCACAGTAATGGAGGGCAAAAGGGTTTTGGGAACAACATTTCATGACCTGAAAATGGGAGACTGGGCACCAGATCTGTGCATCACAGGATGCACCTTTGCATGTAAGCAACTAAAAGATAAAATTAGTGCACCCACAGACCTACGGTCATTCATAAATGTTTGAACACCCCTATAATATGATATAGCGCTGGTGTGAGTGGATCAGACACAGCAGTGCTGCTGGAGTTTTTAAACACCTCAGTGTCACTGCTGGACTGAGAATAGTCCACCAACCAAAAATATCCAGCCAACAGTGTCCTGTGGGCAGCGTCCTGTGACCACTGATGAAGGACCAGAGGATGACCAACACAAACTGTGCAGCAGCAGATGAGCTATCGTCTCTGACTTTACATCTACAAGGTGGACTGACAAGGTAGGAGTGTCTAACAGAGTGGACAGTGAGTGGACACAGTGCTTAAAAACTCCAGCAGCACTGCTGTGACTGATCCACTCAGACCAGCACGACACGCACTAACACACCACCACCACGTTAGTGTTACTGCAGTGCTGAGAATGATCCACCACCCAAATAGTACCTGCTCTGTGAGGGTCCATGGGGGTCCTGACCACTGAAGAACAGGGTAAAAGGGGTATACTATATATATATATATATATATATATATATACGTGCAGCCCAAATTGTATTTATTTATTTATTACTATATGTTGCATTCAGCATTAAACAGTAATTGTGCATTAAAAAGTGCAGAAGTGTCAACAAAATCAACAAAATATGTTATTTGACCAGGGGCGCCCGAACTTATGCATACAACTGTATATTAAGGAAAAAGATATGAAGACAACATCCGCTTTATTTTATGAATAAATGATATAAATGATATAAAATGTGTCATTTATATTTAAATTATAATATTAATCTACAATTATTATCTTAAAATTAACAGTAGCAAAAAAAGATTCACTGCGTGATGTCACAGAAGAAACACCTTTTGTTCCCTAAGGAACATTGTCAAACATGGTTCTTTAGAGAACCAAAAGTGGTTGTACTATGAAACTGCTTAAAGAATGCTTTGAGGAGTTCAGTCGGTTTGAGAAGTGCTTTGCCAGAGATGTCATTTCTCTAGATTCTCCACATCTTCCCACAGGACCAGTGGTCTAATTTTACTTCATCATTTTCTCTCAGGTCAGGACAGACTGCTATTTCTCCCAGATCAGCAGTGCAGCATAATTACAATCAATAGTAAAACAATTAATCTGGCACTGGAGGGAAACTCTGGGTAATTGCATTATGACAAACTGCAACCGCTCACGCCAGTCTGTCCACCACTGAGGCAGACTTGACTGTAGAAGGATGGTCAGTAAGAGAGAGGGCAGTAAATAGAGCCGCCAAAATATGTGGGACCCTATTTGCTATAGGCACATTATATGGCCAAAAGTATATGGACACCTAACCATCAGACCTATACGAGCTTGTGGAACATCCACTGCAACTAAACGCTTTCTTCACCTAGAGATCAGCGTTTCACATCACTGTGAAGGAATTCTGGCCCACCCTTCTTTGCAGAATTGCTCTAATTCACACTGGGAGACTTTTCAGCATGAACTGCCCATTTAAGCTCCTGCCACACCATCTCAATGGGGTTCAAGTCAACACTTTGACTAGGCCACTCTAAAACCTTAATTTTATTTCTTCTCAGACATTCAGAGGTGGACCTGCTCTTGTGCTATGGATCAATTACTCTTGAGCTTCAGGTCATGGACCCATGTCTGGTAGAGAGCAGAATTCTTGGCTCCATCAATTATGGTATACTACCACCACCATGTTTCACTGTTAGTATGATGTTCATATTGTGGAGTGCTCTGTTAGCGTTATGCCAGATGTAACAAGATATGTCATCCAAAATGTTCCACATCCACAGTCCACAGAATATTATCCCAAAAGGTTATATGAATGCTGACCTGAGGCGACTGAGGTCTTCAGTTCATAAATATCTGTAAGGTTTCTTTTATGGCCTTCCTGAGATGAGTTGTTGCTGCGCTCTGGGAGGAATTTTGGAAGGCTGGCCACGTCTTGGGAACGTTCACCAATGTTTCTAGTTTTCTCCATTTCATTATTTGCCATAATTTGTCTGGGCTACTTCTTGACATCCTGCAATGTTTTAACTGAACTCATTTTTTAAGAAAATATAGTGCTTTACAGATAATGTCACCGAAGCCAATGTTATTACCCAGTGGCCTTATTACAGAAACGTCCCATCTTAAGTCCTGAGATGAGATCTAACACGTTCATGATGACATGTTCAGTCCAAAACTCATTTCATTTTGCAAGTTTAAGGTTAAGTAGTCTGCCTTCACCAGCCTGCGCACTGCACCATTTCTCCTAATAAACAGAAACATTTTCAGCTCCATTTTCAGCTCCAGCTCCTTGTTATCTGCCATGCACATGACAGGCTAGATCAAATATCACTTAACTCATATTCTAAAGCCAACCGCATCAACATGTAAGATCAAACGGAAAACCTAAAGTGCTTCCAAGAATCATGTACGAGAAGCAGAGAGCCTGTATCAGTCCATCCAACATTGATTTTTGATAGGAAATGTAGTGGAATTTCTTACAGCAATGATGGTAAATAAAGATCAGATGAAGACAAGCGGTTAATTTACGCTAAACGGCTCGGTGTGCAGTAGGAACATCAGTAAGTGAACAGTGGAGCGGCTCTGCCCCGCCCCCACTCCCATTAAATGGTGGTGGTCCAGGGGGATGGTCACTCACGACATTAAGCCACTTTATTTATCTTTTATTTCACACGTACGTTCGGGTGAACATTTTAGCTGAACATTATGTCTGATACAATTTTAATTTGCGAGCCTAACGAAAATCCTAGGACAAAAGCCGGGTTTCATTTGTGCAACAAGCTAGATTAGAACTCAGCGCCTCCCAGTTTGGATCAGGCACCTATTTTGTGTGTCCGTCACCGTGTCTGCATTTTAAATATATTCATACCACAATGATTCAAGAAAAGTCCTAATATTTTTTTCAACAAACTTAACACACATATCATTAAATGCTGTGTCACTTTGTTTGGTACACACACACCTTTACCTTCAGCTCCTGGGCAGGTGGAGAGAGAAACGGTAATAAAAACAACATCAACCTTGTTTATCACTCGCGACTGCACCATTACAGCTGTAACTGTCCCTCCAAACATTTTAGTAATGCTGAGCTAAACCACTGGCCTCTGAGCTGTAGCAGCACCAGTATACTGCCTCTTTGGGTGGGCACAACAAATTAGCCGGTGGGCTAAACCCTCTATTTTACTATGGCAACTGGTGGCTACAATTTAACTAATTACTATGATGCGTCAGCTAAGAGTCAATCTCTGAACAGGAAAAAAACTCCACACTCACTTTGAGCAATGATGTCCAACAGAACTTGCTCAGGATTTTTCTGTGCTACTGAGATGTTTACGTGTTCAGATTCAATGAGCCACAGTTGGATGACTGTTTATAGTTACTGTATTTCTCTAATGTTATATGGTGTGTCTTCTTAGTTTCTTGCTTAGAATAGGCTGTATTCATGCTTCCAGTCTATATGTGGTGGTGATGGTCTTGGAAATACATATTATATATATATTATATATATATATATTATATCTTTGAGGAGACTTTGAAACTTAACAATTTTTCATTGTTTTCTTTTGATTAATACCAAAAGTTGGTCAATATCATATTTGGCGAGTGTATTTTTATTTGTGGTTTTGGCTTATTTATTTGGCTTATATATTCATTTTATTAATTAATTAATTAATTTAATTCCAGGACCTTCCCTCAGCCTATTGACCTGCCAGATCCATCATTACTCTTCCAGGACCTCATCACTTACAAACTAAGCTCTGGATAAAACCACATATTTAATAAATAATAATAATAATAATAATGATAATAATAAATAAGTGTTTAAAACAGGGTGAAGGGTAAGTTCATAGGTGATTGCTTAGTTAGCTTATTCCATGGGCTGATTATGGTAGAGCACAAAACTGCACTTCACAGAAAACGGACAAAAATACAGGCACAATTCAGGCTTCAAGATAGTTGCCACTACTGTTTTTAGCTGTGTTATGAATTTTCATTCATTTTTATAGATAACAATGACATACAGTGTCAGAAACCGCAGAAACAGTTTGACAACTCAAAACGCATGATTTAGGCATTCCATTACTTGTCAGCTACATTAGCATCATAGCGTACATGTAAGAATGAAGAAGCAAACTTCAGACACTATTCAACTACAATGGTGGCAAAGCAGATCTGACTTCTTCAAAAATATTGTTTTTCAATAAACTCTCACTTTAAACTAAACAGTGAATCTATACAAATGCTTTTGCTTTATGAGTATAAGAAAAATGCCTCAGTACTCCCTGTCAAATTAACATCACGGCTAAAGGCATGCCACTATGCTTATAACACAGTAATAAGTCACTTATTACACTTCCAAAGCATAAGAAGGCTGTTATAGCAGGCTGCACTCACTTGACTCCAGCAGAGAAGCTGACCACAGGGAAGAAGAGGCTGTCAGAGTTGAAGTTTTCAAACATGCCCTGGACAGGTTGGCCATTAATGCGGAAGGAGATGCTGGGGGCACTGAGGTCCAGACAGCAGCTGACCACGTCGTCCGCACATAGCAGGTGCTGATTTGGGGAGCTGACCGTCCGAGCAATACAGCCTGCCCAACAACAAACACACAGACAAACGCAGGCATAATTGTAAATAAAAAGTTAAGATGAATGAATAATTTACACTTCAAAGGAAAAGTTTCAAAGTTTTTAGCATAATTAAATTAAGAAAAACATGAACCGTCATTCAGAGCGGTTTGGTGTGAAATGCTCTGTTCTACAGAAACTTACGGATTCAGAATTGTCCACAGTGGTGGTGATAGGAACGCTTCTAAAAGCTAACCTCACAGAAGGTTATTACACTAAATCGTTACAAATATTCTGCCTGACGCTTCAGACAATGCTTTACAATATGTCTGAAATGAATCCTTGACTTAAAACATATTTTAAAAACCCATTCATGGTGGAGAGGCACATGCAGAGTGCAGTAAAGAAAGTAATCCCAAAAGAAAAATTCAGATTTTCAGGTTTTATTATCATCAACGTTCCATATAAAAACTCAGAAGTCGTGTAGAGTCACTGGTGGTTTTGGTTTGTAAATAAAATGACTGTATTTGTGTTGTGGACATGGTGACCCCTGGTTCCCATCACCACCACTGTAAAGAAATCTGAGTCTGTCACGTTTCTCTACAGTGAACCATTTCACACCAAACCACTCTGAATGACTTGGTTTGCATCTCAACAAAAGAATTAGGTAGACATTTTGGAACACTGCTGGAATTCCCCTGTGCACCCTTTCATTCCCTTTGCCAGGAATAATTCTATATTAAATGTTTCTCACTAACAGCTCATTAAAAGAAAGGAAGTGAAGACTATAAATGTTCAATCCGCACCACATTTGTGTTTCTAAGTAGAGGAGTGAAAACTTTATCATGATTTGTATTTAATTAAATGTTATTTGTATGCTTTGATTTGCTGAACAAAAAAAAATCATGTATATTTCTTCCAATGTGTTTGTCAGAAGTGCAGATTTTGAACTTGTAAACTGACTGTAAACAGTCGATGTCCAATAAAAAATAATGTAGCTCCAAAATGGTAACTTTACAAAAGAGGGCCAAAACTTTCTAACTTTCATTGTAAGTTAATGTAAAAAGATTCTATTCCAAGTAGTTTAGGAGCATTTTTATTGTTCTATTCATCATAAAAATTCCCAAAAATGTAAAGAGCTGTGGCAATTAATTATGTAATTATATGTAAATAGTGTTGCAAAATGCCAGTAATAACTAGACTTTTAAACTTTAGAACAAGGCTGAGCCTGGAGGACAAAGCAGGACAAAGCAGTGAGAAAAATGGAAGCATTATATTTAAATTATATTTAAATAAGCAAGTTATATTTTAATTATAATAACTTCTATAGCTGCACTGCTGCTAAATGAAATGCTACGGTCTTAATGACCTCATATTATCTTTATTGCTGCCATGAGGAAACTAGCTGTGTAAAGAAGCTTGTATCTGATTTTAGGTGTTACCTGACCACAGGTGCAGTCCGTCAAAGCCGTGAGAGTAAAGGTCATCCCCGACCCCGTTGCCTCCCCAGCCTTCACCCCCGCCTGGGTAAGGCGAGTATCCAGGTGTGGAGGCCCAGCCCACCCTCAAGTGCGTCGCTTCTGCCGTCACAAACGGCTCCACATGGTCCACAATCAGCTCATAATACCACTTCCTGTACTGGGCGGAGCCTTCGCTCACTCCCAGGAAGATGTTGGGCCTCATGCTGCCGGACATAGACAAAAGAGGAACGCAAGTTTTTGGGTGCCCCCAGTCAAATGGCACGTTTTGATGATTTTCTAAGTGAAAATAAGTGAACATCCTCCACACTTCTGCACGTTTCAATGCACAATAACTGTTTTTTTTTGGTGAATTTAACATATGGAGGAAAAGAAAAACATTACAGGTGACCTGTGCAAAAGTTCTGGCAAATTTTCTGTTTCATCTTTTAAACGTTTTTGTTTTTTTTTTTGTTAATTGTTATTTTCATTGTTAAACACGTCTTTTTCACTTTTGCATGTGACTCAAAATACATAGTCACTGGCCAATTTATCTGAAACTCTTCTTGTAGCTCCACCTTGCTGGTGTAGTTAGAGACTGCAGCTCATCTGTTGATGCAAGTTTGTGTTAGCCATTCTTCATAAGTGGCCAATTTCTGACCACATAGCTGCTCTTGGCTGGATATTTTGAGGTGGGGGTCCACTCTCAACCTAGCAGTGACACTGACGTGTGTAAAACTCTGATAACATCGCTGTGTTTCATACACTTGTTCCAGCACCACACCCACTAACATATCAGTGTCCCTGCTGTGCTGACAATGATACCGCACCCATATAACATCTGGGCAACAGCGGTTCTGTGGTCAGAAACTGATAACTGGTTGATAAACTGTGCCGCAGCAGATGCTCTACAGTCTGTGATGGTACACCTGAATATTGGAGCTATAAGGTAGGTGGAGCCTATAAAGTGGCCAGTGAGGAAAGCAGTACTTCTTACTGTGGTGTTAAAGTGACAGTCTCTACCTTTGGTCACAGTGTATACTTTACTTATTTTGTAGGTCTGGTTTGTCTTGCTTTTCATTTTGGCTGTGCTGGCATCTCAGAAGCGGCGCAGCATTTTGAAAACAGACGTGGAAGTTTTTTTCGCTTTCCGCTGTAAAGCTGGGTTGACAAACCAGACACTCGCGGATATAAAATAAACGGTAAGGTTTTAAAAGAATGACTAACCAAAGGATCAGGGTTTACACCTGACCAGGTGAAAAACCAGAGCAGCAACACACGATACATGGGATAAGACAAAAATCGAAGTAGATAAACAAGCGAGGGTCAAAACCAAAGAGCCAATAAACAGGTAAACAGAGCCAAAGGAGTAAATCTGAAAAGCAACAACGAGAAACAAAACAATGTCATAACAGTAAAGCAGCAAAATAAGAGAAAGGCCTGGTACAGACTGACGAAAGAGAGGCAATACTCGTAAAAAGGGAATGAAACAGACAAGTATATATACAAACAGGTAAACAGGTGGAAGCAATCAGTATTCAGGTGACTTGGATCTGCGGGTTGATGGCTGTGTGGTTGGAGCCAGGAAGCGTGACATGTGCATGCATCACACAGCAAAATGCAGGGAAATAAACTGTGAAAAATGAATTAAAATGAAAAAAAAAACAAAAAAACAAATAAAAACATCAAAAAAAAGAGATTTTTCATTTCATGACTAATTCAATTAAATGCCAGTTAAACATCTAACGCTGCATACACATTTCCCACTCGTTCCACAAGGCTTGAAACGCCGATTTTAGTCCGAAACAAATGAACCATGCTTTTTCACAAATTAGATTTTTTTTTTTTATTGAGCAAAATGAATGATTTGACTATTTAATCATTTGGTAAAGGGAAATCTGTACCTCCATTGTGTTGTTGCACTCACACTGGTGCTCATCGCTTATGTCACGCAGAGGTAATATGGTGACACAGGCCTTAGTTTCACCTTTGCTAGACTTTGCTTATGTATTGGCCAATCAACCGAACATGGCAAAGTTCTAAACTACTCTAAAATACTCACTGAAGTAAAAACATGAAAAAAAAACATGGTCAAGCCTTCACTGGACGCTGCAGCTGGCTAAAGTGACAGTGTATTTCAGGAGTGAACTGTGTGCACCTGCTGACGTGGTTGACCAGACGGGTCTGCAGTAACAGGTCTCGGCCAGGGAGCAGGTTATCACAGATCAGGTGCTGGTTGGAGCGCACGGCCACACCGTGACACACACACAGAGAACACAGCACGTCCAGGACCTGAGAAGAACACATGGGTTACAGCAGGTCAGTTAATTTTAATGTCCTACCTTACAGGCACACTGCACAGGTGAATCATGGATAATTATAACTCTGGAAGAGCGTTCTACAGAATATCAGGAACGCAAGCTCAGTAGGTGCTTTTATCTAGATGTTAAAAACCGTTGTACACCAAATGTTGGGCACTCCTGGCCGTATTACATACTGGATTTTTGAAGAGAAAAATAAACACAATCTTTGCAGCAAATTCTTTAAACAAAAATGACATTTTTCAAGGCGGCACGGTGGAGCAGTGGGTAGCGCTGTCGCCTCACAGCAAGAATGGCCTGGGTTTGATTCCCGGCTGGGTGACCAGGGTCATTTCTGTGTGGAGTTCTGCCTGTTCTCCCCGTGTCTGCATGGGTTTCCTCCGGGTACTCCGGTTTCCTCCCACAGTCCAAAAACATGCAGTCAGGCCAATTGGACATGCTAAATTGCCCCTAGGTGTGAGTGTGTGTGTGTGTGAATGTGTATGTCTGTCTGTCTGCCCTGTGATGGACTGGCGACCTGTCCAGGGGGTATCCTGCCTTCCGCCCAATGACAGCTGGGATAGGCTCCAGCACCCCACCGCGACCCAGAAGGATAAGCGGTTTAGATGATGGATGGATGGATGGACATTTTTCAATCATTTAACATTTAGACACCCTACTAATTCAGCACTTAATAACATTCCTATTGGCAGATATTTTGTAGCCAGCCAGGAGTGACTGTGGCCAAAGAGTTTACTTTTTACAGCACTTACAGCAGATCATTATCTAAATGTTGTTTTGCATACTGCAGATGTTGAGTTTTGTGGTGAGATCGCAATTCATGCTTCCGTCTGATGACTCTTCCATGCAAATCATGTTTGTGCAAGCAAAGTAACAGTACAACAGTGAACCACCGCTCCTGTTTTCCTCTAAAACTTCCCATAGATCCTGTGCTGTTATATGGGGGTTTTGCTTTGCCTTTCTGACCAACATATGAGCTCTTATATCCAAGAGTTTTCTTCCAGATCTTGCCTTGACTTCCACAGTTCCCCTTAACTGTCATTTATTAATGATATTTCAGACAGTGGATATTGTGATCTGAAGTGCTTCATATCTATATCTTTTCCCTTCCCCTGATTTGTAGGCATCAATATGTTTCATTTGCAGATCCTCAGCCAGCTGGTTAGAGGAGCAACTGCTGACCTGCCTAACCAGTCGTGACCAGTCAATTTATGGCCTAATGAGTTCAATAAGTTCAGAGACTTTTTACTAATTACTATTGGCCCAAACTGTTGCATGCAACTATACACCGATCAGGCATAACATTACTGACGTGGTGGTGGTGTGTTAGTGTGTGTTGCGCTGGTCTGAGTAGATCAGAAACAGCAGTGCTGCTGGAGTTTTTAAACACTGTGTCCACTCACTGTCCACTCTATTAGACACTCCTACCTTGTCAGTCCACCTTGTAGATGTAAAGTCAGAGACGATAGCTCATCTGCTGCTGCACAGTTTGTGTTGGTCATCCTCTAGTCCTTCATCAGTGGTCACAGCACGCTGCCCACAGGACGCTGTTGGCTGGATATTTTTGGTTGGTGGACTATTCTCAGTCCAGCAGTGACACTGAGGTGTTTAAAAACTCCAGCAGCACTGCTGTGTCTGATCCACTCAGACCAGCACAACACACACTAACACACCACCACCACGTCAGTGTTACTGCAGTGCTGAGAATGATCCACCACCCAAATAGTACCTGCTCTGTGAGGGTCCATGGCGGTCCTGACCACTGAAGAACAGGGTAAAAGGGGGCTAACAAAGTATGCAGAGAAACAGATGGACTACAGTCTGTAACTGCAGAACTACAAAGTGCACCTATATAGTAAGTGGAGCTGATAAAATGGACGATGAGCGTAGAAACATGATCGGTGTATATGAATATGTGAAGTATGTAAATGGTTATTTGAGTTGTCACTATTCTATACTTAAACAATGTCTTTACTATAGAACCTTCTTTAAGAGTACACAGTGACAAAAAGGTTTTTTTTGGTTTAGTAAACGTCTTAGGAAGAACTCTTCAAATTTATGGTGCAAAATTCTTTAAACCTCAGTATGTGAAGGTCCTTTAAACCTTTAAAAGGTTCTTAGCATTTCTTTTTCAAAATATGGTTCTTTAGGGTACCAAAAGAAGTTCTTCCATGGTTTCGCACAAAAACCTCTTTGTAGGGTCTCATAGCGGCGAGGACTGATGAAACAATTTCTGTGACAGACAGCATGACCAGCCGTCACTCTTAGTCACACACAGTAAGAGAACTGGGTACGACTTAAAACAAGATTACAGCTGCTGCACAAACACCAGCCGCTTCAAGAAAATGTGATTATGTCTCGCTCTCCCATGCTCACCGATCTGTTTGGTCACTCTGAAACGTGTTCTCCTGGCACATGGCCAGTGAAAGACCAAAACGCAGCCATGCCTGACCTTATGGTTGCGTCCGTGTTTGTCCAGAAGAGAGATGATGGATTTTATGTGTCCCTCTTTGATGATGTTTAGAGCTTCAGGGCTCTCCACCAGAACACAGTGCAGCACCTCCAGAATCCCTATGGAGCATACAGAACACAACAAAGGCTGTGTTAGTACTATTTATACACACACATATATATATGTGTGTGTGTGTGTGTGTGTGTGTATGTGTGTGTGTATATAGACACACAGACCATGCTTTATATGATTTAACTCTACTAGCTCTCAGCATAGCATAACAGTTGACTATTCCTGGTCATATTACACATTTTTGTTGCACAATTTATATTTGTTTGCTGCGTTTAGCTTACTGGGAAAAAAATAAAACATAAAATGTGTTATAACTTTTGTACAGGCCACATTTTATACTTTATTTTCTCCCTCAAAATGTTACATTCAGAAAATAAACTTAGACAAAACATGGAATTTTACCAAACTTCTACATACAGTATGTAGATTTTGGTAAAATTCCATATATTTTTTTTTTTTCTAAGTTTATTTTTGACTGGGTGCCTTGAAATTTCTCTCTTGTTAATTGTTTTTCTCACTTGTAAGTGAAAATATTCTAAAAAGGTGCAGATTCTAAACTTTCAATCTACACCACATCTGTATTTGTAAGTAGAAAGGGAGATATTCTATTATGTTTTGACCTTTTTGTGATTTTTATGCCATCAAAACAGCCGGAAAAAGTCAGAAGTGCAGACTTGAACCTGTCCAACCTTCATTACGTAACTATACAACTAATTATGTAAAGATACAACAAATACTGATGTAATAGGAATCAAATGTGTAGTAAAACAACAATACTAACTCTAGACTTTTAAGGATTAATAAATATAAACACATAATAAACCTATATACATATAAATATTTTCTTAACAAATAATAAATCTTAAATATGGAGTTATGAGTTTTACTTATGATCATGATGACTGAGCTAAAAAAGATGTTCTATCCAGAGTCAGCTGGTCTGCCCGTACTGATGTAGTACTGCTTACCCAAGACTTAAGCCATGGAAAACTCTGAGTCTGGGCTCAGCAGACAGAAGACCTGGCTGTGAATCCCAACTAATAAGATCCTGTTACTGTCATTGGACCTTGGAAAGACAAATCGCTCCAGGGTGGACTGTCTTAGTAACCAGCATGTGTAAGTCAGCCAGAGTAAGAGTGCCTACTGACTACTACCACTGCACTGTATGAAACTCTCAAAGCAATGTGTGTTATGGAGCATAACACTTATTCTGTGCCTTCTTCTTCTTCGTCTGTCCCTCAACACATATACAGCACACATTTCGTTCACAAAGCACAAAGCTCTGCTAGCTCTGCCACAAATGGACTACATTAGTTTCATCGCTAAATTTTGCTACACTATGAATCTACAAAACTTTTTTTGCTACAATTTAGCTACACCATGAATCTATGCCACTCTAAACAGTCCGAATCAGCACACAGCTCTATACGGCTCTAATTACAACACAGCTCTATATGGCTCTAATCAACACACAGCTCTATATAGCTCTAATTAGTACAGAGCTCTAATTAGTACACAGCTCTAATCAGCACACAGCTCTAATCAGCACACAGCTCTAATTAGCACAGAGCTCTATACAGCTCTAATCAGCACACAGCTCTATACGGCTCTAATCAACACACAGCTCTAATCAGCACACAGTTCTACATAGCTCTAATCAACACACAGCTCTAATTAGCACACAGCTCTAATTAGCACACAGCCCTATACAGCCTTAATTAGCACACAGCTCTAATCAGCACACTGCTCTATATAGCTCTAATTAGTACACAGCTCTAATCAGCACACAGCTCTATACAGCTCTAATCAGCACACAGCTCTAATCAGCACACAGCTCTAATTAGCACACAGCTCTATACAGCTCTAATCAGCACACAGCTCTAATCAGCACACAGCTCTAATTAGCACAGAGCTCTATACAGCTCTAATCAGCACACAGCTCTAATCAGCACACAGCTCTAATTAGCTCTAATCAGCACACAGCTCTAATCAGCACAGAGCTCTATACAGCTCTAATCAGCACACAGCTCTAATTAGCACACAGCTCCATACAGCTCTAATCAGCACACAGCTCTAATTAGCACACAGCTCTATACAGCTCTAATCAGCACACAGCTCTATACAGCTCTAATCAGCACACAGCTCTAATCAGCACACAGCTCTATACAGCTCTAATCAGCACACAGCTCCATACAGCTCTAATCAGCACACAGCTCTATAAAGCTCTAATCAGCACACAGCTCCATACAGCTCTAATCAGCACACAGCTCTATAAAGCTCTAATTAGCACACTGCCCTATATAGCTCTAATTAACACACAGCTCTAATTAACACACAGCTCTAATCAGCACACAGCTCTATACAGCTCTAATCAGCACACAGCTCTACATGGCTCTAATTACAACACAGCTCTATGCAGCTCTAATCAGCACACAGCTCTATACAGCTCTAATTAGCTCTACACAGGTGTAATCAGCACACAGCTCATCACAGCTCTAATCTGCTAGCAGCTCTATAGAGCCTTAATTGTCGTACAGTCACTTCTGTACAGCAGATTTTGAATCTGGTTTTCAAAGATCCACAGCCAGCCTTTTTTTTTGTTCTATTCCAGTTCCTAAAACATCTGCTCCAAGCAATCACTGCTATACAGTCCACCCCGGAGCTATTATGCCTTGTCAAAGAGTCACCAGGACGTTAAAACATGTGATCGAACCCATTACAATTAGTTTAATGGGCAATTTCTTTGCTACAAAACAGACCATATGTGAATGCGGATGGAATGAAAAAAATACAGTGGCTGGCTGGGGGTCCCTGAGGATTCAACTGAAAACGTCTGCTATTCAGCTCTAATCAATACACTGTTCCATACACCACTCACAGTGCACAGCACTGTACATTCAACACATACATGAGCACATTCAGCAATACCAGAACACTCATGATTCAGGCATGTTTTATTACCATTCTGTATCTTCCTAATGTTTAATGTAAGACATCTCATCCTCTAAAGACTAAGCTCTGCAGTAAAAATAAGTTTGTAAGTAAGCAAATAAATAAACAAATGATAATTCAATAAACTATTAAATCTACTCCATGAAGACTTGAAAATCACAGCCAAAAGTCAAGCCAAGACTTTACTTATATTTATCATTAAATGAGGTCTTGTTAAAGTCTGTGAGGTTTGTAAAGTGTAATTAATTGGTTAAGACGTAAACAAAGTCATTCAGACTGGTCTGATGTGAAATACTAACTTGCCGAGCCACAATTGTTCACAGTGGTGGTGATAGGAACCAGATGTCTAAAGAGTTTAATGCCTCTAAAAGCTCCCTCACTAAGGTTATTACATTAAATGGATACAAATACACTGCCTGATGGCCGAGAAACTGTTTTATGATAGTTTTAAGACCAAGTTTTGGCCTAAATGATGTCTTTTACAATACATTTACGGTGGGTAGGCACATGCCGGGTGTCGAAAGGCAGAGAAGCGCTTTTCAGGGCCCTGAAATCTTACTTTCCAGACCACTTCAGAACCCACAAGCACATCTCCACCAAGGTTACGGATCCTTTTAAGGAGCTAAAACGGTTTAGGACCTTTTCAGGATTTAAAGAGTTCCAAAACCTTTTTCACAACTAAGCCTCTGAGGAACCAAAGACTCCTGAAACCTTGTGCATAATTAAAGAGTTCTGGAAGTTTCTGAGGAAATACAGTGTCCCGAAACATTAAGGAGATGAAAATCCTCCTGCTGCTACCCACCGCGTGTAAGCGCGTTCTTTGTCCTTGGGAAGCGATCGATTGCGGTGGAAAGAAGTTCGAACCGAAATAAACCCAAATTAAAGACGTGACCACGAAAAGCAAGAAAATTAAGGAGACAAAAATCCACCTGCGGCTACCCACCGCATGTAAGCGCATTCGAGTCCCAATTCTTTTTGTAGAACTAATGACTAATAGTGACGAAACAGTTCTGGAAACCTTTAAAAACCTAAACAGTTACAGAAACCTTTGAAGGAACCAATGACTTCTGTAACCTTTTAAGGAAGTAAAGAGTTCTGAAACCCTTAGAGGAAAGAGTTTATGTGTAAATAAGGACTTCATGAACCTGCTGCTCTCATTGGGTTCAAGTGGATTCAGATGTCGCTTGCCAAATACATGTCACGTTTGCGGACTTTTCAGTAATTCAAAAAGTTTTCGAGAAGCTTTAGTTATTCAGAAAAATGACTTCGCTTCCCAGTAGGTTCTTGAACCTTTTGAGAAAAGTAAAAGACAAATGTACCTGTCTAACTAAGGACACCTGAAATCTACTTAGGGGCCATTTTTGCATAACTAGAGTTTCAAAACATTTTTTTTGTGTAACTAAAGAGTTTTGGGACCTTAAACATCTCTGGCAAGTGACATCTAAACTCAACTGAACCTGGCAAGAGCAGTCGAGTCCTGCTGGGTTTGGACAAATATCTGCAAATCATTCACACACCAGCTGACACACGCTTACACAGATGTGCACACACAAACATGCACAGGCACAGGTGCACACACACACACACACACACACAGATGTCCATAGACACACACACGCAGGTGCACACCACACAGACCCCCAGTGTTCAGTATATCGTGCAGCATCAACTGTTCAGCAACACCTAAATGATGTTTCTTTTGGGATTTTTACCCGATTTTCTCCCCAATTTAGTCGTCTCCAATTCCTCCTGCTAGTTAGGATTCCCCCAATCACACAATGCTATCAAAGCTAGGAGGGTGAAGGCTAACACAGGCTTCCTCCGAGACCTGTGAAACCAGCCACTGCTTCTTTCCGAACTGCTGCTCACGCAAGGTCACTGGACAGCCGAACGCACTCGGAGGAAAGCGCCGACCGCCAGATTTGTTACGTCAGCTAACAGACGCCTGCGCTGACTAGCATCGCGTTGAGTGATGGGGGGAGAGGGAGGGGCCATCCTACCCACCCAGAGAGAGCGAGGCCAATTGTGCTCTCTTGGACTCCCGGCTACGGATGGCTGTAGCATCACCAGGGATCGAACTCGCGATCTCCTGATAATAGGGCCAACGCTTAGACGGTTGCGCCACTCAGGAGCCCCTAAATGATGTTTCATCTCTAAAGATGCTCAGGAAACTTGAGACAGGAGTGTGAAAAACCATCAAACCCTCACTTCACTTTATTCGAAGCTTTACTGAGAGGATTGCACATATGAGCACAGCACGAGATCCGCCTTGATGCCACTGCAATATGGGCCTGAATGTAATGTTCAATTACGTAAGACTGCAGCTTATCATGCAGACTGCTCGAGGCGCTTTAGAGGAGGCAGTGAAATATAACAATAATTATTGTTGTTAAAGAGCTCATATAAAAACCTGGATTTTCTCAGTTTTTCTCAGTTTTTAATTTTAATAAAATGTGATGTAGTATGTTAACATTGTTAATGACATGCCAATCGGTTGCTAGTCCAGTGGAAATTACTCTGCAAAAACAGCCTGTTTCGAATTTACTGTTGCTGTGACTTCATGAGAACCAACTCATTTACATACATCAGCCTATTCAGCCCACAGTGGTTCAGCCCCACCCATTCACGTTGAAGTTACGAGGAGTATTTCAGCCCAGACCGCTATTCGAATGAGGCACAATACAGAGCGGCCACTCAGAGAAGAGTTCATTTACAAATAACAGCTGTAAAGCTGCAGGAACAAAACAGCCTGATTAATTCTAAGTGTAAAGAAAAAAATATTAAAATGAATTATGATTGTTTTTAGTAGATAAAACCACACACACATCATAAATGGACCTCAGGGGGAAAATCAAACACAAGAAAAATGTAGGATATGAGCCCTTTAATCCATTTAACCTGGGACCATTCCAGCAAAAACAATGCTACAAGATGCTGACAGGAATCTCCTGGGCTTTTCTTGACCTTTTCTGACTGGACCTTTTCTAGATCTCTCTCATTCTCCAGCTTCCTGCTCTGAACACTCTGGAAATCAGTTGAGTCTGCACTTTCTGGACTGCACATTGAGCCTTAGAGAGTCTGTCTGAAGTGATACAGCAAGAGAGAGAGTGTTTTCGTCTCTCTGAGACAGCCCAACCCCTTCATTCTTATCTGCATATATGCGGATATCCATCAGTATTCATGTCTTTCGCTCTCTCTGAGTCACTGAGAAATCTGCTCAGAGACAGACTGATGGCTTTACTCACTCTTAACCCTTTCAAATCAAATCAAATCACGTTTATTGTCACATCACATTTACACAGGTGCTAAGGTGAGTGAAAATCTTAGGCGTGTAGCCCCTTCGTGGTACTTAAATATACAAAAAAAAATACAAAATATGTAACAAAACGTGTGTATGTATATGCATATATATATATATATGCACACACACTGATCAGGCATAACATTATGACCACCTCCTTGTTTCTATGCTCATTATCCATTTTATCAGCTCCACTCACTACTTTGTTACCCTTTTACCCTGTTCTTCAGTGGTCAGGACCCCATGGACCCTTAAAGAGCAGGTACTATTTGGGTGGTGGATCATTCTCAGCACTGCAGTAACACTGATGTGGTGGTGGTGCTGGTCTGAGCGGATCAGACACAGCAGTGCTGCTGGAGTTTTTAAACACCTCAGTGTCGCTGCTGGACTGAGAATAGTCCACCAACCAAAAATGTCCAGCCAACAGCATCCTGTGGGCAGCGTCCTGCGACCACTGATGAAGGACTAGAGGATGACCAACACAAAGTGTGCAGCAGCAGATGAGCTATCACCCCTACTTTACATCTACAAGGTGGACTGACAAGGTAGAAGTGTCTAATACAGTGGACAGTGAGTGGACACAGTGTTTAAAAACTCCAGCAGCACTGCTGTGTCTGATCCACTCAGACCAGCACAACACACACTAACACACCACCACCACGTCAGTGTTACTGCAGTGCTGAGAATGATCCACCACCCAAATAGTACCTGCTCTGTGAGGGTCCATGGGGGTCCTGACCACTGAAGAGCAGGGTAAAAGGGGGCTAACAAAGTATGCAGAGAAACAGATGGACTACAGTCTGTAACTGTAGAACTACAAAGTGCACCTATATAGTAAGTGGAGCTGATAAAATGGACAATGAGCGTAGAAACAAGGATCATAATGTTATGCTGATCATATGTGTGTCAATCTACATGTGCAGGTATAGTGTGGCTAGATTGAAGTTAATAACCTTTTAAGGCAAAAATGCAATTAATATAAAGTGGGACCAACTCTGAATAGATCACTGACGATACGTTAGGTTAACAGAGAACAGCATGACTGTGCGCCGGTGATGAGTGGGTCATATCTGAGAATGGCTAAGCACTTTCCTAGAAAAACAAATCTCGCTCTACATTTCATAGTCGCCGTACAACCTATTTGTACATACAGAGACATGAGGCCTTTTATGTGATCGAAAGCTGTTTCCTTTCTACAGTGTTATGTAATGTTTATTTGTTTGATTCTGCCTGCTGTCTCTCTGTCCATTTGTTTTGGTCTGCCCTTTAATGCCCCGAGCATGCATTAGCCGGCAGGACTCATGTTAGATCAAATATAGTCTGCTTAATGCTCATACCTGTGACATACATTGGCATTTTTTATTTTATGTAGTTGCACTACTCTTTGTATATATCATATTTTTGGGTCTGTCGTGGCTAGTGTATTATTTGTAAGGGTAATAAATAAGAAAATACTTATACTACTGTTAATACTACTGTTATATACTACTAATATTCTATAATTAAAGCTGTGATATGAAAGACTTTTTTGTTAAAACTGAAAGTAGTATTAGTTTTAGTTATGTCTTTACGTGATAACCTCACGCACAGACGCAAAAAAGGTCCGGATTGATGTTCGGGTCTCAAAAAAATCTACTAATGAAGATATGGTGACAATAGTAGATAATTCCCTCCCTTCAGAAGTCACATCGTTCAGCAAGTTGTGTCTGAGTTCTCTTTGAATTCTCTTTCAATGCGCTCGCAATCATCAGATTCATCCACTTGGGGGAGGGGTCTGTATTACAACTCATGTCAAAAACGTTCTTCCACATGTTGCATGCAATTTCACATTTTCACCAGAGAGGTCTCCAAATCCACAAAACTTACATAGTGCAGCTTTAAACAGGCTATATTAACATTAGCATAATTTTTCATGTTCAGTGTTTAAGGGAGCATTACATTTGAAGGAGAACGTGTACTGACCTGATTAAGACGCAAAGTTTAGGACCTGACTTAAGCCTTGCCCATGCATGACTTGGAACTTGACTTGAGTGTCAAGACTTGAGACTTACTTGTTACTTGCCACACAGTGACTTATCCCTAACTCTGTTATCTCCCAGAGACATTGCTATAGTGAGGTTGATAACCACCAACAGGCCTACTTTATTGTTGCTAAGTCATTGGAAATCTTCCATTTCCAAAACCATTTTTAATTCTCTGCACCCCGCCCCCCACAGTTAAGCCCCTGATGTGCAATGACACTGTGAATAAAATAAATTAGACTAAGGTAGGACAGTCTAGACTGTAGCCCTGCAACAATTAATCTGCTGACATGGATTTTTACTGTTGACGTAGCAATTAATGACTGTAGTTAATATTCACTGCATACCTGATGAAGCCTCCAGTCTCTCCAGGCGACTGATCAGCCAGTCTAGTGAGCTGGAAAACTGAGCACAATTTTTCCTGTTGCCCCTGATCAGAGCAGCTAGAGAGAGAGAGAGAGAGAGAGAGAGAGAGAGAGAGAGAGAGAGCGGCAGAGGTGTGGTCAGAAACTGAACACTGCAGTGGGAGCCTGATGAACTGCGAAGCGACAGACGTTCTACAGTCTGTGAATATACACTTATATAGTATCTATAAGGTAGGTCATACAGTGGACAGTTGGTGGAGGTTATTCTGTGTACAAAGATGTGTGTGCATGTTAGGTCTGGACGTAATCTGACAGGTGAAAATCACCATGTTGGCAAAAACAACTGATACAGAACTAAAGAGAACAGCTAACAGTCAAAGCCCCTGGTCAAATGACAAGCTTTGATTAATTTAATGAAGTACTGATTAATCAAACTGATACTGAGCTTCCACAAGAACACATTGTTAAACAAACATACACTCACCAAGCACTTTATCAGGAGCACCTCCTTGTATCTGCATTCATTGTCCATTTTATCAGCTCCACTTACTATATAGGAGCACTTTGTAGTTCTACAGTTACAGACTGTAGTCCATCTGTTTCTCTGCATACTTTCACCCTGTTTCCTCAATGGTCAGTACCCCCACAGGACCCCCACAGAGCAGGTATTATTTGGGTGGTGGATCATTCTCAGCACTGTGGTGACAATGACGTGGTGGTGGCGTGTTAGTGTGTGTTGCTCTACTGCCCACTCTATTAGGTAGACTACCTTGTTGGTCCACCTTGTAGATGGAAAGTCAGAGACGATAGCTCATCTGTTGCTGCACAGTTTGTGTTGGTCATCCTCTAGTCCATCATCAGTGGTCGCAGGACGCTGTTAGCTGGATGTTTTTGGTTCCCAGTCCAGCAGTGACACTGAGGTGTTTAAAAACTCCAGCAGCACTGCTGTGTCTGATCCACTCGTACCAACGCAACACACACTAACACACCACCACCACGTCAGTGTTACTGCAGTGCTGAGAATGATCCACCACCCAAATAATACCTCCTCTGAAGTGGTCCATAGGGGATCCTGACCATTGAAGAACAGGGTGAAAGGGGGCAAATAAAGTAGGTAGAGAAACAGATGGACTACAGTCTGTAATTGTAGAACTACAGGGAGATTCACTCGAAAGAGGCCCCGAATATTCTGCAATAACTCTCTCTAGGATGAAACAATCTGAACGAAACAACTTGCAATGTGCTCCTCAGTATATGGAACTTCGAACAAGCCAGGATGCAGGAAAACGTCCAAAGTGAAATCGCTGCTATTCCCCCAGATATGCTTGCCGATACGTTCAGGAACACGGAGCGTTGCGTCGAAATGTGTCTGGCAGAAACGGAGATCACTTCCAGCATCGCATGTAATGCAAGGGATTACACATACATCAAGGTATGTAGCATATATTTTTGGTTCACATTGCTTCGTCTTAACCGGAGTTACAACAGAATATTCGGGGCCTCTTTCGAGTGAATCTCCTTGTACAAAGTGCATCTATATGGTAAGTGGAGCTGATAAAATGGACAATGATTATAGATACAATTGATTGTTCCTAATAAAGTACTTGGTGAGTGTATGTATCGTTGTTGCTGGATCAAAACCTTGTATATTACATTCATATAGTGCATTTTTAAGCCATCTAACTTAAACCAAACAAAAAAAAACATATATCACTGAAATAAATACAAATAAACATAAATATAGTAAAAAGTAATTTCCTGTTTTCAAAAAAAGCCATTTATATTGTGTCAAAATGTCAGGATGTATAGACCAAAAGAAGTGGTCCAAATTGACTTCAATTTGACAGATACAGAGAGAGATAGACGGAGAAAGAGGGGTGGACAGAGAGACAGACAGACAGACAGACAGACAGACAGAAAAGGATCACCAGAGAAAGAAAACTGATGTCCTCTCAAACTCTTTTCTCTTCTATAGTTAATGAGCAGTAATTGAGCGAAGGACCCTTATGAGGTGAGTGAGTTGAGCAGAGGGACACTGAGTGTTTCACTGTCACAAAATCTCCACAGCATCTCAAACACTGCATGAAAAATGCATAACAGAAAAGCTGAAGCTCAGGAAAGCAGTTTAGAAGAGAGAGAGAGAACTGAGTTCAAAACACGCACTGACCGCTGTCTGTCTCTGTGTGTCTTTATGACCATATTCTTTCTGCATGTTTATACACATATTTGTGAGTTCAGACCATGCCTTCAACATGTGGTGGTAGTATGAGGGATGATTGATTGAGGGATGGGGGAGAACTCTGAGAACTTGAGCTGAAGTTCTGGGCAGCTTCTGCCTGTAGCTAGAAGGCCAGATCCCCCCAAACTCCCGCAGAAGGAGCAGGCAGACAGCCGAAAGGGGATTCAGGAGAGAGAATAGAGGTCTGTGCCAAAGTGGCTCGTAGTTGCACTAGTGTCGCACAACTGGTTGCAAACACTCGTCACGGGAACAGAAGGTGAGGATGTGAATTTATAGGGCGTTAGAGTGGAAGAAGGAGGGGTTTCAGCCATGCTCCTCCCCCCAAACTTTAGTTAGAGCATAACTACATTTCTTTTACAAATATCAGCTTTTTGAGAAGATATTTACATTTACACTGGGTAATACATACCATACAAGAAACACAGCAATTCTGAAAATGAGTCCCCTTAGTCACCTTGTGCTTCCACTCACTGTCCACTTTATGACCTTTTTAAGTAATTGTGTGAGCACAACTGTATCAGCAATGGGAGCATCTTAGTGCAGCAGAATCTAAGCAATCAAATGGCTGCATACTTTAGAACACAGTGTGCTTATGGAAGCACGGTATACTATAAGCAAGGCATTCGTCCACTAACCCAGCAGTTCATAGAGGGAGTTGAGGATGGACTTCCAGGCCTCTCCCGCTTCCCGTCCCGCCACGTCCGCAAAATGGGCGGCACTGCTGTACACATGCAGGCGATCGATACACTCCAGCACCAGGTTTATCATTCCCTACACAAAATAAAATACGTAACTGTTCATACAGTTCAGAAATTCTTATTTACCTAAGCAGCCCTGTGATGGACTGGCGACCTGTCCAGGGTGTTTCCCGCCTTCTGCCCAGTGAGCGCTGGGATAGGCTCCAGCACCCTCCGCCACCCAGGAGGATAAGTGGGTTAGACAATGTGTGAGTGTGTGAGTGTGTGTATGTATTTACTTCAGCAGTTATGAACTGCAAATGTACCAACCCAGTCTGTGTAAAATAAACATGTACAGTACAGTGCAAAAGTTTTTAATTGAATGTAGAAACACATATTTCACCGAAAATTACACGGAAACCGCAACAACTAAATATAATAATATTTTTTTTTTCAGTGTTTAGTGCAGGGGTGTCAAACTCAACCACTAAAGGGGCCACAATAAAAAATTCTCAACAAATCAGTGGGCCAGAGAAAAAAAAAAAATATATATTTTTAATTAATGTTGTGCTTTAACCTGAACTGGCCTTTGTTTATTTAAAATATGCAAAAAACGTCAACAGTAAAATACAGACACTTGTAGTAGACATTGAAATATTGCATGAATACATCAAATATTGAAGTATTTTAAATGTCCCCAGGAGCTCGGTCTTTTAAACCTACCTGTCTGCTTGAACCAGACACCTGGCATCCTTTCTTTGCTGCAAGTTCATTAAAACTTGGGCTCAGTTTCTGAGCTGCTGAGCTGACATTAAGTGTCTATGTTGGTTGAACTTCAGCTAGTGCATTTAGTGATATGACTGGTGTGAAATTGTGTAGAACTGAGGTGTAACTGCCGTCCCATAGATTGCTGTTGGGGTGGGAGAGTCAGAGTACACACTATGCTACAGTGCACGCTGGGGATTGTAGGGCAGCGCACTGTGAAACGGGCTTATATTAACAGAAAACTAAAACACTTTTGCGGGCCGGATAGGATTGTGTCCCCGGCCTGATCTGGTCCGCGGGCCTTGTGTTTGACGCATGGGCTTTACTGTGTCCACACTTTTCCTTTATTACAGCTTCCATTCTTTTCCGGAGACTCACTTTCAGTTTTTCAAAGAAATCTGCAGGGATATTTTTCTACACGTCCAAAGTTCCTGGAAGGTGGCTGTATTTTCTGCTTCTCACCGTCCATTTAATCCCAAACACATTAAATGATGTTGAGGTCTGGACTCTGGGATGGTCAGTCCATTGTTCTGAGAACAGCAGCAGCTTCTTTGTTTAATTTCTACATTTTTCATGTTTATTTCCTTTGATTTTCTCCTCTCTCTCTCACAGATGAAAGCTTTACTGTTTATCTGAAGAGGACAGTTTCGGTGTCTACCAGGTCTTGCATGGATGTTAGTAAGTCCACCTCCTGTATTTTCCTTTGACTTTCTCCTTCATTTTGCAAGTGGATTATCTTATATCTAAAAAAATAAATAGCTTGGACTCTACAGCTGGAAAGTGGATAAACAAAAGGATGGTCTCTGACTTTTGCACAGCACTGTATTTAAGTAAGTGTGATGACTCTTCACATTGAGGCCATAATGTGGTGAAAATGTGCTTTTGTGTCGAGGGGCTTTTACAGTGATGGCTGCTGAGTGGAGAACGTAATGGAGATTTATGGAGGGGTAATACAATAGGGCACTTCAGTCAATCAGGAACACAACCATGCACAGAGGTAAGTACAGAGGTCTGTATACGACCCATGAAAACTACTAAGATAGCTCTTTGAAACCTCTAGTCATACAAAGGCTTTCTAGAAGTACTAAGCCAAGGCTGCAGGGGTTTGGCCTCATTTGAGAGGCTTTATCAGTTCTATAGCTGATAAGCAGTAACAGAAGAAGCCCCTCAGATCAGTGACCAGTGCTGGCACATGCCTTAGGACAAGGTATCGTTTGAGCAGAACAGATTCCTCCAATAATATTCAGAAACAGACTTTAACACCATTTAAAAAGATGGTTCTTCAAGGGTTCCTTAGTGAAGAAAATGGTTCTATGTAGAACAACGAACACATAAAGAACCCTTTGCATGATAAAAGGGTTCCTTGCATCATGAAAGCATTCTTCAGATTGATGGAGAATGTGTTTTATACGGTTCTATATAGAAACCTTTGGAAAAAGGGCTCTATATAGTACCAAAAATGGTTCTTTTATTGTTATAGGCTTGACATCGTAACAATAGAAGAACCCTTTTTGATGCTATATAGAACTGTTTTCTAAAAGGTTCTATATATATAACCATCTACAACACATTCTCCATCAATCTGAAGAATAACTTAGCAATGCAAAGAACCCTTTAATCATGCAAAGGGTTCTTTGAGCATTCATGGTTCTATATATACCGTTTCTTTACTAAAGAACCCTTGAGGAACCATCATTTTTAAGATGTTTAGGCAACAGTCTATGGTGTAAATTAGATGCTTCACCAATCATTTAATCTCCACATACCTCCTCCTGAAAGAGGTTTTGTCGGTTCTTCAGGGCTCGGAGCCGGTTCTGTTTGTCCTCATGTTCTAGATGTTCGTCTGGTGGCTGGAAGTAGCCAATCAGGTCCTGCAGACTCAGACTGACCGACTCAATGGGCAGATCCAGCATGGAGCTTTTTCCTTTCTTACTGAGAGTGTCCAAACCCCTGGGAGTGAGTGAGCGAGTGAGAGAGAGAGAGAGAGAGAGACAGAGAGAGAAAGAAATCTCCATTACTGTATGTAATAGAGTGAGTCTGTAATAGAGACGGGGACGGCTAAAGCATGTCTAATTCTGATAGGCCTCACGTTAAGCCTCTTTTCTCCAGGAGAAAATGTAAAATATCTGGCATTTTCATAGTTATGAAGAACTGCACACCTAGCAAATATTTGAGGAAATTGGCTGTTAGCAGTGATATTAAAAACACTCTCAGTGTGTGTCTTTTTCATACTTTCTCAAAACCAAGCTTTTCTAATATATATATATATATATATATATACACACACCAATCAGGCATAACATTACGATCCTTGTTTCTATGCTCATTGTCCATTTTATCAGCTCCACTTACTATATAGGTGCACTTTGTAGTTCTACAGTTACAGACTGTAGTCCATCTGTTTCTCTGCATACTTTGTTAGCCCCCTTTTACCCTGTTCTTCAGTGGTCAGGACCCCCATGGACCCTCACAGAGCAGGTACTATTTGGGTGGTGGATCATTCTCAGCACTGCAGTAACACTGACGTGCTGCACAGTTAATGTTAGTCATCCTATAGTCCTTCATTAGCAGTCAAAGGACACTGCTTTTAGGACACTTTGGCTGAATATTTATATATATATATATATATATATATATATATATATATATATATATAGTTGTTGAGGCTTCTGTGTAATTTTCTGTATTTATATCTGTATATATATGAGTACCTGAGAATATTTTTTTCAAAAAGATGTCCGTCTGGTCAGTAATCATTTATTTGCTCAGCAAAATCCTAAGATTACAATAAATATATATAAAGTAGTGAAGTAGTGTATGTCAGGGTATTTGTTTAACCATTTCCAAACCTCTCCTCATGGCAGTATAACTTGTAGTTATTGTATAATATCTGGTTTGGCTAATCAGTACATCATTATGTTAAATCCAGTGATGGAATTTAACAATTCGATGTGATGGCTGTGAGCGTCCGGTAGGAATCTGGAACGAAATGTTGTTGTATGTTCTTCATATATATATACACACACAGCACCACACACGTGAGTATGTGTTTGTTACCTGATAAAGCGGTTGAACAGGAAGACTGTGCTGCGGATAACTCTGGCAGTGCGAGATTCCTCGTGTTGGGAGCGAGACAGGGTCAGACCATCGTCCATGTGACCCTCATGGTGCATTATGGCCTAACAACCGAACAAACAGCACATGAGCTCTACACACATAAAGACAAATCCTCACACACAAACACTCCACATCCTGTATGAGAGACAACATATGATAAACTTTACTGACCCCCAGAAGGAAATTACATGTACAGGGTATCACTGTGTAGACAGTACAAGCATTGTATACAATCTCAAGAACATTCAATGAAAAATAAAATAAAAATCAATAAGTACACACATAAATGACATGTACACTACAAAGCAAAAGCCAGAGACCACCCATTTATTTCATTTCCAGTCAAGATGTCCATTAACTACAATTATTTTTTAGCACTAGAAAAAATGTAGAAAAAAATAACAGAAAATTACACAGAAGCCTCAACAACTAAATATAATATCAAACTCAAAGATGAGAGATTTAAGTGCTGTTTATCTGATGGGGGTAGTTTTGGGGTCTACCAGGTCTTCCAGGTGGTTGTTAGTAGTGTCATTTTCTCTGTAGCTTGGAGGCTTCCGTGTAATATTCTGTAAATATATATATTTTCTGTTTTGTTTTGTTTTTTGTATCTTAACTTGTATGTAAAGGGCCCATATCTTCTAGGGCCACTTAAGGGGCCACAATTTCCTTGCATTTTTATTTTTCCTTGAAGGTCCACTTATGACATTTGTGTGGTTTTATGTAACAAAAACAGTCAGAATTGATCATTTTCCAACCTCTATTCATCTCTTAGAATTAAACAGGCTGTTTTTGTTGCTGTGCCTTTAAAATTGATTAATGAAAATATGCTCTGTTCTGATTGGCTGCCCTCTATTGTGCCTCTTTCAAAGCACTCAGCGCTGAAACACTCGTTGTGACTTTGTGAATGTGCAGCTGCTGTAGGCTGAATAGGTGGATGTATGTGAATGAGTTGGTTTGAGTGCCATTACAGAAACAGCACATTCAGACTGGATGGTTTTTACAACAAAGTTTCCATATATGAACTGTTTGAACTGGGGAATAAATGGTATGTTTTGAAACTCTAACAATGTTTACATATTACTCTAAACTACTAGACCAGGTTTTCCATGATATGGGCCCTTTAACAGCCATTTTGACTGGTCACTAAGTCTGGTCATAGTTCTGTATGCGTGTATTAAAAAAAAACAATTGCACTTGACTGTATGTACATTTTTAAACTCAAAAAACACGGAAAGTTAGACAAAAACTCACATACCCTCAAATATATAAGCAACGTATACACAAATAGCTGCTATCAAAAGGAAAATGCATCTCTTTTTTTTTCAATTTTGACTTTTTTCACATCATTTGGGCACAGCAGCTCTCCTTTACAACGTGTGGAAATTTTATGATCAATGGACAAACAGAAATGCTCCAAAACTGCTTGGATTAAAATACATTAACATTAACTTACACTGAAAATAAAGCATGTTTTTGCCCTCCCCTGTAAACTTACCATTTTGGAAATATTTGTTTTTCTTTGGACAGCGACCATATACAACTTACACACACATCCCCACCCACACACACACACACACACACACACAGACACACACACCAGAGTGTAAAGCCATCTGTCTCTGTGTGTGCTCGGTTGTGCCAGCAGCTCAGGAGTAATGACTGTGAGCGTTTTATATCTTCCTAATGAGACTCTCTCTAAATCAGCTCAAGGTCCTCTCATATGAATGAAACCATTAAGCTAAGCTAATAGTGTCAGTAAAGCCACATCCATCCTCGCTAGCCAGCGCCAACGCGCTTCCTTTACTGCTGCTCAGCAGCATGAACACTGCTAAAGCTCCGTGTCTGGACATTTGGCAGATTTAAAAGCAGCAGAAAAATTGAGTGTTAGAGTTAAAGAGATGGGACAACCAATCAGTGCTAAAGTGGCTACCTGGCAACACAGTGAACTTAAAGAAAGGAACAGTTCGGCGAAAAGCCAACTTTACACAACTTTTCCTTCAGCCAAATGCAGCAAATTAGCCGAGACATGTTAAGTGAAGTTTGCTCCTTTAGTTTTGCACTGAAGCTATGAGTCTAATGTAGCTGACACGCAAAGGAAGCCCCAGTTAGCACAGTGCAAACCGCATGACTGAATCGTCACACGTTTACCTCAAACTGTGTTGGGTTGTCAAAGGGGAATTCCACCGATTTCTCAACATTTCACCTCAAAACTATCATAAAGTAATGTCTCAGGCATTGTAAACCATTTCCTGTAGTAACTTTTTTGTTGAGGGAGCTTTAAGAGGCATTAAGCTCTTCAGACGTCTGGTTCCCATCACCACAACTGCGAACAATTCTGACACGGCAAGGTTCTCTAGAATGGGGCATTTAACATCAAACCTCAGTTATTTTGTTTACATCTTAACGCTTTAATAATACAGATTTTTTTTTAAAATGGAATTCCCCTTAAAGTATTATCAATTGGGCTTGTTTATGAGGTTTCTGACACTGTATGATAGACTATTATCTATAAACAGGGACAAAAGTATATTATATAGCTAAACAGTAGCAGCAGTTAGTGTTGTAGCAAAGACAACAAGAGTCCAAGTCAAGACTGAGACCTAGGGTGACAAGACCAAGACCAGACTACATTTTTGAATGAAGAAAGAGGGAAAAACTGAAGAAGTGCACACCTGTACAGTCATTATCATTCACTGTACATTATATATATATATATATATATATAATGTACTATATATAATGTTATATATATATATAAGGTTAAGGTTTTTAAATGCATATATACAATATATAATGAATATAATGAATATAAACAATATCTAGCCAAAAATATTATTAATTATTATTATCTTATATTATATCTTATATTATCTTAGTCCAGCTCTTTTATGTTTTGGACATAAACAATGGTGAGGTTCTTTACTGTCCTTCTCTAAATCTTATTCAGAATCACCTCCTAAAGCCAACTGAACATAAACCAAACATCATGCATCCATTATTATTATTAGAATATATGAAAGCATAGTAATAATAAAATTCTAATCTAGCTTTACAGGATGTTTGAATTGATGGTTGAACCAAAGAACATCAACAAACATATTATACTCAGTTAAGCCTTCATGGAAAGATCAATTAGATCATCGACCAGCAACGAACAGATTTTATTAAAACATGTAGAAAAAGGATTCTTTTATTCTATTTGAAGGTTTTGCTGACATTCAACAATGATGAACGTTTCCAGTTACCTTCTGTCTAAACGCTACCTTACGAGAAAGCTATTATACAAAATGGTTACAAGTGTGCTGCATAATGCCTGAGACATTGTTTCATGGCAGCATGATAAGGTTTTTAAATGCATTCATGTGGGAGAGTTACATGCAGGACACTGTAAGACAAAACAGTCCCCAGTTAAAAAATTTTAGTGTAGATTTATAATTTACCATCATCAACACTGCATATAAAAACAGAAGACTAACTGGTCAATCTGAACAGAAAATAAAATCGCTATATTTGTGTTGTAGACATGGTGACGCCTGGTTCCCATCACCACCACTGTAAAGAAATCAGAGTCTCTCTACAGTGAACAGTTTCACATCAAACCACTCTGAATGACTCTGTTTACATCTCAGTGATTGAATTATGCAATCTTTGTGAACAACTGGTGGAATTCCCATTAAGGGCCTCTTTTAAGAGCCAGATGTCATTGTTGTCAGAATAATTATCGTAGCTAGCAGAAGATTATCTTTATTTTTTTATGCAAATCTTTTTTTTATGGCTATAGGCTTAGCTCATTGTTATGATTTGTGCAGTCAGCAGCAACTGGAAAGTGTATCATATACATAATATGTATATAATATGTGCTGGGATTCTCCAACAGGGAGTCCAATTCCAGGCTCAAAAATCACACATACCTTTCTCTGGACTCCGCCCATGCGAGCACACTTGGCGTCCACTGACTGGTAGGTCAGCCAGAGCCCTGTGTCCACGTGCTGGATGTAGCAGACTGAGTCTCCATATTTAATATCAGGAACACCCATCCCATCCACCTCCTTCCTCAGTCCAAAATCAAGCTTTTCCTGCAATCACAACACAGAGAGACAGTGTTTAGTCATAGGACACACAATTTATCTAGCATTCAGTGGTGTTGCTCTTCTAAATTCGCCTTAGACTTCATGTGCCAGCACCAGCCAGGCAAATGACCTATTACCAAAAATATGGACATATGATCTATTCCAACACCAAATCCTAACATTCACAAACCACAGAGGGAACATAACCTTCGCCTAATATTAAACAATCATATTCTCCACCCAGCTGATTATAACAATACCACCCCTATCCCTATTAACTAGGGTTAGGCATCAGTAGAGGCCTCATGATACAATATTATCACAATACTTGAGCTAGGATATGATTCTAGCGTGATATTTAAAAATATGTGATAAACGTGTGGTAAATGTGATAAACTATTGAAGTATCGCAAAAGTAAATATTGTGCAATTTGTTACTGCAGATTACTCCTGCAAAAGAAAGATTTGCTTTATCTACTGAAGTTCACGTCAGTTCAGTCTTTTTTATCGAAGCAAAGCAGAATTATGAAGTAGACAAATCAACCTTCAAAAAAAAAAAAAACATTTTTCTTACATTTACATAATTTGCAGACGCTTTTATTTGACAAGCAGATAAACTTTCAAAACTTGCATATTTAATAAATGCTTTTACACCGCATTTTACAATGGCAGGTGAATGTGATGCCTACTGGCATATTCTAGTGCTGTTTCTTTCCTACCTGAGCCTGTTATCCACTACACTATCCAACCCTTCCAAACAACCTTTCCTAACTCCACTGATGGAAACTTTGAGTAAAAGCTCCACTGAACATCGCCGTAATTAGTTGGAGAGATGAAGCTCCACTTAACACATCTGGGATGAGATAGAGTGAAGAAGCTCAACTGAACATCTTTGGAATTAGCTGGAGTGATGAAGCCTTACTGAGAGCTTTTGGAATGAGGTGAAGTGATGAAGCTCCATTGAACACAGGTGTAATTAGTTAGAGTGATGAAAGGCAGTGAAGACCTCTGGGATAAGCTGAAGTGATCAAGCCCTACGGAAAATGTTTGGGATGAGTTGGGAGTGATGAAGCTCCACTGAACACCTTTGGGATGAGCTGAAGTGATCAAGCCCCAAGGAAAATGTGTGGAATGCATTGGGAGTGATAAAGCTCAACTAAACCCTTTTGGCATAAGCTGAAGTGATCAAGCCCCATGGAAAATGTTTGGGATGAGTTGGGAGTGATGAAGCTCCACTGAACACCTTTGGGATGAGCTGAAGTGATCAAGCCCCATGGAAAATGTTTGGGATGAGTTGGGAGTGATGAAGCTCCATTGAACACCTTTGGGATGAGCTGAAGTGATCAAGCCCATGGAAAATGTTTGGGATGAGTTGGGAGTGATGAAGCTCCACTGAACACCTTTGGGATGAGCTGAAGTGATCAAGCCCCATGGAAAATGTTTGGGATGAGTTGGGAGTGATGAAGCTCCACTGAACACCTTTGGGATGAGCTGAAGTGATCAAGCCCCATGGAAAATGTCTGGGATGAGCTGGGAGTGATGAAGCTCCACTGAACACCCTTGGAATTAGCTGGAGTCATGAAGCTCTGTTGAACATCTATTAGATGAGTTGAAGTCATGAAACTACATTGGACATCTTAGCCCCTAACTAGTCAGGGCTCACCGGCAGGCCCAAAGTTTTATTACACATTCTATAACCTAAGAATAGCTCAGCCAGTTTGCACTGAAGTCGGTGTAGTTACTGAGTAATAAGCCGTAATGTGTAAAAAGTCTGGGATTATAAGGAGATAGAGTGATGAAGCTCCACTGAACACCTTGAGGATGAGTTGGAGTGATGAAGCTCTCAGTGTGACACTCTGAGATCGCTCATATTTATTCTTTCTCAGATTCTCACTCTCTCCATCCCTCTCATTCATGTGCTTTCTCTCTCTCTCTCTTTTGCACTCACTCTTTGGCTGATTTGCTCTCTCTAATTCTCTCTCCCATTAACACCCTCTTTCTCTCGCTCTTTTTTTCCTGTTTGTGCTCACTCGTTTACTGACTTCACTGCTCTGACTCTGTCTGCCTTTCTCTCTCACTCTCTCTCTCAGCATGATGGAGATAGGAATGGAAATGGAACACATTCACACAAATCATTTTGCTGAAATCAAGCTTCTCATGGCCTGTGTGACTCGTTATAGAGCGGAGCAAATACTGCCCTAAGGAGCCAACTGTAAATAACAAAGTCTACATTAATCAGAACGCTGCCATTACCACCACACCGGACACACTTATCACAAAACTCTCACACTAAACGGGCACAAACGCAGAAAGAACATTTTAAAGGCTGAGATGGCAGATGGCAGAGAAACTTGGCTAAATGGTGGCATAGAGAGCCAAACACATTTAGACCAGTGATGTCTTAATGTTATAGGAAATATCAGTATTGAAAGCAATCAAAGCGTATTTGAATTGATCAGGATCAGACATGTTAAAGGAAATTCCATTTCCAATCCTTTGTTAAGGCTATTTGTACACTGTATTTATGCTACTATTTCAGAAGTTAATAAGTGGAGTAGCCTCTTTTTACAGGCCCTACAGTGGCCATTATTCCAGCAGAATTGAAATCAATTCAGACACTGTTGGCTCTGTGTGTGTGAAATATTGGGACTGTGTTAAGCTGCTACTGGGCGATGAGGGATAAATACAAGACAGTAAAGTGTTGTTACATCCAAAGATGTATTATTCACGGCTTATTACGACCTAAGATATATTATTCACTACTTATTACTTCACAAGGTGTACAATTCACAACTTCTTATATGCTAAGTTGTGTTATCCACAACTGATTACATCCTAAAGTGCATTATCTATGACTTATGGCATCCTAAGGTGTATTATTCACCACTTATCACAACCTAAGGTGTATTATTTATAATTTGTTATATCCTAAGGTGTATTATTTAAGACCTATTGCATCCTAACATGTATTATTCATGACTTATGACATCCTAAGGTGTATTATTCACTACTTATTAAATTCCAAGGTGTTATTCACAACTTGTTACATCCTAAGGTGTATTATACACAACTTATTATGTCCTAAGGTGTATTATACACAACTTATTATATCCTAAGGTGTATTATACACAACTTATTATATCCTAAGGTGTATTATACACAACTTATTATGTCCTAAGGTGTTTTCCACTATGTATTATACACAACTTATTATGTCCTAAGGTGTATTATTCACAACTTATTATATCCTAAGGTGTATTATACACAACTTATTATGTCCTAAGGTGTATTATACACAACTTATTATGTCCTAAGGTGTATTATTCACAACGTATTTATCCTAAGGTGTTTTCACCTCTATCCCAGGTGTATTATACACAACTTATTATATCCTAAGGTGTATTATACACAACTCATTAAATCCCAAGGTGTTATTCATGACTTGTTACATACTAAGGTGTGTTATTCATTAACTATGGGACTACAATGCTTATATAAGCTGGCTATGTAATTCTTAGGTTTTAGGGGCATGAAATGGAAGCCATAACGCGCTGGTGGCTCCAGGCCATTTAAAAGGCTAAATTGGATTAGTTTTACCTACTTAGTGTACTTAAAGTGTGCACTGTGCAGACTTTTGTATTATCTACAAGAACACTGATATCAGATTGGACTCAGTGCTGGCACTTACTCAGTATTAAAGGACTCGGATCAAGATTGTGGCAGAAAACTGGATTAAGACATTCCTATTTTGCTCATTTCACACTGACCACATATGCTTAAAGCCTTTTTTTCACTTTTTGACCAGATCCTGTTCACACAAGAATAACAGTGTTACTTTCCTAAACAGTAGCTCCAATTAGAAACCTCTGCCTTCGTGTGACGCCAGACCCACCTTTGATGAGCGGAAGCAGAAGGCAGTGGACTTGACGTCAGCCTTTTCTTTGTCCATTAGCAGCAGGCCTTTATCGTCCAGCAGGCTGAGGTACTTCCCTGTGGTCACATGACGTAACCGGAACGGCTGACCCCATCGAGTATGACTACCACTCCAGCTGTGTAGAAAATGATTACACAGCATCATCACTGGCCAGTGGCCCACACTGGTATCAAACAATCCACGTCAGCTCTTGCTACTCATCTAGCACTGCTGTTGTAGGCTATATTGTGTGACCATCATTTTCAATTAGTAACTGATTATGAGGTTTCCTTGCCTTCTTATCTGGACCTATCCATGTTCTAACAATGTCCACTCTAAAAACACTCTTAAAAAAAACCCTAAAATAGCCTCACTGTCCACTTTATTAGAAACATCTGTCTTGTACTTCCACTCACTGGCCACTTTATGAGCTCCACCTACCTTACAGGTCAACTATATTACTATATATCTGTTTCTGCACATTTTGCAGCTCCTCTCCATACTGTACATCAATGATCAGTTTCTGACCACAGGATCATATACACCAGCAAGGTGGAGCTACAAGGAAGGTTTTCTGATAGTGGTCAGGGAGTGCATATCATCACTGGGGAAACACTAAAATGAAATAAATAAATAAAAACATATCTCGATTTTTTAATTTTTTATGTCATGTGAACAGCTGTCTTTTACACAGTGTAAACAGTGAACCAATAGAAAAGCTCCAAAAAAAAAATCTCATTTTTCTCTTCTATAAAGTTACTATTTTGGAGATATATATTATTTTCTGTACAGTGACTACATACTGTAGCACCTGACCAGTGTATTGGCTAATGGATTTTGAAGTCTTTCTGAATGTTGGCAAAACTTCTGAAGTTCTGCCAAAAAAGCTCTGATATATTACGTAAGTCCAGAGAGGCCAAGAGGTAGTTATTATTTTTTGCACTGTTATCTACAGATCATAACTTAATTATCTTGTGATCTCAACATAGTAAAAGTTGTATATATTATATATATATATATATATATATATATATATATATATATATATATATATATATATATATATCATATATATCACACACACACATTAATATAACAGCATAACTCAACAAATGATTATGGCATACTAAATTTTAAAAAGTGGACCCCCTGACCACCCCAGTCCCATTATTTTGCACCTGTGCTCCCTCAAAACATCTAAAAATAAGAGATATCAAATATATAAAATAGATCTAAGATGGTTTTACTCACCAAGATATGATTTTGCAGTGTGGTTAAAAGACATGCAGAATGTTTTCAAACCTCACATTTACCATGAGAATATAAAAATGCTACAACATGCAAAAAAAACACTTTTTTTTCATGAGAAATGATGGAAAAATATTAAAAACAAATGGTATGGTATGGCAATATAGTAACATGTTATGGCAATCTGGTAACACTTTATTTGGAGTGGTCCTTTGTAGATGATTAATAAACTCTTAACAGAGTATCAGTAACACATCAACAACATATCAGTGAAGTAGAAGTAGTGAATCATCTAAATACACTGAAGTAAATATCTTGTAGATGTTCTGTTGATAGATTACTTACATTAAGTAGATGTGTTGTTAATATGCTATTTCCATTACACACAACCTAACCTTACTAACCTTACCTAAGACCTAATCATAACCCTGGCCCTAATCCTAACCCTAACCTTAACCTCAACCCAAAACCTAATCCTAATCCTAACCCTAACCCTCATGTGTTTGTGACATGTTACTGAGAGTCTGTTGAGGGTTTGTTTCCTCTAAAAAGGACCACTTTTACCAGTGTTTTCTTATTTGAGATTTGTTCTTAGGTAGGAACAGAATCTCCACACTCGAGAGCACAAAGGTGCGAATGATTCTGCGTCAAGAATCTGATGTAGACTTTTTCTTAGGATCTTTCTCAAGAATAAACTTAGGAAAACACTTAGGAAGATACTGGCGAATGAGGCCCAATGTTATCAGTATCAGAACTGGTCACAGAATTTGTCCAGGCCCTGATATGCTGAAACGCTCAACTTAGAGTTGTTAAAGAAAGTAAAAGTGCACTTAAAGCTGCAGCGCTGCACTCCTTAAGGAAGTGTACTCGTATTAACAACTCCTGCTCCAGAATGTGGCCCCAACCTCAAAACGTCACTTTGATAAAACACCTCAAGCGCAGCTCCACAGGGTCTATAGAGTGCAAAAGCCTGCAGAGGAGCAGCTCAGCCCGAATGCCCTCTCATGCGAAGGTAAAGAAATTTCCGTGGTGGCTATTTTTGAGCTAACAGCCCCGCTGAGTGTAATTAGACCCTTTGCGGACGTGCAAATATGAGCGTTTACACTTTCCAGGGTGCGAGATTTCCCTCCAGACCAAATATTACGTAACTCCAGTGAGATACCGCGGCGCCCCTGAGGGCAGAAGCTGGCAGTCCACCGAGCAGCGCGGCTAAACGGATTCAGACGAGCAGGGATATGGCGCGCCGCCCCCAGGACACTCTGCCCTAATGGGTCCTGTCGTGACATTTTAGGCTGCTGGTGAAACTGCGCTGCTTGGATTGGGGAAAAAAAAAAAACAGGCGCAGGGTCAGCAGTGTAAATGCCACTGCAGGACTGTAATGACAGTTGGATGAGGCAGGAAAAAAACAGCAAAGCCACAGCGATGAGTCGGAACGGTGGGATGAAGGAAGATGAGAATCTAGCGAAAGTGTGAGGGTGACATTTTTAAACGTGCCAATCTCGCCTGAGCCTGTGACATTTTTAATGCTAAGTCAGCTTCCAGTAGGGTCACATGTGGACGGAGATTCACGTTATTCATGTAGATGTTCACTCACGCTACTCTCAGGGTCTCCAGCCTCCAGAGGGAGCGGGCGTGGGTGGACACGGCTCCCCCCTCATAGTGCACCGTCCTGGGGGAGAGAGGAGAGGGAACCAAGGTCAGCATCGTGTTCACACACAGTTGACATTGCTACCCAATCAATCTCAATTACATAAACTTTGCAGTTTGCAAGTTGATGGACACACCCACTTTTTTCTGCATAGTGTATTTGAATCTCTTTAATGGAGTCTTTAAAAGGGCCCACATCCTGATTTTTTCTTGTATTTTATTTTGTGTCCACAACAATTGTGTGAGCTTATGTACCCAAAATGGCCATAATTAATTATTTTATGACCATTTTTCCAACTTCTCTTTACCTCTTAGAATTAAACAGGCTGTTGTTACTATGCCTTTAAAACCAATAAGGATCTTTCGAACAAACTGGTACAACGGGATCTAACCGCTCACCATGTGACTATGAGGGACAGGGGTGGAGTCTCACTTCCAGCTCTAAAATGCAAGGGTGTGGCTAAAATAAGGCTCCACCTACAGACTAAAACACTTACCTTGCAGTAGGAAGGTCTGAGTACTTCATTGTTTTTTGATCCAGTTTAGCAAAATGATCCATTTACAGTTGTATGCAAAAGTTGGAACAGCTCCAGTCAAATTTAATTTAATGCTAATTTTCTAAGTGAAAAAGTTAACAATTACATTACATTTTTTCCATTACAATTTCTATTAACATATCGGAAAAAAATGTGTCAAAAAATGAGTTTTTCCCCAGCGTGTTAAATTCAGCAAATTCAGTAATTGTACACTAAAATGTGCATAAGTGTGTTCTCTGTAGGGTGTTTCACTTAGAAAATCAACAAAATATCAGTAGACCAGGGGTGCGTCAGCACGCTTATGCAGTTCTTTCAGTGTTTAACCCTTGTGTGGTGTTGGGGCCTGTGGGATTTCAATGATCCAAAATGATGTGATTTATTATTATTTCAACCTCAGATTCTTGTCCTTTGCTCATTTTCTGTGAAGAACATACAAAATAACCCATTTTCAGTGTCTTCACTCTGTTCACCCCCCCACACCTTTATATCACACATGGTGTTGGGGGAACCCGTGGGGAATAAAAGTGTGGAGGTGCTGTGTCCTTCACTGTTTGTGTGTGTGTGTGTGTGTGTGTGTGTGTGTGTGTGTGTGTGTTTGTATATGTCTGTGTGTGTTTGGGAAGGTGTACAACATGGACAGGCTGCTGACTGGCTACAGCTGCTAAAGGAGAACCCTACACTGGACACTTGTGATATTTTAACCATCTGGTATTTTTACATAAATTGTTAAACCACACAAGAGTTCACAGTACACAGTACAAAGTTGGCTTGAACAACTATACACAAAGCACAGCATGGTTTGTTGTAAAGCTTCTGTGTGAGGAACCGTATTGTGCCCGACCTTTACCTACATAAAACTAAAAAGTGCCAAGGACCAAGACTGAGATGGCACTGCTACCTACTAACTGCATCCTTTTGTGCTGAGTCTCTCTGAAAAGAGAAAATGGCTTTAGGCTGTGACGCTGTGGCTTTTCAGCAATGATTTCTAATGCTGAAGGACACACAACACAGACATGTACACACACAAAGAAGCCCTAATAAAAGCAGCTTTCCCATCATACAATAACAGCTTGCACAACGCTCGCAGGTTGCATAAACCTCAGAGTTAAAAAGACACAGTTATAGACAGGAGAGAGAGAGAGAGCGAGTGAGTGACTAAGAGAAATGCTCTTTCACTTCATTTGCATTTGTCTGACAGTATTCAAGGCCTGCGGGCAGGAACACTACCCAAGTAAATCTTCAAGGCTCAATTAAACTGGAGCTGTGATGAGAGAGAACCGAGAGACCTGAGAGAAGAGAACGCCTTTAGAAAGAGAATTTCTTTCAGCCGCAACATGAACGTCCACATAACCGTCTGCTGGCCTTCACCGCTCCGTCTGTAACCATTTGTAACAGGCGAACAGCTGCTAGGACTTCACCCATGACTTCACATATCAGGACCTTTCTGCTCATTTGCTGAGATTCTTCACATACAAACATCTCCAACTTGCACTTTCTTCATTTTGGTTCATAATGTAAATTGTAGGTCTGAACCGATATATCAGCTGGCTGATAAAATTGTCCGATATTCACGTCCTGAAGATTTATTGGTATCGGCACATGTGAAATGATAAAGCACTAGTATTTAATGGTTTATTTTATATTGTAACAACTTCTTAAAACATGATTAAACGTTCCACTTTGTTGTTGACAAAAACAGTAACGCTGTGACTGTTTCGGTAGTGACAATTTTAGTTCATTTTGAACAGAACTCAAAAACACTAGCCAGTACATGACCAGCAAACACAGCTTTGCACAGCTGTACACACATAAAATCATTATATTTTTCATTAAAAAACAAAGTTTACTTAATTGCAGAAAAGATGTGTTTTGGTACTGACAATTCTTACGGTTCCACACTGATTTTTAGACTTTGGGACACATTTACTTAAAAACAATGGGTTCTAACTCCTCTAACACCATGTGGCCATGAGGGACAGGGATGTAGTCTCACTACCTGCTCTAAAATGCAGGGGTGTGGCTAAAATAAGGCTCCACCTACGTTCCTGAAGATTTATTGGTATCGGCCAATGTGAAATGATAAAGCACCAGTATTTAATGGTTCGTTTCATGCTGTAACACACAGACCTCTAATGTGAGAAAAACACACTACGTTCTGAAAATTTAGTGGTTTCATTTTCATACACAAGTTTGTAGAGACAGCCAAGCTTCCAGTCACCACCTGCTCAGCTCCACTAAGAACTGGTGACTTTGCACACAAAACAATCAGAATTAATATGACAAAAACATGTATAACATGTACAGTACTGTGAAAAAGAGATCACCCTTCATTTCTTTAGTACAGCTATTCATTTTTCATTATTTTTCCACACCTCTGAAGTTCAGTTTTAGAAGTTGGTTTTGCATTTCCTGCTTCTCACCATCCACGTAATCCCAAACACATTCAATGACGTTGAGGTCTGGACTCTGGGGTGGTCAGTCCATAGTTCAACAGCAGTTTCTTTAGACGTTCAGTGTTATCTTCTCACAATGGAAGGATGGACAGAAACGAGATGATTCATAATCATAACTGTCAATAAAGCACTGTTTTGACATCCTGCTTATGTTGAATATTTTTATATATTGTCTTTTTTTGTTTTTACTTATTTACAAATATATATGCATATATTTTCTTTTTTTTTAGCCCCCTCTCGGGTCCTTTTCCTTTTGTGTCATGAGTACGCAGAGAATGTTGATTGTATGTTAACACTGGAAAATAAATAAAAATAAAAGTTATTAAATAATAAATAAATAGAGCAGTGTTTAAGTCCTGAGTTTGTTTTATTTTTGATGGTGTTAAATCAAATTAGATGATAATGTCAATTATTTAAACCTTTAGCTGCTTAAAATCAATACTGATGCTCCCGAGTGGCGCAACCGTCTCAGCGTTGGCCCTATCATCAGGAGATCGCGAGTTCGATCGCTGGTGATGCTACAGCCATCCGTAGCCGGGAGTCCAAGAGAGCACAATTGGCCTCGCTCTCTCTGGGTGGGTGGGATGGCCCCTCCTTCTCCCCCCATCACTCAGCGCGATGCTAGTCAGCGCAGGCGTCTGTTAGCTGACGTAACAGATCTGGTGGTTGGCGCTTTCCTCCGAGCGCGTTCGGCTGTCCAGTGACGTTGCGTGAGCGGCAAGAAAGAAGCGGTGGCTGGTTTCACGGGTAAAAATTAAAATAAATAAATCAATACTGATAAATGGTCACATCACTTTCGGCCCTACTCTAGAGTCCACTCTAGGTTTCGAAGCTCCAAATTTGCATGCTGTTGCCTGGACTTAGTTGCCTGCCAGTTTAATAGAAACTCCCACTTTGTGCTTTCACTCACTGGCCATTTTATGAGCTCCACTTACTTTGCAGGTCCACAATTTAGGTGTACGATCACAGACTGTAGTCTATCTGTTCATGTACAGCAGGGGTGTCAAAAGAGGGAGCTTCCAGGCCAACGTGCTGTGGACATTAGTGTTTACCCTCATCTAACGCTCTGAATTCAGTTCATGAATGCCATGCTTTTTAGCTGATGAGCTGAATCAGGTGTGTTTAATGAGGCAGTGTGCTGAAGTCTGCAGTGTTCTGGCCCGCAAGTACTGGAGCCTGAAACATGCAATGTACAGTCTACCAGCTCCCCTTTACACCATTCATCTTTGGTCAGTTTCTGACCAAAGGACAGCTATTGTCCACATACTATCCAGTTCGCTCTCAGCACAGCAGTGACACTGACATGGCAGTGTGTGTTGTGTGGGCAAAAGTGTGTCAGATACAGCTTAACACTACAGTGACATACCAGCAGCACAGACACTAACATGAATCAAGAATTCTTTGGATTAAGAATATGAAGATTTAACTGTCTGCCTGAGCTGTTCGAGCTACCTGACCGTCGTCACTATGACATCTGGATGAAAGTGGATGAAAGTCACTACGTCCACGCCAAAGCCTTCTTGTTTTATTTTATTTTTTTTTCAGTATGTTAAATTCAGCAAATAAATAGCAATTGTGCACTAAAATGATCAATTCAATAAATCAACAAAACATATAATTTGACCAGGAGCACACATGACTGTAGCACACACTAATTTTTTTAAATGGTTCAATCACCAGAAAGGCTACGGTTATAAGTGTAGAACCTTTTCTGGTGCTGTAAAGAACCCTTTTTGCAAAAAGTGTACCCCTTTGCAAGCTCGGATCATCCAACGGGTTTTATAGGGGGCCCTTGCAAGCAAACATAAGAAAATCTAAACAGCTGTTTTGACTTGAGGTGGAAACTCTACTAGCCACACAGCAGAAAAGGCTTAAGCAAGACCTGATACTTCAGCAGAGGATACCCATTTTCAAAGCCAAATATAAAATGTTAAAGAAGGAAGTTGCATCGTTCTTGTCTGTAGTGATCTGTGAACTGTCATCAGAGGTAAGATATAAATGAAAAAAACAAAATCATCCATTTTTATGTACGT